GCGACATCCACAGGTCGGCCTGCTCCTGAGGGGGCATGTCCTCCCATCGCTTCTCGATGTTGGCCAGGGTCGGGTTGGAAATGGCATGCGCCTGGCGGGTCTGGAGGCACACGGCGGGCGCGGCGCGGACAGCTTGACGTGTCGCTGGGACGATGGAGCTCCTCGAGGCCCGGGCGACGGAGGCGGCGAGCATGGCGGCGGGTAGAGTGGAGAGATGCGCTATTATACGAAAGGAAAGGAAGCTGGTTCCCGTCGAGGGAAGCTGAATCGCCAATGGGTTGTTGTTGTGGTAATGGGGATGAAGGTGGGACCAGGGGAGCGGACGAGGTTTTGCGAGCAGCAGAAAGCTTGGCGGTGGTACGACCTATAGTCAGCTCCTGATTGGACCGTTTTCACAGCTCATCGAAATCACGGCACAGCGTCGTCAGGAGAGCTTCGACGGTGCCAATGTAGGCAATAGAGCTGCAGATGGATTCATTGAATACGGCAGTGCAGTATGACTCGTGCTGCTACACGTTGTGAGAGCAAAGCCCAGAGGGATGGCAGTCACTACTTGCAACCATGGGAGCTCTACCCTCACCGTGCACATGGGATGGCTAGCACTACCTCAAACAACCGTACTACGTACCCTCGAGACTATGGTATACTCGTTTCTGTGATATTTCGTCGAATTCGCAGCAGTGTCGGCCTTATCGCAGTGCGCTCGGGCCGGCACTCGACGGAGCACCGGCTATCGCGGCTCCCGCTCGAGCTTCTTCAGCCCTATGAAGCTCCCGGATCGGAGTTGACGTTTTTTCCCTTGTCCCTCGTCGTCACATGCAGGTACTCGTCGAGCTCTGGACGCCGCCGGCGTGGCACAGAGCGATCATGAGGTGGGTTCAGAACTGCTTTTTAGCTAATCACTGCTTAGCTCCCGATGCGCGGCCGCGGATACGCCAAAACGCCTCATGGCGCGTCTCTCCTCAACACCTGCGGCTCCTCTGTACAGTTCCCTCTGGTGTTGGCTGGGCGTGGCGGTGGCCACTTGCTGGCACGTTACACAAGGACTCGCCTCCCCGCGCGCCGCTGCTGCATAATACCACACTGTAATATTCTCACCTCACCGCGTATCAGCAGAACATGCTTGGCCATGACCAATGCTGCTGAGACACGTTCAGTCGGCCGCTCGTCGAGCATCCCGCGGCGCCGAGATATACGAGATTGCAAAACGCGTGGTATGGACGTAGGGGCTGGTGGCGTGCGTGTTTGTATGGCGAGGGATGCGGAAGCGAAGTGTTGGCATACCATGCACCCATGACGGTCTGCAGCTTGGAGTGAGACCCCTCCTGCGGGGCTGTAGAAGAGCTCTCCACAAGCTTCAGGGCCGTCTGAACAGAGGTGGGCGTGTACGGGAAAGCTAGAAGAGGTCCGAGTCCCGCCGATTCCGGTGGTCTGCTGTGGTGATGGCACCACACCCAGAGGTAGGAGCACCTGAATCACCTCAGGCCTTCGGCCGCGTGCGGGTACTGGGGCAGGGCAGAGGCAGAAGTTTCTATTGGGCGCTCGGACGCCGCAGTTATCATTGCAGATGGTAAAGAGGGTTTGTTTTGGAGCAAAACGTGACGTCTCTTCTGCTTAGACTATTTATTAGCTAGCCCACCAACCCAACAAGTGCCCCTCAGTTCCCCTCCATCCACCGCAAACCTTTCTTCACACAACACACTTTTCTCTTCCCACTCCTCATACTCCTATCACAATGGTCGTCAAGGTCGGAATCAACGGCTTCGGTCGCATTGGCCGCATTGTCTTCCGCAATGCGTGAGTTCATCACCCCACCCGCCTGTGTTTGCTTTTGGTACGCGACTAACACAGCTGCGCAGCATCGAGCACAACGACGTCGACATCGTCGCCGTCAACGACCCCTTCATCGAGCCCCACTATGCTGTAAGCAGGCCTCTCGTCGAATTCACCTCAATACAACGGGTCGTATGATTGGCTTCAGAGGCTGACTGAAACAGGCCTACATGCTCCGATATGACAGCACCCACGGCCAGTTCAAGGGCACCATTGAGGTCGACGGCAACAACCTGAAGGTCAACGGCAAGACCGTCAAGTTCTACACAGAGAAGGACCCCGCCCAGATTCCCTGGAGCGAGACCGGCGCCTACTACGTCGTCGAGTCTACTGGTGTCTTCACCACCAAGGACAAGGCTGGCGCTCATTTGAAGGGTGGAGCCAAGAAGGTTGTCATCTCTGCTCCTTCCGCCGATGCCCCCATGTTCGTCATGGGCGTCAACAACGAGACCTACAAGTCCGACATTGACGTGCTCTCCAACGCCTCTTGCACCACCAACTGCTTGGCCCCGCTCGCCAAGGTCATCCACGACAAGTTCACCATCATCGAGGGTTTGATGACCACCGTCCACTCCTACACCGCCACCCAGAAGGTCGTCGACGGCCCGTCCGCCAAGGACTGGCGTGGTGGCCGTACCGCTGCTCAGAACATCATTCCCAGCAGCACTGGTGCCGCCAAGGCCGTCGGCAAGGTTATTCCTGACCTTAACGGCAAGCTCACCGGCATGTCTATGCGTGTCCCCACATCCAACGTCTCCGTTGTCGACTTGACTGTCCGCATCGAGAAGGGCGCCACGTACGATGAGATCAAGGAGGCCATCAAGGAGGCCTCCGAGGGTAACCTTAAGGGTAAGCAGTCATATACATTTTCGAAGCGCCTCTGCTAACCGATTCAGGCATACTTGGATACACCGAGGACGACATTGTCTCCACCGACCTGAACGGCGACAACCGCTCTTCCATCTTCGACGCCAAGGCTGGTATCTCCCTCAACAAGAACTTCGTCAAGCTCGTCTCCTGGTACGACAACGAGTGGGGTTACTCCCGCCGTGTCCTCGACCTGCTCGTCTACATTGCCAAGGTTGATGGCAACAACTAGGAATCAGGACAGAGCCGGGAATCTTCGAAACTGTAGGATTGGGAACAAGGAAATGTCATATTGATTGACGAAAGCGGGTTTCTTTGGTAAAACATGAATGAGTTTATGCCACATAGTAGCCACGAATGAATGATATAATTCTCCGCAAATCATGCATTGCAGTGTTGTGTGCGTCTCCCATCTTGCGGCTGTAGCTGGATTGCTCCCTCTGCATTTCCTCCTTGGAAATCCTGATAGTTTTTACTATGATATTTGCCCTGTTTTTTGCATTAACTAGCTTTTGTTTGTATTGTTTGAATCCTTCAGGTATGTTTCCTATGCCGGTCTTGGCACTACCTCCGTCCTCCCTCTGCTTATACGCCACCTCCACATGGCCCGCAAACACTCCCGCCGTACTTCTCTAGCGCCCACATCATGGTAGACGCCCGAGGTACAAACGTAAGGCTCGTGTGTTCCCGCGAGGCTGGGGAATAATACACCCGTTGCTAGCCTTTAGGCCGGCCGGCGCGGGAAGTTACGGAAGAAGGGCTCGCTTAGGTCGTGTGAGCAGTCTTTGTAGGATAGGATATATTCACAAAGGTACCAGGTGAAGGAGACGGCAGGCTCGATAGAGAGTCCATAAGGAGAGGTGGTGGCGTGGATTGGTACGGGATGTACGCGTACACAGTAGGTTGCGGGACATGTAATGATTATGCATAAACCTACAGACACAAGTCCCGCGACATGTGTCAACGAATCAAAGATCTTCAATGAGTGCCCTAAAGACCATTTCACAACTTGCATCTTCATGTTCATTAGCATTGGCACTAAGCTTGATAGTTCTCCCATGGCAGGTGCGGCAGTCAAGTTGTTATGGTGATCCCGGCCTCGTTTGCTCCACTCGTACATGTGGGCTGTTGTCTCATCACTATCAAAACTGAACTCTATGGCACCCTTTTTCTCAATAAAAACCAGGGAAGCGATGTTCTTTGACGCTCATGAGCTCTGCGAAGGGACAAGAGGGTGTCGGATACTGGCAGAGTGAAAGAAAGGAGGGAGACTAATCATCACAGACTGTCCAATACAGAGTCAGCCACGAGCCCTGTCCTCGCATACATGGAATACTTGTCTGGAAACTGAGCCTGCTTGTGGAAGACAGCTCAAAGATGTTTTTCCCTTGTGAAGATTGTCGAGAACGGAAGTCACCATGCCTGAAACGGTCTAGCCTCTCAAAAGCTTGGCGTTCTCATCGGCAGCGTCCATGTTGTTCGCGTCCCAGTAACATCCCCCATCCAAGTCTTAGATCCCTTGCATTGGTCTACTACTTTAGGCTTTTCTTCTATCTTGCCTCTTCACTTTGAGGCACTAACACCAAACACTACACCGAACGAAGGTGGTCGCGCGTGGTTCATGTGAATACCCGACCCGCATCACGGGAATACTCGAGTCGACCTTGGACTGGCGCTTTGGTAACGGCCGCAACTTTCAAGAGTCGGGAGATAGGTATCACTGGTGGTCGCTATCCAGTAACTCCATCTGGTCGTCACCAACCAAGAGTTCTTTGAGCCACGCAAATCCATTGCGCGATTCAGTCCACTGGTTGGTGCAAAGGCATTCTTACCATACTGTGCAAGTCTGTGAGAACATGATCGCATGCTGATCAAGTAAGTAAAATTTCCATCACTTATCAAGACGGTACTTGGAATAACGAGACTGATTCGTCTTCTCGCTTCGGTTCTGGTTCCATACTCACTACATCACCATCGATATTCCGTCTCTTTGCACTTTTCCCCCAGCCCAAGCTACGCTTCATGAACACAACACCGGGCCATTAGCTTCCATGCAGCGCTGCGAGTTTCTCGGGTCCACATTGTACTCGGGTAAACCGCACGGAGACGATTGCCCTAGTATCTGTGCGCGAGGTTCTCACACCCGCCCTTCCCTTTTCACCTGCCGCTTCGTTTGTCGCTTTCTGTCATATAGAGTGCTCCAACCCTCCCTCAACCTCTTGTATTGATATTAGCACCCACCTTTTGAAAACGCACAAGTGTTGGCTACGTGCAGAACGCTCTCTTGACTAGCTCCTGCCATGACTGTGGATCCAGCACACAAATCATACGTCGGCTTGACTTACGTGCTAATCAATTGCTTAGGACCACGAACACCCCTGGTGCGTAGCAAGGCTGCGACGCCGTCTTCCACTATGGCCATGATAGACGAGGACACAATTGTCCTTTCCGACGAGGATCATGCTATGGAATCGATAGAGCACGGCAACGGGAATGGCGACCATGCCGCGACCGTCAACCCTTCGAAGCTCCTGTTCCACGCCGCCTCACCGGAACTTCTTTCGCCAGTGCTGCCCTTCCATGGCCTGGGCAACCCCCGCAAAGGCTCTCCGTCTAGGAAGCCTTTGAATGCACAAGGTTATTCGAGTTCATCTCCTGGAGTTTTGAGCCAAAGTCGACAATTACAAAACTCAGTACCAGTCGATTCGGATTCCATGGATGTTATACCTGCAAGGGTTGCCCGCGTCCAGGTGCGTGTGCCACCGCCACCAAGGTTCAAACCTCTACCATACCCGTCTAGCAGGACTGGATTGGTATACGATGATCGCATGAGGTTCCACGCCGAGGACGAGGTTCTTAACAATAATCCTCCTGATGATATTCACCCCGAGGATCCCCGCCGCATTTATGCAATCTTCCATGAGATCCGGCAAGCCGGCCTGGTGCAAGATTCGTTTGATTCGGATGACGAGGACGCAGAATCTCGCGATAACAAATGCTGGAGAATTCATACTAGACATGCCACACAAGCTGAGATTTGCCTCGTACATACACCCGATCATTACTTGTATGTTGAGGCATTACAAAGTAAGTGATGTGGTCGTCTGTAGCGCAGTGACTGACACACACTCAGATAAGACGACTCTTGAACTCCAGGCGCTATGTCGCGATAAGGACTCAGTATACTTCAATAACTCAACCTTCGATAGTGCATTATTAGCCGCGGGAGGTGCCATCGAGGCTTGCAGAGCTGTAGTAATGGGTCAAGTTCGAAATGCTATCGCCATCATACGACCACCAGGACATCACGCCGAAGCCACAGAACCCTCGGGGTTTTGCATATTCAACAACGTGCCCATTGCTGCCCGAGTATGCCAAAATGATTTCCCTGAGACTTGCCGCAAGATCATCATCTTAGATTGGGATGTCCATCATGGCAACGGCATCCAGCATGCTTTCTACGACGACCCCAACGTTCTCTACATCTCCCTGCACGTCTTTAGGGGGGGGGCACGTTTTACCCAGGTAATCCTGATGGCGACCTAACGTACTGTGGCGAAGGACCTGGTTTAGGACGCAACGTCAATATTCCGTGGGAAGAGCACTATATGGGCGATGCTGAATACATCTATGCTTTTCAGCAGGTAGTCATACCGATCGTGTCGGAGTTTGACCCGGATCTCGTCATCATATCTGCGGGATTTGATGCCGCAGAAGGAGACGCCTTGGGAATGTGTCACGTCAGCCCTGCCGGTTATGCCCACATGACGCACATGCTCATGCGAGTTGCGGAAGGAAAGATGGCCGTGTCTCGAAGGCGGCTACAACCTGCGATCAATTTCCCGGTCCGCTCTTGCAGTCACCAGGACGCTCATGTTGCAACCTCCAGATCGTCTTGCGGATGATTTGAACCCCAAGGAATCCGCGGTCCGAACGATAGAACAAGTTAAGCGAGCACAATCGAAGTTCTGGAAGTGCATGTACCCGAAGCAACTCGACTCAGCTATCCCAGCTTCCCCATCCACGTCACGATTACACGAAGTACTGAGAAAGTTCCAGAGTTTGAACATGGCTGAGGAATACCGCATGACGCCTCTCCAAATCATTAAGGATGAATTGAAGGACTTTTTTGAGCACAATGTGGTTGCCACGTAAGTATGGTACTGGTCCTCAGGCAACACTTACTGACTATTTTAGACCCTACTTCACAGACAAGCGTCCGTTACTAGTCATATTCCACGATCCGCCGAACCTCACCTACTCTCCGGATCCAGTCACCGGCAAGATAGAGCTTCATAACATATGGCTGGTGAGAAACTCCGTGCAGCCTGCACTGTATGACCGCTGACAAAATGCAAAGGCTGATGTGGTAGAAAAGGACTACATCGGGTGGGCTATCAAGAATGGCTTTGAAGTCATTGATGTGAACGTCCCAAAAATAGAGCCCATTAAAGACGTATGTTTCTTCTTATCTGGGTTTCTCAGCGCACTTGAAATTGACTTTGTTAGGACGACGGAGAGTTCATCTACTCCGATACACACGACGAGCGAGCTGAAAAGACTAAGCAGCTCGCTTCGTACATATGGGAGAATTACATCGAGTAGGTCGCAAGCCGATCATTCTGCAGCATAGCTAATGCAGGCGTAGACCCCACGACGCAACACAGGTCTTCTTCCTAGGTATTGGATCAGCGTATGTCGGGCTGGTAGACTTGTTGAGAAGCAATGGTACGTTGTTCCCTCACTCAATCGCCTGCATGATGTGCTTACACCCGAGGCAGAAGCATGCACCGACGAGAACAGCGTCGTGGAATCCCTCATCGCTTTTGTCGCAGATACCTCGCTCCAGTCAATCAGAAGACCAACTGACGACAACGTTGCCTCCTGGTACGAATCGGTGAGTCAAAGTTACCCAACCTGGTCGATATTACGCAGGCTAATGACAATCTTTAGCATTCCATGATTTTCGTCCAAAACGACCACCTCTGCTGGGATCCTTCTCGAGGCCACAAACGCCGCAAGAAGTGGGGCAAGCTGATCCGCTCCGAGCATGTCAAACTCGACGATATGCTCATGCAGCACAAGGAAGAAGTCCAGCAGTATCTTCTCGCAAAGAAGGCGCCGTTCGTCGATCACGGCGACGATATCAGCGTCGATGATGACTCGAAGCAACCTCTTCGCAGCCCTCCACTCCCCAGCGGTCTACAGTCTCCTCAGGGAAGCGTGCCGCTTACGAGAAACGGTTACGCTGAAGAGGGCCGTTCGAGGCTGCCGCCAGTAGCGTATTTCAACGTGTCTAACAGTCGTACAGGGACCCTTAGTCCAACGGCACCGGGGAGTCCACTGCGGCAGGGCTTTGGGAGAGGTTGAAGAGATGTTCGCGGTGGTGATGGTGCAGGATGCGGCGGGGCGGCGGCCGGTGTGTTATTTGTGTTTAGGCTACTTTGTTTCATTCCCTTCTTCTTGTGCATTGCCGGGCGCTCGCGAGGTTTAGTGTGTGCTCTTTGGAGCTTCTGTGTTTCTGAATTAGTTGATAGCTATGCCTCTCTCATATGTAATAATCGTCTGGATAGAGTGTTAGTGATGTTATCGGGGACAAGGTCATCTCTAAAATGGGGCGTTGTTGGAGCCATGCCCCTCGGCGAGCTAGCACATGGTGAAGGATCCCAGACATTCGGTAGTAACGGCATGACTGTAAGCCACCGTAAGAAGGCTATTGTTCGTCTCACGCGCCCATGTTCTCGGGCGGCGTGGGTGTCGCCCTTCGCTTCGATAATAAGGGACGGGACAATGGGAACTTATGTTGTTGAACGCCACCTGTAAATATTGGTGGGCAATGCGTGTCAACGGCTTGTTAGCGTTGTATATAGTGCGCGCACTGGCTGAACGCCTCCATCACTCGTACGTATCGGTCATTGTCTCTCGTGCTTTCAACGATCGCATACTCAATATGCTAGCATTTCCGCCACGCTAAATCCATCAGTGCAAGCGCCCATGCTGAGTGAGCCGCCAAGGCAGACGGGCAGGAAGATTTACGTGCCATCAGCGTCCCTCTCACGCCTCAAAAGGCGAGATCTCCGCCGCTAGTACATACGCGGCGTTGGCGTGCTGGCGAGGCTGAGGTTGTGCAGACCTCAGCTGCTGGGTGTTCGTTCTATTGAGCGGCGGGTGGTGGGGCGGAGCCGTGCTGCTGTTGTGCAGCGTTACATACAGCAACTACACAGTACTTGCATACGAAAGTCGCGATGTCTTCAAAGAAAAGACGAGTGCGGGACATCCACGGCATCCAGAGTTCATAATCACAAGCGCTTGGGCTGCACGCCCCCATTTTAAGCATATTCACGAACACGAGCATGCTCGCTTCGCTGACCATGAACCCCCGCTCTGGGATTTTCGTTTCGAAACAAATATCGGCATTTGTATTGGACCCCAGAATGAACACGAAGGTTCGCATCGCCGTACGTTTTGGCGTAAGCTAAGCCTATTTATGGCCATATGTTACGGCGACAACGAGGTTTGGATGCACGCCCCGCCCGAGTCCTTGCACGACCGCGGAGCGAGACCTTTCAGCCCCTGGGCGGTCAGCCTCTTTCTTTGACGGTGGGTGAACTGTGATTGGGAGGATAGACAAAGGCATGCAAGAGCTAGATTGCATTTGGGAGGAGGCATGGGAATAGTGGTCGGTAGAGGGATTTAGAGGTGGGATGGTAGGGTTGCTGCGAGGTGGAGGTGCTGATGGAGGTCGGGGCATGGCGATGTTGGGTGGGCTTGCGCATGGGCTATTATTACGCCTCCGATCTGGGCTGGCTAGAGGAAGGAGGCTTTTTTCTCAGCCTGAGGGGTTGTCCTCCTGGTTCTTTCTTCTTGCTCTCAGTACCATCGACAAGAGGTTGGACAGGAAACACCGCTCATTGCCCTGGACATCGACCAAACTAGGAGAAAGCAACCCACGCGTTTACGGTTGAACAGTAGTTCGGCTCACGTTTCACGAACTATCCCACAGGGCTGAAATATGTCGACACCATCGGCGACCGCCACAGATGTGGTACCAAGCGGAAGCCGTACATCCACAGTGTCGGCAGAGATAACTTCAGCGCCGACAGATTCTTCGTCTATATCGGCATCAGTGACTTCTTCAAGTAACTCGTCGTCGTCGAGTAGACCACCACAAGTCTACACCGTCAAGGCCGGTGCTGGAGGATTCAAGTTCGACCCCCCGGAGCTCAAAGATGTCAATGTCGGCGACACGGTCACATTCGAGTTCTACCCACCCGACCACTCGGTCGCACGCGCAGAGTTCGAATCGGCCTGCGTGCCGTACGAGTACACCGGGAAGGGCAAGACGGGCTTTTGGTCGGACACACAATGGGTGAAGGATGTCGATCACGTACGGTTCCCTCATCACGTCTGTCGTAAGACATATCAAGACATCAAACTAACAGAACGTAGCTCACATACTTCAACGTAACCGTCAACTCAACCGAGCCCATCTTCTACTATTGTGGAGCCCCAGATTCCTGCATTGGCCACCAAATGGTCGGCGTCATCAACCCAAACGACACTCAAACCCTTGACAAGCAAATCATCGCCGCGAAGGACGCTACCTTCATGGTCAAGCCCGGCGACCCCATCCCAGCCGAAGCCTCCGCTTCCCTCCATGCCTCCGCTACAGCCACAGCAGCACCAAGTTCCCACAGCGGACACACCCTCTCAGGCGGCGCCATCGCCGGCATCGTCGTCGGCGGCATAGCCTTCCTCGCCATATGCGCCGCCCTCTTCTTCTACGTCGGCCGCACAAAGAGTCTAAAAGAAGTCATCAAGCACCGCGAAGCCGTCAAGTCTCCCGCGCCAACAGACGGCCACTTCCCCCATTCGCCGGGATATTCTCCCCTGCCGTTCTCACCCAATATGCAGCATGCGGAGATGGGCATGGGAGGGCAGCAGTTGCCGGCGTATGGGCAGCACAATGCTACTGACAGTCATTATAATGCGTATGCGCATCAAGGGTCGCCGCAGCCGCAGTAAGTTGTTATTTCATATGAATGTGGAATATTTACTAATGGGGAGTGTAGGATGGCTGAAGTCAAGCACACATACCCTGCCGAACTGGCCTCGCCGCCGGCGGGACAGCAGACGTTCACTCACGAGTTGGAAGCGCCGATAAAGGCACCGCGGTGAAAGGGCAATCAGCCCATTTCTTTGTTTCTTGTCTCTCATTAGGATACCCTTCGTATATCTCTTCGGAGTTTTTTCGTCGTCACGGCCAAGTAAGCACACGTGTTAGTCTAGTGTATTAGTTGGGGGGTGGAAGGAACGATACCAGAGAAGGAAGGAACGACCCGGAGATGTGGGACGGTGGCGCTAATGTTCTTGTACATGATTGTGTATGTAGCTTTGGGATGGTAGTATAACTTTTAGTGTAATTGAAGGGAGATAGGGATAGGGGCTTTGTTCCTGTCGCTTCTGTATGTTGTGCTGCCCCCACTGTGTACGCTGTTCTCCGATGTTTATCGTTTAGAAACGCCATTGACGCGGCCACACCGCTTCTATGTCCCGTTTCTCACGCCACTTTGAGCGATTGTACATCAGGAACCCCTTTGTACGATTGTCTGCGATTTGCGCTTTAATGTATCCTTGTGTTTGAGTTGGCAGGCACGGCGATGATATCATAGGTTACATTTAACACATTCACGTAAGTCCCCAGACATAGGTGATTGATGGTTGTGCTTTGTATGATCGGGTAAAAGGTTGAAAGCTCATCCTCGGATCCCACACACGCTGATTCTGCCCCCACGCGCATCAAAATGTCCGAAGAACAAACTCTCTTATCTTATATATGTTTGTGGGATGTACTATCGCTATCAAAACCGCAGTTCTAATAAGTAATCTCAAACGACCGAGGTACGAATCGGGCCGCAAAACTGGAGCCTCCAGTATTTATATCCTAAAAACGTGTCTTGTGGACCTAAGGTGCCGCGGCCGTCCGAATGTTCTCCAGAGTATTTGTATCACGTAATGACGCCAAGCATCGTGAACCAGATATCCATGTCGGAACCCGAAGCTTCAATGACGTGAGGAATGAGGTTTTTACAAAATCTGCATGCCCTCGTCTAGATCCGGGTCGCCGAGAATTTCCTTAGATAGTCGAGCCTAGGCAAACTGTACGCTAGATGAGTAGCTGCTCCGAACGGAGTGTATCAGCAGTAGGCTACGATAACCAGCAGCCACTCCACGTGCAGGATCTACATCAGCGGTGCGAAATGTCGAGGCTCGGGCAAGCGACCCCACGTGTGTCCTGCTCATCAACCTCGAATCTCGGGGTCCACAAGATCTCCCTGAAGTTTCTGGAGGATCTCCACGATGGCCCCGCTCGATGTTGAAAAATGCTCCGTTTCTGTGACAAATTCAATGGTTGTCAAACGTGTTGTAGCGGAGGCACCTTTCTCCGAGTAGGGCTGAGGGAAACTAACCGGATCCATTGGCTCACACGGCGACTTCGAGCGGAGACAGCTCCGTCATTCCTCGGAAGGCCTTTGTGCGGAATGCCGCGTGATTTAGCAAAGGATTCGGGGCAGGTCAGGCGCTTTGATAATACCATGGCTCGCAGCGTTTGGCTCTGCGTGGATAGCCGTTTAGTTGCACGCACTCCTTCCTTCACCCAATCACCGTACGTCATCCACCAACGTGTACGGGCGCGAGGCTAGCGGCGACCCCAAAGGTCTTCTAGGTAGGACTCAGCGGCGCATACTCTCTTCTTTGCTCGATGAAGCCTCGCCTTACTCGCACTTGCCGTTGAGGACGGCGCTGGCTCTGGGCGACCCGATCCCGCCTCGGCAGGCCTGACCCGACCGCACATCGCAGGCGCAATCGCAGCATTTCCACCCCCAGTCGACCGCGTTTAGTATGCTCAGTTCAAGTCCAAACCTCTCCTCCGCTCCAGCTTCGCCTGTTGCCACGTTCCAAAACCTTCGGAAGAGCCCCTACCATGCTGCGCGACGACGGCAATCTAGTTCTGTTGCCCCTCCTCGTCCACAGTTGAGCAGCGGCCCGACCCCAGCGCAACCGCAACAGTCGCCAGTGCTTTCGTTTGCCCGATCCCCACGAACCACATATTCTCCCCGCCAGACGATTGCTTCAAGAAAATACGCGGATGCGGGTACGCAATATTCGCCGGACGGTTTCCCTCCCACCTACAGGCCTCAGCCGCCGCCGATCGCGCCCACCGCCGATTCAGCACCCACTACTCAACCCCCACAAACCACCGTAACGATAGAGCGGGGGGACTCCTCCGCCGAGGTCACCATTACGGAACCGCCAGAGCCCAGCCTGCGGGTAGATCCGCAGCCAGCGGTGCCGGCGCAAACCACGCAACCCAGCAGGAGGGCATCAAGAGACAAAGAAAAGGTACCTCCGCGTGTACTGCAAAAACCCCAAAATGAGGCAGCGGCTGCGCCTGAGGAGCAGTCCTCTCCCGCCAAACGAGCACGACCACAGAGTGGGACAATCAAAGTCATGCCATTGAAGTACGAGACGTGCGACATGAAGGATCTGGGCATCTTGGTTTCCGATATGCTTATGGAGCTCGTGCGCTTGAACGACGACATGCCGTTGCGGGACGGGCAGCTCACACGATTTCACTCAAGGTAAAAATGCTAAACCACCGCGACGTTGTTGACATTGACGGTTTCGATAGAGCACCGCCAGCCATATCGGTCAAAGACTACCTCTTCCGCCTGATAGTCCACGCCACGATTTCCCCGCCCATCCTACTATCCATGGTCTTCTACGTCGACAAGCTCTGTTCAATGTATCCCGCCTTCACCATCAGCAGCCTGACCGTACACCGCTTCCTCATAACAGCCGCAACCGTTGCGGCGAAAGGGCTCAGCGACAGCTTCTGGACGAACAGCTTATATGCGAAAGTGGGCGGTGTCAGCTTGAGGGAATTGGCGTTACTCGAGCTGGAGTTTCTCAGAAAGCTAGATTGGCGGATCGTGCCGAAGCCTGAAGTCCTCGTGGATTACTACAGGGGTCTGGTGGAGCGAGGCGAAGGCTACGTCATGGAGAAGGAGGCAGGCTCTGAGGGGTCTTCAACCCCCCCAGACAGTTCAGCGGCATCGTCAAGGATCGAGGCGTTGGTTTCGAGCAACGGTTCGAGCGATTCATAGCATTGATACCGATATCATACGGTTTTCTTTTCTTCACCACGACGTCCCTGTCCTGCCAGCACTGCGTTTGACATCGTCATTCTTGGGAGCTTTATACGCGATGGGAGAGCAAGGCGTTTGGACATAGGGTGGCCGGCCTGATGAGCTGGTCACCTCGACTGCAGGGTCACAGCAGCAGTTATAAAAATGGCGACATCGGTACATGGAGAAAGGCGCACTACAAGTGTTTCGGGTGCTTTGATACCAACGGGTCGGCCCTGCTTCCGGTTGGCCGAGAAGGGATGCAGTCCGTATCACACCGGGCATACATACCTTTACAGCGTAGAATTTGTAGAGGTTGCTGCATGGTGCAGGAGGAAGTGCTGCGGCTTACGAGCATGCGCAATCCCAGACAAGCATACGCTGGCACCAGAAAATGGCAGAGCGTAGTGCTTGATGATTGGTTCTTCGGCCTTGGTAACATGATAATAAAATGCCCCCGAAGGGATCGAAATTGCCTCTTTGAGGAAAGGTGAATCGCTGTACACTAGCGGCGCCATCGTGAGTGATGCGTTGGACAAATGATATTGCCGAATTTGGACGATCCTAGTCGACACCGCTTCGATGGGCACGTCGTAAGGAAAGAGTGAGGCTTGCCTTCGGCAATTTGTGGCTCTTTCCAACTTGTTGCATCTTTCTAGAATCGCAGCTGCAAAGGCGAGATCGGTAGCGGTCAGGCCCCGACGACCATGTGCTCAAGACATGCAAGAGCAGTCTCAGTGCTCCTTAGCGACTTGAAACCATTACTTCCTCCGAATCGTCTCCACCCCCACGTCCGCTCAGACACCCGATTCCTTTACGAAAGCGCCCTTGAAAGGTCGTGTGCTGCCTTTGCGGAGGAGCCGTCGTCTACCGTGCTCACAGTTCAACACCGCACGGCTACCGCGCTCTGCCAGCCTGAGCTGTCTTGTCTTGCTTGCGGCGGCAGCAGCGAAAGTATCATGAGAGTGAGTCGCGCTATTCCAGGTCCCGCCCCATAATGGCTGTCGCAGGTGTCTTGCGGGCGGCGTGATGTGCCTTCCCCGCGTACCTGAGGTAGTGGTAGCCGCTCCATCCCACATCTCCCATGCGCAACGCGCTCGCGTGTGCTAATATGACCGACAGAAGCGCCAGTATACATGAACGGTATGCCCACGATATGACCGACATGGGCCGGTGGGAGCTTAGCCAGCGACCGCACGACAATTGGGTCGTCAAGTACCCCGAGGCACCTGTTGCGCCCTCCGCGTTTGCGTTCGCAGAGCAGCCTGCCTTGACCGAAAGCCTGGGACAGCTGCAGCTCGGACGGGTACCTAAGACGCGCACCAGGGTCGCTCGCCATGGCTCAGATCCTCACGCGATGCGCCCCTCCAGCAGCGGCGGAGACGCGATGCTCCCGTACCGCCAGCTTGCCCCGCCGCGACGAGCAGAGTCGTATTCGCACCCAACGCCCCTCGAGGACTTCCGCCGCTCGAGACGGTGGCCGCCGAGCGGATACCGGCAGGATGATGCCTTAGATGCGCACCAAGCTGAAGAATTGATATGCGCCGGAACATCTACGTTCCTGGGCTATTGCGATGCGATTCCAAACACACCTGAAGGGTACAACCACTTCTACGCCGTCATGCACTCGGAACATCAGAGCAGGACAGATCGTGGACCAATTCAGGCTGACGCATACCGCTATGCTTCCCTGAACCTGACGGGCGCTTCTGAAAGCCAATTTCCATGGCTATCTCTGGAGCAGCCTTGTATGGCCTACGCTTATGGAAAGGGTGCTGGTACGACTACACTGAATTACTATGTCAGCAAGTCGGGTAGCAGTCATCCCCCGGTCAAGCCCACTGGCGAGATAAAGCCACGGAAGATTAAATTCCTCCAGATCCTGGACCGGTTACAGCATTTGGAAGCCGGTCTCGAGGAAGATGTCAGTCAATTTTTTGCCTCGCTCTCAATGTGGTTCAAGTGACCTGACTTTGGTTGATAGGATCCAGACGAGATATATAGATATCTCTACAGCACGCTCATTGAAGATCCAGAGCGTTATAGTGACCACCCCCATCTGGACCTCCAGCAGCAAATGAACGATCTCATCGCTGTTCTCAGTCATCCCTCATGGATAGATTTTTCCAACCCCAAGAACCAAGTAGTCGCTAAATTCTTCGATTCGCCAGACCAGCTCAGAAAGCAGGAATTCTTCCATCAGCTACTCCTTTCCGTGGAACTGTATCTTCGCATTCATTCCGAAAAGCATACGGATAAGTTCAAACGGAAGCTCATGTTACAGCTTTCTCCAACTATAGCCTGGGATCTCGCAGTCGCACAACGATGGTTAGAGAATATGGAGATCACGAAAACCAGAACGTCTGCCAATCAAAGCACCTTTAGCTTTGAGCTCAAGAGTAAGAAACGGCAAAAAGACGCATTGAGGTTATTCGCTGCGACACTGAAGTGGCCAAATATGGACGAGATAGACTATGTTCTTGAGGAGAAGGACAAGATGGAGAAGCCGCCGGAAGACCGTTCAGCAGACGCAATGTCGTGGTTTTCTGGGATTATACTTCCCGGACGAACGCTTCCGTGGCTTATCATGAACAGCTTGATTGACTGTGACCGAGATACGGGAGATTCGCTGAAATATCTGACGCATATGCACCAGTCATCAGGATTTCAGTACCGAGCCAACACGTACTGGTCAGCGCAGAGCATTGTGGGAAAGGTTTTGGGCGCTGCACGGGGCGTTAAGCAAATAGCTGGTTGGGTAGGACCATGCATTTACACTCCAGATCTGAAGCGCACAGAATGTGTTCGCGTCCATCAACTTGCATCACCAGACCCGAGACTCATTCCCCAGGATGTCGCGCACATGGACACTCGGACGAACCCACTGGGATCAGTTGAGGACAGCTACCCGATCGACGATTACGAAGTGCCGATGCCAGACTTGGACGAGGTGACTGACCTCATTCGGATAGAGAAGCTCAGCTTCCTTCCTGCAAAAGATCAGCCGTCGTCCGCTCGGCAGGGTGCTGGAGGTCCGCTCATATTTGATGCGGGCATCTACTTTGCTTGTGGTGGTGAGAGCTGGCCAATGAAGCTCAGATACGATGTCGACTTCATCAATGCCTTCCCTTGCCACCAAGGTCCGCATGGTAAGGACTCTTCCCTCTCCTCAACTTTCACCTGTCTCACATGCCTAGTCCTTTTCTACGACTTCAGCTACACCGCCATCAAGATCGACGACGGCCTCGTTGACATCCACGACTGGGGCCGTCAATCTGGTCGAACATCGCGATCACGACCCACCTCTTCCCGCTCTTCTCCAGGAAAGAAGGCACTAGCTCTCGCAAGTGCAAGCACCGAACCGGCGCATATGCAGGTCAGCAAGGTGCTTGCTATTGAGGCGCTTGGTGTGAGTGACAACGAAGTCTTCGCTAGGGCTTGGTGTGCGCATCATGGGCACAGTGCTATAGTAGCGAATGTCAAGGAGACGTGCATGGCCTGCGCGATTCGGGAAGCGTATGCAGCCTGTGTGAGCGTTGTCATCTTCACAGAGGGAGGCAAGGAGACGGAAAAGGATGAAGGCATCTACATTCAAGATGTCTGAAAAGAGGTAAGTCCACGCGGGCGGGAAAGAGTCCGCCTTCGGACATTACAATACAATATTTCATATGTTTGGCACGGCGGTGGGATGGCAGGCGGCGTCTGGGAATGCACCCGCGGCTACGGCTGCGGCTCCTGCATCACTGCGCTGCTTTGGGTGGGACGGTAGGCATTTGGATGGCGGATCATGGGTTACGAGATACCGATTCATGAAAACTACGTAGCAATGAGCTATGAATGTATGAACTACCTATGAGCTTGGTTTCAAGACTTGCCATGACTGGTTACAAAGCAAACATTTTGGCAATGTGGAAGGAGCAAACTCAGGGTAGGTTGTACCAGTCTTAGATATTGGAATTTTTGGTCACGTGCCCTATCTGGACCCCGGCCTAAAGCCGCCGGTGACGTTGAGCTCACCACGCGTGCGACCTCAGTGCTTACACAGCCAGCTTTTTATCGGTAGGCGTTTGCCCAGCTGCTCCCATGTTCGGGTTCCGTCCTCAGGCAATAAAGACAAATTGTTTGACGTGTGCCGATTGAACGATCACCGTTGAACCTCCGGCTACGAGCTGTAGCTCCCGCGCTGCGCAACATTGTACCTCGAAGCCTCACTGTCCACGTCCCACGATTTACGCTGCTCACTCGACCCGCTCACATGCCGCACTCGTTTCCTTCCTTATAACGTCCCGAAACCCTCAATATCGACCTCTATATTTCTCCCCGCAATATGGGCCGCTCTACGATCCCGCCTGCGCTCATCGAGCTTTCGAATCCTAGCAGCCCCGAAGCGCAGCTAAATGCGCTGCGGAATCTGAAGAATGAGATTGTGGGCCACGAGCAGAGGAAAGAACTTGCGGTTGTGCATGGCGTTGTGAAGCCGCTTGCGGGCTTGCTGCGGACCGAGACGAGGAAGGGTGGGAAGAGGCGGAGAGGAGGAGGTGTTGCGAATGGGAACTCTGGGGCTGGCAGAGAAGAGGTAGAGGTGGGGTGGACGGCTGAGGATGAGCTGAGGTTCCACGCTACGCTTGTGGTGGGGAGTCTGGCGAATGGTGAGTTATTTTGCGGGGAATCATCCTCGGGAAAGATGTGAAGGAATGTGATTGCTGATTTCGAATTGGGAATATAGGTGGCCCGGCTTTCATTACGCCGCTGCTTGCGGGCGATGTTCTTCCTCCGCTGCTTGAAGCTCTGTCGCCGAGCGAAACGCCGTCTAAGCTCCTCGTAACTACTTTGCGGACGCTCAATCAGATCGTGGATGCTGTAGCGCAGGAGAGACCGTTCTGGGACTCCTCGTCGCTGCTGTCGCAGTCGGTGAATCAGCAGATATATACGAAGCCTGTAGTTGAAAACTTGGCGGAGATCCTGGCACAGACGGCAAGGTCGAGGGTTGTACACCAGCAGATATCGTCGGCGGCACAGCTCATAACGAAGACATGTCGGGAAGAAAGCCAGAAGAGATTGCTATTGGACGCGGGCGTGCTGGACTTGCTCACAGCGAAGATGGCTGCGGTCGCCGCCTCGGACGATCCGTCACGAAGACCAGATACCAGACAAGCACAGACCGAAGCGCTGCCGGTGACATATCTGCCGGATATACTTGAGGCCATATCTGCGATTATCAAAGACTCGCATTATAACACGGCGCGTTTCGTGTATTCACAACATATCCAGAATCTCTTTGCCTGGCCGAAGGGAGCTTCAGGGACGTACGAGGGGTACAGTGGATCGCAGGCGAGTTCTTGGGATAAGCTGATACCGAGGTTGCAGACGCTGCAGAGTAAATCCGATCCATATACAAAGAGTTGGCCTGCTCTCGGCTCGTTCGCATCGTCAGCGGGCGAGGGTGGTAGTTACACGCGGTTACCAAGCATGGAATCTCTACAACCTTCGTCGAGCAGGAACATCATCTCAGACGAATCCGAGACGCCACTTTTCACATGGCTCATGTTCGTAGCAAGGAGAGGGGAGGGTAGAGAACGCCTGGCCGCATGCTGGCTGCTTGCTTTGCTGAAGAAATTCGGTGAGCGCTGGTCTCTGAGCGATCCCACGAAACCGACGCGTGAACGCCACTTTTCCTACCTTATCATACCGCTGGTGGTCAAGATGATCGAAGAGGCGAACCCCAACGCAAAGTATGCGGAGAAGATGCACTTGCTCGACCCTGCGGACAGAGAGGAGCTAAGATTCGTTCTTGAACGATCACCCCTGGTCCTGGCGGAGCTCATTGCGAGTAATAAGACGTTGCAGAGTGCCGCCGTGGATGCAAAAATCTTGCCTGTGTTAGTACAGATCTTAAAGAAGTCATTTGACCCCATCACTACTTCCACGAAGCCGCTGTGGCAGCCGAGGTCTTCAGCACCCGCAGTTCGGGATCCTATGATCGATGCTGCGTCGTCGACGTTGGGAAGACCGGGACTGGGTGTCGACATTGTGCACGCGTACAAGTACAGAGAAAGCGCTCTTCTGGCGTTAGCCGCGATAGCGGATTCTCAAGATGGGTTCAGGAAGCTCATCATTGAGATGGGTGGTGCGCCACTAATCATCGATTCTCTTGTCCCCTTTACAAGCGATTCACAATCTGCAGGTGCAAGCTCAACAATGGCCAAGGACGGCAATCCGGAGGCTGTGCTTATCGCAGCTTGCAAAGTCACGAGGTCGCTTTCGAGGTCGGTGAGCGTGTTGCGGACGAGCTTGATCGATCATGGGATTGCACAGCCTGTTTTCGATCTGTTGACACATCCGAAGATTAAGGTGCAGATTGCTGCTACGGAGGTCATTACGAATTTGGTCCTGGAGGTGTCTCCGATGCGCACGGTACGTCAATATTTGCTTACAACTTTATGAAGTGTTGTTACTGATCAGATACGTGACGCAGGAAATCATTGAGGCCGGTGCACTGGAAACACTTTGTGAGCATTGCCGCTCCGCCAACTTCGACCTCAGATACGGTAGTCTTTGGGCGCTCAAGCATCTATGTCTAGGCCTCCCACCTCACATGAGGAAAAAGTGTCTGGATACATTGGGCGTGGGCTGGCTTAAGCAGGTGCTCAACGGTGAACCTTCGTCGAAAGCAGCTCCTTCAGCGCCTCTCGGTATGGGCACGCCCAACGCGGCGGGCGAGCAAGTCGATATACTCAACGCCGTTGACGATCCTCACATGGATGTCGACGAAGAACCGTCTTCTTCAGAAGACGAAGACACCATGACCGACAGCATTCCCTCGCTCCGTCGGCACCAACGCCCAGGCTCACGCTACACAAGCGCAACAAACATCCGCGACCGCCTCCAGCAGATAAAGAGCGACGAACACGACACCAGTATAAGCAACGAACGCGACGACATCCGCATACAAGAGCAAGCCCTCGACTTCGTCCGCAACTTTATCACCGAAGAGAAAGCCTCGGGCGAAATGATCGACCATCTTCTCAACGAATTCAACCGCACCGAATTCTTCGAGCTCCTCGATTCGAAACTGCGTCCAAAGAACACAGCACCCACCTCCTCCTCTACCACCCAAACATCCCAGAGCATGACCGCCAACACCGGCATCTCAGCACCAACCTACTGGTCCCCCTCCACCTCGCGCCTCTCCTCCTTCTCTCAAACCCAACCACCAACCCAGGCCCAACCAAACTGGGCCGCCTACCCCGCCACCGACCTCATAATCGCAACCCTCTACATCCTCGTCCACCTCGCCAACGGCCAGCCCTCGCACCGCTCCCTCCTCATCTCCCAAACACCCCTCATGACGCATATCCTCCCGCTCCTCACACACCCCCGCCGCGACGTCCGCCTGCCCTGCGCGTGGTTCATAAATAACCTCGTCTGGGAAGAAGACAGCAGCGACGCGGGTCCCACGCGGGAGCGCGCGCTGCAGTTGAGGCATCTAGGGTTTGAAGAAGGCGCACGGGGGCTGGGGCGGGACATCGATCTGGACGTTAGGGAGAGGGCGAAGACGGCGGTGGAGCAGTTGGGGAAGTTACTTGGGGGGCGCAGCAGTATGGGAGCGCTTCTGGGCATCAGGTTTTTGGGGAGGGGTGGGAGGTGGACTGGGCGGGTTGAGGGGCTGGGGGACGCATAGGGGAGTTGGGGAGGGAGTAGTGTAGGGGAGTGGAGTAATGGATGGGAGCATGGAGCAGGAAAAGGCGTATCGTATGTATGGGGGATTGAGTGTTTTGCTAGAGGAAGTTGTGTTATGGACACGCTACGCTACGATATGCTAGCTGTAGCCGTAGCTGTAGCTGTAGCTGTAGCTGTAGCTGTAGCTATATATGTATGTATGATGCTTGTACGCTCTTGCCATCCATCCATCCATACGCGAAGGCCGCATCGCATAATGTTACGTACTATAGAAGCAAGATACATTAAGTCTAATGCATCTCAAGCTCCTCTGCATTTGCCTTGGATATTCCAGAGAACTTGAATCAGCATAAGATAGGTCGATTAGTCACAACGTTGCGTCCTTCCTGCGCCCCGAACCGAACCTTACGTACAACCCCGCACTGTGGGCGCGCCAGGATATGCATATGCATCCCATCCGGACAGAGCCGTGGACATATCAAAATTCAGAAAAGCAGCATCATCTCACATTACGCTCACACACGTAACCATGGCATCACTACCAATTCCGCTTCTTGTCTTGCATCAAGTGCACCAAGCTGGGGAAGCTATCGGGGATGCTTCGAATCACGATCATACATCACGACAACAGCTGACGCACAATTTGTGGAAAGAACTCAAAATCCATGTTCACTCGTGTGTTCAGCAACGAATGCACAGCCTCTACGTCTATCTGCATACAAGCGATCTACAGCCCAGCAAGGATATAGTGGTCTATCCAAATCTCGCATCTCTCTCGACCAGGGACGTCAAAAACGCGATCAAGTATTAGACTGCCCGCATGGGCAGGGTAGGGAGAACCTCAACTCCTCTAATGCAATGCAGGTCTGGCCCAGCCCCTCAGCAAGCCATCTGCCGTGTTCATAACTTCGTGTCGTAGATCTACTCGTTGTCGCTGTCGGCGCCGATCTCCATCTTCGCGGCCTTGCCAGCAGTCATCTTGGGGACGGGAGCGGCCATTTTGGAGGGAGCGGTGCCGAGACCGTTGCGGTTGCGGAAGAAGAGGACGCCCTTGCCTTCGCCCTGAGCACCCTCGCTGGGCTCGACCCAGTGGCACCATCGGGCGCTCTTCCAGATGGACTTCAGGAAGCCGATGGATCCACCCTCGGTATCAGATCGGTAGTGCCTGCCCATGACCTTCTTGATAGCCTCGGTGGCCTCATCAGCGTGGTAGAAGGGGATCGTGGAAACGTAGTGGTGGAGGACGTGGGTCTCGATGATGCCGTGGAGAAGCGTGCGGCCGACGAAGCCGAACTCGCGATCGATGGTGGCAGCGGCGCCACGTGTGTAGGTCCAGGTCTGAGCGTCGTAGTGAGGAAGAGTAGGGTCGGTGTGCTGGAGGAAGGTAATGGCGACTGTGTCTCGTTAGTCCCAATCCCTAAAGGTCAGGATTATGCAATTGACTTACCGAGCCAGTGGTTCACCCAGAGGTACGGGAGGATGTACCAGACGAGGAGGTTCGAGAAGCCGAAGGTCTTGCCAATGTACCAGAGAGCACCGATGACGACGGCCAGACCAGCATCGCTGGCGAGGATCAAGTGCTCGTCCTTCCTCTCGTACAGAGGGCTGGACGGGTTGAAGTGGTTGACGCCGCTGAAGATACCGTTCTGCTTTCCCTTGCCTTTGCCCTCGGGCTGCCTCTCGTGGTAGTTGTGGCCGGTGACGTTGGCGATGAGGTACATGGGCCAGCCGCCGAGCTGCTGCACCACCGAGTGGATGAGGGTCGCAATGGGAGTCTCCTCAGTCAGCTCGTGAAGCTCGTGGGCCAGCTTGCCGACACGCGAAGCGTATTGGTCTCTCGTCTTAGGAACAAAGACCATGTCGCGCTCCATGTGGCCGGTAGCCTTGTGGTGCTTTCCGTGGGAGATCTTCCAGGAGAAGTAGGGAACGAGGAGCACAGTGTGGGCAATGAAGCCAACCGTGTCGTTCAGCACCTTGGAGGGAGAGAACGATTGGTGACCGCACTCGTGGGCCATGACCCAGAGACCAGTTCCGAACAGACCCTGAATGACAGTATATCCGGCCCACAACGCAGTTCGCACAGCAGTCGAGGGGATGGTCTCGGGAGTCACATAGTTGTGGAAGAGGTAGAAAGTGGCCGCAAGGCAGGCTATGTCGCGGGCGACATAGCCGAGACCACGGGCTCCTGACCGCTCGAAGCAGTGCTTGGGGATGGCATCGCGGATATCCTTGATGGTGTAGTCAGGGATCTGAAATTCGTTGCCGTAGGTGTCGAGCAGCGTCCCGCGCGCGTTCTTGACATTTACTTCATCGACAGAGCTGAGAGAGGAGAGCGAAGTGTTGGAAGCCGAACCGGTCGGCGAATCGATTGGCGACGTGCTCGCAGAGGGTGCCGACGAGGACACGACCGAGTCGGTAGTGACATTCCTCTTGAGGACGGGGTTCTGGGGGCGGGCGGTGGTGGCCATGTTGGAAGGGACGTGAGGACTGCTGGGGAGAGTAGCAGCGGGGTCAATTGGCGGTGGGCGAAGAAGGTGCCAACGAGCTGGCGTGTTGTTGAGAGGCGGGCGGCCTGTTGGGAGGGAGGTGCAGCGCAAGTACACACCGCGCTAACGACAGACACACAAGTCAGAGGCGTTGAGCGAGCGGAAAAGCAGTCAAGAAGGTAGTTCGTGGCGGGCGGCACACTTTTATAAGCGCGGTATGCAGGCGGTCAAAATTTCTTGGGACCCTGAGCTGCCACGGCTGCCCCTTCGACCGTAGTGCGGGTCGTCGCTGCGCGTTCGAGAATGGGCGCACAGTTCACGACACGCGGTACCTGGCCGGGGCCACGACCACTGGCGCCCCTGCACTGCACCGCTCTGACATCGGAGAATCTCACAACTGGCTGCCTTTTGCCTCAATTGCCACCGCTGTGGGTTCACCTTGAAGCACTGACGATTAGACAATGCTGAGACCCGCCGAGGCGTGAGCGGACAGCGCCAGCAGGGCCAAACCGGAGCGATGGCCCCTCGCTAACTTTCTGAAGCACCCGCCGCATTCCCACATTCACTCCCTCCAGCCTCTGGGCTCTTCTGTCGCGCGATGATCTCCCCTCCGCCGGCTTGGCGACCACAATGCACGCAGCAGACCGCCATTTTGCGCCCACCCTCACGTTCCTGTCACGCTAAACTTTGCCAATGGCTTGCCGCAAGTGGCCATCGCTTCGCTCCCCGGAGACAGCTTTTTTCAGCTCCTCCACAAGGCGCCCACTAGGCAGTCCTATCAGCGGAGCTTTGATATCAACTGCATAGCTACTACTGCACTGTGCGTCGCGCAATGGCTCTCGCAAAAGCTCGAGATAGGAAATCTGAGTGAAACGCAGGGACTCCATCTGGCACCGATCGTTGGTTCCACGGGCCCTGGGCCCTTGCGAGCTCGGAACGTCTTTCGCCACGTTGGAACTTCATTCGCTTTCCCGTGCCGAGGTTCACCCTCTCTCCACAGTTGGTCCAACTGCTGCTCAACGTGGGGATTCGCCGTACATGTTTGGAGCTCGGCGCTCTCTTTCATGCAATTCATCTGAAAGCTGCATGCCATCAACCATCTCACATGCGAACGCCATGTTGGCATCTGAAAGGTACAGCGCCCTATTAAGTCCCCACAAGGCTCAATACGTTGCCAAGATGCCCTCTGAATCTCATATCTGGGGTAACACGGAGACCGATATGCTGATAAGGGTTCCAAACCCTTTGTTCGCTACGTGCGCTTCACAGCTGTCAACTACGGACAGCGATGCAGACGTCTCAACAGGAAGCACAATCACATGTTGGCGTGCAAGCCTCGGAAACGACATTGGTTCATGTGCTCAAGCTAGTCAGACATGCAGAACATCAGAGGTCAAGTTCTTCGTTCGATAGATGACGCCGTGGCGCAGTCGTGGCTTTCATGGACGAATGCATCAAGCGCACGTTTCCCAGGGTCTCGCCCGTTTGTCTTACATGTCACGTTATTGTATATACCAGGTGTGTTCCCAAAGAAGTTACAAGCGCACCTATTGTCTGCTTTCCGTCAAATTCCTCCATCAGAGGGTCATAACATTCAGCCAAGATAAGGCTGTTTTCCCCTCGTGCATAACAATGGATGATAACAACTGCATCACCCCGAGACGATCAAGTATCAACAAACCCCTCGGCTCTCCACCAACGAATAAGTTTCGTTTGCGTCTAAAGCGCATTGGCTAAGAAAACAATTGCCAAAAAGCTTCGCTCTGCCAGGAAACTGGACTTGGTCTTGCCACGAGTGCCACGCAATTCGCGACTACGCCAATGCCGCCAAGACGCCTTCTCCAAGGCGCTAGTAGCATGCCCTCAGATATCGTGCAAACACCTTCCCCACAACCCTCAACCTGCCATCACTGTGCCTCAGTATAAAACATACACATCTATATCGTTCGCGTGTACGCGTTCAGGAGCAGCACTCTCTCATCCTAAAGTGGCGTCCGTACAAGCAGCTATTCGCAACTACATCACCAATGATTCAATAACATTCACTGAATCGACGCTTCCCCATCACCAAGAAGCGTTCCAATTAAGCTCCGAAACCCTACCGACAAGCTATCCCTAACATTTGCTTGTGTCGAGGTGCTTGTCTCTCCGTGACTGAAAGTCGTTTGCCACGACTTTGAACCTCGACCGAAATTTCTTGTTTGCCTTGGCAAGTGGGGTTAAGATGCCGACTCTTGCGGTTGACAACTTCAACATCGTTTGCGCCTGTCTTGGCGGTTTCATCACGATCTTTGGACTTGTCTCATACCTCCTCAAAGAGAAATTCTATCTATCCGAGGCTCGTAAGCTTATCGACTTCATCATGAAAACCACGACTGACGATATTCAGTAATATCCCTCATTGCTGGGGTCATCTTCTCTCCCAATGCTACCAATCTGATAAAACCTGAGGAATATGCTCTGTACGATGAAGAAACCCTGCACATGATCACACTTTACTTCTCTCGCCTGGTCCTCGGAGTTCAGGTCGTACTTGCGGGAGTGCAACTACCTTCCAAGTACCTCAAGACGGAATGGAAAAGCTTAGCTCTCCTTTTAGGTCCAGGAATGGCCGTCATGTGGCTGGTGACGAGCCTTTTGATTTATGCACTTGTTCCGTACGTACCACCGTGCATTCGGGCATAGGCCCTTCGCGCAAGCACAGAGCCTGCAAATCGGCTTTACTCGGTTGCTAATGCTACTCGTAGGCACATCCATTTTGTTGAAGCTCTCGCAGTCGGCGCTTGCGTCACCCCCACGGATCCAGTTCTTTCGAACTCCATCGTCAAGGGAAAGTTTGCAGACAAAAACATACCAAAAGAGTTACAGAAGATCATTGTGGCCGAATCAGGTGCCAACGATGGCTTGGGCTATCCGTTCCTATTCCTCCCACTTTACATTATTCAGCACACTGGCCAGGGCTCCGATCACAGCATAGCCAACGCCATGGGCGCTTGGTTTGGTGAGACATGGGGTTATACCATATTACTCAGTGTAGTGTACGGCGCCGTAGTAGGTTGGATTGCCAAGGAACTTCTTCATTGGGCAGAAGAGCGCAAGTATGTGGACAAAGAGAGCTTTCTCGTGTTCGCTATTACACTGGCAGTAAGTTAGCGGTTTCTACAGCAACAGGGCATGTAGGCCCGCCATGCGTTTGCATTGCATCCTACAACCACTCTTCAATTGACGATCACGTACGCGCATAGTATGGACGCTAACGAGTGTAGCTCTTCATAGTTGGGACAATGGGTATGGTCGGATCTGACGATATCCTCGCGTGTTTCATTGCCGGCAATACGTTTACCTGGGAGTGAGTAACCTTGCTTGAGTCTCTTAAACGTTACGCAGGACATTAACGAGGATATAGCGATTGGTTCCGGCTTGAAACGGAGGACGATAGTTTCCAACCTACAATTGATATGCTCCTGAACGTATCTGTGTTCATCTGGTTTGGTAAGCTATGCGACATCTCATGTCGTACCCGCCACTGACCTCTCCTAGGCGCTGTTGCCCCGTGGAAGGAATTCTATACCAACAATGTCATCCCCATCTACAGGCTCGTCTTTCTCGGCATTCTCGTCCTGCTCCTTCGTCGACCACCCATCGTTTTTGCAATGCATAAACGCATTCATCAAATCGAAGAAAAGCGTCAGGCCATATATGTCGGCTTCTTCGGTCCTATTGGCGTCAGCGCGATATTCTACCTCTACATTACACTTGACTATTTGCGCAAAAATGTTACGGTGGATGGGGAGCCGAGAGAAGATGCAGTATATCTGATGGAGGTAACAAATATAGTTGTTTGGTTCCTTGTCATCTGTAGTGTGGTAAGTTTCATATCATCCGCTGTTGTCAGCCTCGCTAAGCATCATAGATCATCCACGGCTTAACGATTCCCATGTCCAAACTTGGACTCTGGCTACCAAGGTCAATTTCTCGAGCTGTCTCCTCGGCTAGAGAAGACAGCCCAGAGCCTTTCCATGTCAGGCAGAACACAGAAGAAGCTGTACATGAGATCGACGAAGGGCTTCGACGCCGTCAAGGAGGTTCCAGCACGGCTGCCAATATACTACCTCGCAGCGTGTATCGGATCGGGAGGACCATCGTCCGGTCAGATAATTCTTCGCAGCCACAATCACGGGGGGATTCTCAGCCTCCCGTTCCGCTGTCCAGCGCGCCGACATCATCCTCGACCAGTAACGGCAATGCGGTTGGTTCACAGGACAAGATCGGTTCACAGGACAAGATAGGTCTTCCTGACGGAACAAGCAGTGACACACGCGTCAACACACCCCAACCAGCTCAGCTCAACCAAAGGGCGATTCGGTTCCCTGACGAAGTTGAGCAATCGCAGAAACCTTAGCTGCCTATAAGACAACACCCCTAGGCCAAACGTCTTCCCGGCAACAGAGTAGCCCCGCACTCTGGGTGGAAAGTCAGACGGTCTCTAAATCAAGGTGTAACGCACACGTAAGGCAGTGTCGAATCACAGTCCCACAGCAGCAAGGGAAATATAAACACTAGCATTTGTATTATGTAGCAGATACAGCACAGTTCAATCATGGTTACTCGGATCTCTAATGGCTTAGCTCCCGTCGTTGAGTCCATGCTACATTTCTATCAAAGACCGTATTTGTTTGGCTCCCGTTGGCTCCCCCTTGGCGCAGGGTGCATGCAACTAACTGCAAGTCTTCCTCTCAAAGTACGCTGCAACACGTGCATGCATGCAACTTTATATAGTCCAGGTAGCCTATCATCTGCTTCTCCTATAGAAACACTCACCCTCCTCTCGTGCGACACCCGCACGTCTCCCAAGAGTACGCCTTGTTAGCAATCCTTCCTCCTCTTACGAAACGTATGCTGCGCAAGTGCCCTAACGGGAAGTACTTGGACCCGAGACTAAGCAGATTACGGGGTGCTGACATGCTGTGCGTGGCTGAATCAGCGGATCGGCAGCGAGGTGGAGCCAATGGGAAGGGCTTCTAGGCTGCATGAAGACAAGCCACCCTTTGTTTGAGCGGCGAAGCGAGATGTGCGGCGTTGGGGGTTGGACCCTGAGGTTGTATAAGGTTCGGTCGGAGAAGGCGGCAAGGCGAGGAGGGCAGCCGAAGAGCTCCTAGACTGCAATTATATGAGGAGTCATCAAAAGAGTTAGCCATGGCTTCCACGCCGCGAATAGTGCTCGATGGCGTATCGACAGGGACAGCAACGCCGGCAGCAGGCAACGGGCACGAACATCACCACTTCCACCACACCGGTAGAAGGCTCCGACACATTCTCCGACCCGATGGAAAGAAGGTCCACGTCGCAGCCTCACCTGAGGAGGCGAACCATCTGCGTAAGACACTTTCTGTGACTGAGAAGGAAGAGGATTTCGACGTCCTTATCCATGGATCGCCTGAGCATGTTGACGCTCTTCGTCACACGCACCAGCACCATACAGATCGACATCAGCGCCTCAAAGATGAACATCCTGAGATAGCAGCGGAGTTCGAGCGCGTCATCCGCGAGCTAGACGAGCTGTCACGGGAGCTACACATGGTATCTTCGCACGCCGTGCAGCTAGATGCCAGCTTCTCCAAGTATGGCTACTCTGCACATCTTCGGACGAAGGATAGCCCGACAAATTCCAGCGCTGCCTCAATGAATTCGGAGATGTTTGACAAAGAGACGTGGGATGCGGAGAGGAAGTCAGGCACGACAATGCGGTTCTACCAGAAGCCGATTGTAAGACAGTATTTTCACAAGGGGTTGCTTTGGCGTGCGAAGGAAGCGCAGGAAGTCGCGTCCTACGAGCTATTCATCGATCTCTTCTACGTCGGCATCATCGCCATCACTGGCGACACAGCCGCCGAGCACGCCACCGGCGAATCCCTCCTCCGCTTCAGCATCACCTTCATCATGGGCTGGAAATTCTGGTCCGACATCTCCATCCTCATCTCCTGGTTCGACTGCGACGACATCCTCCGCCGCTGCTCCGTGCTCTTCATCCTAACTTGCCTCCTCGGCTTCACCACAAACATGGCCTCTGCTTTCGAGACCACCTACACCCCCCTCGTGGCTTTCTACCTTGCGGCCCGCCTCTTTGTTGCTGCTAGCATGCTCTGGTACGCGTATACCATCCCCATGGTCCGCGCCTGCATGCTCGTAAACGCCACCCTCATCACCCTCCCCGCCGCCCTCTGGATCGCAAGCACCCACGTCGAGGAACCCTCCCGCCAAGCCCTCATCTGGCCCGCCCTCTCCTCGACACCTTCGGCTTCTCCATCCTAATCCTCCTCCAGCGCCCCCAGATCTGGGCCTCCCGCTTCCCCCGCGCATTAGCATGGACACGCTCCCGCTTCGAGTTCTTCCCAGGCGCGAACATCGAGCACCGCATCGAGCGGACGGGCGCATTCGTCACGCTGGTGTTCGGCAGCTGCGTTTTGGGCCTGCTGTACCAGAGCGCCGTGGGATTTGGCATCAATGCGTTCTTCGGGAAAGCGGTTATGGGGCTGATGCAGGCGTTTACGTTCAATTGGGTATATTTTGAGATTGATAGTTGGAACTTGCATGAGCATGCTATACGGCGGAGCGTTTGGTCTGGTAAGTTATTCCTCTCCCTCTCCCTCTTCTTGTCTTTGCGGTGCGATGACATGACTTTGCTAACTCCCCGCTCCACAGCGATGGCCTGGTTCTCAATCCACCTCCCCTTCATAATGTCCTTCGTGCTGTCCTCCTCCGCCCTCGCCACCCTCGTCCGCGCCCACGACTGCCCCCACGCGCCGCTCTCCTCCCTCTACGAAACCTTCATTCCCCGTTCCGAAGAACACATCTCTACGGGTTTACGCTGGTTCTACTGCGGCGGCACGGGCACCGCCCTCCTGTGCATGGCCATCATAGCGCACTCCCACGTCCACAAGACAATTCCCAACCAGCGCCTCTTCAAGAACAAACGGCTGCTCATACGCATCCTGTGCGCTGTGGCGATTCTCTGCCTTCCCGTCGCGGAACTTAATAGTCTGGAGCTGATTGGCGCGGTGACGGGGCTGTTGGTTGTGGTGCTGGTTGTGGAGCTTGTGGGTGCGAGTTGTGCGGGGAGAACGTGCTGTGGGATGAGAAGTGTAGGCGGGGAGGGCGAGGTATGAGGCGAGGTGTGGTGCGAGGAGGGAGGAGCTGGAGGGGAAGGCGAGGAGGGGGAGGTGGTGGATGTGGAGGAGATTGCGGGGAGGGAGAAAGTGGACCAGGGGTGGGTGCTGTCGGAACGATGTGAACGGAGTGGCTTTGATTCATGACGTACGTTTGCTGAGCCCTCAACCAAGGATACGCGTTTTCCAATATGGTCAGACTACTAAGAGTCTTTGTGGCGGTGGCTATGTGCCAGCTCACCACTGCCCAAGGCTGAACCGAGGAACCCCTGCCGCAATAGTGATGATCGTAGAAGACCCTTGATGCTGCAACTTACTTCCCTCCCACACAATTTCGCAGGTAGGATACCTAGGTAGCAACACCATCTCGTTCCCTGCCCTCTACGTTCATAGTACTGGGCCAATAGGTTGGTTACCGTATTGCCCATCCCGGAGAAGAAAGCACCAACCACTCTTGACAAGGCTGCAACAGAAGATGTCGTCACAGGCGCAGACAGCAACCCCACAGCAACCCGCAGTTGCGCGTGCAACTTCAAGCACCCAAGTGCCAGGTCACTCGAAATCACCACAGAGCTCATCGTGGGCTCGTCATGCCTCGGGATGGTTGCTCCATGCTTGTCAATGGACCGGTCGCAAACTACTCAAAGTAGTGAACTCATTCAACAAAGCTACCATCATCCTCAGCCTTGTGCTCGCAATCATCTTCGGGACGATAACTTGGTGTGGCCTCAACATCAGCCTCCGGCTCCAGTCGTGGACGAGCCTGAAAGATTACCTGGACTACTGTCACGATAATGTTGTAAGTCTTGTCATTGCAATTTTGCTGTCACGGACCAGTGTTGATCTCTTCAGAATCGTCTACTGGGAGCGCAAATGCAGGATTGCCAGCGAGCTATACAGGCCGGGCTCCCAAAACCACCAATGTCCAGCATTAAGCGTGCAGTGGCGACCGCTGCCAACGATCCGGAACAGCAACTTTGCTCACCACCGTTGGATTCCACGCTACCAACACTGTCTCCTCACACCAAGCGCGCGATCCGCGACCAACAATCTCCAGAAGATCAAGCCGATGAAAGTCCATTCGGCCGCGACCGTACAGGATTCTTCCATCAGAATTTTTCGACGATGCCTGCTCTGAGTCTTCCACAAATATGCGCCCTATATTTCCCTGTCTTCGTCCTTTTCATTACCATCGTGAGATTCACATGGTGGAAACTGGCCCAGATAATCTGTCGAAGCCTCAGCGGAGATATTATTGTATTCGCCCTGGCGGTAATGTTTCTTGCTTTCTTGCTGCTTTTCACTGTAGAGCATGCCGCTTCAGGGCTTCAAGCAGCTCACACGAAAGCGCAGGCTGCCTACATGCAATACCATCGCGATCACCCCGTAAGTCAAAGCCAATCCTAAGTCCTCCAGCGTTGATCTTGTGCTTATTGACCACAGACTTCTGCGCAAATTCCGCAAGGCGACGAAGTATATTATATTTTCGGACGCCTTGTGTGCATATTTGTGTTCATGGCGGCCATTTTATCTGCTCTGACCGTGGTTGCGACCGTATGGGCCATTCTCCGAATGCAGATATGGTATCGTCGTTGCGTGGAAGCGTTACCTACGGCTGGGTCAACACATCAGACGGGACTCTTCGGGATACTCACCATTTCTCAGTCTTCCTCGAAACTAAGAATGTTTGTAACCGCTTTCAAGGACATGTGGCATTGGAACCTTGAAAGATCTCCTCGTTCAAAGCACGCAATTGTCAGGGGTGTGGAAACGGTTTGGTGAACCTATGTGAAGCTTCTTGAAGTTGAAGGGGTTATCCACATTGGGTAGATAATTCCACTCGCGTGCATGAGGTTTTCTTTGAACACTTCCGCTCATTCGTTACACGGTCTGCACCTCGCCGCCATCCCATGCCGTCCAAGACGGGAACTCACCTCTCACTTATTTGCAGTACTGCAACCTCCCGCTTTCTACTCACTTGCTCGCTCACTGACTCACCTTCACTGCGCTCATATCTACAATCACTATCCTAGCACACTAATCAACCCCAATCATCTATATATACCACCCTCCTCGAGAACCTCCCAACAAACACCTCCAAACCGCCTTCGTCCAGAGGTTAGGATGTCTGATTTTCAACACATAGTGAGAATACTCAGAAGACCAGGGTTCGATCCCCTGAGGCGGTGTCATTTTACAGCGCAGTTTGCTTTTTTTGTAGTTGTGGCATGGAGAAGAAGGCTGTTTCAGTGGATTAAGGTGCAGGGCTTGTCCGGATGTGATGGGATGCAACTTTGAGTCATCACGAAGGCGACAGAGTGGGAGGTGGGTGACTCAAGTGATGTTGCTTTGTAGGGGATCATGGCACACTGCTTGATCGGAAGCTGTGTGAGTTAGCCCGTGCTAATAAAAAGAGAATCTACCTGTAACATTCGCGTAATGCACCGAGTTCTCAAATAGGTCTATCCATATCGCTCTACATGGCTCGAAGGAAGGATTCTTGTTGAGTCCCGACTGCATGGCAATCCAACCTTACATCACTTTGCGCCGGCTTCTCCTTCCACCGTCATGGAAATAAAACGAGAAACACAGTGTCAGCAACACTTCCAACTCACAAATGTCTGCTCTTGCCTAGACCACCGTCGCCTTCCACCATTCCTGCACAGCCACGTTTATAACCATTCCCGTGTAGCCACGGAACTCTGATGATGAATGAAGCGAAAGGTTTGATGTCAAGCTAAGCTTTCTATTCAATTAGCCGGAACATACGAATGTGTGTATCTGGGGAAGGAATGCCCGAGCAATAGACCGAGCATGGTCGACATCAAATGCCAAGAAAATCAAATGCCGCGGCATTTGAAAGTATCTTCAGAAAGTACGTCAGAACACGCTACCATTCGTCACAGTTGAGAATGAGCTACGACGGCGCCATGCATCTTTTATATTTCGCAAGAAACTGGTTCACTGCTCCATGAATAATTGTAGGGAATGCCGAAGAGAGAAATGCGGGCCGCACTGCTAGTTCGGCAAAGCAATGCCCCGAAAAATTCCACCCCGCAAATCCCGCATCCAAGGCGGAGGATGGCGCTGAGGCCGCGCTACAGACATCGGCTATAGATGCAATCCTCGTCGACGTTCGGAGCTGTTTCTTCTTTCCTCTTCAATTTACAGCGATTTGTTATATACCATCTACTTGTGTACATATCTGTTCAATTGCATTGACTGTGCGATTACGCATTAGCAGCCTATCCTCTCAGAATTCTGTGTTACGTTTCGGCAACGTTTAATTGGAGGAAGGAGCTCTCACCATCCTGCAAGCAAGATGTCGAAGGTTTTTGATTATGCAGAGGGTAGGAACGATCGCTTGTATACAACACCTCCCACGATGTTGACGAGACTGCAGTGGCCAAGCACAACACAGCAGACAGCTGTTGGGTTATCCTCTACGGCAAAGTGTACGACGTGACCGACTTCATCGCCGAGCACCCCGGTGGCTCGAAAGTTATCCTCCAGCTCGCTGGCACCGACGCGACCGAAGAGTACGATCCAATTCACCCGCCCGGCATTCTCGAAGAAAGCCTCAAGCCCGAGCAGCATCTCGGCACAGTAAACCCAGACACACTTCCTTCTACGGAGAAGTCGCCAGCGGAGACGGGCGAGGCGGAGCAGGATGGTCCTGTTGATCTGGACAGCATACTCAACATTGATGAGATAGAAGAAGTTGCTACAAAGAACATAAGCAAGAAGGCATGGGCATACTACTACTCTGCAAGCGACGAATTGTCATCAAAGAAGCTCAACAACGCCGTTTACAGGCAGATACTGTTGAGGCCGAGGGTATTTGTAGACTGCACAAGATGCGATACGTCGACGAGCTTTATCGGACATAAAGTCAAGCTGCCTATATACGTTTCTCCCGCTGCAATGGCACGATTGGCGCATCCGGATGGTGAGTGGGGCATCGCGCAGGCATGTGAGCAGTATGGCGCCATGCAAGTCATCTCGCAGAATGCCTCTATGACCCCCGAGCAGATCGTCGCAGATGCAAAGGATGGACAAGTGTTTGGCTGGCAACTGTACGTTCAGCAGGAACGAGCAAAGAGTGAGGCCATGCTTGAGAGGATGAAGAAGCTACCAGCAATCAAGTTCATTTGCCTGACGCTCGATGCACCGGTACCAGGCAAACGAGAAGACGACGAGAGGCACAAGAATGTCGGCGCCAACCTCCCAGTCAGGGCAGCCGTGCAAGAGGACGCAAGTGTAAGCAAGACGAGTAGCGATGCAAAGACACCGAGTCCGCCGAAGAGTATGGGCATGGGACAAAGCTTGTTCTGGGGAACGGCGGCAGATCTTACCTGGAAGACGACACTGCCCTGGCTGGCGCAACACACCGACTTGCCCATCGTATTGAAGGGCATCCAGACTCACGAGGACGCCTATCTTGCCAGCCTCCACGCGCCACAGGTCAAGGCTATCATATTGTCGAACCATGGTGGACGCGCGCTCGACACTGCACCGCCAGCCGTACACACCTTGCTCGAAATCCGCAGATACTGCCCCGAGGTGTTCGACAAAATAGAAGTGTGGGTCGATGGCGGAATCAAAAGAGGAACAGATGTCGTCAAGGCACTTTGCCTCGGTGCGAAAGGAGTTGGCGTTGGTCGGGCTGCGCTGTTCGGCTTGGGCGCGGGCGGCAAAGAGGGTGTTGCAAGGGTACTAGAAAGTGAGTGGACCCTTTTCCTTCGATGCACTGATGCCCTTCGCTTTGTAGACTTAGCACTGCACGCTTGTGGGGCGGGCGCTTACCCCTTGCGCATCTTGCGGCACAATTAGGAGCCGCATGACGTGCACTGATCTTCGCTGTGTATCATTCTGCTGGCGTATCCCTTCGCTGACCGCCTATACAGTTCTCAAGGCCGAAACCGAGACCTGCATGCGCTTATTGGGCGTAGAGCGCGTGGACCAACTGGGGCTGCAGCATGTAAGTTCCATCCATGGTACCTTTGCCATCGATTCGAGAACAAAATGTTAACGCGAATAGATCAACACGCGAGCCGTCGAGAGAGACATATACGATGGTCCCGCTGCATTGGAAAGACCGAGTCTCACCTCGCGGTTGATGGCCAAGCTGTAAGCGCCGAGCTGGGGGCACGGAGTAAGCGACGTTTGATGCTCTTGTGTACGACAAGATAAGGCACTGTATCTGTTCATCCATCCTGACCTTGAAACATACACATACAACGATTATGACGTCGAACAACTAGTTCAGGCACAGGGTGTCGCAAGGACACCGTACCAATGGTAACTTCTGGTCGGCGTCTGCTCACCGGTGCCTGATATATCTCAGCTTGTAATTGAAATATCATAATATCATTTGCGCAGCGAATCAGAAGCCGTGAATGGCCCTGTACCAGACTGACACCAGCTTGCGCCCCCCCTTATCTTAACAGCGCGTACGAATTATAGCGACACAACTGCGAAGCAATGTCGTTTGCATGCGCCAATTCGGAAGATTGCGGAAATGTTGCGCAAGCGCACTTTACTCCATACATGAAGGGCACCTGCCCCATCGGGTAATGCACGATGATATTGATAGTGTCATGGACAGTGGCTTCATGGTTTCGATATAGATGACCCCTGACCCAGTGCTCACGCGGACGTTCACGTCAACACGCAAAACCAGTTCGGAGCCCTGTTGCTTCGTATGGTTATGTGCACGTCACTATAGGAGCATGCTGTGCGTGTCCCGGGGCGTGAATCCTTTCCTGTCTACACTCAGACTAGTCTACATGTTTGATACCCATTCCTTCGGTTAGATAATCTGAGCATACGGCCGTGGGCTATCGCGGCTGTCCAACAATACGTCTACCTTTTGCTCTAAGAAGTCCGCTAGGACGTCGGAGGATCACAAGTAGGGCTAGTGAACGCCGGAACGCAATACGAGTACATGTCGGCATTTACAAGCAGAAGGGTTTCTCAGGCGAGCCTTACGCTGACGTCCTCCTGCATCCAGGCCGTGTCATTATCGACGTGAAGCACGCGCCAAGCACCACAAATGACTGGGACGGGGGTCGACTCCCACTCTCCTCCCGTATGACTGCGCGAAGACGGAACGGAAGCTTCCAGCGAGAGGGCGCAGGATCACCAAGCCCCTGTTCTGGAGTATTCTCCAGACAGGCAGGCTGACGAATGAACGGTCAGCCCTACCCACCTATTCGGCTCATGCCAAACGCTCCTACAGCTGCCACGTGTGGACTTACCTTATCAGGTAGCACTCGCGCAGACAGCTCGCTCTTTTCCTCACAATGTGCTTTTACCCAGTCCTGCGGGAGCGTGGGGCGTCCACTGGCTCTGGAAGATGCCTCGGGGCTCCGGCGACTTAGTTCAGGCTCCCCCTACAGGGCGAAAGCGTCACGGCAAAGAGGCATAATTGCAACAGCGGTCACGACAGCAGGCCTCGAGTGACGTTGCGTGCGTGTCCAGGGATGCTAGCCCTCGCTAATGTCAACCACCAGCGCGCTAGATGTCTGTGGCACGGAGGTGATTGCTCCAACATTGTGAGGCACCAGGCACCGCTGAGCCCTCGGAACCGCCCAGGTTGAGTCCCGTTCGCCTGATGACGCCGCCGTCCGGTGCTGGAGAGCCCATCCCACTTTCCAGCTGATGACGACCTCCAGGGCTGGGGACATCACCGACAGCGTCCTAACTACACTGGCACCAACGGGCGCGTTACAGGGGCCGGCCCGAGTGCGTCCTCGTTCCAACATGGCCGTCGTCTGCCTGTCTCGTGCCTTGAGCGGCTGGAATAATTTCCGAAATGCTCAGGATTGGCTGCAGCTACTACAAACTCGCTCCAAGGCAACAGGAGCCGTGAGAGACATCGGCCCATGCCACTATCGGGGCGCTCTCTGCTCGTGGCTGAGCCCTGAACTGCGCTTCACTCTTTCAGGGTCCACGTCCAACTGTCGAGCCATGGCCTGCGTCGATATATAAGGCTTTGAAGCGCCGCCGGTTACCGCTGCTTCCCATTCCGAACCTGACATCACGGCTACTCCTTCCACACTTCACTTCTCTGCTCCTTCTACTTATATTGGACTGTTGACCAGCTGCTTCGATTCTTCAAACCTCCACTTCTTCATCAACCGCCCACCACTCCGCAATTGCTGCTGGTCCTCTTACCAACTCGCCCGCCACCTTCCGTTGTCATGCAGTGTCCTACTTGCCGAGGAAATGGAACCACGAAATGCGATGCCTGCAACGGCAAAGGTTGTCCCCAATGCAAGCACACTGGCACGCAGACCTGCCATATCTGTGAAGGGTCCGGAGATATCAATGCCTGAACGCCTTTCGAACGATCCCCTGCGCTGTCGAACATTCATGTACGACAAACCAAAAACAGAGCTGCTATGCACATCAACTAGGAGAGCAGGGATCCCTAGGTAAGTCTCTATACGCGAGCATGCGGCACCCCGAATCGGGCAACCCTGCAGTAATTGCTCTCTCGATCCTTCAATTTTCGTTACACCACGAGGTGCCATTCTTCCGGCTCTACCTACTTGAGTTCGCTCAGCTGCTCTTTTCTAAGGCGGACCAACATGGGCAAACTGCTTGGCTGTACTCAGGGCCGCCGCTACACGATGGATTCACGAGCTACTCAACTTCTGGCTTGAACTCTTGCTGACGAAGCCAGGCGCGTTTCGAAACACGAATCCCTTTCTTTCCCTCGGTCTACCGTACCCGACCTTTCTCGATACGACAGCCCTCGTACCATTTCGTAACGGCGGCGCCGGGACGCTGGCACGCTCGTGGCAGGTGATTATCACGTGCGGAGATTATTCCGTAAACATTCATCTCCGAGGTGGTGCCGCAGGTGGGGATTGCAGGCTCGACTTTCTCATTGGCAGGGACTTTGTTGTGCGTCGCAGATTTACTGGGAATCACAGGGTTTGCGTGGACTGGGGGGTGAATTGCAAGTCATTCGATGGAGTTGGCGGAGATCTGCTATGACGTGGACTGGGATCGGCGTAGGGGTTGTTTGTGCAGCTGCCTCTGACTCGTAAACCCGTCTTTTATAATATCGCGCGCTGTGCGACTGAGTTTTCTTTCTTAGGGAGGATCTTCTGCGTTTAGGATTATCATCATTTGGTACGGCATGATCAGCATAGCGATGGAGAATGGTAGGGCGAGCGTGTCTTTGAGATTTTCATTTACCCAGCTTCCTTCTCTCTTTGGACGTGCTTCCCAATAGATACTCTAGGATACCCCCGCCTGTCACCAGACGCCTTCAAACGCCCTCTCATCTGAGCTCATCTGAGAAGTTTACTCACACCAGCCAAGCCGCACTTCAAACCGCAGTTTTCATCACCAGAGCCAAAACCACGCGAGCAGATACGCGGGAGCACGCATCTCCCAGCTAAATCTGCTCGTCCGGAGCGTCTTCCGGAGTGTTCCGGACTAGCATACTGCGTGCCTGTGCGTGGGACTCGTAGCCTTCCACGCGTACGCTAGGCTCGTAAGGCCTCAGGCATACCGCGCCGTATCGTATCGCGCAGCATGCATGTGGCCCTACAACCGTGCACAGCCACCTGAATTTCAAACATCACTTCGTGGAAGGATCACAGCGTAAGTGCCGGTGCGTAGGTGCGCGCTCTCAAGATGGATCTAAGCTATAGATGTTGCGGTCGTGAGAATGCCTGGCTGGCTATCTGGTTGGTGTCAATGCAAGAGGAGTGAGTGCTGGCGCAAAAGTAGAGCAGATATGTGAGATCTTGACGGCAGGCCTGGATGTCAGTGACGCTCGACCCGTGTAGCGCGGAATAGCTTTGAGAAAACATTCGAAGAAGGATATTCGAAAAGGGGCACGAATCTAGTTCGACTACGGGAAGGTTTCGTGTGCACGATTTCGCCAGGTAGATGCGTAAGTGATCGGTTCAATGTGGCTCACGTCCGCCTCGAACTGTGCACTACGCTCGTACGGCATTCGGATGGAGCCAGCCGCACTGCTACGTCTGCCGGCCAGCCAGCTCACCTCACCTCACCTTATCTCCTCTCTTCAAGCGCTTACGGGCATCTCGTGCTCTCGAAGTAATAGATAGAAAAGGAGAACTAGCTCCTAAACAATCACCACCATCAGGAGTCGAACTTGCGCACCACGACCGTCTCCATTCCATCACACAGCAAGAAGGCTCAGAATATCAGGGCCATCACGAACAATCTCATAGGAGGCTCACGCTAGCGAACGGGTATTTTGGTACAGCGAGCCTCCTATGGGGGACCGTCTGTGACATGCCTGATCTTCTGAGCCGCTTAGATGCAGTAGAATATACAAATCACCAGTGTGGACGTTCGTATAGCCGAAAAAATTAATAGATGAACAAGGGAGAGCCAAAAACGGAAGGAAGTGTGCAGGGGTGAGGTGGAGATGAAAACGTGAGTTATCATCTTTTGTGGCGCGATGGCGGCGACGTGCAGATTTGTGTTACCGTGCAAGGAAATGGGCGCAGAGGGGTACGGCCGGAATATTCACATAGTGCATCGGATGTGCTTGAAAGCCTGTGCTCTGCGGGATGTGCATGGTGGACCAACTGTGTACGGTGAAATTGGGTATCATGCCGTTTGTATACAGCGTTCCGGACCGCTGCGTATACCGACTCTTCTCAGCCAGTATCGACTCACACCTACTGTAGTCCTTCAGGTACTCGAAGCACCTAGTGGCCGCGCTCAAAGGCAGGTGGCAACCATCGGCCTCAAGCTTCGCAGCACCATCGTTCCCTGCGCACTACCACCCCTCCACAGAAACGGGCTCCATATCCGGATCGTGCTCATCCCCCCAATCCATCTTCTCCAATTCTCGCCTGAAGAAATCCTGCTCATCCTCAAGCACGCCGCTCCGTGCGCCCATCCCCTCAGGATACCTCTTCAGATTATGCCAATGCGTCAGCGCCCTCAGCGCCTGCTCCAACGGCACGCTCTCGTCAACCTCTGCATCTACATCACTACCCGCTAGCCAGTCATCTCTCAGTTCCGGCCTGCAGTGAAGATACACCGCCGTAATGACGCGCATATTGGACTGGCGCCATTTCCGACCGCAGTAGGGGACCTGATTCTTGAACAGCTTGAGCGTATACAGGCGCAGCTGCGGCTGTGGGACCTTGAGGCTTTTTCTCAGGAACTGCGAGGATTTGTACGAGACAAGCATGAGGTTGCGGTGCGCTTTGTTTTTGCAAATTTTCTGCATGATGCGCAGGTAGTTGATGGATGTGAAGAAGGCGCGCCAGGAAAAGGTTGTGATGGGCTCCTTGGGGAGCTCGCTTGTCGGGAAGCCGAGCTCGTCAACTTCTGGCGCCTGAAGAACGGCCGGGGGCGGCGACGGAGGTTCCGCTTCGGATTCTGCGCCTTCGGGGTCGTCGCGACGCATCCGGATTGGAGGTGGTACGGCGTCATCGGAGTCAGAGTCGACTTCGGGCTTTTCTTCTGGCTGTTCTTGCTCGACACCTAACCTGGAATGGGACCGGCAGAAATAGAAGAAGCTGTACTCCTGGTTAGGTAAAACCTTCTATTCGAAGGAGACGACTTACTTCAGCTCTTCCTGCTCGCATTTAAAGTTAACAACCTTTTCGATTTCTTGGAGTTGCAGAAGTTTGAGTATAAGTGGAACATAGCTCGAGTCCACCAGGAGCTGGGTTATGTATTCGAACTTCAGGATATCTATGCGATATGTTCAGTGTAGCACAGAGAACGTGAGATCGAATGGCTTACGAGAAATCTTGAACCACTTGAGAATCAGCATCAGAGTACCTGAGACCGCTTTATCAAGCACCTCCTGCGTACGCATTGCGTCCAGTTCTTCGTTCGTAGCCACAGTGCTGTTGTGACCATTGGTCTCGGGTCTCCCATTTTGATTGTCTTGATACTGAAATCCACTCTGAAGTCCATTGGCCCCATTTGCTTGGGTTACAAGAGCTGTGACGTGCGACAATATTGCTTTAATGAGCACTATAACCACAGACTGAAGACTGGGCAAAGCTCTTCGCTGTAAAATTGTTAGGCAACACCTGTGAAAGACCGAATGGATACGTACGTAAAATTCCTCTACCAAATCTAAGCGCTCTTCTATGCTTCCTGGTGGCGAAGGCTCCTTCTTGGGGCAGCCCTGCTTTGGCTCCAAGGAAAGTGCCTCGATGTCGGCGTTTTCGTCCGCACCTAACCAGCCTCGCTCGTACTTCATGAAGTGCACACGTTCTTCCCAAAGTTGTTTCATAGCTCGAGTGGCCCGCATACGCTTCGCGAAAAGATCGGCAGCCTCTAATATCGATGCGGGGACGTCGGAACCCTCCCATTTGCGCCCTACAAGCAGATCTTGCAAGTCAGTCGAGCCTTTGCCACCGAGTTTGTTGCTTGTTTCATCTAGCGGTGGGTAGAGGAATGGGAACATTTGGTTCGTCTGATAGTTTTGCTTCTTCCTTCCCTTTCCACCGGGGCCAGCTGGTGACGGCGGAGGCGAGGGGGCTGGAGTTGCGATGTGGACAGGCTGATGCATGATAGATGCATTGTTACCACTCATATCTCCTAAACCCGACCCAAATATATGGTTTCCGGCAACTTTGTTGGGGTGGTTTTTCAGAGGTGGCAGGATCGAATTATTCTCAGGTTCCAGTGGGAAAATAGGGGGTGGAGGGTTGTAGGCAGGATATTTGGAGAGTATCTCCTGGCGAAACAGATGATAGTCTAACGGCGATGCTGTAATGAGGGGCTGACCCTTTGCATCTGCAGATTCTAGGTTTTTGTCTTTGAAGCTGTCTTTGGCCTTCTCCACCTCCTCAAGCCCTCCGAAAGACACTAAAACGGTCTTCCATAGAAGCAAGCAAATCTTGGGTAGCGGCAGGCCGATAGTGTCATCCCATCGCAGCTTCGAAATGATGTCCACAAGCAGCATCAAAAGCCCAGGCTCTTCAAGCGCTAGAAGAGCGCTTCTAATCGTAATGTCGTTCTTCTCTTTCTCTTCCACACGAGCAGCCTCCAAGACAACATACACAGCTGTCATGCTACACCATAGCTCTCGGCGTTCAGAGTCTTTATTATCGCGCGGGCCGTTGGCCTCTGTCTCCATGCCACAAGCTTGTGAATACGCGGAGCGAAGCTGCTGGATAAGCACTTCCAACCCGTCTAGGTCCACCAGCAGTCGCACATTCTTTAGAATCAACTGAACATGCTGTGCTGACTTGTCGTAAGTGCCGGGAGCATGCCCGTCTCTGGGGAGCGAGGCTTGCGACGCGTTTTCGTCCTCCTCGGAGTCGGTCGCACCAAGGCCAGCACTCTCATGCCAGCATCCAAGCAGAATGTACACCAACGCCTCAAGCTTCTTAAGCCTTGGTACGGGGTCGAATCGTCTGATAGCACCCAACAGATACTGTACGAACTCGCTCTGCTGCTGCCCCGTAGCCTTCACCCAGTCTAGTCCTCCTTCTTCGTATGGTGTGCTGTTCAGCCCATTGAAAGTGCCCCACTCCTGCGCAAAAGATGTCTGCGCTTTCAACAGCATCGCCTGCTCTTCCACACTGTATGAGAACCACTCTTCAAGCTCGTCTTCGAAAGATGACGCATCTTCGTATGCGAAAGCATATGGCGCAGGATTCTCTCTAGGTAATTCGCTCACTAAACTCTGAAGCTGCATGAGCGATAACGAGTCGGTCTGCTGTGTCGCATCTGGAGGCGGGGCAGGAGGCGCTGCCGGAGGTGGGAGGTGCAGAGGCGCGGGCACGGGCAAGGGCACCGAATTATCTCGTCGAAGAGCTGGGCGGGCGGGCAGTGGTACGCTGGGTCCATCGGGCAGAGCTGGCGGGTTTACGCTGGCGTCGAACAGTAACCCTTGCTGCTCGGCCGTATCGAGAGGAAGGTTCAGGTCTTCGACGGGTTCAGCCTCGATAATTGGAGACTGGGAACCAGACGATTCCGAAAACTCGGCTCCGTCGACAACTGGAGGCACGAGCTGCTCCTCGGGAGGGTCGTTGCTGTTCATCGTAGCTGGTATGGAATGTTTCGGCGTGGAGGGGCGCGGTCGTGGGCAGAGTTCACCGTAGCCACCATTTTCAGGCGACGATTTCAGGGCCGATCCATTTCAGTAATTGAACGAAGCGCACGTTTGCTTGACGCGGTGCAGAAGCGATCTCGGCAGTCTTCAAAGAGCGGAGGTGGGATGCTCCGCACACGCCAAGCGTGAATGGCTCGTGCCTTCTTCCGCCAATCAACCAATGGCGGTCGAGGACACGCCAGGGTCCAGCCAAACGAAGGAAGCTGAACTTACATCTAGAGACATCCGTTTTCATAGTGTATGGTGTTACAATGCAAATTTACTTGTCAATCACTCTAGTGGAAAGGGTGCAATGGAAACGGCTTCCCAGACTCCGTGTTGCATTTCATCGAAGATGCTATTAAACCTCGGGATGAGTAGACACTGGGTATTGTTGTGCAGCGAGAAGACACTGAATTTAGAGTATCTGCCAGATCACAAGAGTGGAAATGCTTTGTGACCCAAAGCACGCAGAGACTCCAACGCGCTATCTATTCCCTCAATGTGTGAATGTAGCACCATCAATTGCTTGCTTGAACAAAATATAAGGAGATTGTCATAAAACTAGTCGTCATCAAAGCAGCCATAGCACGTCAAAATATGTGCATCCAGAAGGAAAAATGTAGAACTTCCGTCTCTCACTATAAAAGGTAATCGTCCCCGCGTGTATCACGCGGACATATTACCGTTAGAACATAAAAAGAACAACATCGCACTCTTATAAAGGAGCGTCAGTCGATGGGTGACCCGATAACGCCGTCCAGAAAAACAGCCATTCGTAACGTGGCCATCCCCAAATGGATTGAGAAAGAGATAACATAGCCTGAGAGATGCGTTTTGCGCACAGCAGGAAGCCACCGGTAGTAGTAAGAACCCCTAGCCGGCTCTATGTGATTGCCAAGGAGAAAACTCGTGTAGAACATAAAGACGAGCTAAGTCGGTCGATCTCAACTTGATCCGTTCTGCTCGCCGTTGTTCTCTCGGTCCTTGATCTCTTCGGGGACAATTCCGGCATTTTCGCAGGCGCGTTTGTAGATTGCGCATTCGTCCCATGCTCGCTGGCACTCGCCCTTGAACTTGTCGCAGCTGGCGCTGAGCTCAGTAATGGCCTGCTCGGTCAATAGCTTCTCTAGTGTCCATTTCTCAATGTTTTGCTGCTCATTCTCTTTAAGCTGAGTAATGAATTGGACCGCGCGCTGCAGGATAGAGCCCTTGTTCTTCTCACAGCCAGGGACGATCTTCGCGAGCTCGTTAATACCCTCGTTGATTGTCTCACGGCGACGTCGTTCCACTGCCAGCTTGTGTCAGTATCAAATCCAGTACTACAAGGATAGACGCGAAACTTACCTTCCTTGTGGTTATCCCTTCGTACCTTGTGCCATTCCTCGGACCCAACCGTAGGCTTATGGGAGGATGAGGCGGGTGGGGACTCGTTGCCCGTACTCTGGCCTGTCCTTGATGACGAGGTCGCGGCCTTAAGAGCTTCAAGGCTGAAATCCTGCATCCCCTGTGACTGGTGGTGATCGCCCATATTGAAGGACGAGTCCCCGGTGGATGATTGTGGTTGGAAGGACAGCTCGGTTGCTTGGGGCACGGTCATCTGGTAATGCGCAATGGCAGCCGCAGCAGTCTCGCCCATGCTCTGATTGTTTGCGCCGTCGAATTGTTGCTGCATGTCGTCTCCGTTAGCCGAGGCGTTATGTGCGGCGAGAGATGCGAAGGCTTGGTCGGTCAAGTCGCCGGAATTTCCGTGGTTGGCAGAAGGCGCGGACCGTGAGTTGCCTTGGTCGCGCGTATCTCGCTTTCGCTTGTTGGTGTGAAGGACGTCGTGGGAGCCGAGGCCTGTCTTGGAGGTGTCGGTTGGGTAACCAGCAGTATCCGCCATAGTTCTCAAGGCTTGTTCGTACAAGGAGATGGTGACAGTAGACTGCCGAAAAGAAGACGGTACCTTCTGGAGGGGCAGGTGGTCCTTTTGCTGGCGTTCTGCGCCTCTTGCAGAGCACCAATGACTAACAAAGGCGTATGCAGGTGAAGCGGCGGACCAACGTACGCAGCCGCTTGTGAATCCACAAGGCTAGGTCCTGTGACAGGGCTAAGGAGGTGAGCGCGGGGCTGCGCGAGGGTTGAAGTCGCAAACCGGGAGTGGTGACGCTTTGCCCACCAGTTCACGCACGATGCGGTAGCTGCCTGTCGCGATCGACCGGGCGCAAGCAGAGGGACCTGGTGATAAATAATCAGCACGACGCGAACGATTGAGTGTGCAGTGCGACGCGGCGCTGGCGGGAGCACGAGTGGTTGCGCTTGCTGTTTGCTGTTGCATCACTCGTCTGTCAACTCTCGAAGACGACGGCGCGAGCCACAACCTCGCGTCGTGTTTGGGCAGGTGCGCGCCGGACCCTCATGAGGCAGGCGCGAGCTGCCAGAGGAAGGCGCGACATTGGACAGTGAATGCTAACGCGTACTGCCAACATGGTGGTGTCGGAGGTTGAATATCGGAAGCATACCTTGGCTGATGGTCGCGACGGATGGCTCGCGATAACGTGATCGGGCGCTTCAGGCTGCCTGGATGAGGAGCACGAGAAACAGGCGTCGCAACGAAAGAGTCGGAGGATTTCTTGGAACCGAAGAAGGACAGCAGCAAGCAAGTGTGCTTACTACTATATATTTGCAGAAACGATAACCGCTGCGAATGGCTCACAGACGATATCGTTGGGAGGGTGTAGAGGGATGTCAGGTCAGGTGGCAGAAGTCACGGGGGATGTCCTTATTATCTGAGAAGGCGGGTCCTATTCCCGCTATACCCGATACGACCACCCCGCGGCCTGCCGTTCTTTGGCTCTCGCCGCGTCTATGAACCGCTGAATCTAATGGGCACGTCTTCACGGACTTCGCTCTCTTGCCAGTGCTGCGTGTCCAGCCTATACTCTTATGAAGTTCCTTGACTTCCTCGCTTCGACTTCGCCGCGTGCTCGAACGCTCCGCGAAATCCAACTACAAGCCACAAACGATGAACCCTTGACTTGCGCAGTTCAATCGGCCTCCCCACACACACCAAGGCAAACGCAATGCAAGCAGCGTCCCGTTAGCACGTGAACAGCCTGAACAAGCCTGTGGAGTGGAGGGAGCCCTGCGGTCGTTGTGCTAAGTTAGCGTGGAATTGCTATCACATGTGACGCCGTCAGCCACACAATTGTGCCCTAGCACCTTCCTGTCCTTGACGAGAACCTCTGGAGCGGTCTGAAACCTGCGACATTTCTATCCTTTCTGGCATTATCTCTCTGCATAGGTGCAATGCTCGTATTCAGCTGACATCGCCGTTGCCTGGGACCCGCCAAAGAGAGCGCTTCGATGAACTTCCAAGAGGCCAGCAGCCAAGATGGTGCTTTCATGCTTGCCAGTCAACACACCACTACGGCACTTCTAAGGCACCTACGGGTCGTCCCGGACTCCCGAGTTGCGTCACGAGCTTCGACGTGTGGCAACGACGTGTTACCTCAGGCTGCACAGTATTCATGCGAGCGTGTCTGCAGAATCGCCGTTCTGCCAGAATCCCCTCTCTCAACTATTGAATCGGCAATCGAAAGTGTTTCATGCATGTACCGTGGAAGGCTTCCCAGTTGCTATGACCCCAGCACAGTGCTCAGGTTTAAGTCTGCCCAGATGATTTTCAACATGCGGCATCACAATTCCTACATTGAGTCTTTGAATGCAGCTGAAACCAATATCGAAAAACATTTCGAATATTCGCGCGCTCCATGCTGGAAAAATCTCCGTCGAAGTAAATGTCATTGCGCTGTCTTCGGTCACTCTATCAGTCCATACCGGCAAATTCTCCACGCAAGTGTCACTTCATTACTGCCCATCGCGGCAATTTGCTTTTGTTTGCCCAGGTGGCTTACACTATCATATCTGACACAGCCGTGTAGCCATGTGACCACCTCACGTTGCATTGCGTTGCGCTTAGCGGAGTGTACAGGAGGGTCACATCATGCTCAGGTGACCTCTGTGATGCTTGCTCGGAGTTTGAACCGCAGCAAACTGCGACTGCTACATAGTAGTATGCATTTTCCCTCACGCGCATTCTTATAGACAAAACTAGCATGCCAAAAAGTCGCAGACCAAACACATGAACACGGCCTTCGTCTCAAACCAGGGTTCCGTCACGAGGCCTGACCCGCATACCCCGAACCAACAGGCACCCACAAGTGCAAGGAAATGCCTCTATTATCCAATGCAACTATTTTCAGGCAAAGACGTGAACTTACCCTCACAATGAATGTCTATCCAAACCACGACCCGAACGTCACTGACGCTATCCGCACGACGTCTATTCCGTGCAAGCATTACAGCTGCACGCACGGCTCGACACTCCCTATGCTTACTTTATACATGTTCACAGATTCTTATTCACATATTACTTGGACCATCCCACCTCTATATCCTCTCAGCAGCTTCGAATCATACCACCCACGCAGTGCAAATCCATCTTCCACATCCAATTCAAATCGTCGTGCAAAAGTAACCACGCAATACAGACCCCTCTACTACACTCTCCTTCTACATCTTATCAGCCAGATGCCTTTTACACTTTCGTGTCCGCTCGCAAACTTCACGTATACCTCTTCACCCACCTATGCCATGCCCTCGCGTCCGTCCGATCTCGGTTGCCTACCTGGGACGATCCGACTACCTACGTCCCCACCACCAAATAAATTCTCCCAACCCCATTCTTCCCAGACCACACCATACCCTCTGACTCCCAGTATTCCTCGGCGCAACTTGTCATTTTCTTCATTGATTTATGTGCTATATGAGCAGCAAATTTGCAAAAATAACCGTCAACGAACCAATCAGAATCGGTCGGTTAGCTCAGTTGGTTAGAGCGTGGTGCTAATATCCTACTGTTAACGCCAAGGTCGCGGGTTCGACCCCCGTACTGACCATCTTTTTGGCTGGGGAGGGTGTTCGTGGTGTGGTGGAGTGTGTTGTATTTTTGGGTTTGTCGCTGTGAAGGATTCGGTTGTGGTGGAGACGCGTAAACGGCTAAAAGGGTGGTGTGCTGGGACTTGAGGGACTTAGATAAGGAGAGGAGTGAGGGGGCACTTCAAATCACTACACATGTTTGTTAGATATCGCCATATTTATGTATGGTGTACTTCTTGAATTTTCCGAGATTTCGTCCATGATCACCCACGTCCACCCGATATAGACGCAAGAATAGTTCTAAGAAATCCTACTCCACAAGCATTATACGCCTACCGATTACACCCTCAGACACAAACCAACCTCCCTATAAACGCCAATCAATGCCCACTCCACGCTATGCAACCAAAAGAAACCCTCCGTCTCCCCCTCACGCCTCATAATCATACCCCCCCTTCCCAAACTCATCCTCCAACCCAATCGTAACCTTAATATTCATCGCCCCCAGCTCCTGAATCAGCAACTTCGCCGCATAAGGCATCGTAATCCTCCTCACCCCCTTCTCGCTCTCGCAAATCCTGCAATACCCACTCGCACCCATCTGCCCGCACCTCTCGCACACATCCACATTGTGCGCGTCGCTGCTGATCATAAGACGCTCGAGCAGCAGTTGACTAGCCCCATACGCAATGAGGCAATCGCGCTCCATCTCACCCAGACGTAATCCGCCATCGCGCGCACGACCTTCCGTAGGCTGACGCGTAAGAATTGCGCGCGGGCCGCGAGACCGAGAGTGCATTTTGTCCTGGACCATGTGCTTGAGTTTCTGATAGTAGATCGGGCCGAAGAAGACGTAGAATTGGAGAGCCTCGCCCGTGATGCCGCTCGTAAGGTAGTCCTTGCCTGTGTACGAGAACCCGTGTTTCACAAGGACGTCTGCCATGTCGAGGACTTCTGAGCCGCCGAAACAAGTGCCGTATTCGAGGGTGCCGCGGAGCACGCCTGCCTTGCCGGAGTGCAATTCCTTCATTTTGCCGACTGTCATGCGGGAGGGGAAACCGTGGGGGTTCATAATGATGTCGGGGCAGATGCCTTGATCGTTGAAGGGCATGTCTTCCTGCGCGACGATCAAACCGCACACACCTTTCTGTCCGTGGCGAGACGAAAACTTGTCGCCGAGTTCGGGGCGGCGCGTTTGCCGGAGGAGGAGCTTGATGAGGGAGGTTCCGGCTTCGTTTTCGGTGATGCAGACTTTGTCGATGTAGGAGGGGTCGGGGAGCTTGTAACGCATTTCTTGGGTTTTCATCGGTATGTTTCCGCGGGCGCCGGTCGTAGTGTCCGATGGTACGGCTTTCATGAGGTAGGTTTCACCTTGGTTCACGCGGGCGCCTACCTGCGCGATACCATCTTTTCCGATGGCGCCGTACTTTGGGTCTGCGAGGTTCTTTGGCTGCATCGCCGTCTTATCGTCGATGCCGTCAGAGGTACCATTCGCGTAGGTCTTGAGCGGCACAACGGTCTTCTTGAGTACTTGACAACGCCCAAAACCGCGGTCGCATGACGCTTTGTTAAGCACGAGAGCATCCTCGATATCGTAGCCGGAGTAGGACATGACTGCGACGGTAGCGTTCTGTCCAGCAGGAAGCTTATCGTACTTGGTCAACTCGATTGTCCTGGTTTTAACCATAGGTTGTTGAGGGTACACCATGAGATACAAGAGGGTATCTATCCTGGTGAACTGGTTGTATGCAATAGCTCCTATAGCTTGTTTACCCATAGCACATTGGTATGTGTTACGCGGCGACTGATTGTGATGGGGGTATGGGATCAAGCCGGCAACGGCGCCGAGAATTGTGAAAGGCTCGATTTCCAGATGGGTTGTGTATTGGCCGATGTCTTTCTCCCTAATGGCGATGTTCGTATCGTTCTCTTCATTGCAATCCAGATACTCGACCAAGCCACGGGTTAAGAAGTCCTCAAACTCCATCGTGCCCTTCCTCAATGCTTTCAGGTAACGCGCCGTCACTTTCGAGCGTCCGTTCTCCACGATGATTAGTGGTCGACAGATCCGACCTTCGTCAGTGGCTATGTGGACTTCGCAGAAATCGTGATTGATGTAGATGCTCGTGAATTCCGATATCCGACCCATCCGTCTAAGCTTTCGGAAGTTGACGAGGAAGCTTTTAGGTGTGCTGGTAAGGGCGATGGGAGTACCGTTGAGGCATACGGAGTAAAGACCTTCCCTATGTATCTCGTCGCCCGTCTGCATACAGATGTCTTCCGCACCCAACAGAAATACCATCTTCCGGACTGGGTCCTCATCGTCCTCAGTGGTGATGTGGGTCATCAGAGCTAGATTCTTGACTAGACCGCAAGCTTCTCCTTCAGGTGTATCCGATGTGCAGAGCATGCCGAATTGAGAGGGCTGTAATGCACGAGGACCCGAAACCTTTCTCGTCTTCTCGAACTGGCTGGATATGCGCGTCATCATACCGAGAGCTGCAATGTAACTGAGCCGGCTGAGCACGTGCGTGACACCTGCTCGGTCCATCTTGAACCGTTTGAGACTCCAGTTGCCGGTAGCAATAGCACGTTCGATTCCGAGCGTGATGTGGTTCTTGAGGGCGCCAATGTGCGAGAACGCGTCGAACTCCTGGGCGCGATTTTGCTTTTTAAGAACCTTGTCTATGCCTAGCTTAAAGTCGTGGTTGAAGCGTTTGAAGTGATCTTCAAACAAGAGGGACAACATTTGACCGGACAATTCAAGACGCTTGTTGCCGACATAATCTCGGTCGTCCACCAGGTTGGGGTTGACTTCAGCCATGATGACCCGACGTGCCATCAAAGCGATATACAGTGCTTTTGTTCGGAAATTTGTGCCTTCGACGGCCACATGAGGTAAGACGACGTTCGCTAAACATTCAATAGCTTCAAGGTGGTAGTTTCTAGCTCGTCCAAACTTCTTTGTCAGGCGAACGCGGTGGCCAACATGTTCCAGTGCTGCTTGCTGCGTGAAGATCTTAGCTTGCATGCAGGCCTCGAAGTTCACTGTGAACTTGTCCTGGTACTCCGCGTCATCACCACAAATCAAGACAAAGATCTCCTCATCCGAGAGCACTCCCAGAGCCTTCATGACGATGACAATCGGTATCTCCTCCGAGAGCGTATTGTGTCGCAGGTACATGAGACCTTTCTTCTGGATAACGTATGTTTTCGTTTTGCGCTCGTTCGTCGAACTTGTTACGCTAGCCTGCATGATGCCTTTTGCGCTCTCCACAATGACACGATTCTTGTTTAACTGTTCCTGAACGAGAATAACCTTCTCCTGGCCCCTGGTAATGAAGTAGCCTCCGGGATCCAGCGGACATTCCTCTAGAAGAGCCATCTCTCTGTCGTTCTTCGCCGCTAGCACACACTTGTTACTCTTGAGCATGATTGGCATTCTACCGATCTGAACATTGTTCCTCCTGACTCGGCTGGAGCCGCGCGTGTACACGATATCGACAACTATAGGGGCGGCGTATGTCATGTCTCGTAGTCGACACTCGTTCGGCGTGATCGTGCTCTTGTAGTGTCCATTGAGATTGTCTTCCTCTGCGCGATTCGGTGACAGTACGCGAATGTCCTTGTACTCGAGCAAGAACTTCGGATCAAGATCGCTGCGCACATATCGATTGGCCTGGAGAATCTTCTTAAGATCCACGTCCACAAAGTGATTGTACGAGTCAACGTGCTGTTTCACCAGACCCTTCACCTTCAGAAACGCCGGTAGCAGATTCCACTTATCGCGCGCGGTATCAATCGGGTCGGTGAGGGATTTGCCATAGTAGAAGGGCTCGAGCATGGCGGCGAATTCGTCTTTCGCGCTGCTGTTGAGCGGCGCTTTCTGGCGGCGCGTCTTGTCGGCGGCGTCGGTCGGACGATCCACGTCCATGCCATCTTCTGCGAGCGCGCGCTTTCCTTCCTGAGTATCACCACCTGCATCTTGGGTTGCGCCAGTGCCAGCTGCACCCGGCGCAGCTTTCTTTGCCCCGCGCGGGGCAGCTCGAGGCCTCGGTTTGGGCGGTTCCTGCGCGTGTAAGTGTGAAATGAGCTGCGGGTATGGTCGCCGTACCTTTGGGCCCACCATGTCTGCAGCCAAAGAGCAGAGACAGACAGTTGCGTACAGAGGCAAGGTAGAGGTGGAGTAGCTTGACTTTATCAAAATAGTTTTGCCGCAGGTAGGCCGAGTCACAGATCCACCCACCAATCGGGGGTTCGCAAGTGCCGCAGCTCCATCCGTCAGCGAGGTGGGTGCCCACGTCCGTCGACACCCTCTCACTTTTGATACACTTTCTACCTTGTTTGTTAAGAATCCATAAGCCTTCAAAATTACACATTCAAGAAAATGACATTTGTACATACTCGACCAAGTCTCGCCTCGCAATACGGGCCAAACTCTCGAACACGGTGCACTCCAGGACTTCAAACGGACACCAGATGTAGATAGCAATTAATGTATACTACTCATCTACCAGTCAGAATGCAGTTCCCAAAAAAATCGCTCATGGAACCTCCAAAAACACTTCCACCTTGCCCATTTCTCCCACTCCACTACCCGATGCCTCGAAGACCTAATACTTGTTACCACCTTCCCCCTTTTCTCATCTTCCGTAATCCCGTCCGGCTCTGGAACACACGCTCTAACACACAGCATCTCAATCTCATCCGTATCGTTATGAAACCCAAAGGACCTACCAGGATTCAATACAATCCAGTACTCCATCTTCAGCGCGAAGTCGAACTGATCGGGAAGCCGCTCGTCGTCAACCAACTGGGTAAACCACTCCGCAGCACGTTCCGGATCAGCGAGGTCGTCGTCCGAGGAGATCTGCCTGTCGAGACTCTGCTTGTCATATTTTTTAATCTCGAATGTTCCAGGGGACATTGCGCTCCATTCTGAGGCCATCGAGCGCCTCTGCATCGTCACACTACGAAGTGATGGAAGCTGATATGTCGTTGTCAACCGGTGGACGGTCAGCAGCGTGGCGTCGCGGTTGGTGATATTAGCTTCATCGTTGTAAGCACACGGCGTTGGCGTCAGAACGAGATGCTGGATGCTTTCGAGCATTGCTGTGGATAGGCTCTTGAGGATGATTTCTGCGTCGTATATTGGCATGGACACATGCTTCAATACTTTGTGCCGTACTTCGTTGCGCAAAGTCCTGCACGTTGCTGCAATACCGAAATCGTAGCGGAAGATGTCATTCGTGGAAGAGCAGGCATCTTCTGTTAGACACGTTCCGAGCCAGACGGGCCTTGAACAGGTCATGGAAATTAAGTCTGGGCACAGACATGGTCTCCAGAACAGTCGAAGCGGTGCCATAGGGATGCTTGCGAAGAATAGTCCTCGGTTGCGTACTCGATTGTTTGAGATTGAATTGTTTGTGATTGAAACATAAATATGATGTAGTAGGGCGACGCCTTCACCATGGATTCCGCCTGTGATTGCGACATGAGTGAGACGCGATGGATAGAGGTGATCTAGAATCTCGAGACGCAGTTCCGCTGGAAGACCCATCAAAGTGGCTTGGGGGTTCCCGCCCATTGTTGGTTGAATTGCTGGGGTTTGAACAATCGAAGACGATGGTACTGGATCTATAGCCATCACTATACTCATTCCAGGATTATTTGAATATGATTCAACGGATTCATGGAATGGCGGTCCTTGACGCGAGGCCAGCAATGGGGGAACGAGTGCACTAGGCTGCAGGCCTTCGCAGTCGGAATCGACGTTGTGGTCAGGATTAGACAAAGAAGACATGGTGGGTGTTAACGACAACTAGGAGACCATTACAATCAAATAGACTCCTGGGTTGTCGAGATATATCAAAGCCCATCCTTCCTCACACAGCCACGCTTACATGCCAGGCACCCTGCGCCTCACACTGGGGTCGAATATCCACCAATCGTCAGTCAACATGATAGTCACTCAAGCTAATTTGTGCCAAATCGTACCATTCCATTCAAACTCAAGAGCACATCAAAGTCGCATATCCGCCAAATGCTTCGCCCAAGCGCCAGACTCCCCTATGCCCGTAATCCAAGTACTTTCCGCCTTCAAAATGCCATCGATACTTTACAAATCGCTGACCTCGTCAGACCATTGCACATCTATGCAAATACCCTGCCATGCTTTCCAACTTTATACATAGAAAGTCGAGGTAAGGAATTCCATGAGGAATAAGGTGGAATGAAACAGACAGCACCCTACTAGAATGCCGCACCGCCAACTTCACTGTCCCCATTGAAAGACCGAAGATGTTCCTCAGCAAGCTCAGATCGTAACGCCGCGTTGTCCGCATCTCGGCCCAGAGCATCCCACTCTCTCAGGCTCGCGCGTTTAGAGGCCTCCTTGGCGTCGATCTGCTCCCTGAGCTTGCGTGCTTCCTCTTCCAGCTTGAGAATCTTGCTCGTATCAACAAGCTCAGGAGCCTTCTGACCTCCAGGGATCTCTTTGGGCAAGTTGTCAAGATGGCCACCGAAGCGCTGCGTGCGAGGATATGTGGTAGACGTGCTGTTGCTAGAACCACGGAAAGGCGGAGCAAAGGGTGTTGGTCCGCTCCCTGATCCACGAGGACCAGAAGGTGGGCCTCCATGGTAGCCTCCGCCTCTCGCGCCCCAAGTAGCTGATCCCCGACGCGGTGGACCAGAGAAATCGCGAGGTGCATCATAACCGAAGCTGCCGCGACCGCCGCCCCTCGGGCGAGTGGGTGCAGCAAGAACAGGGTTGCTGCTATTGCGGGGGAAAGAGGGCGGCTGCGGAGTCGAGCCTGAGGGACCGGCTGGCGGGGACATGGCTGGAGATTGGAAGCTACGGTTGGAAGGACCCGTGGGAGGGGCACGAGAATAACCGCTGTCTCCATTGCGGTAAGATGAAGAAGGCCCGGTAGGCGGCGCAAAATCTCGTTCGCGGTCTCCTCTAGGTCCCGTTGGCGGACCGTCGCGTACTCGGGGAGGAGATCGTTCTCGCTCCCGATCGCGGCTTCGATCGCGACCGCGATTGTAGTCTCGGTCTCGGTCATAGTCACGCTCGCGATACGGCGACCGAGGAGCGGACAGTGGATCTCTCACGGGCCTTTCATCAGGTACCAGACCAGCTCTGCTAGGGTGGACTGGTGGAGGAGACGACCGACGCGAGGTAGCTGCAGATTCCCTGCCCGAAGCATCGTTGGATGTATATGTGTTCCTAGCCGGAGAGGGCGATCGGCGTCTCCAGGTGTCTGCGGTGTATGGGTCGGCACGTTCTCGTCGAGGGGACGGCGATCGACGACGGTAGTCTCTGTTGTCGCGAGCGGGCGAGTATCGGCGCGGAGGGCTATGCTATGTCAGCTGAAGATCTTCAATATAAACATAATGTCTTGTGTACCTCTGTGCACGAGAGCGAGGCTCGTCGTACCGGCTTGCACGAGGAGGCGAGCGAGCGGCACGGCTTCTGGCTGGTGAAGGGTCCCGTTCTCGTGGCGGTGGAGACCGATCGCGGCGAGGTGAGCGCGTATAGGAATCGTATTCCCGCCGAGGAGGCGACCTTGCGCGATCATTACGATAGTCATCCCTTCGAGGAGAGTATGTACGGCGTGGTGGAGATCGAGGCCTGCTGGCCCTCCAGCGGTCGTCGTCCCGCCTAGGGCTCCTAGATCGCCTGCGGAAGGTTGCTGGAGAGCGGCTTCGTGGACGAGATGAGCGAGCACCTGGTGTATAGGTATCGGCACGACTAACACCACCACGCGGTGGGCTTCGATCACGGGTGTTGGCACGGTAGCTGTCGATTCGCGGACCAGGCGAGCGAGGGCGGTAGGTGTTCGAGAACCTGTCGTCCCTATCTTGAGTTAGCTATGCGCACAAGATGCGATCAAGGCTTTTCTCGGTTCGGTGCACAACTGCATCGGATCAAAGGCCTGGGCGCGACAAACCTTCGGTCGCGATCGCGCTCGTCTCTGTCCCTACGATCCATGATGAAAGCTTGCAATTCTATTACTGCTGGCGGTTATAGACAAGGAATAGGAGCGTGTGTTGCACGGAAAAATAACGAGGTGAGTCGTGTTGCGGTGATCGTAACGTTGACACTCGTTGTCTGCGGAGGTCAGGGTTGTTCGAACTTTCCACAAGCCAAAGCCAAGCCTGGGGCCCACGCGACGAATTTCTGCACGTGATGCGGCTCAGGCGCAGCCGAAAGCGTCGCATCCACCACGTCTTGATCCGATCTGCCAGAACTAAGAGAATGAGCAACCATGATAGGATTAGTCTCATCGTATGTCTTTGACGTAGACGGAGAGTCCCGGATTGTCCAATGAATCCTGACAGCGCATTGTCCAACTCCACGATACGCCTGTGCATATCCACCAAATCTTCACTTTCTGGCTCATCTTGATGTCATCACACGGACCAACGTTCGCAATACCTTCTTCCATGTGCTTCCGATGTTCTTGTATTCAAATGTTGATTCAGTAGTCGCAAATGCCCCTCAATAGAATCATTGCGCTTGTGAGGCTTCTTGATGGCAATTGCCACATCTTCCTCCACGATGTCCTTGCGCCTCGACCGACCAATTCCCGCGCTGTCTTCATGCTGGTATCTTTACAAATCTTACAGTCCTAGTCCTCCTAATTCTTTCCCTACCTATCCTGTTCAACGCCGTGAGCGACGATCATCGTGACCCTTCTCCTCTCTCTTCTGCCTCTTTCGGGACTCTGCCGCAATCATCTCACTGAGATCATCTTGATCAATACTCTGCCACTGTCCCTGCATCTCCGCTTTTCTCTGCGCCTCGTACTGTTTCCTCAAAGCCTCCTTGTCCAACTTGTCGCTGTCCGCCAGAGCATCCACATCGACCGAGATATCGACATCACCAGCTTTGCGCTTGCGCTCGCCCGCTCCAAAATTATCCCGTCGAGCAGCATCAAGATCATAGGCATGTTCACCACCGAAGAAACCCGTGGACTGGATATTCTTCTCTGGGAGCACCTGGAAGGCGCTACGCGGCGCACCAGGCTCTTCGGTCTCGATGCCCTTGCGCTGCTTGCGCAACGTAAATTCACCACCAATAGTTTCTGTTCCGCCGATTTCTGAGGGAACAGCAGAAGCAGAGGTCATCGAGGTCTGAATGCCAGAAGCATCCTCCTGACCTTCCTCTTCCTCCTCTTCCTCATCGTCCTCCTCTTCGTCGCTCTCTTCTTCGTCACTCTCCCCTTCTGCGCGCAAGACGCCCCAGATACTACGCTCTACAGGCTCGCCATGCTGCGTTGGAGCGGATTGCTCCGTCAAAACACCCTGACCGAGAGGATCACCACCCCACTGTGGGCGATGCGTAGTGTCATCGATGGGTGGTCTACCCCACTGACCCGGGTTGAATCCCCAAGAAGCGCCAGGGGGTATGGGCGCATTCACGCCGGGGATTTTCAGACTCGGATATGACGGAGGAGTGCCGAAACGCTGCTGATTGATTAGCCATGGCGGAGGCTGACCAGGGCCCATGCCCAACGCATCCTTCAGTTCCTCGCTCAGCACACCTGGCTTCAGGTGAACCAGGTTGGTCTCAAACTCTTTGCCCTCGTAATAGACTTCTCCATAGCGCGTCATCTCAGGCTTGGTCTGCCTTCGGAAGAAGGCGTCGTAGAGCTTGCCATAGTCCATGTCGAACTTTCCAAGTTTTCCCTGCACGCGCTCCCGCTGCTTCTGTTTCAAGGTCATCTCTGCTTGTTTCTCGAGAACTGCTTCTCGCATCTCGGAGATTCCGGTTTCCTGAATGAACTTTGGTAGCGCGAACGGTGGCTTCTCGATACCACGCTTCGATGAAAGGTACTCACGCTTGAGTGACCAATGGTTCGGAACAGGGACGACGTTCTTGTAGCCTTTGATAGCAATCAGCAGACGAGGATCTGAGGAGGTCGGATCGGTCCACTCCACGAGCTCCGGCTTTGCAACCGACGCCTTGAGCTGTGCCACAGACATCTTGTTCATCTGTTTCCGCTGCTTCTTCGAGATCTTCTTCGCGGAATCATCGTCTTCGTCGGGAATGTCATCATCGTCGTAGTAGATCTCAGGTTTGTCTTCGTCCTTTGCTGCCTCTTCGGCAGTGGGCTCGCGGAATTTTTCGAACACGTTCTTGTACTGCTCAAATAGTGGGTTATCAAGGTCATAAGCATTCGCGAAGTCGTCAGCGCTCAGAAGGTCCGCGGATCGGACCGCCTGTTCATCGTTATTGGTCTTGTCGTCGGGAGCAGGAGATTCGCTCTCACGCGCAGAGTCGCCGGCCTCAGATGGGGTCTCCTATTGGCAAATTAGTATTGTTGTAGGGTAGGCTGGGGTCGCCAAACTTACAGCGCGCTGTGCCTTCTTCTTTGCCCGACGATACGCGTTCTTTGACGCCTTCTTGGAACCAGGAGCGGTAGTAGAGCCGTTCGGCATCATGGCGGTGGCGGTCGCCATTTCGAGTGATAGCAGCCCGCTACGCGGCGAAGGTTAGGTTAGATGTTCAGGTAGCCTGCGAGTAGGCTCTTAGAGACGGTAAACGAACCAGGCCTTGAGCTATCTCGCGAGTGACGCGGCGCGACTGCGCGATTAAAGTAGCAGGTCGCGGTGTGGGAGGGGGTCGTTGAAGGTGTGGAAAGCGGAGCAGGCGAGGTGAATTTGGCGACGGCAGCGCCTACCCCGAATCGCGGCTTGGCGTCACATGATCACAATCGAACCTTGGAACCCTGGAACTCGGAAATGCTCGAGCGCTTCTTCCTACCTAATCACATCTTCGATTAATTTGATTATCAATTTTCGCTGTGGGAGATAGATTCATGAATACGAATATATTCTGGAGTATGTGCTCTCGATATCTGTGCATATCGGCTGATGCTATACCCTCTCCCACGTTCGAGTCAATCGATTCCAATTGATTACTCGAAATCTGTGAACATCTATCTATAGACGACTGTCAGGCTCGAACTTCTTCCCCCAGAAACCCCGGAAGTGCTTCTGCTGACCAGCCTCGTTGATCTGCTTGATCTCATTGGGCGTCAACTTGAAAGTCAAGGCCCTCAAATAGTCGCTCAGTCGCTGCTCTTTGCTTGAAGTCGTGATCGGTACGATGTCCTGATCGATGCACCATCGGAGACTGATCTCGCCTGCACTGACGGCGTATTTCTTTTCGAGGCCAGCAATAACGTCGTCGACTGGACCGGGCGCTGCTCTGGTGACTGCGGTGAGAGGTCCGTAAGCCGTGGTAGCAATTCCGTGCTTCTTGTGGTAATCCAGAAGCTCCAGACGTTGGAGGTAAGGATGGAACTCAATTTGGTTGACGGCGGGCTTGACTTGAGCGGTCTTCAGCACGGAATCGAGGTCCTGAGGTCGGTAGTTGGAAACACCGATGGTCTTCACGAGACCAGACTTCTGCAGCGCTTCCATCTCAGCCCACGAATTCTGTAGATCCTGCTCCGACTTCGCCCAGAAGGGTGAGTGGATGAGGTAGCTGTAGGAGTCAGCTTCGTACATGAGGGCCAAAAAGTGCCAACGGGAGCAAAACTCACAGGTCGACATAATCCAGCTGGAGTTTCTTCAAGCTCTCTTTGAGCGCCCGCTCAATGTCACCCGCCTGGCCTGTAGGTTCCCATACCTTGGTGGTGACGAAAAGCTTACTGCGGTCAACACCGCTCTCCTTAATAGCTTGGCCAAGCTCAGTCTCGTTTTTGTATGCTGCAAAATGGTTAGTCACTTAACAATTGGTGCAATGAATGAGTATTAGTCTCCGATTCGTGTACCCATGACATTTTTCGAAAAGTATCTGTTTGGTAACCAACGGTAGGCTCTTGCGTGGCAAACTTGCACAACTCACATTCCGCGCCATCAAGATGGTAGTACCCAAGCTTGATAGCAGTCTTCACACCGTCAATAATCGCCTGATCGACCTTCCCTTGCTCTTTCTTTCCCCAAGCCGTACCAACGCCATATCCAATCATAGGAATGGCGGCTCCACTGTTGAGCTTCAGAGCCGGAATTGTGATGTCTAGATTGGCCATATTGGAAATACTTTTTTCGCTCAATATTACTGGGGGAAGCTCGGCGCGTTTGCAGGCTATCGCGAGTACAGGGAGGTGACAACGATGGGGCAGTATGGATGAGTGACGCAGGACACGATGAGGCACACACTTCAGCATGCAGAATGTATTGATGCTTTATGGAGATGTCGGAGGGAAATCGGAGATGAGCGTCAGCAATTGTGACTCAAGGAAAGCAGAGGTGTAGCTATTATGAATCCGTACTGAGGGCGGAACATTGCCGATGGCCGAAGGTGGGGTGTGGACGCTACCAATGACGTGATGCACGCCGATAAAGCAGCTCCATCCCAGGAAGACGCGGCTGCGGCTCTTCGTATCCATGCATTCTGAGCGATCTGCTTTGCATAATCTAGTAAATTGCTATGCTGCGCGAGTGTATGCCATGCCAGTGGACAGGGCGAGCAGAACTTGCTGAGTCATGTTCACAGGATAGAAGAAGCTAGCCATCCTAAAGCATCTTGCACCTTCGCAGTCTCGAGAGCCATGAGAAATAACTTACAATGGGCGACACAAAAAGCCGAACTTTAAGGTACCAGATTCTCAGCTCTCTATGTCGGACATTAGACAATCAGCTATAAGCTAAGTATCTAATAGTACAGCCTAGGATAACTCGCTCTATAATACAAGTTCGAAGTTACAAACTAATGATATACCGCCGTATCTCACGTTGGCGCAAGAGCCGGTTCTCCATTCTCGTGAGTCAAACCGCATCTCCATCGACGATATCGGCCCCTATGATAACGCAGGCGCTTTAGCTGTGGGGGCGAAACACCAACGTAGTAAAACTCCTCGCAGCAGAATGAGTCAACCCAAGCTATCGGAGCATCGCAGGGCCAAAGCGCTTCAATCAACGAATGTTTAGAAATCATTTCCTCATCTATGTATCCTACATCGCAACTACACCACCACACAGCAAAGCTAGCTGGTGATGACTCAGTCTCCACGTCCACGCGATGCGCTGTCCAGGCCAGGTCCCCGGCCGCACAGCAGGTATATAACAGAACACAAAAGCAATAGGAAAGGAAGGCCTCCTGTGAAGACGCCAACGCGCCCCGTAGTTTACAGCTTTAGATTTGCATAGTGGTATTAGTGCTCGTTGAAATAAACGGTTCCTCTTCCTTCCTTAACGCCGATATCATAAAGCTCTTTGGGGTATCAATGTAATTCTACGCGCTACGCGCTCTTCTCGTGTTGTGTCGACACGCGCTGAAGGGAGACGACGAAGTCCTCCAACGAGCGCTGCTTCTGGTCTTTCTTGGGCGACTTGCCGTGCATGAGGTTGTCGAAGCCCTGGCTACCTTGAAGGAGGTAGTAGATGCCGCCCATGACGCAGAAGACGCCGAAAGAGAAGATCCAGATGCGCACGACGGCGACGATGCTGGTTTTGCCGCCGACGAACCAGCCGAAGATGCAGAACAAGGTGGCGAGGATGTCGACGACTAAGATGGCGCCGGACAGCTGCCACGAGGGGATGGAAGACCAGAAGGGGCCGTTGGCGCGGGTGATGAAGATGAGCCAGTTCTCGGTGAGGGAGATCTCGAGGAAGAGAACTTCGTCGCGAACACCGAAGTTTTGGACGATACCGCCAGCAACACCTTGGCCGTTCGCGAGGGTATCGTTCTGATGAGCGAACATGGTGGTGAGGGTGATCCAGGTACCGACTGCGAGAACGACACCGAGCAGGACAGACATACCCCAGAGCTTGGGCAGGTTCCATTTTACAGGCGTCTTGCTGAAGGGGGCATTGTCGTAGGCGATGGCGAGGGTGGCGATGTCGGCGAAGATGGCGATGAAGACGACAAGCTCCAAGTTGAGCGACGTGTTCAAGATGGCGATCCATAGGCCAAGGAAGATTTCCAGATGCAGCGACAAGGCGATACGGTAGACGACGTACGCGTACATGCGGTGGAAGATCTGGCGCGAAGTCTTGAGCGCATCGATAATAGCAGAGAGGCCGGGGGCAAGGAACACAATGTCGGCAGCTGAGCGAGCAGCATCGGAGGCGCCCTCAACAGCAATACCGGTATCAGCCTTCTTTAGCGAGGGGGCATCGTTCACACCGTCACCTGTCATGGCGACAAGGTAGCCACGCTGCTGGAGGATCTCAACGACATTGTACTTGTGTTGAGGGAACACCTCAGCGAAACCGTCAGCCGCCTCCACAAAATCGTAGACTTCAGAGCCGGGCATTTCACCGCCGCCACCAAGACCGAGGCGCTCAGCGTTGTAGATGTTCGTTCCGAGACCGAGCTGGCGAGAAGTTTCCCTAGCAATGCCAACAGCATCACCAGTCAACATCTTGATGGAAAGACCAAGAGTCCTAGCCTCGTTGACAGTGCGGCCAGTGTCGTGACGCGGAGGATCGGAGCAGGGCATGATACCAAGGATTTCCCAGCCGTTGTTGCCGCGCTTGCGAGCAACACCTAGAGAGCGGAAACCACGCGTGGCGAATTCGGCGACCTTGTTCTTGTATGCTTCGTCGATAGCCTCGGGAATGGGGTGGTCCTCTTCGACGGTCTTGAGCACGAAAAGGGGAGCGCCCTTGACACAGATGATGCGCTCACCCTGGGGTGACTCAACGACGGCTTGGACCTTCTTGGACACGGGGTCGAACGGGTGGAAGTCGACAACCTTGTACTTGCTAAGCACATTTTTAGCCCTCGGGTAGAATCTCAGGGACTTGAGGAAGGCCTTGTCGATGGCATCGATACCCTTCTTTTTGCGGGATGCGGCCAAGCAGGCAGTAAGCATGAGATCTTCGGGATCGACACCGGAGACCGTATAGGGCTCGGCAAGAGACAGCTTGTTCTTAGTCAGGGTACCAGTCTTGTCAGAGCAGAGGATCTCCACACCAGCAAGAGACTCAATGGCGCTGAGCTTCTGAACAATAGCCTGCTTCTTGGCGAGGTAGGCGGCTCCGACAGCCATGGTAGTGGTGACGACAGCGGGAAGACCGACAGGAACACCAATGATGGTGATAGCCAGGGTGAACTCGAGGATGTGGACGATTCCGTTGGAGCGGTAGAAAGAACTGATCCAGACAACCAAGAGGGTGAGGATGACCAAAACCAGAAGAACCGTCCCGATGCCGTTGAGAACCTCGGTGAAGTGACCGGTGCCGCTAGAAGCGCTCGCAACGAGAGAAGCAGCGCGGCCAACGAAGGTTGAGTCACCCGTGGCGGTGACGACAATGAAAGCCTCACCACGCTTGACGGCGGATGATTGATAACAGACATCGCCCTTGTGCTTATCGACAGCGAGGGACTCTCCGGTGATGGCGGACTGGTCGACTTGGAGGAAGGCATCGTCGGTGATGATGCGACCGTCGGCGGGGATAATGGTACCTTCCTCAACTTGAAGGATATCACCAGGAACGATTTCCGGAGCCTCGACTTCGACAAGTAGACCATCACGGAGGACAGTGGCTTTGAGAGCGAGCGTCTTCTTCAGTTCTGCGACAATGGAACCGGCCTGGTACTCTTGGATGAAACCAACGCAGGCATTGAGCAGAAGCAGGGCGCAGATGACACCAAAATCGACCCAATCCTGAAGACCGGCAGCCAAGACGGCAGCCGCCTCCATGACGAACTGAATGGGGCCGACGAAGAACATGAGGAATTTGAGAATCAGGTTCTCCTTCTCCTCTGCGCGAGGTTAGCATGTGCAATATATGTGATTTAAGAGGGCATGTCTACCCTTCATCTGATTGAGACCGAACTTCTTGCGGCGCGAGGTGACTTCGCTGGCAGTCAGACCGATTCGCACATCGGTCTGCAACAGCTCCTCGGGAACGACACGAGCGGAACCCGCTTGGACCTCCTCCTCCTCATCGTAGTCGACACCAGCATCTTGCGACTCGAGCTCCTCAATCAGAGCATCAATGTCCTCGTCGTCCTCTTCATCATCGATTCCGTTGACCTTGGGAGGCAAGGCTTTCTCGTCATACTCCCTCCTGTCGTTCTGCGCCTTCGTTAGTTGGTGCGTCTCAGTGGCAGTCAGCAGCGTGGTGCCTCGCGGATGACTTACGAACGACATATTGTCGAGGTGGTTAGTGCACTACATGGGTGAGCTTGAGCTTTGACGCGTGACGGTGGCTGGCTTACCTCGGCCGTTGTGGCTCTCGCAGTAGTCGAAAGTTACTTGAAGCTGATAGTAGCCGGAGTGGTCCTACAGTATACTGGGGTTTGGAACCGCTTTGGGCGCTTCTGCGATGGTATGCGCGAGACTTTTTAACCTGGATGCAAGAAATTAGTTATGTTTACCAGGGCCAAACCAAAAATGCTTTTCTGTTGTTGGGCGCACGGGCCGAATGGAAGCTTCGAAGCTCCGAAGCTGCAACCGTGGGTGAGGGAGAGAAGACGCGCTCAAATGTGCTCGATGATATGTTCGTTGGGTCAACGAATATCGGTACGTACCTCAGGTTGCAGACCCAGCTGCAATTGGGTCCGTCTCGCCGTGACGGGAGCCAAAAGGGAGGCGAGTGAGGCAGACAAGGGAGGACAGCAACAACTCAGCTGGAGGGCAAGTTCCTGAGGGCGTAGAGGCCACTTTATGGAGTTGCAGACTTGGCTTCCACAAACCAACGCACTAGGACCTGTCGGCCGCTGGGAGGAGCCTATCCCGGCGCTCGAGCGAACGTGCGTGGGTGAAAGTGTAGGGGTGCGCCTCTGCAATCCCGCCGTCTCGTTTGGATCGCCCAGCCAGCAGGTATGTGCTTCTTGTCGCTCGCGGCAGGTGCCTGCGCAGATCGATGTCTTGGCCCGGCTCTTTCTGTGCCTCAGCGCCGAGCTGCTCAAACAGGCGTGAAGCAGTTGAGGCTGCGAACCGCCGAGAACCTTCACCCTCGCCTTCAACGCCCCCAAACCGCTGTCGCGCGCTGCCTGTTAGCGGCCGGGCGGCATCGACAAGGATGGCGCGCTCTTGGCGGTGCCCCGGAGTCGATGGCGCGTCACTACGACGACGCCAACCCTGCGAAGAATGCTCCATTGCCCACGCTGGGCGGTTGTGCCCGCGCGCGGTCTCGGTGCGGCTCCACGGTAATCTGGCTCCGCTAAATGACCACCTCCACAAATACGGAACTCGGCCGCTCTACTGCGCGGTGCTGCAACTTCACTCTGGGACCATCTACATCCACGTACAGCCGTCTTGTCCAGCTGGGCGCGTGAACAACCTACAGATGGCCGGGACGAGCGAATACATTGACCTCAAGAGCGCGATTTTCCAAAGCTCGTCTTGGCTGCGACCCACGCAATGTCAAGTCACCGCCAAGAAGGTTTGTTTCGAATCACATGCCCCAGCGTCCGCGAAACTTTGAGGGCCTCAAACTCCACATCTTCGCAAACGCTCGTGCCTCTTACCCGGGCAAGGTCCAAGGTGCCTGTCAAATTTCACAAGCTCAGCACTGTGCAGGTGTTGCATACCCCGCGACTGCTCCATATTCCGCTCACACGTTTCATGGCTGTGCGGTACTTCGCCGACGCTCCAAGGCCCAGCAACTCTACCAGCTTCGTTCTGTGTCTCCACGCCAAGCACCTGTAGCACCACATCGCGAGCCGGTTACAATTGTGCGCATGCCAATACCGGAATGAGAAGATCCGCCGGCTGTGCGATGACCGCCCGAGAAATCCCGTCTCGATATATGAACATGGACAACACCGTCGCTGGAGTGCAGCCTCGTTCTTGTATCCATGTCGCTTGGCCGTCTTGGGGCATTTTACCATTTGGACTTCGATGAGGATTTCATGCCCGACAGGGGCACATCGGTTCACGAGCTAACGCGCTAGAACGCCGACTCCTCGCACATCAAACAGATAGAGCCGCCAGGGCTTGGCCGTGGGCTTGGTAGTCAAAATGTCCTATCGCGACTCGTCCGGTCCATTGCCTCTGCGATACCCTTACGTGCATGACCGGTGGTGGCACGCAAGACACCGCCGAGACCTACATAGCAAAGGTCATGTCGACTCGAGCGCCGCCGACCCTGGCTTGACCTCTGTATCCTGATTTGATCTCTCAGTAGCAGCCAGTTGCGATATTGACTTCGGCGCAGAACATTGCTGCACGTCGAGGTGCGAGCATCGCGACTTCCTTGAGGTAGGCCTAGCGTAAAATGCCCTGCATGCGCGAGCTTCAGCCACAAGCAGCGCCCGCGGCCGACGAAGAATACCAGGTGATGCCTGTGCGACATCTACTCTTCACGAACACGGAATGGCATCAGCATCCGATAGCGCTTCCAAGAAATTGATATGCGAGGGTGTTCTTCCTGAGAGGTTTTACCTCTTCCTAATTGGACAACACTGGTCCATCCCGTTGCTCTGAGCTTGGCTGCAACGCAGATAAGCGACTCGTGTACACTCACCACACGGTCCGTCTTGCAGCAAGGTGTAGGCTGAAACCCGAAAGAAGCCTGTTCGATTCTTCCTGTTCTTGTATGCGTTACGACTTCGCTATCACGGTTTCAGCAGGTTACTCACGTTCGAATGCATCGCGCCGACGTGATCTACAAGGGAGCACATTATCTTCGACCCACTAATGCGCCAAGCCACTGCCAATTCACATCAAGACTCCATGATGGTCATGATGGTCATGGCTGGGCGAGAAAAGAAGCTTCCAAGTCGCCATTATCTGCTCTCAAATAGGTTTGAACGAGCGACCAAGTAAACAACCATCCACGGCATAATACCATTACGATCGACAAGAAAATCAATTCTTATATGCTTCATGCTATGGGCAAGCATAGTATGGGAGACGAGACTGACAAGATTATACCACACAATCCTCGCGGTTATAGTTCCAGGAATACATCTGCGTACCATTGACTGTGTCCTCGCCGCAACAGTTGTCTTCCGCAAGGCTCGGCATACTTTGCGACACCATTGGCGTCTGGATCATCTGCCCTTGGAGCAATAGCATCACGGCAGCAGCACAGCACAAAGAAGTCAACCCGGCGTAACATGAACGTCTGGGGAAGCTTGACGATCCCTCGATCACTTGAAGCCAAGCCTACCATTGTGCTTCCTGCTCTACTGAGACTCTTGTGAGGAAAGCCAAGATACGGCAGCACTTCGTGGACCCTTGGGCTTGATAGAATCAATGCGGATCGCGTTGCCTGATACTGAGGTTACCTTGAAGGCATCCACAGCACAGCAAAGGTGGTGGCACGCGTATGCTTGTCACACTGAGTACGGCTATACCGAGTCGTAACACGTTTCTAATGCGCCCTTCACTTCGACTGTATGAAGGCCTGCTCTTCGTTGTGTGTGGTTCCTTCTAGAGGCTTCGCTGTACACTTTCGATGATCGGAGCGCCGATCTTGTTATGTTTCATCGTCATGTACCCTGCCAAGTTCAATCGCTGTCGGTAGTTGCACCGTTGTAAGAGGTTTGATGATCTGGAAGCCTCACGGAAGCTTCCATGCCTGCAGTTAATCATTTGGCGTTTCTAAGCGGCAAGAGCATGCAGCCTGATAGAAAGCGCTCCGCCAAGGACTGTGAAGCATTGCCGTGGCAGCTGCTGTCTGATGGCGCTTGGCACCACTGACCACGTAGTCCCTACAACCATCAAACACCTGCGCGCGCGGATCTGAAAAGCTTTGACTTCCCCAGGGTCTCGCCAAGTCCGGGGCATCCAGATCCTCCCTCTCGAGTACCGATATCAGGTATGATTGTGCGCCCTTGGCGAGTTTGAAGTCTTCATCAAGAGTGCGTGGCAAGAGCTTCGGAGTGGCTTGGCAGCTTAGGAAGGTAAGGGGTCTGTAAGTTGGGCTGAATTGGGCGTTGGTAGGAATCTAGTGCGCTCGCTGTTATTGTCGATTATACGACCGTTTCCCCAGACATTCTGACGGACACGCGGAGATTTCGACAAAGTGATCTAACATCAGTAGTAGTGAACGCACGCCCAGGACAAACCAAGACGTGGTACTATAGCAGCTTTCCTGGAGAATCTCTGCGAGACGATCATTATCGAGACTTCCTTTACCCCGAGCCTCGTGATCTGCGCTCGACCGAAAGATTGGCATTTCGTGTCGCCGTAAACCGCCTGCTGCACATATCTTCAGCGTACGCTCTCGGGTGCCAAACAAGCACTGTTGATCATATCAAGCAATTATGTGAGGTGCAAGTGGGCTCCTGAGGCCCGCACCGATGCTCAAGCTGTAGGGGAGGCAATGCACATTGACAATGCGGCGAGTGTCCGCAAACACATGGCATGCGCTCCGCTGCCCAGAAGAAGCTGAAGGAAAGCCATGTTCCGCAGCTGTAAGATAAGAACGAACAAGCAACTATGTAAGCGATGGTGGCAGTATCGCTTCAAAGCGCTCGAACATGACTCATGACTATAACCTACGTCAGACTCAGACAGCTTTCTTGAGCATGCTAGCACTCTAAGAATACACCTACACAGGACTATACAACAAGTATCGCACCAACCGCCGTAAGTAACAGAATAGATTGGAGATCTACCTTCGCCACAGATCCCACTGTTTTACCACTAGACATGCAACATGAGGCCTATAACGAAAGATCGACAGATCGGTGCGAAATCTGATATCGCACGATCGACTTCGAGCTTCGGCATCTGTCCGCGAGTTCTAGTAATAGCGCAGTCACTTTAACGTCAGTAGCGAACCCGGTTGTCGCGTCATGGAGGGAGGTGATGTTGGATTTCCCAGTCATGCTTCACTTTGAACGAAAGATTGAGTCACCCGATTATGCATCGTTCATTATGCGCGTCACCGTTATCTCAGCATTTTCATTTCTGCAAAATAAGTACTCTTCATGTCTTTATGTCCCAAGAAGGCGGATTGATCCCCTTTGCTCTATCATGTCCATGTTTTACTCGTCATCCTGAAAATCACAGTCACATGTTTCCGCACTGTGACTTTTCGCGTGTCTTCCCACGATGATGAGCAAGATTACACTCTTTCATGGCCGCTATCACAACCTCCATCTTGGATGTCGATGTTGCTGATGGATAACTCCTTCCACTTTTACGCATGCGACTGCTACAACAGTCTTCACCTCACCGCGACGGGCTTCTTCCATGCTTGCCTGGAATAAAAGCTCGGCTTGTTGTTTGTCTCAGCTGAGCCACTGACTACCTCTTCGCACACCTTTTTTGGCACAACAACCTTTACCGCACCCACTCGTTTAACACAACATATTTGATACTATCTTGGCACCTGTTCTTGACGCTCGTTTCGAAGGAGGTCTAGTTTTCTCACGGCCTTGTGGAGATCTTGGAGACGCGGTGTATCAGGCTAGTTTGTGGGCAGAAAGTCTCAGGTATGTCTTGCTCGATTATATATTCACTGACCCTAAGCGCGGAACCTACCAGCAACGCTCTCGCATACGCTGCGTAGACATCAATCGAGCTGACTCACCGACAAGTCGAACCCTCAGACAAAATCAAATACAGATCATACCACGCAGTTCTCGCCTATCAAACTCAAGAAGCACCCCGTCCGTGTATTGATATCACCGGCACTTGCCGCTGCGTTACGGCTGCGAGTGCGCTGGGCGCACAACACATCGCGGCCAGCTTATCGAGATGCAGAACCTGGAAGACTACGATCTGAGCGAAATATTTGGGGAAATGTACGAGGCTGCAGGACAGGCTGCTGAAGGTCACGATGCGACAACAAGTGGTGAGCAAGGCGAAACGGACGATGAGGGCGTACTTACACCTTCAGAAGAGACCTGGGACGAAGACGCTGAGGAAGATATTGGATATGATGAGGATTACAGCGACATAGACAACCATCAGTACACTCCTGGCGATTCTCCCATCCTCGGCAACAACGGAGTGACAGATACAACGCTGTTGCCTCAGCACGGCCAGCGCGATCAGGAAAGGGTAATCCAGACGGAAGCTAGTGCATCATCTGCCATGCCACGAGATTCGATTTCCAATGACTCACCACCGGAGTCTCATCGATCTGGGCTTCCTAGCTATCTCACGGGCCTAACACAGATTGCGTTGAGCGCTGATTATGCTCAAAGACGGCGCGGGTCAACGCCAGCATTAGCGAATGACGACCGTGCCGAGGAGGATCCATCAAGCGATAATACAACTGAGTATGAGCCTGCTCGCTATACTCCAGACAGTAACAGCCCTGCCAGGAGGCACTCCACGCCCGGGGTTCCTAGTGTCGTCGACTTCGTAGCAGAGCTCCGTGCCATTGTCGGAAATGAATGGAATCGTGTACACGGGAACGATCCCGATTGCATCCCAAACCCGTATGATTCAGTCGAAGATTGGGACTCACCTCACGACTGGGACTGGGTGGCATTCCAAAACTACACAAGGTTTCCGCATTTTAGATGGCAGCCCGCCCCAAGCTGATTGAGACTGGGGGCCGCTCACAGCCCACAAGCGTCATTGTCTGCTGGATTCTATGTTCTGGGCATGGTCTAGTGCTTTATCCCTATCAATGAAATCGTCAGTGTTCCACGTTCACCTTTGTCCTTCTTTCACGTCACGCCTCCTTATCCCGCAACACAAAGCTTACCAAAGCGCCACGCACACGTCAAAGAATAACCTCAAAATGCCGTCTGCTAAGAATAAACCACTCCTCGGTTTGTCACGCGCACATTGCTTCTCTTGCCACTTGCTAAACTAGTTGATCTGTGTCTCTACGCCCTCAGCATCTAGATTTCAGCGCAAGTCAACAGCAACCTCTCGTTTCACGTATCGCAATCTAGACTGTACCTTTGAATTCAGACGTAACCTAGAGGACGCAGTAGATACAGTACTACAGAACAATTCACACGTACGTCCTCCGTCTCCAAATCTAGGTCCAGTCGTTGACAATGCGACCAGACCAGCGCACCCACGCCCACCCCTTTACACTCGCACGCACAAGCTACCCACAGCCTTCCCTTCCTCTTTTGGCGATAGAAATCAAAACCTCTCGCGTTACTTCTTCCGCACATGAGTTCACACGCATCCAATAATCAATATATATCCAGCACCGGTGCCAGACCTGTCTCCGAGCCGGAGGAAGTAGTGAGGTCGGAATCATACCGCGAAATTGTGGAAGAGTATCTGTGGATTGTGGGGAGGCAGTGGCAGGGGTATTTGGGGATCCGAATCCGTATCGGGGGCGAGGGAGTGGGAGGGGAGAGTAGGGCGTATAGGCGGTGGATGGAGGAGGGGCGCGGGAGGGGAGTGAGTTTTGAGGGGTGGTGGGATGGGAGGGGTTTTGAGGGGTGGAGGTCTTGAGTGAGGAGAATTAAGATAGGGGAAGGAGGATTTCAAGGACGGGACGAGCGTTTGGGGTTAGTTTTGACGGTTGTGTTGCATAGCGGGAGAAGGGAATTCTATTTGGGATGTGAAGGTGGTATGTGGAGAGGGCTGGTGTTGAGATGGCTTTGGATTTGGTGGAATTATGGCATAGCGTGCAGGATTGTGGTATAGACAATACAAGACAGCAATTTGAATACAACCAGCGATGCTATCTCTATCGTTGTGGAAATAACACAAGCCAATTGCGCATGCCTGTGGACTTGGATGGTGCATCGTGTCCTACATGCGATTATGCGCCAATCGAAGATCGGAATCGAGACAATGAGATACACACGCACCGATCCATTGCCCTTCAAAAAGAGCGAGCAGAACGTGACAACCCTTTATTGGTATGTTTTCGCAGGCTAGTTGAGAAAGGAGGAAACGGCCGTATGGCAATGTCAGGACGACGCCATGTGTGGCTTGTGGAAAGCTAGTCTTGCCTGTTTCTTTGACAATGCCTAAATTTGACAACAGTGACCAGGATGTCCCCATAGTCCGCCCGGTGCACTTTCTTTGATGGATTCATGAAGGACCACGCACTCTTACGCGGTGACTATTCTTTGTCTAACCAGCATCGTCCTCTGCTGGATTTCGGAATCCTTCGCATTTATGATCAGCCACGTGAGGACGGCTGGGTCTAAACTTCGCAAACCAAATCTACAACTTCTATCTTACAAATTTACGAACATTTTTTCGTCATACCTTGCATCAAATCGGTTTACCCTAAAAGTCATCGATACAGGTGTCACAGCGTGTTATACCAGAGTATCGCAGCAATGGCTCGACATCTTCCTACCCGCAAGCGATACACTACACGTCAAACACAGAGGGATTTAGAGGAACTAGGACAGGAGTTTGAATTCTTCGACCCCAGAAAGCCCTTGCGCCATAGTGATCAGATCGAGCACGATAGAAGGGTTAGACTCATGACCGACGACTGGCTAACCCAACTGCAAGGTCAAGCACTTCGTGTAGCACCGCATCTGGGACCCCGTGGGATGAACCAATTCGTCTCCTACCAAAATGCTGTGTTTCAGGCTCTCATGCATGTGCCAATCTTCCTCCAGTGGATCAGCGGGCACCTCACAACGCCAGATTGTACAAGGATGCGATATTGTTTGAAATGCCTCATGAAACTTTTCATACAAGGTTATTGGGGTGCTACACCTCTTCACATTCCTATCTCAGGTAGTAGTCAAGTTCTGTTCAACATTCAACTAGCCGCGTGGGATACCAACCTGTTCTTCGCTTACAATCAGGAAGATCCCATTGAATTCTATCGATGGATTGTTGGAGAAATGGATGACGCTGAGAACGACAGATGGCACGAAGACTGGGAATCTCTGTTCACTATGATCTACCAAGCTTACGAGACGTGCCAAACCTGTAAAAATGACGCTCGAGTCAGGCCCGTTTTGCAACCCCAAATGATGTTAGAAATTCCCATTCAGAATCCATCCACAAGGACCATAAGGGAGGCAATCTTTAGAATATTCGCACGGGATCCGGTGAACTCTCCATGCGGATCTGCACAATGCAGAAACCAGGACCGGAACAAACTCAGGCGACTAGAAACAAAGGCAGCGCCCAGAGCGCTCATAATCAAGCTGAAAATATACGACAACGACGAACAGAAGATCGTCGACAACAACGGGAATCTCCTCCAAGGGCCTAAAGTAGACGAGCGTCTGGATCTTACTCAATACCAGGCCTTCGACTCGGTGTCTCTGCGCTATACATTGTCGAGTGTAATCTCGCACAACGGGCCAAACATTGCTATCGGCCAGGATGTGGTCAGCATCCGCAGCCACCGCGGTTGTACGGATCGCTATTGGAATATCGAGAACACCTCGAGGGTTGTTATTAACCGGAGGGAATTTCTGAGCAACCCTCAAAATCAACCTCTGAGGGTAAACCGATATCAGGTGTACATTTTGACGTACATTAGAGACGAGAAAATACAGGACATAGAGAACATAGAGAGAAGTCGCGAGTTGAGGAACCTAGAGACGACATTTGTATAACACGGAGGTGGAGCTAGCCACAGGGGGAGAAGGGAGAAGATAAGGTGAATTGTCGGTTAACACGAGCAATTTGCTACCATTTCAACATGTATCGAGTGGTCTCTCGATCGTAATGCTTAGCTACTGTATTAATTGTTTGACAATTAGAAATAGATCAATGATTCAGTAGAAAAAGACAATCGTCTATAACTTCATAAGCATGAATGTCCGGAGAATCAAGTGATCCAGTGTTATGCTACACGGAAGTCGTTTACAGACCAGAAGTGCTCCAGCGTGATTTAAGATACCGTAGCGGCATTACTGGTATAGATAGCATACCGCTCCCTCTCCACTTGTAGCCATTAGAGGCAAGATGCAGCGTAGTAAACACCAGAATAGCATGTCTTGCTCAACACGAGCATATGCAAGTGCCACTTCGAGATTTCCATCAACGTGACATGGTCATGATTGTTCAAAAGCCATGTAAGTTTGCCACCATTGAGCTTGTAATAAAAATACGTGCAGCTAGGACAGTCACGAGATAGGTAAAGCCCCGTCGCATCATGCATTATCAAATTTACACCTAGGAACACGAATTCATCGAGGCTCTCGGATGGCTCGACACAAGGCGACAAAGAAGAATGAAGGCACAACGCCATGAACAAGCCATTCGAATGGCTTCCTTTGATCAAATCCAAACATAGTTCGCAATCCATTGACAGTCCGAACAATGCGTTTTTCTATTCTTCTACTATCCATCATCCTTTGTTGCTTCGGTGCGAACTTCTATCCATTCTCAATATTTCTTGTACTTATAAAGCAATGTGAGGATGGCTGGATGTTTTCTCTACCACAGAAATCTTACATTGTACGACTCTCTTCTTGAACACATCCAACTACTTTACATTTCATCTTCATACAAAGCATCTTTATACATTCACTAAGGTCCCTACGATTCCTTTGCACTAAGAATTTGTCGCAATGGCTCGAGTGAAGAAAACATCGAGAAAGCGCGCGAATCGGAACCCTGTGAATCCACCAGCCCCAAACCCACCAGCCCAAAACCCAGGAGCCCAAAACCCAGGAGCCCAAAACCCAGGAGGTCAAAACCCAACAGTCCAAGCTCCACCAGTAGTAGCTGCAAAGAGAGGTAGAAGGACGAGGGCTGCATTGACCGAGGCCGATAAGAGGAGGGAGGGTACTCGTCGTGCGGCCCGTACCGGACGAGTTTTACGCAGCGCAGGCAGTCATACCTTGTTCCCCGCCAACAATGGTGCTGGGCGCACTGAAGTGCAAGTTCAGTATGACCAGACTTCCAGTACGATGGCCAAAGACTGGTTACCTGATCGTCTCCTTTCCAGGACGAACACTCGGGACAAATCCAAGGCTTTAAAGCGTCCCAACCTTAGACCTCGCGGCATCGTGAATCCTGGCAATCACTGTTATATGAATGCGAGTCTCCAAGCTTTCATGCAAATGCCTCAGTTCCTCCAATGGATTCGCACACATACCCGAACGAATGATTGCCCCACGCTACAAACTTTCATCAATGATCAAGGCGAAAACGAGACAATCCAAGGACCTTGTGTAAAGTGCAGCATGAAGGGTTTGGTCGAGGATTACTGGGGTCCGACTGATCCGCAAATTCCGATTTCGAGTGATTCGCGTCATTTGTTAGACCTCAAGAGAGCCGCTTTTGTTGAACAAGAATTCCAGCCTTATGCACAAGCGGATGCATCGGCCTTCGTGGAGTGGCTTCTCCGTAAACTCTTCGAGATCCATGGAAACGTCAACTTCGAGTGGATAACCCAGTTTGAAGCACTCTTCCGGATACTTACCGTACCCTTCGATACATGCCGAGTGTGTGCTATCGTAAATGAGGCCGCAGTGGAAGCCGCGACAGGTCTTACAATCAATGTCCGACCCAACGACAACACCGTAGACGAAGCATTTCAGAACTTTATCGAGAACGACACAGATGCAGAGTACCAATGCCGCTCGAAGACCTGTAAAGGAGCCAATAGATTCAAAGAACGCCGTTGGGCAGTGAGGGCTGCGCCGAGGATACTAAGGGTGACACTAAATATTTTCGCTTACGACGTGAACGCCCAGTACGTCAGAAAGATCATGCATGCACTCACAATTGGGGAGATTTTGGACCTGACGCAGTATCAGGAGTGCACAGTCGTCCCTTTGAGGTACAGGCTTTCGGCTGTCATTCCACACCGAGGGAATAGTGCGGACGCCGGACATTATATTGCCAATGTACGCAGTCAAGGCCCAAATCCCCTCTATAATATCAACGACACCAGGGTGGAATCAATCTCCGGTGCGCAGTTTACATCCAATCCGCATCTCCTTCGGGGTGGCCAAAGCGCTAGATTTCAGGCATATATCTTGACGTACATCCGGGATGAAGCCCCTCTTGAGCAGCACCTTGAATCGACAAATAAAATGGTTGCGACCGATCTCAAAATTGACCGCGGTAAGAAGCCTGTAGTTTGAGCTTGTTGAAGACAATCTCAAGTGGCAGGGCGAAACGATCGTTTCATTCATGTTTTTTTATGTGAATATACGCAGTGCTTTGTTATTTAATCAGTTTATCAATATTGTATAATACTTTAGAGCTGAGCACGACACGTTGATAGATTTATTGATTCATGATTCGGATGTATCACTTCAATACTTGGAATGAGATCGTGATTCATCGTGATATCGCACAGGAGCATAGATCCATAAGTCCCAGAGCTTCTTCACCTATAATAGTAATATCGAAAATGCTATAATACCCATTCGAGACATACGAGGGGCGTGATGACAGAGAGGTCTGGCACAAAGCTGTAACATCTGTATATCATTCTCATAGCTCGGGAAAAAGCCTGCAAGGACTAGCGATCGACGATATCTACTGCACGCAGATTCAAGTCGAAGTCGCTTTGTACACTTCCACATGCCGGTCCCACCTCCTCCTCGCTTACTTCCCCTTTCGCGATCTTCTCCTTCAGCAAACGTACCTCTTCATGGAACCGTCTTCTCTCCTCTTCGCGTTGATCCTTGCTTCCCACGTCCGGCAAGACGCCTAAAGGTGGCTGAAACCACTGCCTGAAGAGCCAAACAGCCAATGTCAGCGTAACGTTCAGTCAGAACCTGTACAACAGGATTTTGTTGCTTACCCTTGCGGAACGGTTCTTCCGTCCACGCCTCGGAAAAGATCTTCTGTTTTTCGACTCCAGGGTTGTCTATCAAGGTACGCTTTGATTTGGGGCGGGGATAGAGGTACGCCATCGTAGACGGCGATAGGAGTGGGCTCGTCTGGTGGCGATGGCAGATATGTCAGGATTCTGAATACCCCGTCTGAACCGAGGTTCCGGACGTATTTGTTATCTGCGGGCTTTTTCAAGGATGACAATACTTCGCGTAGTGAGGTCGTTGGATCATTGGCCTCTATATCCGAAGGCTTAGAGTCATGTTGATCCGGAGCTTGGGGTGCTCCTTTGCCGTGCTCCATAGCGTCGTGATCCAGTGGTGCGTGTAAAGCAGTGGAAGATGATATTTGCAACAGTCCCGGCGTTTCTTCAAGTGCTTATTCCAATGTTGTTCTCGGTTTTAGATGATACGTGATCGACATCTGACAGACGTCAGCTACGGGCGACGGCTAAAGGGGTTACGAGCAAAGTCTCAGGAAGGATTTTGGTGGTTGGAAAGGTTTCTGATGGACGAGAAGATGATTGCAATGAAATCGCAAAGAAGAGGGGAAGTCGGGCGTAGTTATGTCATAGTGCTGACTCACTGCGCGTGACCTGGCCGTCGATCTCAATGCCATAGCCCGCATCGTTGCAACAAAGTCGCGAGGAAGAGGAGAAGTCGGGCGTAAATAGGCCATAGTGAGGCCTAAGGCTGATTCACTGTGAGTGAACATAGCAATCGATCGCGATGCCATAGTCTGCGTGGTTACTAAGAGGTACTGACCCGAAGTATAAAGTCTGCATGATTTGGAGCAGAAAATTGGCCATTCAATCCCAGTTAGCATCTCATCTCATCAATCATCTGCTTCATAGCCGTACCCTGATTTCGGTATGAGATTCTCGTCTTTCGCATCTGTCGGCGCGACACTTCTGTTGGTAGCAACAGTCAAGGCCGAACCCGTGCGTCCTTTTAATCTCCATATAGAGTTTCCGATCAATACTGACCATTGCATCTAGTCGTACGCCGAAACCATCGGGTCGCTCCAAGCCGGTGAGGGCATTCGAATGCTAGGCCGTGACGGCGTGCTCCGTAGGCTCAACGACGCGCGAGACGCCGTTGTCGACCATGTCCAGCTCTCTCCAGACCACATCGCTGAATATACCAAGCGCTTTCCATCTGAAGCGCGCGAGCTCTGGGCCGGTGTTGATGGTCGCGCAGTCACTGCGGAGGAACAACTGTGGGCGGTCCCTGAAGACGTCCCCCCTCGCAACCCGAGTGTTGCAATGTCCAAGAAGGAGTCATCGCCACTGGAAAAAAGAGAAGACTGTACCAGTTATCCGTGTGAGACTTCACAGGAGTGTCAAGATGAATATCCGCCTTGCCAAGAATGCGACGTCTACAGCTATGATTGTTATGCATCGGGCTGCAATAGGGTTCTGAGGTGCATGAACACAATCTAAGGAGCATTTGTATGGAACTCCTTGGCATGTGTGCATAATAGAGAACGGAATATGTAGTATCAACATTCGCTTATTCTATAATTACATTCTTTCTCGTTACTTTACTATATACTAGTCGCCACCAACTCTCTTTTTTTTGGATTCAAATAGAGGAGTAAGTCATACTGGAATATAAAGTCTTCAAGTGCATTATATACTCTATAGTAGAGGTTAAGTTGAGCTAATTATCCCTGTGAGCCTAGACTGTACTTTACTACGCCTAGTAAACTATAAAGCTCAAGTAAGCTAGGTTATAGGTACTGCTACCTGCAAATGCAGAACTAACTTACGGTTTTGCGCTTAGTTTGCCTGCGTCGTATCTACACACTCTAGAACCTACCAAGTAGCATAGTAATGTAACGAAAGCTATTTTCTGTACAAGTGCGGAGTGAGCATTGCGAAGGTCCGGGAGGGAAAGCGTCTCGCTACGCAGTGTGTCTCGCCTCGCAGTGGGGGACGTTAGAGCAGATACTAGGTCTGGATGAAAAAGTGTCCTATTACGCAGGGTGTCCCGTCACGCGTAGGAATGTACATTAGAACGTAAGTGATTGCATTTTAGATAACATAATATCGACGAGATCGATGTGAGCCCATTGCGTCATAGGCCAGTGAGTGAATCGTGGAAGCCTCGCCAACAATACTACACAAAGCGGCAAAAGAGAACGAGAGTGAAGCAGAACGCCTTGAATAGATCGTTCTTATTGTCTTCTGTGTTCTGTGTTCTGATCTAAATTTATCTGAGAAGTCACTTCACAATGCAAGCACCTTGTTTGTCTATTGTCGCTTTGTGTCAGTGCACTCCTGAACAATGCTTTGTTTGGAGAGAATAATCTTTAACGATGTAGAGCCGTCTCCTCATTCACCTTGACAGACGGTGGTTATAGGCAGTCCGGCCGAGTTTGAGATCGTCCACAACCCATCGTACCCAAACTAAAACTTCTTTCTACTTTTATATCGTTTCAAGGACTCTGGATACGGTACACACTGCTTCGCATAAAACACCGATCGAAAGACATCTCCCACTATGGCCCCGAAGAGAAGCAAGGCTGGACCTGCAAATCGACCCACAAATAGGCCAGGGTTGATAGCACGAGCGCATACCACACGTCGAGCTCTACGTAGCGCAGGTTTTCGATTTGCTCTAGATGGATCCGGACGTACCGCTATTCAAGCAGAGCGCGACGAGTTCGCCAGCAATATGAACAAAGATTGGCTACCCCGGAATTTGGATGGAAGTCCTCGTCAACGCCCAAATCGCAATCCTCGGGGCATAGAGAATCCTTTTTCTCACTGCTACATCAATGCAGTACTGCAGGATTTTATGCACACGCCCATTTTCTTGAATTGGATCCGGACGCACACTCGCGATGGAACCTGCGCAGAGAACTGCCTAAAGTGTAACATTAAAGGCCTGGTTGAAGATTACTGGGGACCGCTCCCTCCAGCACAGCCAATCGGAGAAACGAATGACTATCTTGTCGGTATCAAGACTGCTGCGTGGGATACTTCACTCTTCCTAGAAGCCTTCCAGGATGATGCAAACAACTTTTACGAATTCTTTTTGTTCAGTGATGAGCATGGCCTCGCCGCCGGGGACAGCGAGTGGAAGAGGGAATTCGATGCCATCTTTGGAGTCGAGATTGTACCATTTGACACATGCTACGAATGCGGCGTCGAGCGGATGAGGACGGTCGAACCTACAACAGGTCTCATCATCCCCTTCCCACCTGATATGCCCAATAGCCTTGCGGGGGCAATTCACCATGCCTTCGCAGTCGAACAGCTGAAAGAGTACCATTGTGAGACTCCCAGTTGCCATAGACTGCGGCGCACTAAGTATAAGGGACATGACGGCCCACCACAATCCCGCCGTAAAGTCTTAAGGAAGGCGCCAAGGGTACTCAAGATCAGGATTCTCATCGGAGAGGACGGTGCTCAGTACGGCAATAAGAGGTTTGACACGCTGGCGATTGACGAGCATCTGGACCTCGGGCAGTACCAAGAGAGTGATAGCGCAAAGGCGCCGTTGACGTATCAACTGTCGACTGTTGTATCGCACTCCGGCGAGTCACTAGATGCTGGACATTACATCGTCAGTGTACGCAACCCAGGCGATAGACCGTACTATAATATCAGCGACGACGACTGGGTGGAACCTATCAGTCGCCAGCAATTCACCGCCAATCCTCAGGGAAACCGCAGAACCGAGAGCGAACAATTTGAAGTGTACACGCTCACGTATATCATGGATGAACACGCGCCGGCCGTCGAACGACCCATGAAACGCATGCTAAAGGAGCTTCTTTGAGGGGCGCAAGTTGACAAGGCTGGCGCATTCGTTCGATCACTTTTCCTGTTGTTGTTCGCCCTTCATGTCAATTCTATATTGTAGTATTAGTAGCTCGTATAATTTCAATGAGTTGCAGCAAGGAGTCAAAGTCCTATTCCCACGCCTTCGAAGTTCACCCAGTCTCCACTTAGCGTCTTGGCACCCACGCCAATTGGCCCGTCATCAACCTCTTTCGCCTTCTACCTCGCACGTATATGCCTTACCATCGCATTCAAAATGGCTGATGCAGAGCCTCAAGGCGCTGCCTACGAGGAAGAGCATGTGCACACCGTCTACGAACAGATAGCCTCACATTTTTCAGCCACCCGCTACAAGGTGTGCGTCATCCGTTCCACCCCTCGCGCACATGACTAATATTCACCAGCCATGGCCGATAATCGAGAAATTCCTCAAAGAATTACCGGACGGAGCTGTAGGCGCAGACGTCGGCTGCGGCAATGGCAAGTACCTTGCTGTGAACCCTCGAGTTTTTATGGTGGCGTCGGATCGGTACATTGCCCTAGCCAACTCTGCCATATCGCTACTGACATACGGCAAGGTCAACCAATCTTGTAAAAATCGCAAAACAGCATCAGCCCCATGCCAGTATAGTAGCAGACATCATGAATCTCCCACATCCAAGGCACAGTCTGGACTTCGCCATTTCAATAGCAGTCATTCATCACATATCCACCCCAGAACGGCGAATAGAAGCTGTGAAAGCCATTCTAGAGCTTTTGCGGCCGCCTTCAGCGAGTGAGCCAGGGAGTGGCGGGCGAGCCTTGATCTACGTGTGGGCGCTGGAGCAAAAGGATAGTAGGAGAGGGTGGGATGAGGGAAACGAGCAGGACGTCATGGTGCCGTGGGTGATGCGGGCGAAAAAAGAGAAGGAAGCGAAGAAGAAGAAGGGACAGGAATCTCAAGAAGCACCCAAGGAGGGCGAGCAGCCGCCTGAACAGCCTCAGGACAAGACGTTCCTGCGGTATTATCACTTGTATCGGAAAGGCGAGCTGGAGGAGATTATCGAAGAGGCGGGTGGGGATACGGTCGAGGCAGGTTATGACAAGGACAACTGGTGGGCGATTGTTCAGCGGAAGTCCTAGGGCTCGCACTGAGTCTGGGAGCTGAAAGTACAAAACAACAACAATCATGATCAAGCCATTGTTGATGTTGATGTGTCTTTTACAAAGAGTCTACTTCGAACGTCTAGCTGGGCTACGATTGTCACGATCTGGCTAACATATTGTGGCGCCCAGGGGATTAAGTGGTCTTCACAAGGAGATCTCCATTTCTACATCAAATTCTGGGCAACCTCTCTCTTATAACACTGTTAACTGGCGTCGGTAGAGGGAGCTCCAGGCCAGGTACCAAAAAGCATCAAACGAAAAAGGAAGGCCAGAGCAGCTTTGCTTCCCCTATGTACTGTAAGCTCTATCCACCTTCATGTACTAAAGCATACTGTTGATTCCATTCGCTTGTCAATGAGCCCACAACGACAGTTCTTTTACTTACCAACACACTACTCTACCCTTCCATCAATCTACCACATACACAAATTGTAGCATGCATTTCGCCCCCCAATGAGTAGACTTGGACATCCTTCTGCACTTCCCTTGACTTTCACTCAGAGGTGTACCTTCCCCCACCCCGCTACCTCAAGACGACGTTATTTCCTCCATTCGCGTTCCTAAAAGCCAAACCATCCAGAGATTCCCCAGCGCAGAGTCAATCATAGTAATAGCCGCTGTTTCGCGCATGCGGTCGTGCTAGTCTTTCAACTCGACGTGCTCGTTCATATTTCTATAGCGCAAGATTACCGTTTCGAAGTGCTGCTCGGCGCCAGTAAGAGTCATGGTGTGTGCGTTGGCGATGGTGCTGTGTCACAAGTGGAGAATACACAGGCGGCGGGGCAGTGGTAAATAGTAACTTGGGAAGGTTCCTTGTGATAGTTTTTGTTCGGCGTTAGGCTGAAGGAATTGTTAAGATGAACAGCAATGCATGGTGAGGTCGGTCCGGAAATGGAAAATTATCGGTAGCAATGACTACGTTATGTCTATCTCTTTGGAGCACCGGGCAAAGCGTGCGAGCTCTCCGTCAGCGGAAAAAGCTGCCAGTAGAACCCCACAGCGCCGGCAACAAGGAGCATATAGTACGCTAGAGTCCATGCAGGCCCGTGTGCATGTTCGCCTTCAGGTTGTTCGTCGCTTTTGCCTGGTGGTCCGATTGGCTCACCGGCTTGCACACCCACCCTGCCGTAGAACCGCGGCAGGCCCATCCAGTTGCAAAAGCTATGGGCGAGTATAACCGAATATACATTGCCCGTGCGTATGAAGACAAAGGCGGCGAAGAAGCCAAACAGTGATGTGTAGGTGAACTGGAAGAGCGAGCGGAGTACGGCGAGGAACAGCGGGGTTTGGGGATGGGTCAAGCGGAACTCGTAGAGATGGTGAACGTGTGCGATGCCGAAGTAGAGCGGACTCAGGAAGATGATCTTCTTCGCGGAGAAGCCTGCAAGGACGTGAAGTGGGATGATCAATGCGCGCCAGATGATTTCTTCGCTGACGGGACCCTACGCTGTTCAGTATACCGCATTGATCTTGGAGGAGCAATTGACGCACCACAACATAGTTTCTGTATCCAATCCAGCTACTGAGGGTTTGGTAGACGTCTCTGCCCCTCACCCAGTCTTTCCATGCCCCATCTACAATGCCATGTTCAAAAAGTGGCCCGGCAAAAAGTATGGCCACGAGCAAGATGGTCTTTGCGGAATCGACTGGCGAGACAGGCCACACACCGAGCAGCCGGAAGATATCTGCAAAGGAAAGATGGCCAGTTTGGTGCAGCACGAGGACAGTCAAGCACACACTAAGAATACTCGACGAGGTAACAGCTCTCACCCTCGCGCGTATGGAAGAGGGCGCATCGCGCGTCAGCTGGGGAGACGGGCGCGTAGCAGAGGACAGGTAGAAGGGCAACACGTAGACGACGGTGAAGAAGACCTGCAACTAGTCGTCAGTCGTGTGCAGTTTCCCTGAATGCAAGGCGCACGATAGGCGGACGGGTATAGACATGGTGGGCGGGACGCACAGACAAGAGGGCCGCCGCGGTGGGAGAAACGGCAGGAGGCTTGGGAGCTGGCCACACGTCAGACATGCTCGAGCGGTTCAAACAGAATCTGAGGTTCTAGCGGAGGTGGTGGAGCGAGTGTGCATCGCGCGGGCGTCTAAATCGGGTGGTGGAGCAGGAGACGGGCGCGCGCAGGCCAATGGATGGCTACTCACCGCCTTTGAGGTGCTTCTCGTACATCATCCCCAGAGCGCTGAAACCGTCTTTCCAGGAGCTGGGCGGCGGCGGCATCTCGAGGATGGGTGAACAAAGCGCTGGGGACGGAGCTGTTAAGGAACCATCGCAGTGTTCTTTAAGGAAGCGACGACCCCCGCGGTTCTTGCTATTGTTCGAACTCCCGGTCCAATACGACATCGATAGCCGCCCGCCTGCAAACACAGCAAACACCACAGGATACATTATTTTCCGTTCCGTCCGTTCCACCGCCTCTCTCCATCGCTGATCCCGGCCCCCGGAGCGGCGAACCACGAGCAACGGCCCCCTGCATCGTGCGCCAAAACCGTCGACCAGGCCGCGCGACGACCAGTGCGTGGGACGTCAGTGGTCCTCTCGTTTGATTGCAACGCCCACGAACGCGTCGCGACGACTTTATCGATTTCGATAAGGGGCGCATAGCTGGGGGTGAGGGGAGTCCTGGGTCAAATCACCAGCCAAACGGTGTTCAGACCACGGTCTCCGCAAGCAGGAAGGCAGATCCTAAGACGGCCATTATCATATCTACGGCATCGCCAGGCCGACGAGAGTCGCGTCTACATCCGTGCTCTGCCGTGGACGACGTGCGCTGGCATTATTGGATCAAGGCACGTACAGAAGCGAGCTGCACCTGCAGCACCTACAAGCCCGCGCCCTCCTGTTAAGATTTCAGCAGGCGCTGCCCACTCCGTGGCCTTGCCTTCTGAATTTCCCAAACCTTTAATGCCATCACGGCCCTCAATCGTCACTCTTTTCGATTTTTGACATGTCTGTATAGCTTCTTGTCGCTCTTTGCAGCTCTCGTTTTTCCCCATTCCTTATTTCCTCGTTTTATCGCATCTCCTACGCGTCTTAATGAGCTGTCTCACTTCGACATTTGAAAAATCAGCCTCGCCTTCGCATATTTGGATTCCCCAGGCCGCATTACCACCAACCATCGAAGCATGTCGGCCTCGGCCAGCCGGCGCAACTCTGCCTCAGACAATGCCGTTTCGTCTCCACTTGCGCGCGCTCCAAAGTTCTCACCACCGTCATCGAGGACCGTCTCGCCCATCCGCAGACCTCTGCACGAACGTTCTAATTCGCAGACCAACCAGTATGCCGGGCCCACCATCCGGATAGTCGAAGACCAAGGATCAGATGTCTACTCGAAGAACCCATTTCCCAGCCAGTCCTCTCAGATATTACCGCCTCGTAAGAAGCCAGGGTATGCGTTCGAACGCAGGGGGTCTCGCGTTTCAGACACGGTCGCAAAGATTGAAGCAACCCAGCACACAGGCCAGACCCTGGTGCCCAAGCCATTGGACTCTAAGAACGTCAGACACTCGACGTCCACTAACACGTCAGACGCGGACACTATTGTGGCCTCTTCTTTCTCGCCGTTGTCCAGTCGTTTCTCCCAAGGCAGCACAGCCCGGTCGTCGCCGACGCCTGACTTCTCATTTAACTCATTTAAAAACGAAAAGGAATTCGAGGTACTTCAGGAAGTTCCCTCTTCGCCGCTCAGGTCGACCATCCGGGCTGTCCCTCCTTCAACTTCGTCCAGTTCCGAAGCCGAAGCGCCGAACGACAGCCACGCATTAACAGAACGTGCATCTGCAGCATCGCTTGCCTCGACCGACAGCGCGGAATCATTGGTGGAAAACCACGCAAATCGCAACAGAGTCTCATCCATTGTCAGCGTCACCACTCTCCCTGGGAATCTTCACAAACACACACGATCATCTGGATCCAACCATCAGAAGCAGGCTTCGACTAGTACTACTGCAGCAGCACAGCGGCCGACATCAAAGGCCTCTACACACTCTTTTGCCTATACAGACTATTCTTACAACAGTGAACGCCCACGTTCCGCCTCACAACCTGTACCAACTATTCATGAAGCACAAACAGCAACCGTCGCATCCGGAGTACAGGTCAACTACCCAATTATACGCGCGCCTTCTGCTTCCAGCTTATGGGCCTCGTCTCAAGAATACCTTCCGACCATCACGTCACGAATGAACCCACCGCGGACTCAGGTGCACCAGTGGAGCTCGCAGCTTTCAACAATCGCATCGGAATCTGAGCGCGGCTCTCGGTCAATCGAGCGAGCTTCACGCTCCTTTAGCGCACGGTCGCAATCGCAATCGCATGATGATTATCCGGCATCGGGCAGAGCGGTCATTCCGCGCAGAAGACAGACTGTTAGCAGTGTCTCCTCGTCGGACAATGTTTCCTCGGACCATACGGAATCGTCGGTCGCGGTACCCCTACCACTATTCTCCCCCCGTAACCGGTCCCTCGAATGACGATCGCCATTCCGATTCCGACTCCCACTTCGGAGAGCGTCATGACACCATCTCGCCTCTGCAGTCGCCTCCGCTGAGGATGAAGACATCGTTCATACGGAGATGGGATAGCGATTCGCGGTCGACAACTTCTTCACGGCCAAGCTCGTCGCAATCCGATCTGTCAACATTTATCGCCAACACAATCCCGACATGGGCCAGGTATGAACAGCATATGACTGATCTTTTATTGGAGCTAATCAGAGAACAGAGTGTACTACAGGCGCGGTGATCGCACGTCAATAGGTGCACCAGAATCTGTCTCGGAAACCGATGCCAGTGTACGGTTACCAACATCGCAGAGCGGAAGGACCGATACCCCATCCGAGGGGAATCTCCCATTCAGCATATACAATCCGCGAAGGCGAGCGCACCAGCGCGTGTCGGGGGCGGAGACTGCGTCCATGTCCGAAGGCCCAGTCGAGCAAGACGTCTACGTGGTCGGAGGTCCCCGACGGCACGTCTTGGAGCAGTTCACTCCGCGCCTGCGACCAGACCATCGAAGCCAAGCTCAACTCAGCGCGTGGAAAGCCCCCTCTTTCGACGAGAACTTTGGAGCCGCACTGTTCAGCCGTCAGAACAGACAGATCGTCTTTTTCTCCCTGGGCTTCATCTTCCCCCTCGCCTGGATGATCGCGTCTTTCTTACCCCTGCCCCCAGACCCCAAAACGGTCCAAGGCGCCACCGCAAGCGAATTGGACCTTGAGCAACGCTTCGATAACCAATTCGGCCCCGTCGTCGACAAATCGTTCCAGAAGGCCAATTGGTGGCGCAACCTCAACCGCGTCATGTCCGGCGTCGGCACGCTTCTCATCGGCGTGATAATAGCGCTCGCCATTCTCGCTTCTAGGATGTCCAAGTCCTGAAATAAGGGTGTTGGGCTCCTACGCCATTTCTCATATCAGCTTGCCTTTGTGTAAGCTTCACACGTCTACACGACTTTGAACATAATGCCTTTTCATGACTATGTTACGCTATTTATGTTTTGTCTTAATTACGTTTTCCTACAAGGGTACATATGTATCTACTACGGCCCTACTCGACATGACGCTATCCTGGCCTCTCGAGTACTGCGTAGCTCATGTACAATAGCACCTACCCACTCACCATCCTTTCTGTTCTGTTCATCTAGACACTCACCAGTGGCTTATTGCGTTCTAGCGTCTCGGCGGCATTGCATACCCAGCGGGCGTTTCTTACTTTTTTGGCTCGAGATTGGACGCTATGCAAGCGATCTATGGTAGCCGCTTTACAAGAGGTGGTTTGTTATTTGTGGAGGGGAGGAGAGGGCCAAGGTGGGAGGGCCAAGATCACATTGGAGATTTAATGTTTGATACTTAAATGATGGGAGTTGAGACGGATGGGATTTAACGATACCAATTGTAATTGTAGATAGTAAGCGCATCTGATGAAAGAAAAGCGCGAATAAACCACGATTGCTTTCCATTTCATCTACCGTCGGAGCATGCCAGCCTGATAACCTGACTCGGTCCGGTTCGTGCAACGTCCACTAGAGCATTGATGGGGCTACGAGGAAGTAGGGCCGTTGGCGAGGGCGTACCGTAGGGCGAAGATGGACGGGGTGTCCTGGGTTGGAAGATCGGAGCGCGAGTCAGTAGGTACAAGGCGGTGATTAAGGTACAAACAAGGCGATGAGTGCCTCACTACTTTAGTATATGGTTAATGACGTCGTGGTTAACGCTTTCAAGGCGTCCCTCCCTCCCTTCTTTTATCTAGTGGCCTGGCCGATGCTATGTTGTAGAAGGTCGGCGGAAGGTCGGCGGCTGTGGGTTTGGTCGGCTGGTTGAGGAGGGCTTGCGGGCGTGTAGGTTCCGTACCATAGGTAGAATGACGGATGTGGTATGCGGTTCTGAGGACTTGGGCGCCACTTGTACTGTTGTTTTCGTCGAGGTGAAGATACAGTGTGGAGAGAGTGAGGACTTTGCTTTGGAACGGGAGGGGTGAGTGGGATGGGGAGTTTGGGAGTCTGGGAGTGTGCAGGAGGGATGCGGTCCTTGGGCGTTGAGCTGGAGTGGGATGTGAAGTAGGTGAAGGGGCTGAAAGACGCATGGCTTGATGTCTAAAGATGGGATGCAGTTCACCAGTTTGGAAGACGCGCATGGCTTACTATCTCGAAGATATGATGCAGTAGTTCATCAGAACCCCATAGTCAAGCGCTATATCGCCCAGCCCAGGAAGGTCGTCTCGCCACTCGTCGCGCTTTGTGCGCATCCTCAGATCTCCAGGCGATGCATTCCGGTCTCGTCCAGATCGCGCTATTCACCTCCAATGCAACCCTCACCATAAAAGTGAACGTAGAGGTAAAAGTTAGCATAAACACACACAACCATAAACATATCATACCTATGGTAACCCGCCATCTCACCACCTCACCTCTCTCCCAAGAAAGAAAAGAAAAGCAAAAAGAACAGTAGGCTCCTGTCCGCCCGCGGGATCGAACCGCCAATGAGTCGGGCAGGATCACCTAAAGTTCAGGTATAATACACGTAGGTAACCAACCCGCCAATTATCAGACTAGGTATCGTACGAGGATTAGCTTGACGATGATGATATATATAGACTACGCGGATAATTTCTGTCACTTTGTGAGTGGGCGTTTGTGCGAGAACTGCCGGGTTATGTCTACGTTCACCTTTCACTTTAGTCGGTAGCGTGCTTTCTGCGTTTGCGGGCCAAGTTGTTTGACGTAGGAAGTGCAAGATGAAGGACTTGTACACGACTCTTTGAGAAGCGCTCTATCTAAGAGAATGTTGGATTAACCTAGGTGAAAGGAAAGATATTTTGGAAAAGCAGTAGACGTATAGTACGTTCGAATGCTTTATAATGTCCGTTGATGCAGTAGCAACTTCCAGAGGATATGTCTGGAGTTGAGACGGATTGATTCTCGTGCTGGGACGCGGCAAGCTGCTAGGTCAAGAAATGGGTGATCCCAAGAAGCTGCAGGGTAATGCTTTTTGCACGGTGTTCGCTGTGTTATCCATAAACGCTAGAAAAGGTTGAATCTGTTCAGGGCGAGGGACAAGGCGCAAGTGATATTCTGGGAAAGAGCACAGAGCACGGTATTCCACTAGCGCTGTTTCCACCTCTGTATATAAAGACGTTCAACTTTCAATGTTGTGCCTCCCGACGAAAACCAGACCTTTCGTATCGAAAGCGCGAGTCGACCAGTCCGCATACTCTACGACTTGATTACTCGAGTTAGAAAGGTTCGTGGTTGCCTATCGCCTTCTAAGCAGTACTGACACTGAATAGTCAAGAACTCAATCTCAGAAGTTAAGATGGGTCACTTCGACGACAACTTCCAGGAGATTTGCGACGAGATGTACGAGGAGCAGACGGAGCACGAGGCTGGGGAGGAGGCAGAGGCAGAGGCACAAGAGCAGGCCGAAGCCGAAGCCGAGGCTGAGTACGAAGCTTTGCAGGACGCCGAAGAGGAGCAGCAGGCGGAAGAGGAGCAGCAGGATGGCCAGGAGGGCGAGGACGAAAAGTGAGGCCCTGAACGGTAAGAAGTCCCTTTTACATATTATCTGCGTGGTACTAATGCTAGGACAGATAGTCGAGTCTTCTATGTGCCTTGAGCACTGGTCAAGACTCAGGGGAGAAGCGTGAGAGGCATGGCACGTTTGTGCGTAGCGACGCATATTATGGATGCATGGGTACCGAATTATGAATGCCGACGAGAGAGTAGGGCGTCTTGCTTGGATAGTGTAGCTCGTCAGCCCATACTAGCAGTCACCAATCAAGTATTCGAAACAGTCTGTCTTGTGTATGCAGACTCAATATCCAGTCCTGATTCTCTTGTCGCGACACTTGAAAAGACAGCATTCGGTGCTCACCTGGTGCTTCTATAAAGCAGAGGGCTGATGAGGCAAGCTGGACTATAGTTTCATGTTGTAGCTCAGAGATTGACCTTTGTACCGTACAGCGCGCACATTGCTCGTCAGCTTTTGCATTGCTCCCCGTCATTGTTGTACACCTGATCCCAACGATCCGAAACAATTATGGGAACCACGTTCAGCCAACCTTGGGTTGTACAGTCCACGACTGTGTCCAAGCGGTAAAGTCTGGAGTCATCCATCCCACAGAAAGAGTCACCGAAGTCTACGTGGCGCAGGCACAGCGCGCTCAGAATGATTCATACGCGCTAGCCGCTTGCGGATGTGAGGGGCGGCCGGACGCCCCTCCCGAAAGTCATTTGAAAAGCAAGCCTTCACACGACATTTTGCGCACATCGAGCTCTCAAGCTTCTACCGCGACAACACACCTGCTTCTATACTTTTGCTTCTCATACCACCCTTCTACCACATATTCACAGCTACTAAACCGGAATCTGAACAATATGGCGGTTCGCGCTCAATTCGAGAATTCCAACGAGTAAGTTTGCCCCGCTGGAGTTTGGAGGACTGCAAACACAAGGGAGCAGCTGGCAGGTAGAGCTTGCGCTAATAATTATGCGTAGGGTTGGCGTATTTTCCACACTTACAAATGCGTATGCGATTGTCGCAGTCGGAGCTTCAGAGAACTTCTACAGGTGCGTTGGAGCGTCTCCACTAGCCAGACCTTGCCTGTAGCTGGTCGCAAAGGCATACTCTAGGCAACGATTGATTACTAACATACACGCGACAGTGTCTTCGAAGCCGAACTCCAAGACGTCATACCCATCTGCCATGCTACGATAGCAGGCACAAGGATAGTCGGTCGATTGACCGCAGGGTGCGTTCGCACGCGACCCTTTTCAAATGTTAGCTAAATATCCTTAGCAACAAGAAAGGTCTCCTCGTTCCCACCACTACCACCGATCAAGAACTCCAACATCTCCGCAACTCGATCCCCGACGAAGTCAAAATCCAGCGAATAGAAGAGCGACTCTCTGCCCTTGGCAACGTAATATGCTGCAACGACCATGTCGCACTCGTACATCCGGATATTGAGCGCGAGACCGAGGAGATAATAGCAGATGTGCTGGGCGTGGAGGTGTTCAGGCAGACGATCGCGGACAATGTGCTGACGGGCAGTTACATGGCGTTGAGCAACCAGGGCGGCATTGTGCACCCGAAGACGAGCATTCAGGACCAAGATGAGCTGAGTAGTTTGTTGCAGGTGCCTCTTGTGGCCGGCAGTGTGAACCGCGGTAGTGCGGTAGTGGGCGCGGGTATGGTGGTCAATGACTGGATGGCTGTGACGGGTGAGTCTATCATCAAAGAAAATCACGATAACGGGGTACTAACTTTGGTCAGGGCTTGATACTACTGCGACGGAGCTTTCAGTTGTCGAATCTGTTTTCAGGTTAGGAGAAGGCAACGGTCCCAGCGCGATCAACACCACACACAAGGATGCGATGGTGGAGTCTTTCTACTAAATCATTTCTTTGGTTGGCAAAGAGCTTGGCTACTTGGTACAAAGTCCTCACTCCGCTTTCAGAAGTTCGCGGTATGTAGTGAGGCACGGAACAGGGCGTCTGGGGGAACACGCATGCGAATGAGGCTTGCTATGTCTTGACGTACTTTTGGTGTAAAGAATGCATTGATACCATACCGCCAGCACTTGTGCGCTTAGAGATTGCAGTGGTTCGTGATCGCATCTAACAACTTTTGAGATTATGACATGCCATTTCAGCACCTGAATGCCTGCAGTCACTGGCTTTCGATAGCTATGTATGCGAAAGCAGAATGAATGCCCTCTCATGTTAAGATGAAGAAGCGTTGGTAAGTCGAATGTAGGAACATTCACGTGGCCCAACCCGCCTGATAAACATGTCCAAGGTTGTGATTTAACATTATATGGTTGACGTTCATGCTTACGCGAGAGGCTCCCGTATGCTGTGGGACCGCGGCGTGCACCCCGCCATGTAGGTCCGTAGGGCTGAAGGCGGTGAAAGCGATCGCCGTGGCTTGGCACACTGACGCCAAACTTCCTGGAGCCTTTGCGCCTTCACAGCACACATTCTCAAAACCGATAGAGAAGACAGTCCTTCTAAACCAGCTTCTTCCACAGCTGCTGGCTTTCTTATGGATCTGTCAACCTGTTACCGCTCAACAACTTGAGCCTGGAATAGGCGTCCAACCCAAAACAACGACTCCGCCGCACGCCCACCATGTCACAACCACAGTCCAAAGCGCTCGCCAAGCGAGACGCGTCTACCGCTCTCATGCCACCTCCCCCAGCACCGAAACGAATAAAGAGGCCTTCTGTTGTTCTTGACGAAGACACATACACATCCGCCATTTCCCATATCATTCGCCGCGACTACTTTCCCGGACTGGCCGAGATGGATGCCCAGCGCGAATACTTGAGCGCACTGGACAGTAAAGACAAAGGATGGATAAGAGAAGCAGGAAAAAGGCTGACGGATGTCATGACGCCCGTTCCTGGTAGAAGAGCGAGGGCAACGAGGTTCGAGAGCAAGGGTGCGGATGCAGGACGAACACCAAGTGTATGGGGTACAGACACGCCGCGGACGCAAGCTGGTGATGAAGAAAAAGAAGAGGATGAAGAGGGCCTTGGAAAACTGGACAATGTAGACCTGGACATGGGTCTGGGAGCCTTCCAAGCAAAGTACACATCCGAAGACCAAGAAAGCTTCAACCAGATCCTCGACCGCGCGAACAAAAAGCGCTTCGAGAAGAACGCCTGGATCCACGACGGCAACAAGTACGCCTCCAAACAGCGCCTCGCGCAGCAGAAGGTGCTCGAAGCGCGCAAGCCTTCCACCGATCTTATCCTCCGCCCAAGCCAGGACCTCGACATCGACCGCCCCGCAGCTCCAAACTCCCACAAACACACCGCCTTCAACACTCTCATGTTCGGGCCCGACGGCATAGAACCCTGGGCACCCACCCGCGCCCAGCGCGCCGAAGACGCCTCCCTCGCACCACCAAAGCGCGTCCTCCACCACAACACACGCCTCCCCACTGAAGACACCGAGCCCAAACGCCCGCCCAGCCCCACGCTGTCCTCCGTCCGCGACGCCATCGCAGGCCGCCCGCGCCTCACCGCCAGCGAAGGCGGCTACACAGGCAACGAGACCCCGCGCGTAAACGGCTACGCCTTCGTCGACGCACATCCCCGTCCGACGACTCCGACGAAGAAGAAGCGCCCACAGACCTCCTCGAGCGCTTCGGCGCAAAAGGCAGCAGCGCTGCTACACCGTTCACCATGCACGAGTCTACTGCGCGCGAGAAACTGCACCACAAGATGGTAGACAAGATAGCGTCTTCGCGGCGGCCTGAGAACGCAGCCAGCCCTGCGGAACGAGCAGTTTCGGACAGGGTCTAGGCATCTTCAAGGGGAGGCGAAGACGCCGCGGTTTTTGTCGGCGCCGACGCCCGCGATGAGGGCGGGGATGACGCCTGGGGGTGGGGGCAGGCATGCGGGGATTGACGCCTGCGGCGCAGAGGCTGTTTGAGAGGGTGGGGAGTACGCCGAAGGGAGGGGCGAGGGGGATTTCAGGGCGGTGCGGCAGGGGGGAAGCAGTGGGCTACGCCTACGCCGAAGGCGAGGAGGATTCCTAGGTATTGAGGGAGGAGCGCTTACGATTTGATACCCTATAGATCTCATGAACTGTTATCGTTATAGAATACGTGAATCGACATGTTGTGAATCAGTGACATGACACGATATCACAAGTTAGGCTACTGGATTGCTCATCGCGGGGTAACAAGAAGCACCGTAGCATCACCATACAGCAAGACGAGGATTTCACTTCTGGAAGAATCGCATTATACAAGTGCCTTGCCAGGCTGACACCATACCACCACTACCAAAGGGGACTCATGCCAGAAATCCATCCGTGGTGTCCCCCCCAAGCGCAGCACCAAGAACAAGAACAACAACAAAAAAGTAGCGCCGAAGAAACCTCAAAGCCGAAGCCCGGGTACCCGCAACCGCGCCTCTGTGCTATGCAAACGCCAATGCTGGAAAACGAAAAACCAGAGACGTATTCTGAGCCCATCAGATATAGAGCTGCTGGTATATAGATAAGGGGAAGGAAGCGACATTTTGAGTCAAGCTAGAGTACATTAACACCAAAAGGGGACGTACAACCAACGAAGCAACGACTAACCGCCTCGTCGACGCGTAGAATCCGGCCCATTGTAGGGTCTAAACTGTGATCCAGGCGCATGATACGACCGGTACGGACGACGCGATTGGCGTACAGGGCCTGACCCTGGCTCAGGAGGACGCTCGGAAGAGGGTTCATTCTGCCGCGGTGCGTTTGCGTCGTATGAAGAGTTTGGCTGAGGTGCCGCGTGGTGTTGCGGTGGAGAATACGCGGACGGAGGTGCTTGGCCAATGAAGGCCATACTCGGTGGCTGAGAATGTGGAGGTGGAGCCATGTTCGCCGGCAGGATCGGTTGGCCGCCGTACTGATGGATTTTCAGGGGCGGGTAGGGCGTTGAGGCGTTCGTCGCTGTAGCTGGAGGGGGCGGAGGTGCCTGGAAACTACCTGGCGGCGGGACATAGCCTCCTTGATGGGATGGCCCGCTGTAGCTGGGCGTGTAGTGTGATGGAGGTGGCGCAGGAGGAGGCGCTTGTGATGTTGTTGGATAGCTCGGCTGAGGAGGCGGCTGAGGAGGCTGATACGCAGGCCTTGGTGGCGCGGGGTCGTAATGTGCGAAGCGAAAGTTTATAGGAGCACTGGGTTGCCCTCCGGAGGGTTTGGAAGGAATAGTCTGGCTGATGGACGGAAGCTGGGGCAGGGCCGGCCCCGGAGCACTAGGCGCAGAGAAAGGGCTCTGATGCGGAGGTACCGTATTGCTTTGTCGTGGACTTGCCGCAAAAGGTTGTGGGGGAGGTTGCTGTGCCTGCGAGCCACTCAGACGCCTATCACGCTCCCAGTGTGATGATCCTGGATCTTGAGAGCCTCGTCGTGGGAGATATGCTGGTGCCGCATTCGGCGACTGTTGGTATGATGGGGGCGCTGTCGATGGGGACGCATTGTAGGTGTTCGAAGCTCTGCGTGTTTCTCTTGTATTGTCTGCTTTTTCGGCTGGACCCGAAGGAGTGAAGGGCTGCGAGAGTAGAGGTGGAGCTGTCATCTGAGTCCGCTCTCGAGGCGCAAAAACGGAAGTCTCTGCACGTTGACTTGTAACGTTCTTCCCGTCAGGCTTACTCTTGAAATTGAGCATCTCGCGGAGCATATGCAGAGGGTCCTTTCTCTTTAGCTCTTCAAGACTCATTGGTCGTATGAAACTTGGTGTTTTTGAAGACGGCTCGGGGTACGCTCGCGCAGATGCGGGTGAAGAATAAGCTTCTCGTGTAGACATCGATTCCCTGTAAGCTGCCGGTGTGGATCGCTCCGGCTGCACGTCGTGCTGATGCATGATAGAAGACAGTCCGAACAGTCCACTTCGTGAGGGTGTAGCTCCTTGGCTGGCACTTATGCGATGCGAAGTCACATCACTAGGTGTCTGTTCGACTGAGGCTGCTGGAGGAAATCGCGAAGTTGCGGGAGCAATGTCTGTGTCATTGTTAAGCATGTCCATGACGCGGTGGGTGGACCGGGATGGCGTCTCCTTGGTTGGCGCAATCTGCTCTTTGACAGGCCTAGGGTATTCCATCATACCGGCGGGTTTTTGTTGTGCTACCACATTCTCCGATTTCTTGGACATAGGATTCAAGAAAGCAGCAAACGGCCCAGTGGGTTGCTTGAGTGGTGATGTCGTCTGGCCGATCTCCATTGACGGTGCCTGTCGACTATCTGCAGGGATTGAAGCCTTACTACGGGCAGGTTGTAAGCCTTTCCCTTCGACAGTGTTGCGAGCGGCATCTGCCGATAGGGATGCGAGCACAAATAGAGCATCGGCCTGCTCATTGGGAATGACCGTGGGTGCCGGAGGCCCGAGCGCGGTGTTCTCGATATCATTAGCCGCGTCAATTAGATCCTTGATGTTCTGATGAGCAATGGCTTCAGCTCTATCCGGACCAGTGAAGGTTGCGAAACCAACAGGAGTAGGCGTTTCGAGAATCGAATCGTCTGCGTCCTCATCCTCGGTGATGAAATGTCTCAGTGAGCCACCGAACAGTGCTCGACGAAGTTCATCGTCAAGCAGGTGTTCGGACTCCACGTATGCTCGGCTGCGGGAAGCGAACTTCGAGCCGACACGATCATCAGTATGCAATGGTGGGAACGCGAAACGGGCTGGGGGAAGGATGTTGTCTTCGTCCTCGGTACCCGCTCCATCCTGACTCTTCCTGGACTCCCGTTGAAGTTGTTTCGCCCGATGGAAACATTGCAGCAGCAGATCTTCTTGGAGGTCATAGACTCGTTGAATGTACTTTTCTTTCGCAATGTGTCTTTCGGCTTCGATCACACGCTCAAGCTGTGCGAGCTTCTCTCTTCGAAGCGCTTCAACCTGCGCAAGCCGACTTGCTCTGTACTGGTCAAGAGATGCCATGAGGGGTTCGTATTCAGGACATTGCTTGTGAAACTGGGGGTCATCGTCAAGTGATGTAGTCGTTCGACTCGAAAGTTCTTCCAGGATGTTTTTCTGTAACTTGGCCAGGCTACGATAACTCATTTTCAGATTCAGTTGACGTCGTAGGTCCACCTCAACATTAATGTCGGCGTGAGGCGCACGACGGCGTCCAGGAAGCCGCCTTCCCATCTTGGCCGGTGCATCGCCATTGGTGGGGAGAACATGATGCAGATTTTGGCTGTTTTCGACTTCCAGAACTTGCTCCGGTGAATTAGGTGCAGTTGATGCATCTGTCAATTCTGGTAGTTGATCTGTCTCAGCGGGCGTCTGCGTTGTCGTCCTTCGTTTCTTCCTGCGCGGTTGCTGTTCGGAAGTGTCGCTCTGGGTCCGGGTAAGAACACCGTCTGCGCGTGATTTGCTTGACTCGAAGGATCCATCGGATGCGCGCCTCTTTTTAGGCGACACATTGGAGGCATCAGTCGCATCGCGCGGATTAGACATGGAAGACTCGGGCGCATTAATTCCATTTATCGCGGCGTGGACCTGATCGGCGAAGGAGTCTGTACCAGAATCGGTTGAAAGTCGGTTGCGCTTGGTTGGTCGCTCATCCTCGATACCTGAGTGGCCATCTTCGGATCGCGACAAGTCGCCAAGTGAGCTCCGTCGACTGTTAGAGCTAGCGAATGATGGAGCGCCAGAGCTATCTTGGTTTGAAGCCGTTTTGACAGCTCGTCGGGTTTTCATATGGAGAGGTTCTGAAGGATGAAGACGCGACATCTTCGGTCCAGGGAAACCTGCACTATTTCTTCGCTTAGGGGAACTAGCCGCATTGGCTGCGCCAAGGAATTGCATGTTAGCATTGATGCGCTGGAGGCGAGTTGCGGATGGGGGAGATGTTGAGAGATGGCTCACCTGGTAGTGTTTTGAGCGATGCGATGGTGGATGTCTTTGTTGCTTTGTTCTTGCGCTTCGGCGGCATGTTGGTAAGATGAATTCTGGAACAAGCAATCCTTTAGCCTGTCATAAGAACGCTGCAGGTATCCCAACTGCGGGTTGTATGTGAAGGCGAAGCAAGCATAGGCAGACTCACGAATTCTACTGCTTGCTCCTCCTGGTCAAAGAATGTTTTGTTTGTAGCGTTGGCGCCGTGGTGAATCTGCAGGCCTGCATGGTCAGCCTCTTCATCCAAGACTCGAATTAGGCGAGATGCGAAACGCCAGAAAACTTGCAACTTGAAGTGGAGATAATCCGTGTACGTGAGAAAACTGCCGTTGAGCGGCTACTCGTTGATCGATTGGGATCTGAAACTTGGGGGCTGAGTGTGAGGAAAGAAGAAAGCTCATACCTGATGTCCGGGGCCTCCGTGGCACGATGTCGGAAGGGATAACGTGTGCAGAGGATTTGACGCAAGGCTAGACTATCATTCTCAAGAAAGCGGCGATATGTAAGGCGACTTCGCAATCATCCAGCCTAGTATACTCAACAGGCCGTGAGGAAGAGAAAAGAGCGCCGGAAAAGAAGGAGCGAGAAGAAGTAGGCCTGGGTGCACTTGCACGTGGCCTGCGTCGACAGAGGTAACGGAAAAGATGCCACAAACTGTACAAACGAGCAGCAGGTCTTGACGCCTGTGGGAGAGCGTGAGTGAGGTTGAAGCAAAGATGCTCGCGGATGGTCGCAATTGCCCAGCTGGAACTTGCGCTAGCCTGAAAAGAGAGCGAGGAAAGTAAACGCCACAATGCCGCTTACTGTGTCTAGGCGCGGGTGAATGAGCAGTCGAATGGACAATAGCAGAATAAAAAGATTCTCCAACCACTTCAGGCTGGCTGATGGTCCTTGCGATCGATTGCAGAGACGTGAATGCGTAACAAGTTGCCGTCTCAGAGAATGGACCAACCCGGACCTTTCCCGAAACGGCAACGTTAATCTGTGCCAAACTTTTGAAGGCCGGCGGCGATGCACCTTCGCAGTAGGTACTCCGAGGAGCATCACCGAGACACTGAGTTGCTACAGGCTTCGTCAAGCCTGTAGACTTGGTTTCTTGTTTTCATACGCTGTACTGAAGGCTGCGCTGCTTCAAGCCATGTCTCAAAAACAAACGTCATTAGCCGTGGTCACCAGGCGAGCATTCGGCCGCAAAAACTTCCACGTCTCTGAGTGACTTTTCCTGTCACGACATGTGGCAAACCGCCTGACAATATCACTCCCTTGTTTATAGCTTTTGAACGATCGTGGAGTAACACAGTAGTTCATTCGAACTCGAAGTTGTCTGTATTCGAACATAAGCCGTTCGCACTTGTCTGCATCTAACGCACGATTCAGTCATTGTGCTTCTTTCAATTATCATACTTGCTGTACTGAAAAACTTTGTCATGGGACTCGAGAACCAGCATGCGATCCGGATGGACTCGCCATTGCACGATATACGAGCGACTGACAGGCAGGCACTCAACCTACCCACTGCCTGGGGGAAAGCGCAATCGTGAGATTCATATAGCATAGGAGAATTGAATACACAATCTGCTCGTCGTACTACAGAACTTACTTTTCAACCTCCAACTCTTGAACATCTCGATAACGCACCACCCTACAGGTACCTACATCCAATACGAGAACCATGGCATGCACATCCACGCCTCCCAATACGCGCCGACCTGCACACAGCCTTGCCCATCCCATCCTTCGCGAGGATCACGCCCGCATATTCCAGCACCACACCCTCCACCCCACCGCATCCATCTCCCACCACCTAATAAATATTCATCAAATCCCATTCCATCCTACACAAATCCCCAAAATCGCAGCCTCTCCCCATCCCAACCCACCCCGTCAGTCATCCTCTTCCCAAATGCTCCCATTGGCCGCCCAAGCCATGCACGTCAGCCGCTGCAGCCGAGTGGAGCTGGCTCGCGTCCCTCCCCTGGAGCCAAGCCGGGATTGGCAAGGCACACGACCATGCGCGTGCGCGTGCGTTGCGCATGAATATGAGTTTTGTGAGGGATGGGTGGGGGTTTGATGGCATTATAGGCGCATTGATGGCTAATAATACAAGGACGTATATATAAAAGCCGCGAGGTCTTTTTCGCCCAACCTTGCCATCACCCCTTCAAACCGCAAGTCACGATGCCGAAATCGACCGGGAGGTTTGGGCGGATGAGTAAGGTGTGGCCGCGTGGAGGAGGTAAAGGGCACGGGACGTGTGCGAGTGCGCGGGATGCGTTGCAGAGCATGACTGACTGATGTCGTGAGAAACTTCACATTTGGATGAGGAAACGTTCACGGTCGGTTAAATCAACCGAGTGGTAGCAAAATAGCCCTCATCGCGTATGTAGACATCTCATTGAAATGCCGTCTGCGCAACAGACTCGCGTCTTTATCTACACAATCCTCTCACACATCGTCAGAGGTTATCCAGGTTGTATAATTGCAGACTCGGGTTTCCGTACAGCGAACTGCTCGACAACCGCGAGCCCCAACCTGCCAGCCCTCCCATCACTAATACAATAAAAGTTAAGGCTGCTGTGGTATCACTATAAGGGTACAACAGCCGAGGCCCATCCCTTTTGAATCTCGCAACGCCAGCCCCAGGCGCTAAGGCGACAATGCCCGTAGGCAGATAGAACGGTAAGGAAATTGAATGTATGCTCCATAGGAGCAATGGCGAGGTTAGACCCGCTGTGACAGTAGGAAAGAGGTCGTATCATAACGCATGAGATGCGGTAGACATCATGCTATGTGAGGTAGCCGGACCGTGGGCATAGCTCTGTGTGCGGTAGTGGTGGCGTACGACGCCCATGTGTATGTTCATCGACTGGTGTCTATGTGGAGGCTGACCTTCTTCCGCTGACTCCCGCTCACACTGCTTCTTGGTGAAGAGTTGAGGACGAAATCAGGGATCGGAGGGGTCATCTGCCTGCTGGGAGGTGAAGGGCTTCGCGAGGTCGATCGCTCGGAGAGGCGGCTGTAGGTACGCTCATTTACGAAACTTCGTTGATGAGCAAGAGCCGGGCTTGCAGCGCGGCTGTTCGGGTTCGAACGGCTACTGTTGGAGCGCATTCGACTGTAGGGACGCGGCGGGCAAGTAATGACTTGGTTGGCAAGCGGGCTTGCAATAATGCTCGTTCCTGGTGTAGTTGCGGGCGCCGGTGTCGGGCTTTCACTCCTGAAAAGAGGGTGGATATGGGCTTCACTCCCTGCTGGACTTGGTGGACGTGATGTGTCGAGTGCGAGCTTGGGCGGAGGTGGCAGCTCTTCGTCGTCTTCCATGGGGAACGGGCCATCTAACGCCCGAGCAGGACTTGCTGGTCGGCTTCCGGGAATGGGTTCAAGGGCTGTCCCTCGAGATGGCATTAGCGTCGACGACAAGGCAAGCTGTGCGGCGGCAGCGTTGCTCTGCGCGTCAACCTCCCACGAATCAAACGCGTCAGACTGAGATGCACTGTTGATAGACAATCCATCAGAGTGGATGCTGTGGACATCGCGGTTGAACGAAGGCCTGTTGACAAGCTTGCTTCGCGACGAAATGGGTCGTACGACTTGCTGTAGAGAATCTCTCCATGTCCTCAACGATTGAGACGACCGGTTGGACCATGTTGGTGAAGGAAGAGCGGCGAGAGGAGAGGACGGCTGGGCGGGCTCCAGCATATATAGGTTCGCCGTAGGTGTAGAATAGCGCATCTCAGACATTACAGAGTCGCGAGGCCCGGATACCTCCACCGTCTGGACGTGCTGTTTTGACCTACACCACAAGGGTGAAGAAAATAGGACAATCTGACTCAGGCAAGCCAACAGCCAAATAGCGATCTGAGCTGATGAACTACCACTCCAATCCGCAATGGCGCTATGGTACTTCTTGTGATCCAACTCTTGCTGATGTAATTTGATAGTGATCATCGATGCCAACGATATGACCAAAGCCACAGCAGAAAGTAACACACAAGATATGGCGAGGAGCTTGGAGGCTTGTGGCGAGTCCTTGATGATTCCTTCTCTTGTCCAAGCATACTGAATTGAGAAGACCGTCACTGCGCCGAGGGCACCAAGGTCGAAAGCGCTCGCGGTACATGCTAGCCCGAGCAAGGAGGATTGAGCAGCAGATAATGACACTGCATCGAGAATGTTCAAGATGGTGTCAGCGGCGGTAGTAGACCATGCTACCGCGCCGAAAAGTGAAAAGTAAAATCTTCTTGAAAACATGTTGCCTGCAACCAGACTCAGTGGCGGCGGTGTCGTACGTATCCTTGATGTGACTCAGTCCCTGATGTATCCTCCGACTTTTGCCCAATGTTACACAAAGATCCTAATCTAGCCGTGGACGAGCGTCGAGGAAGGTAGTCAAGACGACCAATGACCAAGGAGGGGTTAGTGGGATGAGTGTCGAAAAGTCATTGGTTCCTCCCAGAGGCGCGGTGATGGGGTGATATTGTGGATTGGATGAAACCAGAAACCAGAAACTAGATCAGATGGTTGTACGGTAGAAATATCAGGCTCCTGCGAAGCCGGTCGTAGCTGGTCTAGGCAAAAGGCACACGAGACTGAACGCGTGTGAGGCACGCGAGAAGATATTAGTATACTTAGTATACTATCTCAGCGCGGTTGAGAGCGACGCGGAGGCCGAATCGGGAAGGCTGACGTTCACCCAATGGAGCGGTTGCAGTAGCCCGGAGCCGGCTGATGTTGTTGAAATGAAGCAAACAGCCAAAGGGTCCAACCACGAGAAAGAGTGACGGACGAACGACTGTTAGAAGCGAATGTGAGGAACGTAGGTCGAGAGGTTAAAACGAACGGAGGGCAAGAAACATTGGACGGCGCAGGGAAGTGTGGGAACTCTGACAGAAGTAATAAATTTAGACGGGAGCAGGCGGGCCATTGTTTTGTGGGCGGCGTCCTGCAGCACGCGTTGAACGTGGTGGAGCGCGCAAGGATACGAAGGGGAGATCCCTGATGCGTTACAGGCATCTCTTACATGCGATGGCGAAGCGGCCGGTTTGCACCACGGATTGCGCATCTTGGGGTAACTCAAGCGTGCTGCTGGCCCATGAATTCGAGACCTGAGACGCATGGGAACATTGGCGCTGTACGATGCCGTCAAGTGGCCCGCGAGAGGGCGCATTGCAGGGAAGCGACACAGCACGCAACTTGAAGAAGGCCCATGCAACGAAAACGACTCGTGTGGAGATTCAGCCCACCAACGTTGCGGAGACCAATTGTAGTCATGGGCTCTACCGTGCCGGTTGTCGCAGGAGTCGGCCCTACAGATTGAGGTTAGGCTCGTCACGCTTCATGATGCCGACATGTCATAGTCGGCGGCCTCATTTCCCACGCGTTGTTTGTTTGCTGTTGCTTTTCCAACAACACAAACATGGCAGACTCAGCCGTTGCTGAAAGACATGGCGGCAGTGCTGAGGGCGCTCCTGGAGGGCGAAATGGAGGTATCACCGGATCGATAGCGCCTTCTGTGGTGTTGCATCGCACAGCATGCAACGACCAGTCCACAGCACTATGGGCGATTGAGCACAAAACCGATCATATGGTGCGGACGGAAGGCGAAACAACTTCCATGCTTCTGTGGCGAGTCGTGGCGATGAAACAAACAAGGAGCGCGACAACAAACAAACTTCGCGCGCGGATGCGGCTGTCGGGGCGACACCTCGATTGATGAGCGCGCGATGAAGGACCCGGCACTAGCGGAAATTATTCGATGTGCATCAAAAGTTCTAGACGCACGGCACGTGAGAGCAAGGCACAGGATGTCGGAATCAGTTCGGCAACAGCCAATGTCGTCACATCTACTTGGCGCCCCCAAGGCTGCCTCAGGCACCATTCATCTTCGGAAGAATGGTTTCGCCGGCTGTCCCGCCTCGCGGTTCGAAGGGCGCCTCGCCGGGTTGGGTGACGATGGCGGTTCTGCCTGCGGACTTGCTCCCTCACCCAAACGCTGCAGCATACATATCTTCACCCACAGTGTCCGGACCTGTATACCACGGACCGCTTCCCTAGGCAAACGCGATTGTAGCTTCCCGTTATATAATCCCGGGGCAACTGCCACCACCTCGTCCCCGCCTTCACTTTCTCCCCCACCTAATCTCGACCCGCCACACAACTTGCCCTCCACCACCACCATCATGAAGATTACCTTCAAGGTACGACCTATCTATCTTTGCCTACACGGATGAATTTGACGTCGATTGCAGGATCTCAAACAGAACAAGTTCGCCATCGAGGCCGAGCCATCGGAAACGGTACTGTGGACTTCATCTTCCGCATCGCCACAGCATCAGTTGCTGACACATGACAGATTGGCGAGCTCAAGGCCAAGATCCAGGCGGACAAGAGCTGGGAAGTCGCCCAGCAGAAGCTGATTTACTCCGGTATGCCCGCCACTGCGGACTTCGAAGCCCTTCGTAGCAGAGTCTGACCATCATATAGGCAAGATCCTCCAGGACGACAAGACTATCGAATCCTACAACATCGAGGAGAAGGGCTTTATTGTGTGCATGGTGTCTAGGGTTTGTACTACTTTTCCACTGGCAGGTGCCTGCTAACAGCACTGCAGCCGAAGACGCAAGCCGCCTCCTCAAGTAAAGCTGCTCCCGCAACACCAGCGCCAGCGCCTGCTCAGACCCCTGCCGCTCCCGCTGCCCCAGCACCCGCACCTGCAGCTGCCCAGAATGCCCCTGGCACACCCTCACCAGCCCCGGCCTCAGACAGGCGATTCGATGATCCGTCGGCGTTGACCATGGGCAGTGAGCGCGATGCTGCTATCGCCAATATGGAGAGCATGGGCTTTGCGCGTGCCGACATTGATGCAGCTATGCGTGCTGCTTTCTTCAACCCCGACCGAGCGGTTGAATACCTCTTGACTGTATGGATTATATGATCGTTCCTTCTAGACTACATGCTAAGCGGCACCAGGGCATCCCCGAAAGCGCCGTCCAGGAGCAACAACAAGCTCAAGCGCGTGGTCCAACGTCTCCTCCTCCCGCCACCGGTGGCAACACTGCCGCTGCCGCGCCCTCAGCTCCGACCTCTGGCGGCGACGAACCCATAAATCTGTTCGAGGCAGCTGCCCAAGCCGGTCAGGGTCGAGGTGGCGCAGGTGGTGCTCGATCAGGAAATACCGGTGCCGCCGCTGGAGCCGGTGCTGGAGCTGCTCTCGGCAGCAATAGCCTGGACTTCTTGCGTAACAACCCGCAATTTCAGCAATTGCGGCAGGTGGTACAACAACAGCCGCAGATGCTCGAGCCTATTCTACAACAAGTCGGCGCTGGCAACCCTCAGCTGGCCCAGTTGATCACCAACCACCCAGATCAGTTCCTGCAGCTGCTTGCAGAGGATGCTGACGAGGATGCGCCGCTACCACCAGGCGCTCAGGCCATAAGTGTCACCGAGGAAGAGCGTGAGGCAATTGAGCGTCTTTGCCGTCTAGGCTTCGAGCGCGACCTTGTCATCCAGGCTTACTTTGCGTGCGACAAGAACGAGGAGCTAGCCGCAAACTTCCTCTTTGACCAGCCGGATGACGGTGATGATCAGTGAGCGGTACACGGAGGACGCGAACCCAATCTCAACACACCGATGCACTCAAAGCCTCTCATGAAAATCATCAACATCAACTGATGTCAAGTCAAGTCACGGTGTCTGTTTACCCGAAACACGAACACGGTTACAGCCATTACTATGTTTGGACATGTGGGAGTCTCCTTTATGAAGATCATGATACCCTCCGCGATGTGGGCGGCGGGCTCTTTACGAGGTGAAAGTGTAGATAGCTCGGCATGAGTGAATGCCGGTTCTCAGAGGCTAGGTATCGAGAATGAAAAATCCATGAATTCCCAATGAAAGCTCGTCACACTGTGTCTATGGTGGTGCTACTGCGCGAATGTAACCCCGGACTGCACGGCATGTAGAGAGAGGTGAGCGACTTCCAAGTTTGTGTTGCTTATCCTGGGTGGTACGGGGACCTGGATGTGGCACGCTTTTTCTTCACGATCTGATTGATGGGTGGGAATATTGGACTGCGGGTTGCAGGTTGCAGGCCTACGAACGAACCTTGCCGGCGAGTACGTATGACCGAGATGATTATTTCCGGGAGGACGCAGGGAAACAAACATCAGCGTGCTTGATTTGGCACGTCGTCTTATGAAAACGAAACATGCGATAACGTCCGTCAGGAGTATGATCGTCATTGGCAGGTTGGATGTATATTGGGCAAGAGGCAGGGATTGGGGACCACGGAAATTTGTGTGCTTGATTTCAGGTTGGATGCAGCTGCTGTGTACGCGGGATTAAAGAAAAGACGTTTCAATGGGGTGGCGTGAGGTTATCTGTTCGGGAGGGGGAGGAGGGGGTTAGGCAGGGAAAGAGTAGATGTTGGTGAATAATCTGGAAAGGGGAATCAAGATTGCTATTGATCCGCGGAGCATCAGGTCGTTTGGCACAAGTCTTTGAGGGCAGAGATCCAAACTTGAACGTCTTTTCCGAAAACGAAGTAGCTTTTAGGATTTCCAACCAATACCTCAGGCTATTTTCCAAACGGCAGTTGAAGCCGTAGATCAATCATCGAGCCGTAAAATCGTTACATACCCACCAACTACCCTTCTAATGGTGGAACAACCGAATGTGCTGCTCCACAAACGTAATGCCCAGCTTGTCCGCCGTGTCCATGACAGCGCCATCGTTCTGGCTACCCGTCGGCGCAGCGATGTACTTAGCGCCGCTCCTCGCCGCCCTGAAGACGTTGTCGATGAATGGGAAGAAAGCGTCAGAGCTGACGGCCACGCCCTCAAGCTTGCCGAGCCACTCCTTGCGCTCCTCGGCGGAGAACGGCTGCGGCACCTGGCCCTCTTCGAAGTGGGCGTCGAAGTCTTCGCGCTCGATGCCGGAGTCGGGGATGAGGCCGCTGCAGAGGAGGTCGATGGCGTTGGACTTGGAGGGACGCTTGGTGCCCTTCTTCCATTGGAGGTTGAGGGTGCGGCTGTGGAAGCGCATCCACCAGTTGTCGGCTTTGTCGCCGGCGAGGCGGGTGCAGTGGATTCGTGCTGGAAGAGTTAGCCTAGTATGAATAGATATATGGATATGGAAACTTACATTGTTGACCGGCACCAAGTCCAATGACCTGGCCGTTGAGCGCATAGCACACACTGTTTGATTGTGTGTACTTGAGCGCAATGGTGGCAACAGTGAGATCCCGCAGCGCAGACTCAGGCAGAGGGCTTGAGTTTTTAGGCACAATGACCGTGTTGAATGTCTCTGCAGGAACAATCTTCGCATCGTTGCGGTGCTGCTGAAGGTTCACGCCGTACACCGTCCTCGTCTCAATCGGACCGGGCTCGAAGTCAGGGTCCATCTGGAGCACGAGGTACTTTCCGCCCTTCTTCTTCTTGAGGATCTCAAGAGCCTCCTCGGTGTACTTGGGCGCGATGACACCGTCGGACACTTCTCGGCTGATGATCTTTGCGGTGGGCAAATCAACTTCGTGAGATAGGGCGATCATGTCTCCAAAGCTGGACATGCGGTCGGCGCCTCGTGCCCTCGCGTAGGCCTGAGCCAATTGCGACTTCTCGATGCCCTCGATGTCGTCGACCATGTATACCTTCCTCTCCTCCTCGCTGAGTTCAACACCAATGGCGGCACCAGCGGGGGAGACGTGCTTGAAGCTGGCAGCCGCCGGGTAGTTGAGCGCCTTGCTGAGCTCCTGCACCAATGGCCATGCGTTGAGCGCATCGAGTAGGTTGATGTATCCCGGAGCACCGCACAGCACCTTGAAGGGCAGCTGTGATTCCTGCGCGTAGACTGTGGCAGGCTTCTGGTGTGGGTTTGCACCGTATCGAAGAGGCAATTGCTGCTCGCCCTCGCCGGCGTACTTCTTGCGGAAGAAGTCGGAGATGGCGCTGTCGTATCCAGCAGTCTGCTCGAACGCCTTGAGCGCGTACCGCTGCCTGCTCTTCTCCGTGACCTCGCCGTTGTCCTTGAGCTCGGTGAGGAAGTCATGGTAATCCTTGGGATCGCTAATGATGGTGACCCGCGCATGGTTCTTCGCAGCAGCACGCAACAGAGTGACACCACCAATGTCAATCTCCTCGACAGCCTCCGGGATGGTAACGTTGATGCGCGCGACCGTCTCGGAGAAGGGGTATAGGTTGCAGATAACGTAGTCGATCTTGTCGATGCTGTTCTTGGAGAGATCCGACTCGTCCGACTCGAGGTTGCGGGCAAGTATGCCTCCGTGGACGGCAGGGTGCAGTGTCTTGACGCGGCCGCCCAACATCTCGGGTGCCTGGGTGATAGCGGAGACATCTTCGACGGGGAAGTTTGCCTGGCGGATCATCTTCGCGGTGCCTCCGGAGGCAAGCAGACGGACGCCATTGTCGTGCAGGCCCTTGGCCAGGTCAAGGAGGCCCGTCTTGTCGTATACAGACAGAATCGCTGGGATCGTCAGCATATGCTACTAATGTACAAAGGTCAAGCATGCTCACCAGTCTTTTGGCCAGCCATCTTGAATGTTCAGTCTGGTCAATTGTCAAAGGAGTGTCTACGAAAGGAATTCTGGGGTATCAAAACAAAGGGTGAGGGGCTGAGTCGTCCAGTGGCTCGTCAGGCCGTCTCTCGAAATTCTCGTGCCCCACCCCAAATTGACGTATCGCGCCTGCCCCTCGTTGCGATTTCGGCAAGGCTGCGGGCTGCGGCAGGTGGTCCGTGCATACTTCCCCAGACTGCATCCATACTTCGGACGACAACGCGTCCTACCTGGCTAAGCTATACGCGCAACAACAACACTGTGTTGCTAGACGATGTCGATTATTCGTCCGTAGCGCGCTTTCAGCAATTGATCCTTCTGCAATCTGATAGTCCTATATAGCCAATCATCATCCAGAATCGCGTTATAGAACCTCGGCTTCTTCCTCATCTTCCAGTACTTATCGTAACAACTCCCCAGCTCCACAACGAACATTTGGTCATTTTCGACCCCTGCAATATACTGTCTATAGAGCACTATATTCAAACTTCTGACCTAATCTAGCGTGGACTGTATCCATTTGATAACAATGACCTCAGATACAGGCACAGAAGACCTGATATCCCATCTCAAGTCGGTCCTCCTAGAACTAAACGCCCAGCCCTACCCCGAGGTCGCAAACCCACCCGAAACCCCAAACGCGCCTCTGTCGCCCTCATCCTCCGCATACAACCGCACTACTCGCATTGGCCCGCCACAGACGACAAACCGTTCCCCTACACCACCCCTACCCCCCGAGTCCAACCCAGCAACGCCGGCGCTCTTCTGCAGCTTCGAGCAAACCTCGCGACCTTTCGGTCAAGGATGTTATAGAGACGTTCTTCGCGCAGGACTGGGTTAAGCATGGCGATCCGGAGTTGCTGTTCATCAAGCGCGCAACGAGAGTGGGCGACAAGTGGAACGGACACGTAGCGCTGCCGGGCGGGAAGAGAGATCCCGAAGATGAGGACGACCAGGTGACCGCTGTGCGAGAGGCATTGGAGGAAGTCGGCATAGATCTGAACTACAATAACGCCATCACCGTCGGCAACCTCCCGCAGAGAGTGGTCACTTCTTCGTGGGGAAAAGTACCGTACGTTTTACCTCGCCTTCTACCATCTAGAGAACACGCGTATTGATGAGCTGTAGATTGATGGTCCTCTGCCCGTATATATATCTTCTCACGTCTCCGACGTACCCCGCCCAACGCCTCCAACCCACCGAAGTAGCCTCCACCCACTGGGTCTCCCTCCGCGCCCTGCAATCTCCCTCCCTACGCACCTACGAATACGCATATGTCTCCGCACGACTAGCAAAGTCTGAGCTCGGTATAAAACGCTGGTTTCTGCAGTCCATGCTATCCAGTATGATGTTCGCAGCCATACATCTCGTGCCTTCCAATTCCACCTACTGCGCGACAATCCCAGACTTCATCCCCGCGGGCGGACCGCCTGATGCGGGAACGCTGGGCAAAGTCAAAGAGGTCCTGCGAGGACCCGAAGGGAGAGACTTGGGAAAGCCCCCGTTACTGCTATGGGGGCTAACACTAGGCGTAGTCAGTGACTTGCTGGAACATCTACCACCACACAACGCGCTGGAACTGTGGACATACCCGACCTTCACCAACTGGGACGTTCGCTTTGTCATGTGGGCTATGTCGTACCGGTTTAGAAAACAAAAGTCGGCGGAGATGAGCACGCAGACGATAGGGCTTGAGACGGCGTCTGTTCCTATTATCGACGCCGAAGTCGAGGAGAAGCCGGGGGAGGTGGGTATTGCGGGATTGGGCGTGGGACGCAACTGGGGGAGGACGGGCAGGGCGAAGATGGTGGCTAGGAATGCGGCGGTAAATTCTATGCTTGAGGGGTATTATCCTATTGTTAGGAAGGCGGTGGCTACGGCATTGGTGGCGAGGATTGGGCTTTTTGTGGGGTTGGCGGTGGTATTGGGAAGGAGATATCGGGTGAAAGAGTGGGCTGAAGCGCTGTGGAAGTCGTGGTAATATGTTCTGTAGATGTAGACGGTATCTAGGTATGGTATCTGAGTGGCGCGCGTTAGTAATGGTCCACTTGGAGGTTATGCATCCTGGGTCGACTTGACGTACGATGCACAGCGATTGCTAGAGTGCAGTGAATATGCCCAACGGTCTAAAAGATAGCAAACGTGCGTGTTGCGAACTAGAGCGAGTGAGGAACACAACTGTTCACTGCCTTTTCCTCTTGGATACCTCATACATGAACGGCCTTCCCATTGAGATTTGACAGAATAGTCTGCAAAGCCACATCATGAGCCTAGCACCGTTTGTTGTGCGCCATATATGTGTGACACGAGATTGAATGAGGAACTCTAACGGTATACAAGAAGACCTATCTCCCGGAGTCCAAGAAAGTAGTGAAACTCTTCAATTTCGTCCCAAAGACGACATGCCATAATACAGCTTGCTCAGTTCGAGGACCTGCCAGGCATCTCCGCAATGCATGCACCCGTGGCCTAACAGATGTCCATCACTGACGTGGTAACAGTGCAGCATGCTGCACGCACCCGATGTAATTTCAGACATTGTCACCGTTAACACTCCTATGTGTGCATGGCTATGTTTCCAACAGCCACCACTTTTGGTAGTTCTATCCTTGGAGCCATGGCAGCTGTCGCGGGAATGCAGTGATCGGAACTTTAGGCATAGCGGGATTATGCAGTATGCTACCCCCGTCCAATGACGAATCGAACGGTGAACGTTCCCCGGAGGCAGCTGCAGACGGTTTTTTTTAGGCATTGTCCAGAAATATACCGCGCATCACGATGTAGTCAGAAGCTGGTGGCCAGTCTGACTATCTAGTCGATAATGCAGATGGTCTCATGGGTCTCGGGTTCAGTATGCTGAAGAAGCAAGGATGGGTAAATGATCGATACTTGGTAGCGAATTACAATAAAGGAACATCCTGCAAGCACCTACCCACAACCCGCTGAAGCGCTTGCTCAGAAATGGAGTAAACGAGAGTCGTAGCGTCGTAGATATCTCCAAAAACATACCAGATACTCCACACCCTTGGCCACGCCACTGGCCAAGATTCCCATACAGCCTACCCTCGTGAAGAACGTCCTGTGGCAGCACACCCATTCACAACAACGATACCGCCGCTACCGGCTCACACTACTCCCATCCATCGATTTCCGTGGCCGCAACACACACACACCGCGCTACTTTCCTCTCTACCACCTCACTCTCTTGCCTTCTCCGGTTCCAGAATCCTCAGCCCCAAGAACGCCAGAGCTCCCAAAGCCGCGCCCAACGCCGGACCAACCCAGTAGATCCAGTGATACCCCTGAAACCCAGTGACAACTGCAGGCCCAAAGCTCCTCGCCGGATTCAACGATCCACCCGTATAATACACACCACAGAGCTCCGCCACAAACAGCGTAAGGCCGATGACTAGCGGCTTGCTCGGTCCACCCGGCAGTATAAGTATCGTGAGCACGAGCTGTGCCGTTAGAAACATCTCCAAGAAGAGACCCCGCGTGATGCTGATGGAGGGCTCGAGCTTGGTAGCCGTTGGAAGCGGCCCGGGGAGCAGCGCGGAGACCACGAACGCGGCGCAGATGCCGGCGACGAGCTGCGCGAGCATGGAGTGAACGGCGCGCAGTGGCCTGATTGCGCCTATGAGCAGCAGAGACAGCGTTACCTAGTGCGAGGAAAGATGTGAGTGATTGTACTTTTGCTTTTTCAAGTGCTACAGTCCGGTACGACGGGAGCGCTGGCAAGGCGGGTCGCACAAGATGTGATCGTGCTATGCGCCGTTCGACCAGCCTTTTAGCCGTTTACCGTGTAACGCCAAACGGTGAGTTGGAAAGTTGGCTAGGAAATGGAGGTGGAAGAGCTTACAGCTGGATTGAACATGCCGCCGCTGATATCGGCGAAGATGCTGACGTTGACGGCAAGAGCGGCACCGAAGGCGAAGGAGATGTAGATCAGCTTGGAGACATTTTGAACGGGGTTCAAATCGAATCTGTCTGAGTCGGCATTTTCAACCGTGGCCGAGACGATAGCGATTGAAGTTCCGGCAAAGGCGAGAAAGAGGAACATGAACGTGCCGATGAATTCTCCGATGAAGACAGGGTATTCATGGCGAATGCTCTTGTCTGGTAGTGGAGGTGAAGCAATGGCTGGGCTGTCGTGATGATTGTGGGTAGGAAGCATGCCGTCTTCGCTGTGCTTCGACATGGTGAAGGTTCTTGGCCTCCAAATTTCAGGATCAGATGCAAAATCAAGCACAAGACTTAAGAGCAAACAAAATTGGTTGTTGAAGGTTACTGTTGTGCCAGATTTATATCTCTTTCTCTTAGATCATCGATGGCAGCCCTCGATGACGGTTTCTAGCGCGAGGGAGCACACCGACGCCCATGGCAAATCAACGTGCAACCTCCTTTTCGAACCGGATCGGTCCACACACTCCCTCACAACTTGGAAGCTTTGCCGGACCCAACCGCCTGGCCTGCACATCGTGTGAGCAAGTGGTACCGATGAAGGGTGGTGTGGAATGCAATTGCACTGGTCATTGGTTTTTCGTGCAGCGTGCTTCCACTTGGTTCATCCAAGAGGTGACAGAACGTCGGGAACTGATCATGACGTGCTGTGGAAACAAACCACGGGCAGTAATGCAGATTGCCGTAAACTCATCGGAATCTGACGGTGTACATGGTGCTTCACAGTGCCCGACACTCAAGACTGAACCCCTTGGCGCAGGAGCCTACCTATACCAGGCCCTCCTTTGGTGATAAGAATTAGCAGGTCAACTCGAGGGCTAAACTGCCTAAGGTGACTCACTCTATAACAGGTCTTCAAATTCTGGTCTGCCACTGTATGGCCATGTTTTACGCTGACGCAAGAGCCGGTACAGCCTTTCGTGTCGGGCACCGTGCTTCGATCTTCAGACCTGCCGGGATAGCGCTGAGAAGATGGATTTCGATACGAGATTGGCAGCGATCATTGACAGCGCGCATCAGTGTTCGAACGGTGAAGTAGGATGTCGGGCTGAGAGACTGGCGAATACTGAGCGTGCCTTAAAGTAACACAAGGTCATGATGCTTGAGTGACGATAGAAACAAAGCAATACCACCGTATTACTTCTTTGTGATACGAAGATGGCCGATAATTTATGGAGATCGAACTCCGTATTATCCACGCTGGGGTAACACAGTGTGTATATGCTGGCAACAATTTCCCTAAACTTGGCCCCCGCGATGTGTATTCGGAACTCCAGAGTGCGAAAAGCTTAGGCCTTCCTGAAACAGAAGTTAGTAGTGATGCTCGCATATAGCTTTATCTCGATACGACGTGCTCTTGTGATCGACAAGCACCTCGGTGCATATCATCGACGCAGTGGTGATAATGTCCATAATAGGGACGATAGAAACGGTAGACCTTGCCGCGTGACCTTCCATTGTACTCTGCAGTAACTGGTAGGTCAAAAGGTCGACCTCGGCATGCTACATTCCCGAGTAACACGGAAGGAGAGTCGCTGGTATGGATCACCCGATGTGATGTGTGGCCGGACTATCGGGGACAGCGTAGTATCTTGAGAAGCCCGAAGTATATTCGATGCCGCTACTCGCGTATGGCGCATGATAAGGCTGAAGTTTGTCTCATGATCGTTGATCAGAAGAATCCAAGTCCTCGAGCCAATAATGGGCGGAAAGCATAGTGGGTTAGATTCCCACGTAAGACATCTCATAGTACCCTTTGATACCTAGTTTGATATGAATCTAACATTCGAATCATACTTGTTCGTGTAACAAAGAGGGATTTGTAGTGGTAGGGTCGTTCGACGCTGTGGACTGGAGGAAGTATGTGCGGATAAACATTTCACCGACATCCGAAGGAAGGTGCATCTGTATCCCGCGCCCGCATCCAGCACTTAGCAGCGTACCCAGTACGTCAACCACATGCACATCTTCACTATGCGAACTTCGATATTTGCTCTAGCTCCTCTAGCTTCAGTCGCGTCGGCGGCCCGCTTCATCCTGCTCATCCCCAACACTCCTCTCGTGAACCCGTCATCGCTCCCATCTAGCACCCACGCAACGCTCCAGTCCTCCGGACCCCCGCTAGACGCCTACATAACGCGCTCAAACTCGTTTAACTTCAACAATGTCTCCGTCGGAAGCTACCTCGCTACCATTCACAGTCGCGACTATGCATTCGAGCCATTGCGCATAGACGTCACCCTCGAAGAAGCGGTTGAAGGCAGTGGAGACAAGAGGGAGAAGGTGCACGCGTGGCAGACGTTTATTGGCAATGAATGGGATAACAAGGGAGAGCCTAGAGGAGAGGGTGGGAATGGACTGGTAATCGAGGTTCCACCTAAGGCTCCGAAGGAGTACTTCCAAGAGCGGGCTGGATGTGAGTGCCACACTTACGTGACTGACAAGTTGGAGATCGTGTGCTGATGATTATAGTCTCTCCTTTGTCGTTCTTGAAAAACCCTATGATCCTGATGGGTCTCTTCACACTGATCATGGTCTTTGGCATGCCGTACTTGATGGACAACAGTAAGCACTTAGAAATATCTGCAAGGTTAATGAGGCTAACTATTCTGCAGTGGACCCAGAAACCAAGGCTGAATTCGAAGAGATGCAGAAGAAGGGCGTCATGGGTTCAGGCAACACCAATACCGCGCAGCAGATTCAAAACTTCGATCTCGCCTCGTGGATGGCGGGAAAGACAGACACTCCTCCCCGTGGCCCGAGTCCCGCTCCACAGTCTCAGGGGAAGAAGCGGGGTTGAGTTGTGTCATCTTCATGGACGGAAAAAGGAGTGCCCTATGCGCCTCTGGTGCAAGGATGACAGATATCCGGTGTATGGATCCAGCAATGGCTGTCGTAAGCAAATAGTTCAACAGCAATCTCATTTGCTCTAGCTAAAGAGTGTGGAGAAGGTGCATTTGTAGAGCGCACTAACTTTGGACATCGTTCGCATACGACCAATCAGATACCCAACGTTACTTTGACATCTTCACCATTCACTAAACCGACAACATTGTCGTGACTTACACCCTACCTCACTTGATATCTGCCATTTCCCTGCATATCAACAAATCTATCATGCTCAACATATCTGAAGGAAAGCTACGGCAATCCTCACGAACACAAGTCCTACCTCAGTCTCCTCAACCCAGCTTGAAATTGATAAATCAACACCAGCTCCTCACTTCTGCACGATGTACGCAAGTCAATTCGCCGTTCTGGCGGCTACACTGTGACCATCCTTTCTGATCCCATCTTTTATCTCCCGCTAACATATCACCAGCTTCACAGTCGCCTTCACCGCCCCAATAGTCGACCATGCCACAGAACCAGCCATTCAACGCTTCCAGTCCACCGACCTCAAGCCCATCCCCATCGACGCCCTCCTCCTCAACACCCGCCAAGACACCTCCAATGAAACCACCACCGAACAAGAGACCGTCACAGAGGTACTCACGGAACAAGTCGTAGTCGTCCAACCGCTCGACGCGCCCGCCGGACCCCGAGCCTCAGACGTACCTGCAGACGCGTCCAACCCTGCCGTGATGCAGGTTGTTCAGGAGGTGATGGAGTCAGTTGCTAATAAAGTCACAACCATTTCAAATCTGGCTTTTCAGACAGCCTATCCGAAGATGCATCTCCCATTCACGTTGAGTGGGACGTCGAGGACGTCGATGACGCCAACGACAGAGTCAACGTCAACACCAACGACAGAGTCAACGACCTCAACCCCAACATCAACGGCAACGGCAACAAGTACGCCAACGACAGAGTCAACGACCTCAACCCCAACCCCAACCCCACCCCAACGTCAACGACAACGTCAACGAGTATGCCAACGACAGAGTCAACGACATCAACCCCAACGTCAACGTCAACGTCAACCCCAACGACAACGTCAACCCCAACGTCAACGTCAACGACAACGTCAACGGCAACGCCAACGAGTACGCCAACGACAGAGTCAACGACGCCAACCCCAACGTCAACGAGTACACCAACGAGTACGCCAACGTCAACGTCAACGTCAACACCAACGACAATATCCACAACATCAACGACATTAACGACATCGTCCTCCACGGCTACGTCCTCCACAGCTACGGTGTGAAGGACACCAAGAGAGTTCACGCAAAGGGAAAAGGGAAGGAAGGACAGGAATCACTCACTAGGCCGAACGTTTACTTTATTGTCGATAAAGCCTTGCTTATATAGTTGCTTTTATTTAGTGACACGGACCGAAGTTACTTGAATTGGAATAAATGGTATTCTCATACACTCTACATCCTGCATGCAATTCACAAAAGGAAACCAACCCGCGCGTGAGCCTATATACAAGTCCGCTTTCTACTTTACTAAAAGATACAAGCCTCTTACGCCGCCAACGCACCCTCTTGCGGCGTCTGCGGTCCGTACCCGACTTGAGGGTCGGGGTATCCAGCAGCCATGAAGTTTGTCTTGGGGTTCTTCTGCGCCTTTGCTGCTGAGCAACGCGCCATTGTTGGTGAACTAGCATCTTGTTAGCATCTTGTGTCGGTGGGGACAATGCTAATATGTGACTTACTTTCTTGAAATGGAATCTGTGAAGTAAAAATTCTCAATCGGCTTCTTGAGCGGCTCGCCCGACGCCTTGGCTCCCTTGTTCTGGTCCACAAGCTGGACCTTGCTCAAGCCAGGTAGTGATACTGGCTCGACGACGTCGTACTTCCGCAAAGCAGGAGAGATCTCCTCCATGCGGTCCCTCAACTGCTCAACATCATCGTAAGGTAGCTCAGCACCGAGATATTCTGAAGCAGCTCGGATTATCTTCCAGTCTTCCCTTGATGCACCAGGCAGGCCGACAGCAGCACGGCTCATCTGCACTCGGCCTTCAGTGTTGACGTATGTGACAGACTTCTCGGTGTATGCGGCACCTGGGAGCACAACATCGGCGAGCTGTGCCGCCCGATCACCGTGGTGCCCCTGGTAGACAACGAAAGCATCCTTGGGAATTTCTGCCTCGTGAACCTCGTCCGCACCCAACAACCAGACGAACTTGGGAGTGGTGTTGGCGACTTCAGGTGATGGAACGGTGAAGCCAACGTCGTAGGCACCTGTACGGGATGCAGTTCGCTGGAGAATGTTGTATCCGTTCCACTCGGCGGTCTGGAAGTTGGCCTTGTTCTTCTCGACAAAGGCGCCAACCTGCTCGTAGAACGACTTAGCATCAGCGTTCTCGGTGACCGCACTGCCAACGATGATCATTGGCTTCTTAGCGGACTGGAGCTTCTTGCCGAATTCTCCAGAGAAAACGGTCTTCAGGTCAGTCGCAGATGAGCCGAGCTTCTGGTACTCGAAGGTGCTCTCAAAGTCCTCGCCAATGAGACCAATCTCCAGATCAGACCTCAGCCACTGCTTCCTGATACGGGCATTGAGAACGGCGGCCTCGTGTCGGGGGTTAGTGCCAATGAGAAGGATAGCATCAGCCTCTTCAACACCATAGATCTTAGAGTTGAACGAGTAGTTCGACCGCACGTCGACACCGTGTGCAATTGGCTCGCTGCCACCAGGCTGGTCGAGGGCGAGGTTGTCCGAACCAAGCTTGTTAGCCAAATCCTTCATGGCAACGAGAGTCTCGGTCTCAGTCAAGTGACCAGTGACAGCCTTAAACTCGTTGGCCTTGGGTGCTATCCTCTTGTACGCTTCACCAATCTCTACAAGGGCCTGTTCCCAAGATGCAGGCTTGAACTGATCGCCTTCGCGGATGAGGGGGTTGACCAATCGCTGGGTGCTGAGGGCGTCGCATGCGAAACGAGTCTTATCGTTGATCCATTCCTCATTTACGTCGTCATTCAAGCGGGGAAGAACGCGCATGACCTGAGTACCGCGAGCGTCGACGCGAATATTCGAGCCTAGGCCGTCAAGCACATCCACGGTTTCCGTGTGGTAGAGCTCCCAAGGACGAGCCTTGAAAGCGTATGGCTTCGATAGCAGAGCACCCACGGGGCAGAGATCGATGACGTTTCCAGAAAGCTCGGTATCAAGAGCGGTCTCGAGGTAAGTACCAATCTGAAGGTCGTTGCCACGACCAGTAGAGCCCATCTCGGGCGCGCCGGCTACATCGTTGGAAAATCGGACGCAGCGTGTGCAGTGAATACACCTGTTCATGGAGGTCTGCCTCAGTCAGTTTGTCTTCATTTTCGAGACTCTCGCGATTCCCACCTTGATCAGAGGCCCGATGTTCTTGTCTTCGACGGCACGCTTGCCACCAATCTCGTGGAAACGTCCGCGGTCTGCGCCATATCGCATTGACTGGTCTTGAAGATCGCACTCGCCTCCCTGGTCGCAAATAGGGCAATCCAGCGGGTGGTTGGCAAGGAGGAACTCCATGACACCCTCGCGCGCCTTGTGGACGAGCGGCGAATCGGTCTTCACGACCATCCCTGGCTGTACCGGCCATGCGCAGGATGCCACAGGTTTAGGTGCCCGCTCCACTTCAACCAGACACATACGACAGTTTCCGGCGATCATGAGCTTCTCGTGGTAGCAGTATCGGGGGACGGTAGAGCCGGCTTTCTCGCATGCTTGGATAAGGGCGGATCCGGCTAGAAGATGGTTAGAAACATGCAAAAAAGCTTCAATGAGCTACAGGCGCTATAGTACCTTCGATTGATACCTTCTTTCCATCTGCAGAGCTCGTTAGCAAATGTCGCCGCCGTCGCGGACCGGTGGCACGTACCGACAGTGATCTCCACCTCCGCCGACCGGCGGGCAGAGGCAGCAAAGGTCCTTGAGCCATTGAGGCCTGCCTTCACCGCAGGTCGCTTCAGCGAGCGAATTAGTTGTTGCCGAAGCATCGTGTGGCGGGGGCAATGGGCGATGAGGAGGTGCTTGCCGAGCTCTTCGATGATGAGGTTCAAGGGCGCTGGAGTTTGGGGCTTGGCACTCAGCGACATCAGAGAAGCCGCGATTGGTCAGCTCCTGCCCGGTACAAAAACCTTTCCGCCCACCGTGCACCTTCTCTTCTTCAACTCATTCTGGGCAGTGTTTATTGTGGGAAAGATGGGCGCGCCGCTCGCAAGAGCAGCGCGTATTCACTCCGTCTCTTCCTCTGCATTCTGCCCTAGAGCGCGACTCGCAGAGCGCCGTAGCTGGAGCAGATGAGGTTCTCTATGATATCTTGTTCCTTACCAACGTCGCTACATCCTTATATATTCCATCTTGCGTTGTTGCCCTTATGATCACATATAACGGCGACTATTTTCTATTGCGCAGCAGACGGTCACGATAGTGCATGACGGCTGAAGACTTTCGATGTGCATCGTGTTGCTGCTCACGCACTACCTTCGTAAAGTTGCAACTGGGTAGGAACCTTTTGAATATCCCGCGTACCCTCAAGATGGGCAATACAAATATCGTGAGGCACGTATCTGAAGGAGTAGACGGAGATCAGGAAGATCGAGGACCTTCGAGCTGCCTGTTGAGGCTTTTCCTGTCCAGGTTTACGCCCTCTTCCCTAATGACGTTTCCTTCATCGGGGTAAGATTTTCCGCAGTGTGATCAGTATAACGTTTGCTCGTTCGTCTTCTAAATACTCGTAGCGTAGCCGCGTGGTTGATAGATTGAGGAGGTGACGCTGCCTTCAAGGTGCCAGCGTCTCGAGCAAGATGTCCTGCTAAATTTTGTGTTTGTCGAGTGCTTTGTGAGTAGTGCTACAAGTGCTTCGTGCGCATTATGTCTCACATCGCTCTAGATTGTGAGATCCCTACATTGACTGTGTGTGTCAATACAGAGCCTGACGTAACTCGCTGCATGATACCGCAACAGGAAATACGATTTGCTTGACGCATACCTGCCAAGCCATTTCGCAGACACCACGATCCATATTTACAGACGTAGCATAGGATAATACTAGAGCAGATGTTCCGGTTGGGTTGTAACACCAACAAAACTTCGGACGAGACCCTGGATACAGAACAAGGTCCCCAAAGATATGTCAGAGCAACCGACGACCGGCTGGCAGTCCCAGCATGCAAAGAACACATCACAACGTATATGACATAAACTTGAATCAGAACTGAGCTAAATTGACAGAAGAAACGGGATCTTCGCATGATGGATAAGATTACACAGAAAGACCATTGCTCCACCGAAGACCCGTCGGCATTAGATGTTCGCCCCTTTGCGTAATGGTATACATTTTGTACAGATTGAGGAGAGCCATCACCGACGAGCCCGCTTGACACAATAGTCCACCCTCATTTTTCCCCACACCCACAATGCATCTATGACTTCTCAAGCTCCGCAAGAATCTTCTCACCCTTGGCACGTGCTGACTCGAGGTCACCGACCATGTAGAAAGCACCCTCGGGTAGGTCGTCACCCTCACCGCTGAGAATGGCCTTGAATGACCGGATGGTGTCCTTGAGGTCGACAAGCTTGCCCTCGATACCAGTGAAGACCTGAGCGACAGTGAAAGGCTGGCTCAAGAAACGCTGGATCTTACGGGCACGCTCGACGGTAAGCTTGTCAGCTTCCGACAACTCGTCCATACCGAGAATGGCAATGATATCCTGGAGCGACTTGTACTCCTGGAGGATCTGCTGGACGCGGGTGGCGGTGTTGTAGTGGTCGTCACCGACGATACGGGGGTCCAACATACGGGACTTGGAGTCGAGAGGGTCGACAGCGGGGTAGATACCCAACTCGGAGATACCACGGGACAAGACAGTGGTGGCGTCCAAATGGGCGAAGGTGGTGGCGGGAGCAGGGTCAGTCAAATCGTCAGCGGGCACGTAGACGGCCTGGACGGAAGTGATGGAACCCTTCTGGGTGGTGGTGATACGCTCCTGCATACCACCCATGTCGACGGCGAGGGTGGGCTGGTAACCGACGGCAGAGGGGATACGACCGAGAAGAGCAGACACCTCAGAACCGGCCTGGGTGAAACGGAAAATGTTGTCAATGAAAAGCAACACATCCTGACCCTCAGCGTCACGGAAGTACTGAGAAAATTAGCTCAGTCTCAAGGTCTCCAGGAGAGACTCGGTGTCTTTTCATTACGTACCTCAGCAACAGTCAAACCAGTAAGGGCAACACGGGCACGGGCACCCGGGGGCTCGTTCATCTGACCGAAGACCAGGGCGACCTTGGACTCGCCATCAAGCTGAATGACGGAGGTCTCCTGCATTTCGTGGTACAGATCGTTACCCTCACGGGTACGCTCACCGACACCAGTGAAGACGGAGAAACCACCGTGGGCCTTGGCGATGTTGTTCTACAAATCTGTTAGTCTTGCCTGGTTGTACTCGTGCTCCCATCGTCTTACAATCAACTCCTGGATGAACACAGTCTTTCCGACACCAGCACCTCCGAAGAGACCGATCTTTCCACCACGAGCGTAGGGAGCGAGAAGATCGACGACCTTGATACCGGTAACGAGGACCTCGGCGGAAGTGGACTGCTCGACGAACTCCGGGGGATCGGCGTGAATGGGAAGGAACTTGTCGGACTTGATGGGACCACGCTCGTCAATGGGGTCACCAGTGACGTTCATGATACGACCAAGAGTTCCGGGGCCGACGGGGATGGTGATGGGAGCACCAGTGTCGGAGGCCCTGGAGCCACGAACGAGACCCTCGGTACCTATGTCGAATCAGCATTTGCATCTTCGTGCCATCGGGTCCATCCACATACCGTCCATAGCAATACACCTGACGACGTTCTCACCCAAATGTTGCTGTTGACTGTCAGAGCCTATTCTTCCAGGTGTCCGGGCTTGGCGTCCTTACCGCAACCTCGAGAACCAGCTTCTGGCCGCCATTGTCGGTCGTCAACGCATTGAGAATGGGAGGGAGCTGCTCGCCGTCGAACTTGACGCTGTAGTTGATGATTAGCTTCGGATCTCGAGATGGTGTCGCCAATTGCTTCGACGAAAATCCGTAACCGGCATGTCGACGAAGTTTTTGCGCGACCGCATCAATGGATTTGGCCTTACTCGACAACGGCACCAATGACCTGATGAATCTTGCCATCCTTTGCGGCATCCGTCGAGGCGAACCTGGCGGCGAAAGCCGGGGCGAAGGACTTCCTGATGGGCTGGAATCCGCGACGGAGGGTCGTCGCGCGGAGCGACCGCTGGAAGCCGCTATATCATCGAATTAGCGCCTGCTGCATCGCCAATTGGTTTCGTCCAAGCTGTGGCGTACCTCTTAAGCATTATGTGAGATGTGGGAGGATGGGTTGGGGAGTGGAGTGGTGATGGAAGGAGGTGAGAGCTTTTAGCTGCGAGAGCCGAAGTTCTCCTTCAGTCACGCTAGTCCGCGTTGGGTTGGCAGCTTCGAGCTCCCAGACAACCCGAACAGCCTTGTCCACGGACCACATAGGAGCACAGTCGCAGACACGTTTTGCTAATCTTTGATGCATTAGAAATGCTGTAGGTGACGATGGCCTTTGGACAGATGATATGTAAATTGATGGCGATGAGACCCGCAGCTCAAATCCCCTGAGAAATCGTCCCAAGCCGAGGTCAGTCTCTATTCTGGATCGCAGCACTGCGCAATTGCAGCCTGCTCATTTTCAGCTCGAATGTGTAGTAGTCGAACATAACTCTGGATTAACTCGGCCCAGGATACGTGATACATGATACAATCGTAATGCAGCAGCTTTTACCATGCATCGGGATATCCCGGAGAGGAACCGATTTGCTCTGGCAATGAACAATAATAGCAAGGTAGCTCAGCAATGGTAGCAGCGTACTTCCTCATGTCAGCACAGGTTTTGCCTTCAGATGGTTTCGCCACGAGAGGCCTCTGTTCACGTTCGTCACTCTATCAAAGATTACAAGGTTCCTTTTGTTTGCACAGAGTACTTCAATCTAAGTAGGAACCATACTATCAACTCTCCTAGTCTGCTTCATAAATACCAAAAGCTTCTGATCCTTCTTGCTCTGCGTCAGGATTCCCATGATAGTCCTCGACTGTCGCTGTTCGACGTAGGCTCATTGCAATTGGAGGCTTGTCTTGTTCGACTTCTTCAATACCATCCGCATCATCCCGTCCAGTCTCCCCTTGCTCGTCCACATCGCTGTAACTATTCATAGGCCGCGGAGGAGCACTTGCGGTTCTTGATCGTATACTACCCCCAAGATTTTGCTCACGTTCTCGCCCCACACGCCCCCTGTACAACTGGAGGGCACCACTGTGCTGAGCATTTCCGTCTCCAGTGCGGCTACCCGGAGCTTCCAGCTCTTTTACATCCTTGGAACTTCTGGAACCCTTCGTTCGTCTGATTCCCTTAAGGTCCTGGTCTTGAATATCTGCTCTAGGAGACTTCAAGTTGACCTCGGCCTTATGGCGTGTTCCTGTTCTGATGTCCTTCTGCTTTACTGGTTGCTCAGTGTTTGGCCTTTCACTGGCGATATTCCGTTCTTGAGCGAATGCCGACCTCGTTTCTTTGGCCCCATGTCTTTCATCCGCGGGGTCTACGTCAATTCCGTCTCGTGACTGTCGCAACGTTGTATGATAGCCGTTAAACCCATCCTTCTCCGTGCCAAGATCTCCTTCTTCCTTGTTGAATCGATGATATTTATGGTGAGACAAACGGGAGACCTTCGTCATGAAAGCCAGGCACGTACTGGGTAGATTGTGGGGACCGTGCATACATTCAAGCTCGGCCTCCTTAAAGTACTCCCATTCCTCTACATCGGAAACAGAAAGAGATCTGAGGATCATCGCGCGTGTCCAGCGCAAGGATGGTAGGAAGCCCCTGCGGTGACCCAGGGAAGTGATATCACGCTTGAGCTTAGCGCGAGATATTTCATCTGTGCAATACATATAGCTGGAAAGAAGGGTGCGCAAACAGCCCTGGATGTCGTGCTGGGTATGCTGTTGTAGCTGAGCCAGCTGATCATAGAATGCTTTCGGCTCTGCGCTAAAGCGGGTAAGAGCCTGTAGGCACAATACCTCTGTCTCATAGTCCTGAATAGCCCTGGCTGCATCTAGGGCGATTTTTAGAAACGGTTCCGGATCGTTTTCATGTTTTGGTTTAGAGAGTGTTGGGGTCTCGGAGTAACAGGGAGCGTACAGCAGAAGACGCAGAAAATTTCCTGCGTTCGAAAACATTCCGGGATTTCCTGGGGGTGTCGATGCTAGTGCTTCGCGGCGTCCGCGAGCTTCGTATGCTACTTTGAGCAGTATCCAGCGAATGTATTGCCGGGACTTCATCAAGGCCCCGTCTCGCTGTAGAAGCGAAGACATGATCTCTGTAATTTTGTCAAGCAATCTCCACGACTCGTCATTGGGCGAGCTCTCGAACAATACAGATTCTGCCATATCAAGAAACGCAAGCTTGGTCGAGATCTCGCTATAGGGTGCGTAAGCTTCCCATTTCTTTAACACTGTATCGACCAGATACACGGGAAGGCTAGCACCAAAGAGGTCCGACAGTAGCTCTTGACCAGGATCCGCCTGGACTAGACTCACGAAGCTGTCTCGAAAATCCCAGCTTTTCTCTTCACGCATCAGGTCTGCTAGAGGCAAAAGCGAGAAAGCCCGGCGAACGAGGGACTCATCAACACCGGCCCCAAAGCGCGACATGTATCCTAGATTACGGAGCGAAATGATCATAGTTTGGAGCTAATTATTTTAGCAGTGTACGCCGCCTCGGATTGACGTTTAAATCACCTGAGTGGATGCACTTTTGTTTTCAGCCATTGCATAATTATTCCACTGCTCACGGCACACCTGCGCGTATTGGGAAGCTTGCGGAGCCTGGTTCGAATGGATCGTGGCTCCGTCCTTCAAGAGTTTCCACTCCTGCGTTATAGCTCCGTGTCGAGAGGCATCGAAGGTAGAGTGGGGTTGAGTTTGTAGAGACAGCAGGTCTGCATAATTCCCCGAATCGTACAGCGAATGCGCATACTGGACGTATACGTACGGATTCTGTTCTTGCCCAATCAGATGCTCAGTAAGATATCGACTCGCTCTGGCAAAGTTGCCTAAACGACAAAGGCGAGAGAATTCCTCTAGGTCATCAGAAATGTCGTCTGCTATCTCCAGCTGTAGGTGGAGCGTGACATCCATTGATTGCGATGCGTTGCATGCCAATCCTGCCGCAATCGACTAAGTTTTAATCAGTCTTTATTACTAGGTAGGTAGATAGTGAATGCATTTACCGGTGTATCTCTTTGTTGAGAGGGCGAGCGTGAGCGATCGCTCTTTTGAATTCCTGGCACACTAGCTCAGCATTAACATCTAAAGGGAACGTGATCCCACCTACTAGAGACTTGACCATTGTCAATTGATCTATCAATAGGGCTGTTTCCTCGTGGTTTGGCAACCATTTTTGATGGGCGCTCAATGTCCCTCTACAATGCTGTGGCGTCGTGTTCATTTACTTTGTGATAGGACGGCACACTGCGACGGAATCTGTTGAATCGTTCAACTTCTTCAACAAGAGCGTCGTACCTGGACATATCGATGCCGTCAAGTGCCGGGTAGCCTGCCTCGGGATGGGATCATGCGCTCTTCAGGGAGAACAAGCGATGAGTCTGGCGCTATGGTAACATGAGTTGGCTAAGGTGCTCGAGAGCGTAGTCGTAGAATGTATGTTTTCGGAACAGTTCGCTGATGCGTGGAATTACTTGGAATCCTTGTGAGAAATGGGCATACCGTTCCGCGGAGTGTAACCAGATTAAGCCAATGCCCATACATGCACATAGCCTCGTTTGCGCTAGTGCGACCAGGGTGGCTGACGACTCTGGGTTCAGCCTCGTTAATAATACATGCTCTTGCTAGCTGCTGAGGATCCTCCTGCAGCCTAATCAGCCGCACAGTTAAACTCCTGACAATCCAGCCTTGGGTGTCAGCAAGCGCTGCATGTTGCCTTAAGATCTTTCGTCACACCAGCCCAGGGCTCGACAACAGTCAAGCATGACTCTACCTACGAGTACTACTACGGGTCTGCCAGGGGTCAGATTGAGTCTTGCTGAGTTCCGGAGAACTTTCAACGCACGAGCCGGCAATTTTGGCCGGCACGATCTAAGAGAATATCAGGACTTGGATGGGAACATTAGTGTTGGTAACTCAGAGATTGGTGGAGTATCCGTCGATTGCCGATTCAATTTCGAGCGGACTCGCTGGGGCGTCATCGAGGATAAGTCTGGAGGGATCTTCTATATGGACCTCACGATTAACCAACCTCTGGATTGGCGACTGAGGGAAGCTACCGTTTCTGTAATCCTGGAAGACCTGAGAACGCCACAAACGAAAAGAGCAGACAAGAAGACCCATCACGATGTTTCAGTAGCGCTGGACACCGAATATTATGGTCCCAAATCCTTAGTCGGCCCGGAACTCAGCGTCGAGAAGACCAAAAGTTACAGCATTGGTCCCCAGGTCGAAGCTGCAGGATTCGGTGGGTCGTTGGGCGAGTTTGGAAGCAGTGTTACTTTACCTCGAACCTCGTGGTGGAACTTCCATGGAACTCCTCAGACGGCCAGTAACTCGTCAAAGCGATATACTATTCTCACTTGGGTCATGTCTCAGAATGCTCTCGCATACAGTGCCGAGCATCCGGCCAAAATTGAGACAGCCTTCACGTTCTTCCACAAATACAAACCATTCTCCTTGCGAGTGGAAATCAACGGGAAGCTGCGACACATACACCACAAATTCAAGGATAAGTCCATCGGACTTTTCTCTAAAGCAAAGAAAGAGAAGCCACTCATACTCGTCTTCAGATTTGATCCTGGTGCTGCCTTCAAAGAACAGCTTCTCCACCATGCGAAGCTGCTGGAGAGCGACATGGCAAAGCTCGCATGCCAAAGGAAGCATGTCGAAGTCAGCCAACGTACCTCAACCGCGAGGTTGTCCAATGAAGAGACTCCGCAAGAAGGCCAGTCGATCCCAATAACTCGGTCAACTAGTCCGGCCGGACCAGCTGTAAGCAACAATATCAATATCACGCTGCAAGCCGGTCAGGACGAGCTAATTACTCAACTGTTACGCGTACATACTGCATTGTTGAACAACGATAGCTTGAAGGTCTCTCCGGACGTCCCGCGAGAGCCCTTACGAATCAATAATCATTTGGATGTACCTCCATCTCTAGCGGTTGGGGACGTACCACGCGAAGAGATAGTGGCAGATTTGCAAAAGCTGCCTGCATCAGCGCAGTGGTTGCTAGCTTTCTTAGTTCGTTTTTGGTCTGCGTGGTCTATACTTGTTACGACTTCGCAAGATAAGTCAGCTCCTTCTTGAGTATTTTCCCGCCGCAATATCTGTAAACAAGCAATGGGATGATGGATGAAATTCGGGGCTGAATCGCAGGCTTCGGGCCGAGGCAGCTCCAGGTCTTGCAAATCAAGCATTGATTCTGAATGACGTCTTATGTGTAAACAAGATCAGATAGTCTCTTGTAGGGTGCTGAATGTGAGCAGAGACAACACAGCCGTCGTACCTCAAGTGCAAGATGGCTCGTGCGATCCCTGCTCAACGCGCGCGAACGGCAGACGCGGGGAAAACACGTCGAGTTCACCGAAGCCCAATGTACACCGCGAGCGCATAAACACCCCAGTAAACATTGCCGACCGTCTATGACGCCCACGCCGATTCGTCGCATTCATGTCCACACGGAATCCCAACAGCAAAAATTCCGCAGCTGCTGAGCGACGGTCGGCCAACTATGCATCGTCAACACACAGGCCCCGCGCCGCTTCTAGAAACATGAGTGGAGAGAACAACGAGGATAGGCGCACCTCCACCTCGCAGACACGCAAACATTCGACTTCCTCCGGCATGAACGAGCGGCGCGTAGAAAGACGTGAGGTCAGAGAAACGGAGAGGGAAGTGCGACGGACAAGGAGCCCGCTAAAGCACTCGACAGAAAGCAGAGTCAATGCGAGGACGAGGACAGAGAAACCTGCGCGAGAAGAGAGGGAGAGACCACGTACAGCAGAACATGCAAGAACAAAGTCTGAACCAGAGAAACCATGGGATCCTCGGGCCACTCTCATACCACATACAACCGCTCCGCTTGCGACACGCGTCTCAATTCCACCGCTCGCTTCGACGGCGCCCACTACGCTACAGCCTACGCCTCTTGCACAACTGTTACTTGATCAGCAGGAGAGCGCCATAATAGAAGACTTGCTGTTTGTGTTTATGGGATTTGAAGGACAGTACATACGGTTTATCGACTCGTATAATCCACATGACGAGAAGGAACGACTCGTTGGGCCACAATTCCGCATACTACCTGGCCTAGATCCGAGTCTGAGGGATCTGACCAAGTCAATGTTGACAATGGCGACACATTACATCGCGGTGGAGACATGCATCGAGGTGCTAAGCAGGGAAGAATACGGCGCGGTCAATCATTCGCTTTGCGCGGCTGTGAGGCGGCTGCTGAAAGACTACTTGACGCTGATGGCGCAGCTCGAGCATCAGATGTTGACTAATCAGTCGTTTACCCTACATGTGCTGAATCTACATACCAAACAGACGAGCCATATGTTGTTCCAGCTTTATACCACAGGAATTGAACTGCTGAAGGCCAACGGAATATTGGAGGATGACAAAGATTCAGATTCGGAAGACGACACGGAAAATTTCGAGGCAATATTAGAATCAGTACGAGAAGGTGGCAACGTTCAATTAGGGACCAAGAAGATATGCAAAGGCGGAAGCGTGCTCGGGCTTATAACGCGGCGACTGGCCTCGATGTCGGGCGATCCTGCAGCACGGGAACTGCTCACAACTTTATTACGAGAGGCTAGTAAACCTTACATGACGATGTTGAACGAATGGCTACATCACGGCGGTATCCGAGATCCGCACGCAGAGTTCATGATCAAGGAGTCAAAGAGCATAAAGCGGGAGCGACTGGACCAAGACTACACAGACGAATATTGGGATAAACGGTACACGATGCGAGACGCGCTCGTACCACCACAGCTCGAAGGTGTCAAGGACAAGGTCCTGCTCGCTGGCAAATACCTCAACGTCGTCCGCGAGTGCGGTGGCGTCGACGTTAGCGGGAAAGTCCAAGACGTACCTACAAGCTTCGATGACGCTCGAGTTCTGGACAATGTCAACTCTGCATACGCTTACGCCAACTCCTCGCTCTTCAATCTTCTTCTCACAACCCACCAACTGCCTGCGCGGTTACGGTCACTCAAGCACTACTTCTTCCTCGATCGATCAGACTTTTTTTCGTACTTCCTTGAGCTAGGCGGTTCGGAGCTCAAGAAACCAGCTAAGAACGTTAATGTCGGAAAGCTGCAGTCACTCCTGGACATAATCGTTCGACAACCTGGCTCCGTTGCGGCCGAAGACCCCTACAAGGAAGACATCAAGGTGCAAATCATCGAGACGGGTCTGACAAACTGGCTCATGAAAATTGTCACCGTGACGGGATTAGACCAAGAAGCTGCTAACGCGGGCTCAATCACGAACTACACACCTGCCACCACCGACAAAGCGTCCGTTACCGACGACAGCAACTTAACCGGCTACGGGGCCCTCGTCTTCGATTATGCAATGCCGTTTCCGCTCTCTCTGGTCGTCAGCCGGGTGACACTGACACGATACCAGCTTCTCTTCCGTTACCTCCTCAGCCTCCGCCATCTTGAAAACAGCCTCGTTGAATGCTGGGGCGAACAAGGCAAAACCGCGACCTGGAAGCACCGCTCGCGCAACCCGCGCATCGAACTTTGGAAACGCAAAGCATGGACGCTCCGTGCACGCATGCTAGTCTTCACGCAGCAACTCCTGTACTACTGCACCGCCGAAGTCATCGAGCCTAACTGGGTCTCCTTGATGTCCCGGCTCACGCAAGAAGACACGCCCGACACCAAAGCCAAAGTGAGACCACATCAAGACGGAGACGGAGGCGTGAAGAGGACCGTGGATGAACTGATGCAAGACCATGTAGATTTTCTGGCGACGTGCTTAAAAGAGTGCATGCTTACTAACAGTAAGCTGCTCCGCGTACGTATCCTCCTTTTCTCAACGTCCTACCTTCCTCACTAACGCATACACAGATAAACAACAAGATAACATCCACCTGCCAAATGTTCTCCACCTTCACACAGTCCCTCTCTCGCTACCTTATCACCGGCGACCCAGATCTTGTAGCACAGGCCAATGCGGCGGCCGCCGAGAAGGCTTCCCCGACCTCCTCTCGCTCAGCTCCTTTTGTCTACGATCCGCAGCGGGTAGATAAGATGTTCGACATGCTTGGCAAGTATGAGGAGAACTTTGCAAGGCATCTGAAGATTTTGCTGGACACGCTGAACTACCTTGCCGCTACGGAGACAGTCGTGTTCCTGAGTCTGTGTGCGCGGTTGCAGTCTGCAGGCGAGGGGGGCATGGTTGCTATGGTTGTCGGGGAGGGGTTCGGGGTTTGAGGAGACCCAGTGCCTGAAGCCATGCATTGGTGGGTGTGGAAAAGTGCAGGGCGTTTCATAAATGTTCAGTGCGGGCCGGCGTTCTTGGGGTAGGATACCATACCGCGATGGGCGTTGCCAGCATTCATCTGATTAGCGTTCGAATGGAGTGAAACGTTTGAGACCAGATCTCTGGCTGACTTTTGACGAAGAGCTATAACTCATCATCCTATAAGCTTTGACACAATCTTGCCTCCCGCTTGTTCGACACTCGAGTACCTTCCCACTCTTCGCGTTTCAACATCGAGACCTATCCCTCCCAGAACGACGAGATACAAACGCGGTAGCAGAACGGAGTGCACCCAAACGAAGCAACAGCACTGCAATCCACACCTCCCCCCATCCCTCTAATCACACCCCATAACTATCCACCGTCAGCTAAAATCCCCCCCTCAACTCTTCCCCCACGTGAAAACTCACCATAATCCCCAAACTCCTCATAATCCACATAATGCAGCGAAACCCACTCCCAGTCCTGATCGTGGCTCGTAGACAGCGCCACCCACCGCCTATTCCCTCTCTCTATTAGTCCCCTTCCAACCCTACTTCCTCAAAGAAAGCTCAGTGCAAATGGGAGACTTACGTATCGCCCTCAACAGAGCTCCCTCGTCCCGCGCAGAACAGCCCTAACACTGTGCCTTTCGGATAGGCCTTTATCACAGGACAGTCTTTCGGACGCTTGTGGTCGGGACACGTGCGGCTGTTTAGACCCGAGGAGGCGGTTACGCGGCCTTTGCGGGCTTGTTTTGCGAGCGCTGCTGGGTCTGGTGCGGGGGCGGCCATGGTGAGCGCGGCGGAGGCGAGGATGAGGAGGGGGGTGAACTTCATGGTGGTACTAGTATGTGGTGAGTAGGAGATTGGTGTTTGTATCGAAGTTTGGGGTGGAAGGTGCGTGGGGATAGGAGGTGGAGAGGAAGTGGAGCCAGGCTCATCGAGGAGCTTTATATTCCCAGTGTAGGGGGTGCGTTGCTAGGGCTTACACGATACACGAGGTGTACTTTGAAGGACGAGATGGGGGTGATGTGTACGGTGGGCATATAGTTTACGTTGACGCATATTATATGCAGTCTTAGCTATTCCCGTCATTAGTATGGAGGGTTCCGGTGACTGGAATACTAAGTGTAACCAGGGAGGAGACGTTGGGAAACAAATTTAGAGGCTGTGTTATTCGCGGACGAAGAATCTCGTTGGAATAGTGTAGTAGTGAGTAGATCAGGGTATGCAAGTCGGTGGGATTGGTTAGGTCGTATTCGCTGCGCCGTCCGATACGAAATTCCCCGTATTTGTATGTAGATGTACGATACCCATAAATAGTGTCCCAGCCTTGCGTCCTCATCGGTTCGAAGAAACGTTACTGCAGTAGAATAACTTTACCCGTGAATGTAAAATTATAAGATCACCTCTTCTCACCAACAATCAATGACTTTTCAATTTCTGTAGCGTATAAAGACATGACCGTTGCTGCGCAAAAGTGTGAAATTGAGGTGTTCCTTAGGGTAGTAGTCGAACACGACTAAAGCGAGCATCTCCGTGTATAAGCGCCACGATTCCGTGAATGTGCAACATTGCCTCACCGGTCTTCGGTTTTGTGCTTTCTAGAAATGTTTGCCAGCGTCGATTGAAGCAAGGTTGTAAAGTCATTTTCGTCGATGCGGTTCTGAATGCGAAGTACGTGAACATGTGACGCTAGACATGGATCTCTAGCTCGTGGCTGTGTTCTACGTTGGGGGCTAGGTAGTTGAACTAACGGTAAGGGAGCATCGAGGCTATTGTTAGGTAGCTCAAACAAGGAGCGCTGTGTTATATAATGTCCCTTTACAGACATCTCATATATTATCCACGTACCTGATCATCTACTCCTCGAAGGAAAAATGCAAATCGGCAGTCTGATCTCTTCTCAGTACCACCTAATTAGCCCATCTCTTTTGGCTGGGAATTGCCATGAAGTTCGTGAAAAACGTCCGGCTGTCGATGCTGTTCCTGAGCTTCCAGTTCAGCCTTGTTCCGCTCCTCTGCACCCAGCTCCGCTTTCGCCCACCCACCCGAGCCGTTCGGATCTTCCAGGCCAGCTTTTGCCTTTTGTGCTCTTCTCCGCCAGAGCAGTGCACCCACACTGAGCAGCACCACCAGCGTGGAGATTCCAACGCCTATGCCTGCTTTTGCCCCTGTGGAAAGGCCACTGGGCATAGCTGATCCTGATGATGTCTGTCCCGCGACAGCGGATGTCACAGTGCTTACTGTTTGTGTTGGTGATGAAGTTGACGGCCCGCTTGTGATGGGGAAGTCGCCGCTTCGGTAGTCGACGTAAATAGGAGGCACGACTTTCATCCCGTATGTCATGATTGTCGTCAACACTGTTGGTCTTGAATGTTTAGACGTCGTGACCACACCGGCCGTGTCAGTAGTTATAATCTCGGAGAGGTTGTCGTACGTTAGCGTCAGCACTTCGGTCTCGTAGAACTCCGAAGTGCATTGTCGTGAATACAAGGACATGTTGCCGTAGCTGGGGATGTCCTTACTCATAGTAAATAGAGTGTAGGAGCTACGGTGTGAAGGTACATTAGTTCAAAACAACTTAACATAGATCGTTTGGGGGAAGGTGCATACGGAGGACAACATGAAGCCGCTATCACGCCGTCGGACAGATTGTCCCTCAGGCTACGAGACCGTAGTGGATAACTAAGGCCAGGACTGTAATGCAGCAGAGCCGACTCCGTGCATATTTGGCTTGCTCTTGACGGAAAGCCTACATGGCGAAAATCAGATGTCCGATTAGATGCATCCGAGTTGTAAAGTAGTGAGAAGTTCTAGCGGCACCACTCACAATCTTCTTCGAAGTTCTGCGCTATAATGCTGAATCCAGAGATATCGCTGATGGATTCCGTGTAAGGTGTGAAATGTTGCATGCATGATGCAGGCGGTGTGAACTTCGTGGTCAATGGGTCCAGTGAAATGATGTATGCCTGGCATGGCTGCGGCGCATCACCCATAGGCATATTTTATGGTTCTGTTTCTGAGTCTGACTCTCGGTTGATAGTGGCTTGAGAAGAGGGGGTAGTTAGAGCTATATGCCAGGCTGTGGGGGCTAGATGCATGGCCATGGCGCCTCTTCGCTTCGTTGAGTTGACGTGCGATGTCTTATTGGCACGATAGCGGGGAAAGTAGAGGGACAACTTCGTGATAGGTGGTTTGGTTATCGCCGAGACGGCAAGTCAACTCAGATACGAGAGCCTCGATCAGTGGGAGGCCTTGATTGGGAACGAATTTAGCATGACGAAGACATGTGCATCACTGACGCAATCTCAGCCTTGCATCGAGTCGTATGTCTCGTGGCGGTAAAGCGAGTTGTCTTGTAACGTTAGCCTTTGGCCTCTATGTCAGGGACACTTTCTTCCTCATGAGGAGCCATGTCTACTATCACTTCGTTGTCAGCTAGTATCCTAAATAGGTCTTTGGACTGCGTAGCGTTATGTGGGTATAGTACAAGTCTGTGTATCCGGACGACGAACCGTACTTCGACGCCTCCACAGCTGCCTGTACGGACAACGTCTAAGACCTTAGAGTTTGGGCTTACACTGATGTTGGCATCGAATAACCTTGTCCTACAACCACGAGCGGCGTAACGCCAAACTCCTTCCTTGACTTTCCCATCGCACCTTCCATTTGCACCCATGCCTTGACAGAATCTCGGCACAACGGCGAACCGTGAAAACAAAAGTATCACAATTGTTGAAGTAGGTTCCGTAATCCGAGCAATATCGACGATGGTATCGAATAAGATCCTTCCATCGCTCGCGATGCGACTCCGAGCCCAACCCAACTATCTAATCCAAAGCGCCAAGGCTATGCTGTAACGAAGAACAAACCATCTGCTATATCCCTACACTTCATATCGGCCTCTCCCCTGCCCACTGACCTCATTGCCAAACAACCTCCCGGCCTCGATGCAAAACCTCGCATCCCCGCTCCCATCCCTTCCGACTTCACTGCCCCAACATATGAGCACAGCGTCGAGAATGCCGCCGAGCACACCTTCCATCGCACCGAGAGCTCCCCACCCAATTGCCGCGCTGATCAACCCAATGACATAGGCATACAAACTGCCAGTATACGGCACCGTGTCATTCCCAAGCTTCAGCATCCTGGCGGTCGAAACCCAGCCTCCGAAACCCAGCGCGAGGGTGATGACCCAGCGAATGGCGTGGAGTAGGGTCTTGCTAAGGCGGTACGAGACTATCGATGGGCGGGCCTGAGATGGTGCGAATGAGCGTGGTCCAAGGGTTGTTGACGGCGAAGAGGGCGAGATGAAAGTCATCTCGCTGATACCGCGTGAGGCCTGGGCCAATGGCACGCTATGGATCGACGCGTACGTCAGGGTGAGCGGGTTTGTTAGTACGGCGATCGAAGTTGGGAGGACGTGGTAGACGCAAGCACTGATCCACCGAGTAATGCGCCGTGGGAGGGCAAGCAGCGGTAGCCGGACGAGGAGAGATAGGAAGGTAGAGAAGCATATCGTTCCCGCCATGGTATAAAATGCATGGAACAAGGAGGCCTGGACCATAGCACGTGGCGGTGTGGGGTTCGTGTTGCGGTGGAAGTACCAGTGGCTCACGGTAGCAGCAGTGCTAACGCGCTGGACGCCAGCAATCACACTGAGCGTCCAGAAGTAGTCGAAGAAGAAGGCTGCGCCAAGCCACCAGGTGCTCATGTCGATGACCCAGCCAGACTTCGTGGCATGACCTCCAAGGAACAGGCCAGTAAACATGAAAACCCAGATCCAGGACCACACCACGACAGCAGCTAAGGTGGCGATTCCGATGAAGAGCAGGTGGAGGTTCGCTTGTAGGATCTCACCAGAGAACTCGAGCATCCTAGTCGCTTTATCCAGGGCATGGCGCCCTTTCACTACCGTGTAAAGCCACCCTACGCAGAAGATGGCTGGACCGAGGGAGAGCCACCGCATGACTTTATCCTGAGTGCTTTTGCCGTTCCACGAGCCCTTGAAACTCGATATAAGCGGATACAGGAAGAATGAGAACGATATCACCGGTACGGCGACCAGTAAAACTATAACCAAAGGTCGTGCGAATGAACGTAGTAATGATAGCCAGAGAAGACCGACTAAGACTGAAACTAGCGAATAGACGCCAATCAGATGAAACGACGAATGCAGTACAGTATATATCGTGTCGCCTAATGGGTGTTTCTTATCTGGTGGTGAATCCTGTAGCCAGGCGAGGAAGATGACGCCGACAAGGGCGCACTTTGCAAGGAGAAACATCTCCGCCCAAAAGAAGTTATGTCGTGGTTGTGTGACGGGTTCTGCAGTAACAAGCTGAGGATCTGAATCGCTGTCGGGCGGCCCAGGATGCTGCAAGAGGGTGTCCTCGTCCGTCTCTTGCGGTATTGGTAATTGCGTTCGAAGCGGACTTCTGCCGCGCGTTCGTCTGGGCGGATTTCGGAACTGCTGGTATGATGGCGGTCGTTCAACATCTCGTGAAACCTCGCTCGCTTCGTCGTCCTCCAAGCTTCCCCGATTCGTTGATGCTAACTCAACATCCACGAGCTTGGCGTTGTTTTGGCTGCTCGGTGCTGCGCTCGACTCGGAGAGTGGTACGCTTGAATCTCTCCTGTCATGATCCAGCTTCGTGACGGTAGTGGATCTCCCTCGCGTAGTATTGTCATCCTTCCACGAGCTCTTGATGCCCCGACCTAGTCCGTAGGTGGCATCGCCTTCAACGCTGCCGCCGTCTGCTGTGTGGTCTGATTTCCGTTCCATATCGTCATCTGTTCCTGCCGACTCGGATAGGTTGCTGGCGCCAAACTGCGCCCGCGAGCGGCGTAGGGCGTAGTGGTCTGCCATTTCGCGATCGTGCTCTGCATGGTCGTCCTCTTCTCGGAAGTCATCTGTGGCAGAATAGAACAGAGGCGCGGGCGCGTTGGAGGTCCGGGAGGCGAAAGGGTAGCGCGACATGGCCTGCGAGTTATATGGGTTCATGCTGCGGCGCTGGAAGTAGCTGCCCGACGGTCGTGTGCGAGAGGAGGGTCGCTGTCTGTCTGAGCGAGGCTGGGTAAAAGGCGACTCGGGTTGTCCGAGGGAGAGTCGCGACGCAGACTGCGACTGCGAGAGGAACTTGGAGGCATCTGCGGCATGCTGGTCAGTCACACGAGGCGGGCATTGTAAGACAGAGGCGCGGGAGCTGTCACATGGGCCAGGCGCACTTACACTCGGAAAACATGGCAACGGATGGGCTGCTCGCGTGCCTTCGCTCGCAGGCAGCTCTCGTATCTTATTTGGGGTGCAGCCTCGAAGCGGGTGTGGAGTCAGCTGTGGTCGGTGAGGCGGGCGGTAGTTCCAGAGGCAGCAGCTCGAGATGACGCAGTGGAGGAGGCATCCGCTGGCGGGTGGCCTTGGCAAGCGAAGTGGCTGGTGTGTTTGATATAGCGGGCGGTGTTTGTCGTGTCTAAGAATGTGTTCGAAGAGCGAGCAGAAGGTCGTCGGAACCGTAGGAACCTAGGAGAGTTGTAGGTGCTTGTCGCGCTCATCAAGCAAGTCAAGCGCACCCCAGCGATAGCTACAGCCCGAAGCCGGCGCTAGTAGAATATAGCGCGGCTCATGCGGAGGCGTCACAGGTCGATAACGGCCGCCTCGTCTCGGCCATCATCACGTACCAAACATTTCATGGGAGCATCATCATGATCCGGAATGGCAGCCGGAGCAGCTTTACGGTGCTGTAGCCATACAAAGCCTGGTCATTAACCATTGGTACTATAATTACTAATAATCCCAGAGCCACTGTGGCCATACTTGAAGTATACCTGTTTCGATCTGCTTGGATATTATATGTCCTGATGTAACTCAGACTACAAAACGCCTCCGGATCATCTTCAACTTCGTCTTCGGTGTTCGTGTGTCGATACTGATCAGGTGTTGTGACTTGTCACATGCGCAGTTCTGATTTGGTTTCGGTCGAGTCTTTAAGATACCACAAGTATGAACCCATGATTGATATACAGTCAGGACGTGTGCAAATATGTTGGTCCTGACACTTAAAATGCCGATGTACTTATTAAACTACATAGTATCATCTGAAAGAAGTTTTTGAGGACGTTGGAAGGTGCGGTGGTCACGCCTTCCTATTCGGTGTGACAGCTCGTGACAGCTCCGCCACGACCAAAGATAATGACGAAGCTCCAGCCACAGCACTAACAACCATCCCCCGTTATCCCCAGGTAAACCTGCATGCACCCACGAACAAGATACCCACTTCAACACCAGCTAGTGCCTCTCCCTCTTGAGGATAGCGCAGGCTCAATTCTAGATTCAAATTCAACTCGCATCTGACATTCCTCCCCGCAACGCCCGCACAATCGTCCACAAACTTCACGCTTCACCTTCGAGACCGTCCTAGCTACTGGACACGCCGCCCCCCGGCGCGAACCATATACATGACGCAACCGTGGGACTACATCGCGAAGATAGTCTCGCTAGGAGACTCCGGCTGCGGAAAGTCCAGTGTACGACACCTCACACCTTACCCGACCCCAGCGCATCTGCTAACCGCCCCGCCAGCTCACCATCCGCCTCTGCGAAGGCCGCTTCTCCCCCCACCACGATGTCACCATCGGCGTCGAATTCGGCTCCCGCATCGTCCCCGTTGGCCCGCCCGCATCCCACACCCTCTCCATAAACAACCCCTCCAAATCCGATTCTACACCCGCGCCCGCCAAGAACCAGAAGCCTCCGGAACAGAAGCACATGAAGCTTAGCTTATGGGACACCGCGGGCCAGGAAACGTACAAGAGCATTACGCGGAGTTATTTCAGGGGCGCGAGCGGCGCGCTGTTGGTGTTTGATATCTCGAGGAAGAATACGTTTCTTAGTGCGACGAGCTGGCTTCATGATCTGAGACAAATTGCGGAGGAGAATATTGTGGTTGTGCTTGTGGGGAATAAATCAGATCTTGCGTCAGCGAGTACGGTCTCGGGGGAGAGCGAAGCAGACAACAAGAGGCAGGTTTCGAAAGAGGAGGCAGAGGAGTGGTGCAAGGCGAATGGTGTGATGCAGTACGTTGAGACGTCTGCGAAGTCGGGTGAGGGCGTTGAGCGCGCTTTCTTAGAGGTCGCAGAGCGGATATACCAGAACATTGAAGCCGGTAGATATGACCTGAACGACAGGAGATCAGGCGTGAAAGGGCCCGGAGGCGGAGGCGGAAACAATGCGAAGATAAATCTGGGAATGAACGACGGAAGGGGAAATAAAGCGCAAGGAGGGAAGTGCTGTTGAGCGCGACATGGCAGCATTGAAACATGCATCGTTGAGGTGGACAACCTGTATAATACGAGCCATTAGGCCGATATTGCTGTTTGGATTCGCATGGCTCGGCGTTCGCATCTGCTGGCTAGAACACCTTTCTTAGTATATTTTAATCGACGATTACTTCCACCATCATCTATGTTGACGATGAGCATCTTTAGAACGTCCTCATCCGATGGTTTTTCGCTTGGTTTCTGTGCATATAAACGCGCCGAACTTCCTGCTTTCTTGGACCACACTTCTCCGCAGGCCTTGCACTAAAACAAAAGTTCGAACAGTCGCATGGATCGAAAGATCAAGTTGCGCAACTCGATGGACTGAGCACCAAAAACGGCTCGAACATCTTCACATGTCCTCCTTTGGCAGCCTTTCCTTGAAATCGAAAAAGTCCACAGCCTATGGCATGGCAGTCCAACTTCACCACCTCCACAACAAAAAAGCATTTGCTTTCCTTGCATGGATTGAAAGCCTGCCTCGCATAATTCATGCACCAGAACACCAAAACCACTAAAACGTCCCTACAAGGTTCTCATGTTCGGCGTTGGTCCCTCACAACCAAATATGGGTTCCCATTACATGGGCGTTGGCCGCCGCAGCCTCTACGATAAACCTCTTGAGCATACTTGCATGTGGACGAGAAGTCTTGCAAGCACCTCCAGCACCACCACATGGAGCGAGCACTAATGTCCTGTGGGGGACTTTATTATGGCTCGGTTCGGTGGTCTGTCCTGGGGAATCAAAAACTACAACGAGTCACTCGATGGGAGGCGGACTTCGGTGTCCTTTATATCAAGTCTCATAGCGTTCTCCCCATGCGGGCTGTGACTCCCTTGTTGCTTTGTCAGATGAGGCGGACAACCAAAAATGAACTCCGGACTCAATATGTCCCCTGTCTGGCGGCCTGCCCTCAGGACTGAAAAAATGTACGATGCTGTTCATGGGACGTGGACTGCGCAGCGTCTACGATAAATGAGACCACGTTCGCGATATGTGGAGTAGGAGGTCGTCCTCCTCTGTCGTATGGAGCGGACACCAAAAGACGGGGTTCAAGCAATTCATGTGTTCTTCATTTGACCCCCCGGCCTCAGAATCGAAACATGCGTGAAGAGAAACCATGGGAAATGGGCTCGGAAACCTCAATACAAACGGCTATTCATATGGAACATGTGGAGTAGAAAGTCGTCTCCTTTTGTTCCATGCGGCAGACACCAAAAGAGAAGTTCAAACAGTTTATGTGTTCTGCGTTTGGCAACCTGGCCACAGAATCGAAACATGCGTGGAGGGAAACCATGGGAAGTGGACTCGGCAGCCTCCTCTACAAACGACGATACGTCCCGAAGATGCGGAGTATAAGATCTTCCTCCTCTGCCGCATGGAGCAGGCACTAGATGCAAAATACAAGCAATTCATGTGTTCTGCGTTTGGCAATCTAGCCTCAGTATGCAAAGCACCGTTTCAAACTGTCCATGGGACGTAGCCTCCACAAAAAAAGAATATACAAACATCACATGTGAAGTAGAGTATCTTCCTCCTCCGTCGCATGAGGTGGACACCAAAAGGCCAAACATACGACATGATGTGTCTGCGTTTGATCCCTTCGCAGGGATCCGAAACCTACACGAATCTGAAACATGAGAAGTGGATTCGGAAGCCTCCTCTATAAACGGCGATACGTCCCACAGATGTGGAGTAGAATATCTTCCTCCTCTGTCGCATGGGGTAGACACCAAAAAACAAGATCGAAGCTGAGTATGTGTTCTGCGTTTGACCCCCCGGCCTCAGATTCGAAACATACAAGGATTCAACCCATGAGAAGTGGGTCTCGCGACCTAAACACAAGGTTGAATGATGACCTCGCATGTGAACCAGAAATCTTTTCTTTTTACTTCCATGGCTGGGTATAAACGTCAACTGCTGAGGAGAAATGGTGTCTGTTCGGCGGCCTGAGCTCAGGCACGAAACTCCAATCTGATGACCCCATGGGAGTCGGGCACCAGAAACTTCAATCAGGGATTTTCATGTGTGCTTCCCTGGAGGGTGTTTGGAGACCAAAGAGACATGCGGTCGAAGCTATGCTCTCTGCGGCTGGCAGCTCTTGCTCGGGATTTAAGAAGAACTGACAGAAAGTGATTATGAGAGCCGGATTCCAGAAACAGATACACAAGGATCTTATGTGCTTTATCATGCAAATCCTCAAGACTAAAACGACTCGCCCTGATGACAGATGTCTCGCTTGGTCCGGTGTGCTTCCAGGGATCTGGACTTCAAAATGTTGGGGGTTTTGTCCCATGGTGTTCGTCGCTGGAGTTCCTTCTTGGTATCGAAAGGGGTCTGCGGGCTAATCATGTCTAGCTCAGTCCAGGAGCAAGTCATAGTCCGACAGTCTAACTTACTTCTTGCACTCCCCATGCCTCTCGTCGGGAGTTTTCTTGATACCAAAATCCGATCATTCGCTACATATGTCTGGCTCGGTCTGGGTAGAAGACGCCTAGCGACGCCAAAAAATCCTGGGAAGCTCAGCCATGGAAGGCGGACTCCAAATATAACCAACCCCATAATATGGTGGTCGTTGCTGGAATCTCCTTGAGACCAAAAGTTAAAGGATTCGGAGGACATGTCTGGCGTGGTCCTGGTGTGACTCTCTCGCCAATGCTAAAAGAATAATCAAGGCAACGCATGAGGTCCGGACACTAGAAACGTCCCATGCCCGAATATAGTGCCCTCCTTGTAAGCTCCCTTGAGACCGAAATCTGCGCGATGAGCTCACTATGTCTGCGCCTGGTCTGGGTCTGGCTTTCACGAAAAACCAAACCTCTCTGACACGCAGACCATAAGAGCCGTGCTCCACAAATGTGAAAGACGAACCGCATGTGTCTTTCGCCAGCCGCCTTGGATTCGTAGACATACTCCAAGATTCCATATGCCTGGTTCTCCTGGGTTTGGGACCTCTTATTTAATCACAAAATAAAAACAAGTAACTCTCGCTGTGGAAGTTGCGCTCCCAAATTTCCAGAATGGTATCGCATGTGTCGGTCGCTAAAGGTTTCCTAGTTTCCTACGACGACGACAAAGACGACACAGTCCCAGCCATGTCTGGTCCGGAACGGGGTTGCGGCCTCTATCGAGAACCGAAAAGGCTCTCAAGCGCCATGATGGGAGCCAGACATCGAAGCCTCATTCGACAGAGTGCATGTTTGCATGTTGCTGGGAGCCTCCCATGCACCAAAACTCGCGAGTGAAACAAGCAATGTCTGGCTTGCTTCTTGGTCCAGGAGCCTTCAATGGTACTAAAGGCATTACAAGTATCCCCGTATGGGAGCCGGAGTCTATAAACATAGTCCATGGAATGCAATGTCCTTCTTTCAAAGAGGCTTGAGGAACTCGCAATATCCTGTCCGCGCTCGCGCGGATCCTCTTCTGACAAAGAAAAGCATGCCTGCCAATCATAGGGGTCACACTCCAAAGGGTCAACCTGCGCTAAGATGAGTACTTTGTCTGGAGCTTTATCAGACACGAAAGAAGAATGTTGTTGTACAACATGTCTGCTCTGTTCGCCTTTGGCCTCTCTACAAGACCCAAAATCCATTCCACAACAATGTTACGGCGACGAGACTCTATAAGTCAGCATTCGAGCAGAATATGTCCTGCGGCCTTACAGAGTCCAATCCATCTAAAAATAGCGTACGAAGAGAACATGTCCTGTTCGGCGCCGCGGTGGATGACTACTCTTAAACCTTTCCTTACTTTTCACAATACTCTTCTACGCGACAGAGCTCGAAAAGGGCCTGGATGGCAATTATGCGCTGGTAGTGGTTGGACCGGACTCTAAAGTGAACACCTCTTCTACCATTCCGTTCCTCGCTTTGAGCTTCCGCAAGGTTCAAAAAAGCACAAAGAAGAACAACATGTCTTGGCTACTTCAACGCAGTATAATATCTGCATGTTCTACTGGCTTTCTGCTCACGATGCACTCGTCCACAAACCAGTACAAAAGTTCGCAGTCGACCAACTGATGTGGCAGCATTCGTGCCGCAAACTCTAAACAACTTGCCTCTCGTATGATGGTGTCTGTCACGTTTCGGTCTTTTCTAAGAGCGAGAGACACCGCATCCACCCTACTTAAAGGGCTTTTTCCTGGCTTGCCTTCTCCCGCCACAACATCCTTCCTTGGGTTGAGCATCGAAATTACGACTTTGAGATGACATGTCGCGGCAGCTCTGGACTGGAATCAAAAAGAGAACCTGCCTGCTCATGGAGCGTGTTGCTGTTTGCTTTCTCCATACTAAAAGCGGTGTTCTCGCGTCAAATGTCTGTTTTGGTGCTGGGTTCGCTCACTGTCCGACACAAGGCACTTCTCGGTGACAAAGTACACAAATGTTGTAATTCGAGAGATCATGTGGTAGGGACTTTGGATCGGGATTCACAAGATCATCGATTCCTTACATGTTGATCGGGGCTGGGACCTTGAGACTACAACACCTTGGGAAAAGAGATGATATTTGGCTTGGAGCCGTGGTTGATCGCTGCAACATCCGTCCTGCGATACAAGACTTCGAAACTTACGGGTCACACCATTACAGAGCACTCTTATGAATCTAGATGCATTTATAGTGTCCTATGCTGCTCGTCTCTGAAGTTGGTCAGGGACTAAAATCCAGATCATAGCCGTAAATGTCTGGCCTGGTCCAGGGTGTCCTCTCTCTCCGCTGCAACATCCCTCTCTGGATTACAACACTCAAGTATCAATCGCTGTAGAATGGCGGAGCAATCGTCTCGGACTAAAAAGGCAAAGGAATATGTCACCATGTTGTTCCTGTGGGCATTGTTCTCCGAGTCAAGAGAACGTCATTGAACAAGTCTTCATGCCTGGTACACACCCCGAATGTATATATTACATCGGTTTTGCTCCTCCGTCACTACACTCTCCCTGCATTCCGCACCAAAAGGCTCACGCCTGTGGATCATGGACGATGGTTCATGGCTGGATTCAAACCCGTATCGAACTCAACTGCTTCGCTTCTCCCGGGAGCTTTCTCTAGACCAATAAGCGATCACGCTCGCGCCCATGTCGGCCCCGCACGCGCACTCTGCAAACCCAAGTCATATTGTTCCTCTACTATGCCGCCTTTATTACGAGGTAGCACTAAAAGCCAATGGGTACAAGCCCATGTGGCAGGATTCGTGACTCGGACTTACAAAGTCCAAGATCTTACTATACAGGCTGCATGCAGTAGGGAGCACTCTTGGATCACAAAGTTGCGCTTACACAAATATATGTCTGGACCGCTTCCGCAATCTACTCGTATAAATAACGCCACTGTGCTTCTTGGCTACAGCATTCTTCTCACGATCGTGCACCCAAAGTGATCGACATGAAAATGCATGGAGAGGAATCAATGAGACCAATTTTGGAAGTATGAACAGTCACGAGTATGTTTGCTCGCGGTGGGCATATCTCCAGAACATCTAATCATTTGTCGACATGTGTCTTGTGATCCGGCTTTCAAACATTGTACTTCCTTCCTTGCAGTACGCACCTTTCCCCGATTGAGAATTAAGACAATTCTACAGTCCGATCATGGAAGAAGATCAATCCTGGGACCACGGGCTACTTGTGCTGGACTTCAAAAAGCGTCCACGTTCAAAGGGATGTTCTCGTTCGTGGGACTTCTCCAAAAAACGACCCACAGCGACGTCATGGCTGGGGTCGTCCTGGGATTCGAGAACCTATCCTGCCACGGCTCTTACTTTGCTACCTCGCATCAAAAAGGGAAGAGGATGCCAATCATGCTGTTGGGCGAGCGTTTGAGCGACACACATTTTGCGAGAGACTACGAAAATCGCCTCTAGAAGAAATCATGTTTCTGGCTTTGGGACATTTCAAATTTATGCGAATTGCAAATGACATGTGGTGCAGATTGGGAGACTCCTATGAACCCCGACTTGTTGTCTTCAACCGACGAACTTATTATAATCAAGTCCAAAGTCTTCCACCCATCAACCGTATTGACTACGACAAAAACCCGAGTCCAAAAATTATCCTCTAGCGATGACACGTCCTGTTTGGTGGATGTTTTTCAAACTAGGAAGAATACCGGGTTATGCGTGGCACAGCTTGAGTGATCTTACAAAGACACTCTAATTGTCTTTCTTTACAACTCACTTCTTGCGACGCAGTATTCAAGGCACGAAGAGCGAGAGGTCATGTGAACAGAGTCGTTCTTCCTAGGACCCTTATCTCGTGTACCAAAACATCCAGATTCTCGGGCCATGGCTGGGTTTCTTGGCTACCAAGTACACTTATGGTTGAAGAAGAGGTTGCTTCAAAGGACGAGTCTGTCCTGAGAATGCTGATACTTTAACCAAAAAAAGTATTTCAAAACATCCCAAATTCGAACCATGCTGCTGTTCTCAAAGTCTAACTATCCCAGTCATGGACTTGCACTGTTATGGTATCTTTGGCCAAACGTCGCGATGTGGCACTCCGAATTGTCTCAATTTATCACTTTTATCACCTGAATTCACTCTTCAAGGTATATCTGACCACGTTCATGTTTCTCCTCTTAGCCCAATCTCTTCACGAATAACGACCAGACACTGGCTGGACATATCCTGCTCATCCCTATACTGGTATTGGAATCAACCCTCTTCATTCGCTGCCCCTGTCTCATAGTTTACTCTTGGGTACTTGAATTAATGAGCCCAGTGTGGAACGAATGCGCTGGAATATGTCTTTCATAATCCGATCAAAAGGATAGCCAGCATACTTTGATGGTGTTCCTCTTGGCCTATTCCACATTATTCACTGCAGGCCAAAGGAAAGAGATTGTGCCCTTCATGTGTGGACTCCGTTCCCCTTTAAAGGCAGTCAAATTTAATCAGCCTCTTCTCATGTTCTTCGCTCTTCGGGCTCCCCATTTCTTGTACTATAGCATCGAATTCAACATCATGCCCGAGCTGAATCTTGACTCCTTGGAGAAGCCGGGCCAAAAGGGGAAGATAACTCGATGTCGAGTACTTCCATGCTCTCTCTTTCAGGAATGCCACAAAAAAGACGAGGAGTGGGGCATTATTGGACTTGCGGCTCCAGAGTCGGATATTGTATGGATTTTCCAACTTCATATAAGGGTAATTCATGGTACCTTCCTCCACACAGCCATCATCATACGGCGGTGATGGAGCTGCCACGGAAGGTACATAAAAGCGTCTTCTCGTCAGACACTATCTTTTCCACACTACCACATCCCAGTGCTTGACCAAAAGGTGGAAGACATCAAAGCATGGGGGTGCTCGGGTGGATTTTATAAGTCTATCTGGCACCAGGCGATGGAACCTTGGGTGGCTGTTCAAACGAAAAGACTTACTTCGAGAGTTCATATGTAGCATCATCATACGATGGTGATGCCGATGCTGAGGAAGGTATATAAACACGTCTGTTCGTCTGCCAGCATCTTCTCACACTCCACTTCAGTGTCTGGCTAAAAACATAAGGACCTTATCGACATGGGGTGATCAGGTGGATTCCAAAAGTCGATCAGGCACCAGGCGATGCGGACTTGGGTGGCTGTCCAACACATAGACTTACTTCGAGAGTCCGTGAGTAGCACCATCATCTAATAGTGACGAATATGCCTCTGAAGGTATATAAAGCTGTCTTTTCATCAGCTAGTGTGTTCTTCACACTACTACGTCTCATCGCTTGACTAAAATTCAAAGACTACACCGGAATGTGGGTGCTCGGGTGGACTCCAAAATTTCATGCTGTCACAAGTTATGGGAGCTTGGTGGTTGTTGAAGAAGAACAACTCTTCCTTGATCATTGGATTTTCCAGCCTATTGGAACAGAGTGTCTTTCGCTTTTTGTAGGAAGTCGGTCAGATCCTGGCTAGTGTCCAGATAAGGAAAGAGTAAATTCGTGCTATTATTGATGGCAATGATGAGGATCAACGTCAAGAGTGAATGTGAAAGACATGTTCTCATATAATATAGTAGACCATATCATCATCATTGCTATTCTCAATGACTTGAATAGATCCGGCGCTTCGATACTTTCCCTGCATAACGGTACACCACGATTCGTTACATCCCCTATCTCACGCACGCCCGCTAATCACAACACCTCCATCTGCCTCCTCACCCAATATACTCAACATACCTCTCCCACTCCTCCGCACCCTCCCCTCCCTCAACGTCTTCAGATCCCCGCCAACAACCCAGCCACAACATCCACACTCCCATCCCTCCCCTCGGCAACAAGTACGCCAGCCCCTCCCATCCGGCAAATTCGGTCTCCTCACAACATCCGGCTTCCCCAATCCACTTTGCGCCCCAAAGTCCGCATCGTAAATACCATGCGCGACATGGCTCGTCACCATGACGTCCGTTTCCATATTCATAGCCGCGCCGTAGTTGATGGTCGTCTTGTCGTCGGTTGTTCGAAGCAAATGTACCAGGCTTTGAAGGTGGTGAGGCGATGCATACTCGATTAGATTTTTGCGCAGGGCGAAGGCGACAGATGGGAGCGGCATGCTTAGGAGCTCGGATAGTGGGACGCGAGTCCACACGCATGTCACTGCGTGGCCGATGTAGCCGGCAGGAACGGGTGGGTCGAAGTGCGATCTGCCGTTTACGGCGCGGACGAGACCGCTTGTAGCGGCGCTGGAAAGGGAGCGGCTGCGCACTAGGTGCTTCCATATCAGCGCGGTGAGGATGTCGTCGGTGGAGAAGTATGGAGCGGCGTAGGCGTCGTTTGAGTGATCATTAGGCATCGCGGCCTTCGCCATCTCTTTCAAAGCCGTGATGCTGGATGCGGGTATGCGAAAGCAGTGCCACGGGGCGTTGCCATACTGTGGTGGCCATGGAGGCGAGAAAGGAAGCATCGAAGGCACGCGGAACCACTCTACCTTATCGAGTTCTTCGCCATTGTTACTGGAAGGGAATATCTCGTCGCGGTCGGCGTTTCCCAATTTCAATTCTTCTGGAGTGACTTCTCCGCCAGCGCAGAGTTTTGCGAAACATCGAATGATTCGGCTGTCTGCGTTTGCATCCATGACGTTGTGCTGTGCATTTATGGTGAGTAATATACCGCCCTTCAGCAGGTTGATTTGTGCGTAGAACACTGGCATCTTCTCCGCAGAAGGATACATGTACGGGAATCCGTAGCCGGGGCTTAGAATGCGACCATCGAGCATAGAGAGAGGCGCTTTCGCTTCTAGAATAGTTTGATACGGCTGAAGAAGCTCTTTACAATCTTTGACATGGATGAATTTGGCTGCTCCTTCGTGTGGGGGATACGCAACAATCTTGAAGGTTCCCGAGCTGGTCGAACTGGCTTCGGAATTGATGACTTGCCCAGTGAGCCATGGAAAGTGGGTTACGAGTTTGTTTGCCGCTGCGGTAAGGCTCTCGATAGCTCTTTCTTGTGCAGCATCATCTTGAGTGGTAAAGCCCAGGGTCTTGATGTTGTAGGTATGGACGCCAATCATTTGACCAAAAGGTCCCAACTCCAGACTAGTCGACATAGCTGCGAGCGCGGTACCCGATTGACTCTGTGGAACAATCCTCGATTGACCTCAAAATGACGGTGATGTCGGATGCAACTGAGACTTTTAAAATCTATCGTGGGGTAAAGGTCAGGCTGGCTCGTTTATACATTCTTACGGAGCCGATCTTACCTCATGTAATCCTCGGGTCGCACTCGCGTCGTGACCGATGTGGTGATGTGGGTACTTATCAGAACCAATCATATCGTTTTCACAACGACAGTACTAACGTCATCCGTAGCCCTAGTGCCGTGCTACATGTGGTAGCCGATACGTACATAAGCTCTAAGCAGGTGCTTATCCAGACCACTTACTCGATCGGTCAGTTTTAAGGTGCGGAATTATTGGAGGTATGCGAACAGCGAGTACCGAATTGTCAACCGAGACCGCCGCTGGAGAAGCGCCGTAGTAGAACAACGGCTCTGCTTTGTCGAGCATGATTGTCGTTGCGAACGTTCGCTCCAGCCGTTCAGCCAGTCTTCGAGAGATTCGACCCATCTCCGTACCGTATCAAGCTATCCCAGAATCAGATCCACTGGCTCCTGATATCGTTCCCACACGTTAGCAAAGACTTTACAGCTGCCCAGTCGTCTCGCGATTCCATCTTTCCACTGAACGCATAGCGCAAAATAACATGGATGCTTTGTGTTATTCTCAAGTCGATGTGGTGTCAGAGCACAAAGCTCCGTCGTCCATCCTTTCACGACCGCAGCGAGCTCGACTTTGTGACCTGTAATGATGCTGTCCTCATCGCACTTCTTATGAAGTCGCATAAGCCCAGCAAGTTCACCTATTACAGTATAAAGCTCGACGCACAATTCAATGTCATGGAGCTGGCCTGGTATATTAGCTTTCCGCGCTGTAAAGTATGCTCGAGTCGTCTTCGCAAAAATTAACCGTGATTGCTCGATCGGGTCTGTGGACATTGCGAGCGAGGGGACAGGAACAGGATAGTGGAACCGAGCGTCTCCAATCTCGAACTTGCCGTCCTCGTTTAGGCTTGCGTGTCGTGTCCATCCTTTGGGCACTACTCTCGCACCTTGTCGCGCTAACATCTTGTACTGATGCCAATTGCATGCCATAGGTCGCATACTCCCCACTGATGCAGCCGCCTGTAAAGCGAACCATTGCGTAACGGGCTCGACAATCCCGTTCGATGGCGGTCCGTAGCATTCATACTCATCATCGCATAAGAAGCGAAAGGCACCATGCCAACCCATCCAGGACCACGTAGGCAGGTATCTGGGCTCGGTCGGCGCATCTTGTGAAGAACCTCGGCGCGATATTTCTGCTTCGGGCTCCCACATCAACGAGATGTCGAAGAACATGTCAGGATGCCCATGATTCAAGCCCCCGAGGAAGGTCCTCTGAAGGTGGTTCTGTATCCCTAGGAATGCGTTTAGAGTGTCCTGGGAAAAGGTGAAGTGTCGCACATTAAATTCAGATGCCACATCAGTCAACAAGCTTGCCAGACCAGGTCGTTGCCGATCTTTCCATTTTGTATAGGGCATGTTCATCATGTTGTCAACGACCAAGTCGATCACCTTGTCCTCGCCCCATGTAGTGCAGGGACAGATCCAGCGAAGAGGTCCGTCGGTGAAGATAAGCCGGCGTTTGGCGAATATAAATTCCTGAAAAGTCCAGCCACGTTCATTGTAGGTGAGTCCCACATGTCCAGGTATTTGACCAAAGCTGTCCCATGTAGCGCGAGGGGTGTTGTACCATGATATCGCTTCATCATTACCCATTGGCAGTACGAGTTGATCAACAGCTCTTGGGGCTGAGACGCCCTTGAGTCCTCTCAAGCCGTGATTGGCATCTAGACCAGCGAAAGCAACCAAGCATAGGGTCGACCGAGCGTAGATGTGATGCATGTTGTTAAGGTTGTTATGTAGTGAGGTTGCGTCATCCTGGACAATGCATAAGCTGTCAACCCATAAATACGTTTCACCTAGCAATCTAGTGATTCCCATGGCATCTTGAATCGTGCGAGGTAATTCGCTCAGGTAGGTCGTATGCAATGACCCTGGTTGCTGCAAGTGTTCGAGAAGTGCCACAGTAGTACGGAGGCAATTCACGTGTCCCCAGGTATAGGAAAGGGTAAAATACCTGGATGTTTCGATACTGTAAGGTACCAAACACCAGTCGTTGACGTCGATGAGCCATTCAGGAGTCGCGATCGTCCAAGGTTGTGCAGCCATCCACAATGGTTCTTCGCATTTAGCGCCATGCTCTCTGACGCATGTTGCGTACCATGACCGAGGGATCAAAGGGTCTATCCACTCTGCATCAATGGCTTTTGATGCTCCGGGATGTTCAGCTTGGTCAGGCTTAACGATCAAATTGAAGGTTCTGAAGAAGCTGTTCGCTTCCGGATCTTTTGGATCGTAGAATCGAAATGCAAAGTCGTCGAAAAGGTAGCGTAGGTTAACTTCCCAGACTTCTGAAGAATCCAGATCGGGCGGCTTGCCATCATCCCATAGCTTTTGGATGGACCCAGAGTGTGGGCAAGGTATGCTCGTAACCTCTGAGATGTTTCCTAGGATGCGCTTTCCGGGATCGATCCTGCCGCTTGAAGCATGTACAACCCTTGAAAGATCCAGTATCTCTGAGCATACTCGGCAGGAAGCCTCGGCAGGTAAATCGGCCATGATGGGTACGCGGCCAATTGAGCGGCTATGCGTTTCTTCGGCTGCATCACACTGCAGTTTACGTGGGGTCGGCTGACTGACCAATCGGCCATGCCAATCGAGACTAGGTCGCGCCGCATTGTAGCTTCCTTCGAAGCATTATCTGAGTGTGCGACTTTGCAAGACTTGATGGAGAAGACATTGTAGACAGAATCAAAGAAGTATACACCTTTACGAAACGCTATGCAACTGACCAAAGACCCTCTATTCCTTACAAACCCTGCACCTTCCGATAACTCGGCGGCTTCAACGTCCTCCCCACCACCTTCGCTACATACGGCGGAATCAAACTTATCGCTCCAATAACCGCAAACTTCCACCAGAAACCCAGACTACTCACAAACCCCAGATCATAGTATTCACTCAAGAAAGGCAGGCTACCGAAGTAGATACTCGCCGTCCCAAAGATAGACGCAATCATGATCCAATGCCACGTCGTGACTTCCATAGCGACCATGATGAGCTCGTTGACGATGAGCACAGAGAACGATACTGCTACCATGCGGCTGAAGATGGGGGTGTCGGGCTCTCCGACGCCGACGAGGAGTTGTGAGAGACCCTGGATCATGCTGCCTTGGTAGATACTCACAGCGACCCAGATCAAAAAGGACTTCGTGGAGAGAGAGCGGCCTAGCTTGAGTTCAGCGTAGAGCTCAGGGTACAAATTCGCCACTGATTCGTCGACATCGCGGTCCAGCACGAGCGAGAAGACGGGGGCCATAGTGTACACTGTTGAGTAGCCGACAAGGAGCCAGTCGCGGTAGAGGGCGTTGGGTTCGAAGGAAGAGGCGATGGAGTAGACCGTTTGGCAGATACTAATGATTAGACCCCTGTGGATGACGAATTGGGACAGCTTTGCGCTGCGCTTGTAGGAGTTACGGCCGTGCCACACGAGCAGTTTGACGAGGTAGCAGAACTGCTCGATGGAGAAGTCGGCGGCAAGGGAGGCTTGCTTTCCTTCTTTGCCGACGATGCCGACGCCAACGTCGGCGGCTTGGATCATAGAAACGTCGTTTCCGCCATCGCCGATGCAGCAGATGCGCTTTTTGGTGTAGTCACGTATCAGGTAGGCGACGTCAGCCTTTTGCGTGGGCGAACAGCGACAGGCTACAACAGCAGGAAGCTGTACGGCGATGGAAATGAATTCCTGTCGGTAGTGGTTGAGCATTAAAGCAAGTGACTCGCCGTCAATGAGCAGGCAGGCGTCAGTCTTGCCACGCAGGAAGTCAAGAGACGAGTGAGCGAGATCTTTGCGTTTCACTGTGCCTCATTAGTCATGCAAAATAGTATGATATACATAGAGCGACCTACTCTTTGCGATGGTGTGCACGTACTGCCCACGCGCTACAAGCTTCGAGCTCACGGCCACGCAGCGTGCTGTCTCGACTTTGTCGCCTGTCAACATCCAAATTTTGATACCGGCGTTGCGGAGGAGCTCTAGTGATGGCTTGACGTCTTTTTGAAGCTTGTCTTCGACACCAGTAACACCGAGAAGCTCGAGGTCACGCTCGAGATATTCTTTGACCACGTCCGCGACTGCGTTGTCTCGGTTGTGGAGCGCGAGCGATGCCTGTGCAAGCTTGGCGGAGAAATCCTGATATGACTGCGTTGAGAGCTTCTTACGACCTACAACGAGGGTTCGGAGACCTTCACGGGCCATGTTGGCAGTTTCTTCGTCGAGCCAGTCATTTGCGGCTACGATGGAGGTCATCACTGTGTCGGCGCCCTTTTGGTAGAACCAGATCTCTCCATCCTCATCCGAAGGTGATTCAATAGGTCCATGCCAGAACTTGACAACGATACCCATTCTCTTGCTTTCAGAAGTGAAAGGAAAGACGTTGAGTATGCGTACGCGAACCACCGTATTGCCACCGACGCAGGACTGGAGTGTCATTGATTCTCGATCGCGTTGTATCAGTCGGAGCCCAACCATTTCCGTCCACCGAATGATGGCGATCTCATCCGGAGAAGATGCTTGGTAGCTGGTAACCGTTTTCCCGTTCTCTTCTTCCGTGATAGGGGTGACGTTGTGGCAGAGAGCAAGCGCCAGTACCACGTCACGTACACGCGAACCAATCTCTCGACGTGTTCGTGTGGCAGAGGTGAGAGGGGCAACGTAGGTAGATGAAGGTGTTACGAAAGAAGGCGCTTCGCCGGAAGCGGTCGAGAAACTTTGTTGAACGTATGATGCGACTTCGTCCATAGCTTCATTAGCATAGGACACGGTCCCAACGTGTATCTTTTTCATCTCCATTTCTGCATTGTGTTAGCTGCGTTCCTCACGGTGAGCTCGCGATTCTTACCATTTTGAGTCAATGTTCCCGTTTTATCGCTGAGAAGATACTCCACTCGACCCAGATCTTCTGGAATAGTACTGGTTCTCACAACTGTCCCTGGGATACTCTTGTCATGCTCGATAAACCACGCGTATACCGACTTGCCCATGTCTAGATTGACACGCAGACCGACAGGAACGATCGTGGAGAACAGGATCAAGAATCGCATCATCGACACGTACCACTTCTGACCATCAATGTCCTGAAATCTATTAAGAGCAACAAGGACAAAGGAGAGCGAAAGTGTGAAAATACATAGGAACTTGGTAAGAGCGTTGATCTCCAGCTCCAAGAGGCCAGTCTTCGACCGAGAGGCGGATGTGGAAAGGGCTTGCCGTGTTTGGGGTCCAGTGTAAACTACTACAGCGAGAACATTGCAGCTCGATGCGAGTACGGTATTCGCCCATATAGTGTTGTCGATGCCTAACGGCGAGGATTGGGCTTCTTCGGTTGAGGATGATTCCTGCTCATGAGGATCGTATTCGCTTTGACGTTTTGGTAGAAGGCTGACCGTACCGTAGAACTCATTGACCTTCTTATCTGGCTTGCCTGCGGTGACCCGCAATCTCGTATACTCGCCTACATCAAGATTCTGTGTAAGCGGAGATGTAAGACGCAGCTTCCAGTCAGTTTCGCCATCCAGTTGATCTGTGCGAATGAACGCCTCTCCAGATGACCCCGCATCTGCCGATATCTCTGCAGTATGAGTGGCGGTTTCGGCATCCGCCGAGTAACATTTCAAAATAACCATGTCAGCAGGAACACGCTGGTCCTTCCCTAGCTTGACTATATCGCCAACCTTTAGACTTCGGGAGGGCCTTATAAGCTCCCAGTGACTGGTATTTGTCAGTCTCGGGACAATCGTTGCAAAAGAAAATACTTGAAAGAATGTTGTGTCGCAGGTTGGTGGGTGGAACTTACCTAGCAGTGGGAAGGCCACCAGTCGAGGCTATCTGTTGTTCCTCGTCCTCGATATCAGTTGCGCGTCCGCCATTCGCTCTCTTTCCTCTGCGCAGCCTCCGCCTTTTGCTCGAATCCCTCCCCGGCGCAACCCCATTCCCGCCATTCTCCTCGAATTTCAACACAGTATAAGGCTCCGAATTCGCTTCCGCATCTCTTCTCCTTCTCGCGATGTCATCCAAAGCCTCCTTTCCTAAAGTAATCGTAATGACAAACCCCAGTGGTACAACGTAGGTCGATAAGTATCCGATTCGCAGAGCGGGTATAATTTGCGATAACGCGACAAGCAGAAAGTACATGTTGATGAAGAATGAGAATTCGGTGTACAAAGTACGCGGGAGAAAGCTCCAGGGGGTATATTTGGCGTTGGAGACAGCGTTCGCGGGAAATCTGGCGGTCTGCAACTGTCCGACAGCGATAGTACGTTGGGTAGTAGGGTCGTGCTCTTCTTCTGTACTGTCTTGTTCGGGGGCAGTTCCGCCTAATTGTATGGGCTGTCGGTTTGGGCTCGAGGCGGAGAGGAAGCTGGGAAGGCGTATGGTAGACTGGAAACGAGACAAAGCGCTCGGCTTCCGCTGGTGTTTCGGCCGGTCGTTGTTATGTGAGGATAGCAATGCCGAGTCTTCGTCTCCTGATTGCCCGTAGCTACCCTCTGAGTGCCTGTTTTCATCTTCTATCAGGCCTCGTAGATCCTCCTCCTCCGGCTCCTGTCTCTGCCTGTTTCTCCGCAACCTGCCCACCCTTAGATTCCTCAGCGGTATCCTTGCGCCCAGTTCATGATAGGGTTTCTTGGGTGCACTCGAACTATTTCGTGCGGGTGAAACAGAGGATCTACTGCCGATCGGGTCGAGTTCCTCGAGATCAAGCTCAAGGTCGGAATCGTCGTCTGGGGCATTTGGCTGGTGATACTGGTGTGGAGCTGCCATGGCTCATGTAGCGTGGAGTCCAAAACGGGCACTGTCTGTCTTTGTATTGCCTGTCTTGAGGCAACACGCGGTACCAGGATATCGGCGCGGCGGCGTAGGAGGGTAATTGAGAGGTCAGGGCGGTGGGCGTCGCGAACTGCCCGTTGGCGACGAAAACGATATCTGGAGTGTATATCCTAGGGATGTTCGGTGTCTAGTCTATCGACAGACTTCGTGGATCGATTTCAAAGCGCCTCGTGGGCGTATGGGTGCACGTCGGGGGTCCGCGGGAATGCCCTGTGTTCTTTATGGGGGAGCTCCAGGCGGCCAGATTGCGTCTCGGAGTTGTAACTCTGCTGGTACCACACAAGTGCGCTTGGCTATTCGTGTGGTGTATGCGACGACTTCAAACGAGCGGAAGTATAGATGTGAAGGAGTGTCGAATGCTGCGGCTCGAAGGGTGCGTGTCTGGTGCTGCGTATGCCCGATGGTCAAAGGGCGCCACAGCTGTGGCTCAGCTACCGGTAGGGCCGACGAACACATGGCCTCTCCGCCGACCTCTAGATGACCTGCATTACTTCACTATACTACACGGGCGATGCAGCCGTGCATCGTGGCCTTTTCATAATCTCTGCGCGTGTCTTTTGCCGCGAGCACTTTATCTGTGCATCCTGCTCCGGGCCTTTCTCTTCTGTTGTACAGGTACGTTCTGGATTCGTGATTACGTCGAGTCGAGTCGCGAGAAAGGGGAGCCTCCTGCTTTGCTCCTTTCTGGTCCCGCCTGCCCTCCTGTCAACCGCAACCAAAAGAACGGATAGCCGTTCCAGCCGTGGTTTTGAGGCCGTATTCGTCCGCTTTGCACAAATTACAATACACGGCCGCGACCATTCCACACCCCGACCGTCAATGCTTGCACCGCCGAGATGAACCAGGCCGCTTGATGTCACTTCCGGCGCTGATTTATTTGCATAGTATTTGCATATACCCCTTTTACATATCGTCATAGACGCACATAATGGAAGACGACGCGCCAAATTTCTCGTACGCCTACGCCGGCTCCGAGGCGCCTTCGACCCAGTCATGGAATCCCGCATTGCGCCCTGAGAACGAAACCGCCGAAGAGCAGTCGAACAAGCTGCAGCCATCTCCGCAGATAATACCCCAGTCGAAACCGTCACTAGAAGATGGCCAGGAGGAGGATGAAAGTGAGGATGATGTGCCTGCCATATCCGAGGTATCGGCGATTTCTGCGCCATCAAACAACGGTGTTTCTGGCCACGAGAGACCCTTAGAAGAGGACTTCTTCAATCGTCAGCAGGAGCCCGAGGACCCCGAGAGCGAGGAACCATCTTCCAGCGAGGAAGAAGAGGAGGACGAGGATGAGGAAGATGATGATGATGAGGATGATGAAGCGGAGGGTGATGCGGAAGGGACCGCTCTCGCAGCTGCGACAGAACCATTGACTTTGGGAGATAAGACTGCGAAAGAGCAAGCTGCAGCCGCCCAGGGCGTACCAGCTGCGCCTTCGGACGATTCTGAGGAAGAATCTGAAGAGGAATCTGAGGAGGAGGAATCAGAAGAAGAGGAAGAAGAGCACCCCGAATCCCAATACGAGCATCAAGGCGGAAGTACGTTGCTGGAAGAGGCAATGGCTGAAAGCGAGAAGGCCCCGTTAGTTGCAGATGTGGAGCCCGAAAGCGATGACTGGGGAGCTTCTGGCGAGGCCTTCGACCTGGGAGGGATGCCGCAAGACACGCCTGTGCAGACTCCCTTACGAGCACCTACTCAGACCCCGCGACCCGAGGCAGGCGGCACGACTGTTGGGGACAATTTCATTGAAAACACAAGTGTGGGCGGAAACATGGGGGAGGCCAACGATGACTGGGGCAATGGCGACGGTGATGACTTTTTCGCTGGGGCAGCTCCCAACCAGCCTGTAGAGCCAACGCAATCTGGCGCTGAAGAGAGCCCTGGTGCGCATGTGGTTCCGAAGCCGGAAGAAAGCGCAGCGGCTGCTGGTGACTCTGCATGGGACTTGGATTTGGATGATGATTTCTTGCCGGATGCAGAGGATGCAGCGCCCGTCTTCGAATTGGATGACGACGAGGGTTTCCTCGAAGACGAGCCCACCGAGACAACGGAACCGCCTGTACAGCCTGTCTCTGCCCCAGCGACGACACGATATGCACCTTCGGACGCACAAGCTCCACAATCATCTGTGAATCCTTATGGAGCACTTGCTCCACAGCTCACGAATTTGTCGCAACCGAGTCAAACGCCGGCAATTCCTGCACCAACTGCTTTGTATGGCGCCTATGGCCAGCCTGCTCCAATCCAGCAAACGCCAGCCAGACCCGAGATGCCCAGCTCTGCGGAGAGCTTTGCTGCGAAAGCACGAGGGGGTTATCATTCGCCATATGACCTTCCAGAGGACATCGTGACTACACGGAGACGAGCAGCACCACGCACGGTGACTGCACCTCCTGCGCCACCGCGATCCAGCAGTATGTTTAACTCTGGTGCTCCTCGCCCTCCGCCTCCTTCGAACTTGTCAGCCTCCAGCTTGTCTCCTCCCTCATCTGGTCACTCTTTTCAGCCACAGATGACGGGTTTGCCGTCCGGTGCACCACCAAAGCCTGCTGCTCCGGCTAAAGCTCCATCAAGCGAATTTTTTGCCGAGCTCCCAGTTACATCGAAACCAAGGCCATCTGGAAGGTATACTCCACAGCCTGCCGCGCCTCAACAGCCCTCAGCCCACGGCTTCCCTCCGAAAGAGCGCACAGCATCGTGGTCTTCGCTGAGAAACGAGATCAAACCGGATGCTGATAATTACGTGTCGCAATTGCAGCAACCAGAGCGATTGCCAGTCTTTCCAGAGCAACCCACAGCACCGGTGCGGGCCAACAGTCTACCTGTACCGCAAGTTGCTCCGACGCCCCCATCGAGCCGATATTCACCAGCACCACCGTCGGCCCCTGCTGCTAACGCAAGATACTCACCGGCTCCTCCATCCGCTCCAGCTCCAAATGCTAGATACTCACCAGCCCCTCCGCCACCGCAAGGGCCAGTCAATCAAGCCCCAAATCAACATACTTCTTCTGCAGTAACCGGACCTCCTCGACCGCCTTCACAGAATTATCTACCTCGCACGTCCAGCCCGCTCGCGTACCATTCCACACCACAGCTTTCACATCCGACGGCACACGCACAGCAACATGCATCGGATGCGTCTCGGCGTTCATTGGAAGGTGTCACAGAAGAACAACCGCAGCAACAAGTTGGCCCTCCCCCACCAACTGCTAGGACGGCCACACCACCTAGCCGAAGCACGCCCTCGTCTGCTGTGAGTTCGCCAAGGAAGAGGAGCACCTATACACCTCAGTATCAACCGATCGATGCATCTATGGCCCCAGCGCCTTCGCAAACTGAGTCGCCACCTGCTAGCTTCAAGCCGCCCATTCGAAGCTTCTCCAATATGGAGCCACCAGCTGCTGCTTTCGGTGGACCTCTTCAGCCTACATTTATCGCGCCAGCATCACAGAATATCAACGCTATACCTCCGCGTCGACAGCCTTCGCTTCAATACGACTGTATCCCACCTACAGATGAACGTGCAGCCGATCCGTTGGAGCGATGGAGGGGTTACCCAATCTTCAAATGGGGTTTGGGTGGGACCGCAGTGACCACATTCCCGAAGCAGGTACCTCGCTATGGCGGTGGCGCATCTGCACCAATGGTGCAATGTAATCCTGGCGAGTTACGAATCCAAAATGTCAAGGAAGTTCTACCGTTCTCGGAAGATATCACGAAATTCCCAGGCCCACTCAAGGCGAAGAGCAAGAAGAAGGATGTTTCATCATGGCTTGCTCAACGGATCGGAGCGCTCGAAACACATTACCAATCTCCTGGGTTGGATCAGTCATTGAGCGTGGACGAACTAAAGCGGCTTGAAGAGAAGATCCTGCTTTGGAAGGTGTTGCAGGTCTTTATTGACAATGATGGTGTGTTGGATGGTAACGCTACAGTAGATGCGGCCGTACGGAAGATATTCTCAGCCGATACCGACGCTTCTGTTGATGGCGAAGGATCTTTTACAACTGCGGCTGAACTAGTCGGCAGGCCGAGATCCAACACTACTGGCGTGCAGGCTGATCCTGTGGATCCCAAGGCTGTTGAAGAACTTCGAACCCTCCTTACTAAAGGCGACCGTGAGAAGGCTGTTTGGCATGCAGTGGACCAGCGATTATGGGCACACGCCATGCTTCTATCTTCAACACTCAATAAGGACATCTGGAAGCAGGTCGTGCAAGAATTTGTACAAAAAGAGGTCAAGAAGCTGGGCCGCAACAATCAGGCTCTTGCAGTGCTCTACGAGATATTCGCCGGAAATCATGATGATTGCATTGATGAATTAGTCCCTGCATCTGCTCGAGCTGGTTTCCAGATGATGAGCACCGATGGCGCGGATTCGACTCAGAATGCTCTCCAAGGCCTCGAAAAGTGGCGCGAGACCCTCTCCCTGGTCTTGAACAATCGAAGTGACGGCGATCCAGCAGCTCTAGTCTCTCTCGGAAAGCTGCTTGCCAGTTACGGTCGTGTCGAAGCGGCGCACATCTGCTTCATCTTTGCGCGGTCTAGGGCTCATATAAACGGCGTGGACGACCCCGAAGCCAACATCGTGCTTGTCGGTGCTGATCACAAGAAGACCCCGTTAGACCTAGGCATCGATTTAGACCCCGTGTTGCTCACCGAGGTCTATGAGTTCGGATTGTCATTGTCTGCACAAGGAGGCTCTCATATTATCCCGCATCTGCAAAACTACAAGCTGGTCCATGCATACCAGTTGGCAGAGTTTGGCCACCGGGCCGATGCACAGGCTTACTGTGATGCTATTGCAACATCTATGAAGGCGACTACAAGAGTTTCTCCTTACTACAACGGCAGTTTCGTGGCGATGCTCGATGATCTCAGCAAGCGCCTCTCGCAATCTCCTAAGGATGGTTCTTCCTCTTGGCTCTCTAAACCAAGCATGGACAAGGTCTCAAGCTCGCTATTCTCAAAGTTCACCAACTTCGTTGCGGGCGACAACGAAGATGACGCCTCGAATGTTTCCGCCGGAGAAGCTGGCCCTTTTGCAAAGATTGCCAGTGGCACGCCAACTATCAGCCCCGCACAGTCTAGTGCAGACTTATATGGAGCCTACTCCGGCTTTGGTATTACTCCAAACGCACCGTCCGCCCCTACGAACTCCAGATATGCGCCCTCAAATGCCTATGCGCCAAGAGCATCGATGGAGTCCACTCGATCCAAGTACGAGCCCCAAGGTCGACCTTCGTTAGAATCCAACGACAGCAACGCAGGCGTACGCGCAGTCTCGGACCCCTACAATTCGTCACCCCAATTCCCTAATTCATTTTCCCCACCGCAAGCCCAACTTAATCCTGGCGCCCATCACCCATCCCTCTCAAAGGCGCATTCATACTCACCTCTTAGGTCAGAGTACAACGCATCCGAACCTTCGTACGGTAACCCATACCAGCCAGCGCCTACCGGAGGAGTACCCGCCCCATCATACGGGGGCTTCCAGCCGCTATCGGCCAGCTTCGATGACCCGCCCGTGGATGCAGGTGGCTTCCAACCCCCCACGAGCTCCTTCGAACCTTCATCGTTCCAGCCTTATCAGCCCTCAGAAGAAAGTTCCGCGGAACAGTCCCTCCGGCCCAAGAAGTCTTTCATGGACGATGACGACGACGATGACCTCGCTACCCGGGCCGCAGCTCTCAAGATCTCATCTAACTCCAAGTCGGACAATGATCGCCTAGCAGACGAAGCGTTCCGCAAGGCCGCCGAGGAAGACGCAAAGCGCGACAAGCAGTCCTCTTTACAGAAGAAGTCTAGCGGTTGGCTCGGCGGGTGGTTCGGCGGCGGCGCAAAGAAAGACAACGCCATGCCGACGAACAAGCCCATCAAGGCCAAGCTCGGCGAAGAAAACAGCTTCAAGTACGACCCCGAGCTCAAGAAGTGGGTCAACACCAAGGGCGGCGCGGCGGAAGCGACTAAGCCCATTGCTACTCCACCCCCGCCACGCAGCGGGCCGCCTAGCAGGGCCGTTTCAAGTCAAAATGCCATGGGGCCGCCGAGTTCCCTACCCAATGCGAACGGACTGCCGGTACCGCCGACGTCCAACCCGTCTCAGCGTAGCTCGTCCATGCCGCCTCCTATGGGCCTGCCAGGCTCGAGGGCCAGCACGCCTGGCATCCCGTCTGATAGCGAGGGACCGAGGCCACCCGTTTTGACCAGACCCAGTCTGCCGACCGGACCGCCGAGCCGGCCTGGCACGGGCATGAGCACGGCGAGCAGTATCGATGATTTGCTGGGTGCGCCGCAAGCCAGAAAGGGGCCTGCGAAGGGAAAGAAGAAGGGCGGGCGGTATGTGGATGTTATGGCTAAGCCGTGATCTGTCCTACAGAAGACACGTAAGGTGTGTGGTGTAGCCATAGATTTCCCAACGAAAAGGCGCTTCAGTGGGATATGGCGTCTAGAGGCGGGTTCTTCAAGAGTAGACTACCCATCCATGGGTCTTTATGGTTCTGGGTGGGATGTTTGTATGACTATGTTATGCGGAGAGATGTGTAAGACGTAGACGCTTTTACGTGGGCATAATATGAATATCTTATGCTGTCTGCTATCATGTGGCATGTGGTCTTCCAAGGCTTGCTTGCCTTGTCGCCGAGCTGCGCGTGAGATTCAACGACTACCGCAGGATCCATGTAGCGCCGTCGATCAGTGCAGAAGCAACGACGAAGAAGGACTGTACCTCCAAGCCATATGCATCGCATCGGACAGAAAAGTGGTGCGAATGTGCCTACCACGGCGTGCGGACATGACGATTCTCTCATATGAGATAATTGAAACACGAAGAGAAGCTTAAAAACGCAGGATCTTGGTCAATGGTTTGAATTCCAACGCGTACAACATGGAGGCGAAGTTGATGCAGTGTGTGCCCAGCACCTCAGTGCGCTAGAAACGCCCACAAATCCAGACTTGAGAATAACACAACACAAAACGCCATCGCAATGCCTCGCCGTGAACCACGATTTCAACTTACAAGAGAAAAACAGAACAGGCTATCCAGACAAAAGACAAATCGCAGTGGGCAGGAGAGAGTGAAAAACGGAGGACACTGAAGTTCAACTTACGCAGTATCGAAAAGTTGGCATGACAGCCCGTTCTCAAGCCAGTATCTCACCCACCCGTATCCCCTTTACCGCCCCCGTCTCCTCCAGCCAAACGTTGAAACTCTCCTTATTAGCCACAGCAGCGATGAGCTTGTACGCCCAGAAAGCGGAATCGCGTTCGAGGTGCGAGTTAGCGGCTGTGACTGGCCCTGCGAGGTGTCATTTATGTATCCCATATTTCCAGTTCCAAATGCATACAAATGCACGCATGTTAGTAGCTCTGAGATAGAGTGCCAAGGGGTAACGGTACTCACATGAAAGGTCTAAATCGATATGATTGAGCATTTCCCACCAGTTCCACTCCGGCGCGCTACCTTTCATTGACGGCGTCCCGTCACCTCGCTGCGTCTCCACCGCTTTTGAATATGCATCTAACTTTTCCCATGGGATTGAATAGGCCGTGTTTTTGGCGTCGTTCGTATCTCGGGAAGTACTCATCATGAATTCTTCCAGTTTAGCAAAGTAGATGGCGCAGATGCTGCGCTCCTCGCTGTTGGGTCGGCTGACGAGTGAGAGAATCATGACTGGCATGAGGACACATCGAAGGGTAAGAGGCTCCATATGCGGCTGCAAAGCAGTTAGGGTGGACGCGAGGGTGCTGAAAGCTTCGGCGTGGATATCGTAGCGGGCGTCCCACAGACTGGAGTTCGGTGGCTCGGTGGCAAGGCGGGGCGATGGTAGGGGTGATGTGGATGGACTTCGAGACAACGGGCCGTCCGTGTGAATACTTGCTGTAAGATAGTCGTTGGTACTAAGTTCCTCAACACCGTGGAAAGACTGCACCTCTTGTACGAAAGGTTCCATCAAACCGGTGAATTGAGATGTTGATGAGGCAGCAATAGACGCAGGTACTAGCTCTGGTCGTCCAAAGAAAAGATATCGGATCACGAGGATAGTTGTCGCTGCTTTCCAGATTGAGCCAATTGAATTCCAATGTTCGAGGTGCCGCTCCGCATTGCTTTACCAGTTTAGCATCATCACGTGGTGGATGAGGAGCACTCACGGTAGAGATTGTTGGTGATACTCCGTCTTCATTGCTCGTGTGTTCTCCTCGGGTTGAAACGATAGCACATCAACAAATATACGTTCCCTTCTGTGCATGTCGGCGAATGCTATTGGCCGACCTGCTCCGAAAACCTTCTGTGCGCAGGCTGCGGTATCCCATACAGCAAGCGTCAAAGAGCTCGGACATCCATTGAAAACCTTGTGTTTTGCATACTGTGAGTGTATCAACACTTCTAGAGCATTCCGAGAGACATGTTTGATTCTCGTGATCGGTACATGCGAAGTAATGATCCACATCTGCTCGTAAGTTAGCCATAAACGATAGACGACATGACTGGGGCATACCGTTTCGAAAAGAGAGGTATGCAGTAGAGCTAAGTGCAAGTGAGGGTAACAGAATGTGAGGTTCTCAATCCCGCCAAGGGCTGACATGACTTGCATCACGCCGTGCGTATGCACCATCCACCTGCACAATCCATGTTCAAGTAACTAGAAACAGTCAGCAAGCCCAAGCCGACTGGAGGAGCCACGTACATCCATAGCGAAAATTAACACCCCGCAAGTGATGAGAACGTCTGGTCGTTGGTCGAGCCGGTTCTGTGGCGCACGAAGCAGCTGGTTGTGGCTTTGGAGTACATTGATTTTAGTCTCAAGTGCCAGCCGTTCGATGCCTGGGTTTCCTGGATTGCGCGATGCCATGTGCACGGCCGAAATCCCAAGAAGGCAGTTGACCACCGACCTGGGCAACTGCTGAGTATACTCAGGAGCAAGAGGCGCGATCGGGCGCTCCACAAGCTTTGTCTCCATCTGATCGACGAACTGTTCCGAGGCAACGGTGGAATTGTCTATCAGGTTGTCAATAGGGAGTCAATGTCGAGGGAAAGTCTTCGGAAATTGTGCTGTAGACAAGAGACCAATAAGATGAAAATGAGAATACTTACAATATGCCACAACTTCTGCGAGCCGGCTCTGATCGGGGACCACACCTTTGCAATAGTTGTCTGGTGGTTGAACTTCAAAGTGGGCTGCTTCTTGCATTGCGCTAGCGGTCTGTTGTTGCACACTGTTCCGCATTACGTTCATAACGTTGCCTATGATGCAATCAGCAATACCATTCCGACAAAGAAAGGTCTACCTTACTGTCAAAAATAGGTCGTGACTTGCCCTTCAGTTTGCCTCGAACTGCAACCCCTTCCGCCCATCTGTGGAGCGGCAAGTCAGCCCACCATTCACCGTGGATAACACTCATGTGCGTAAAGATTTCGCTTCACAGATGTGTAAGGGAACCCGGAGGGCCCAAGGACATATTGCAAGGTTGTGTGAGAAGCTGTTGCTTCAGGGATGAAGTACCTCAAAGGCTTCTGGTAGCCCAAACAATCCACCCCTTTCTTTCGACATTTGGCACTGAACAGGGATGTCAAACGAACACTGCACTAGTAGTCATTGCAATTGCAGACTCACCAGTGTGGTAGTATGCGGTCACACTTGACATGTCGCCGACGACAAGTATAACACTGAACAGCCGATAATTCCAGAAAATGGTCAGTAGCTGAGGGTGTTCCTGAGCGGAACGGTTGCCTGGAGGAGGTCGGCAACATTCTTCGCATTGTTTCGCATGTAGCTGGAGAAGTTTCCACCGCCCTGTTCGTGGCGGTCGGTACAGTCTTATACACGGCTTCCTGAAATCGAATTTCATCATGCTGTGGGTGACGCAAGGCGACTCCCACGTAAGGTTGTGAAAAGCTTTCCGCAACAGCGGGTCACCATATTGTAAGGCTGGGATGTCAAAGACTCAAAGCTTTGACGCCGACTAGGAACCGTTTCCGGTGGCATCATGTCTGCAGAGAATAGCAGGGCAGGGTCTAGCCGAGAGAGACAAAAAGACATTCCAACTCCATTGGAGGTTGGTGTAGTTTCCGCCAAGCTTTAGACTAATGATATGTAAGATGGAGCTGAAAATCCACCGTATCCACGGATAGAGCCGCTTTTTCCCTGTATCTCTACCATATACGCCCTAGTTGGGGTTAGCGGGAGGACTGCAGTAGACCCACCACAGTCTGGGGCCAGGTGTCCGCCACCGCTTTTCTAGAACGTTGCGATGCCGCCCACGATATCACCGGGAAGGCTCCTGACCCATGCAGTTGTTCAAATCCGTGAGCCACACTTTGAATGATACAGGAGAATACCACAGTACTGTTGCGATCACCTGAATGGACTCAGCTGGGTGGTGGCGCAGCCAGCCTTCAATTTGGCTTTCGTCGTGTACGGAAAAGGCGCAGATCTGACCGATTTTCAGTTCTGCTGGCCGTTGCAACATGATGTCTCTGCGACTGTTCGTATAGACTTGGGAAGAGGCGGTGCAAAAAACGGTTGCGCCGCGCGAGGGAATAGGCGATAGCGAGCATCCAATTGGGTTTCTTATAGCCGTTAGTCAACAAGCTCGTCTTGTGTTTGCTTTGACGGTCTGCAGCTTCGCTCCGCTCTGCGCGGCTTCGAAGTGTAATCTCGATCCAAGGACCCGGGTCGCCTTGTCAGCCAGAGAATACCAAAGCTTCCCAAGCCTGCCGTCGTTGCCGCCTGCAGTTGGTAGGGACTGCTTGTTTTCCTGTGGCCTAGCCGGAGTAATCAGATACGACGGGATGTGGCGGGCTGAACGCCACAACATCGAAAACCCTGGTGACGCTATTCTGGCGAGCGAACTACCTGAATTTTGAAGACCCTTGAAATATATCAAACGCAGGCCAGTCTTGTATCTGCGCCGCAGGTGTATCCAACAAGACACCGGCATGGAGGCTGTTGATCCTTTCGACACATAGTATCGTCAACTTGGAAATCGGGGGGCTTCAACAACTGAATCAAACCCATCAGCTGCATTTGGGGCATGGTGAAAGCTCGTCGTTGTTTGATAGCTTGAAGAATGAGCCCTGAATTAGCAAGATTGACGCTTCGACCGAATAGTGAACGTGCTGTAGCACTGATCCTCGACACAAGTATTACTTCGGCGAACCTGTAGAGATATGCGGCTGCTTAGGAAGCAGTAAGAGCGCTACGGAAAGGTTCAATATTCGACGAAGATTCGCAGCTCGAATGTCGCCCGATATTGAGAGCTCCCCCATTCTTCGTTGCCGTGTGGTCCATTGTTGGTGTTGCTAATCTAAAAAAGATCGGACCCCTATCACCGTGCGACAAGTCAGAACCTTGTATATCCCGTGCCAATAGTGGAAGAATTGTAAACATCAGCTCGGTGGCACTCAGTAGGCGGAGGATGCGATGGCACAACATGTGAATGTATGGCGCGGCTTATAGTTCAGAACCATTGCACCAGGACGGCGGCACACGCCAGCGATGTCAAAGCTCCCATTGGACGCTTCTTTGATTGCCCTGTACTTGTTGTGATTAGCAAGAAATTCTATGTTTCTTTGGAGCTGCTCCCACCTCTCTTTTAGTGACAACAATATCTGGAGTTGAACTTGTCGCATTCTAGTGGTGTGCCTTCAGTGGGATACCCCACATTCGACTTAAGCTGCGACCACGGAAGTTGAGTTGACGTTCTCCGTAAGAGATACATTGCGTTGAGCAGCAGCAGGCGAGGGTGTCGACCCTCTTTATCCTCGGTGACAGCTTGTAGGCAATCCGGTACATAGGAGCGCGGGTAAAGAATCAAAAACGCGTCATGTGGCTTGAGGAAGAGGAAGGAAGTTGTGGGTCTGGGTATATTGTTTATTGCGCCTTCCGTCTCTGGAGGGCACCTCTCACCTTTGTCGACTGGCAGCCGGACATGCTCGGCTGTCGTGCTTCGTCGATGCGCAACAGGAACAACTCAACAGTTTCTTCTCGGTCGGTCATGCGAGCGACGTCGAAAGCGGCAGCTGTAGGGCTCTTGGTAAATTCCGTTTGTGCCAGGGTGGGTTGTGACCCCTCCCTTCCCTCCGACCTCATTCCTCAAAAAACGTGGCAGCGCTCTATATACAGCCCGCAAAGGCAAGAGCACAGGTCACGCTCGCATCCACACCGACCCAACAACAAGTTCCGACCGCAGGATTAGTGACAAGCTTCACCTATAAAAACCCTCGACCATCGGCCTCGTCCCGTCTCGCCCACCACCCTGTTTCCAGAACTCTCTACAGTCGACCATGAACAGCAACATGAACATCATGCTCCTCATCAGCTTGTTCTTCGCCACCGTCATGGGTCTTCCCCATGTCGGCATGCTCGATACTCCAGATGTCCGCGATGTTGGTCTCATCTTCGACGACCTCAACTACAGTGAGTTCTTATTTGTATAACACGTGCAACACCCGCTGTACATACTAACGTTTAATAGCCGGTAACTCCACATTCATCATCGAGGTAAAGAATAATCCCACGTGCCTTCCGATCAACGTGGATGCGAACTCTCATGCGCAGTAAGAAGCCCCACCCTCTCGCTACCAAACGTTTCAGACACTGACCTCCCCTGCAGAGGCCTGCGTATCAAGTCCATTCAGATCTGCAAGCCTACGACATGCGCTTTCTTCACTGGTGAGAAGTGCACCAGCGCGTCCACCGGCGTTTTCTCCGTCGCGTGTACTGGCCCTGGTGACGTGCCCAACCACAACCTCGACATGCTGTTCAAGTCATACATCTGCGGCCAGAACATATCTAGGCGTGTGGCTCTGGAGCGTGTGGCCACACTCGAGACCGTGCCTCATGATCCCAACGCTGGTATGGTTTAGGTATGTCTAGACATTGTCCGCTCAAAGCTTTCTCACACTTACCATCCGTTTAGACGATGTGGCCTTCTTCGTCTTCGCCGATCGCTGTTATTTCTCGACGGTGTGCTTCCCTAGCTACACTTCTTCGCTGCCCGTTGAGCTTACCACGACGGTATCTAGATTGGACCGATTCTCTGTGAAGTCCAAGATGGTGTCGGACGGGTAGATGATCTGGGGATGTGACTGGAGTCGTGGTGTTCGTATATGTTACCTAAGATATAAAAGTACTTCCTTCAATACATTTTAAACATGCTCCATCTTTGCTACTCATTACGTCTAGCTCGATGCATTAGCTGAACTTATCTTCGGTACGACTTCTACGTTTTCCATTACCACACCTTCATGATCAACGACGCCAACCGTACGTCGTAGAAGTACCAAGATCATTCATACTGTTCACGACAGGCATACTCGTGGTCTAAACACAACCTACAGCCCAAAACGGCACACCTTCCCTGCACAGTGTCAACCTTGCTTTGATGGGGGGACACCGAGTCTTGTGTAATGTAAGTGAGAAGCATGCTCTGGGAAGCATCCCGCTTGATACCCCCACGCCGGTTCTGCTGATGCTCATGATTCTCTGATCGAAATAACTTCGGAAACCGACTTGAGAAAAGGCAAAACTTATAGGAGGTCAAATAATATCGTCTCAAGCAAATCACCGCAATATGATAGGTCAAGAACCCTGTGATGACCTCGAATTCGCCTTGTCAGCGCCTCATCTAGCAAGCTTAGAGCTGAAGTTCGATCTGACACGGGAGCGGAGGGAGATGACCTCCCTACTATCAGCTCCAGTGCCGTCTAGGGTAAGGAATGATTTTGATGACATCCATATTCGGATGAGAGGATATCGCAGTCCATGCATGTAGACAGCGCCTTGCAGAACATTGTTGAAGCACCGACGCTGTAATGCTTGGAGCACGTTTTGACTCGGTGTCGCATAATCCGCTACAATTAACGCTGACGGCAACGAAACGACAGATGTGTTGAGATAAGGGCACCCAGGACACGACGTGGTGGCACTTCGTTGTGATGGGGTGTTGTTGAGCTGAGCTGCTCTCGATTGTTGAGTAGACTCGCACGTGCGGGCTGGGAAGGAAAGCGCGATTATGCTTCATCAGTCTTATCCTAGAAAGTAGTCGTACATGTCTACGTCCTTCCCACCCCCCCACGACCTTAACCACTGCAATTCTCCTACTCTTCTCAGACCGGGCGCTTGGCTGATCTTTGACACCGAGATGCCCGTAAAGCACTCACGCAAGACACCAGTATGTTCGCTGGTTCCCAGCATACCTACGCTCCTGTGTGGGCGCAACACCAGAGCAAACACCTGGGTTATGCCAGCTTCGACAGCACGATCATACTGACAACCCGGCAGGTTCGGCCGGTGGCGCCCGCATCTACTATCCGCGTGTAACCCGGTCATCTCTTTGTTCCGCATACGTGTATACACGCCGTCGCACTCGGCCAACCTGCTTTTGACGGCTATGATACTGCATCCTTCGGCTACGCTTCTGCCAGCACACGATGGAAGAGTTCCGGACCTGGCCACAGCGAACGATAAGTGTGTTGTCAATGGCAGGTGCAGCGGCTCTGCTGCATGTACAGGCGTTTACTAGTCTACGTACCCACTTCGCCACTTGCGAAAGCTCAATTGGAAGGACGAGGGCCCTGGACTCCGAAGCAGCAGGTCTACACTTGTTCGGGTCCACGCTGCAGTCGAGCAACCGGCCGACGAAGTTCGAGAAGGCGACGTACCGTGTCTTGGCCGGATCGACAGATTCTGCCGTGGTCCAGTGGGGGCTGAGTGCTCAATCGGAGAGCGGGGTAGCAGCAAGCTGCCCCTCCTTCTCATTGTGGCCAAGTAGCTCATACAATTTGCTGTCGCTTCCGACGGTGGCACGAAGATCTCGTCGAGATTGACGTTCTTCGTCGCCTACGAGCACACACGTCCCACAGCGCCCCTCACCTGCTGTTGTCCAGCCCAGGTTCGTGCAAGGCCAGCGGTGATTGGAGCAGGAGGAGGATGCGGGGAATGCTGGCGGCGGTTCTGAAACGCTTGCTGTCTATCGATACCCGTATGGCTAGGCCGATGTCGGTTAGGCTTCCGTTTCGACATGGCGGTGAGACTGCGAGCCATCACACGTTTCCTAGGTCGGACGCAGCGTAGTCACCGTGCAGGACCGCCAGATGTCACACACGCCTGCAACGCCGCGAGCGCCTCCACCGCGCGCTGGGCGAACGCTGTGGAGAAGGATGCCCACAGACAAGAGCGAACCAACTCTGGTGTCGAGACCGGCCGGACGAGGCGATTCTGAAGGCTCGGATGGCTGTTTGCGAGGCTGCTGGGCCACTTTATACTGTTAGATCCGACCCTGCACAGACTCCCATGCGTCTTGCATCGGCTTTCTGGTGAGCCCCGCCGGCTGCCAAAGCGGCCGTGGACGTAGAGAGCTTCCTTCGCTGTGGCCAGACGCGCAGATCTGCAACCCTCGAATTAGGGGAGCGTGCATCTCAGTCTCCGTTCATCGCTGCCACGGACGCGGATGACGTCCATTGGTCCACCATGGTATCGGTCTTGCGCTCTTATTACTCTCAATGGGCCAGATGGTCGCTTGTCAAGTAGCTATTAAACCACCACGGCTACCGCGCGCAAAATTTCGTCGGGTCCACAGACGGGGGCGCTCGTGGTCCCGAGGGACTATGGGCGGAACGTGCCCAAGATACAGCGCCTGCAAGAAGCGGACGCGCACATGGTAACAATGCTCGCTGGTACCCATGCGGTCCTCCGGTACGAGGGCTACGTTGGGAGATGCAGGCCGCAATGCTGGAACGTGGATTGCTGTCCCTAACGTGCCGACATGGGCATCGAATTGCAATTGCGTGCTGTGGGCTGGTGCCTGTCCGGCAGCAGCAAATAGGAAGGGCCAATATAGGCGCATAGCGTGAGCGGAGAGACTCGAGCTACGTGCTAAAATACGGCAGACGGTGGCTTGCATGTCGGTCCCTGTAGTCAGGCCCAGTCGTTTAAAGGCATCAGGGTCTACTGCCACCCTTCGTCACCGCACTCCGCCGCCGCACTGTACAGTACTGTAACTCTTCGCGCGCGCTGGTGGGCTGGGACGCTGTCGTCGCTCTTTCTTTGAGTCTGTCCTTTGCACTCCGAGCTCACCGTTGCGCCCACCGTCCAGAACCCTTCCTCCCAGACCGCGGACGGACCACACTCTGCCGCGGCTCAGCGCTTGGGACCACTCCACCGTAGCCCAGCGAACCTCTCGCAAGCAATCCCAACGACGCATTTCCTTCAGACCGGTCCGCAGCATCAAGGCCAGCGAGGGCGCCCGCCCTGTGTACCTATTATTGTGTACGTAGAGTGTCCAGCTTGCATAGTCATGGTTCAGGGGAGCTTGAGCGCGCCGGCCGCACCTCTCTAGAGCCCCCTCACCGCCCAACCTTCCCACCCCACACCACCAGACGCGCGGTGAATTTTGCTGATGTGCGCTGCAGTGTATTTCTAGTAGAAAATGGCCTTCTCCGCCGGTATTGGAGAGCGCAGTGGCCTCCGGTCACCTCGCGAGGAGCAGTCGTTCGCTTCTCTTACGAGCCCTCTCCGTGCGGTCGGCAGCCAGATGGGATCCTCCTCTGCCAACGACGCTCGAGGCCAACTGCACCGACGATTCACTACAAACAATATCCCAACACTGAGCACCCCTCTGTCGCCGATTGGACAGCAGCGAAGACAGGCGGCTGAGCCGACCGACTTCACCACTACTACCGCGGTACGTAGCTGCATCCTTCCATACTGTTTCTGAGCTGCGGATACACTCCGCACACTGTCTTCCACGTCAATGTGTGAAAGTGAAATATGTGTAAAATACATGTGGGGACATGTCTGTCCATAATGCTGCACGCAGCTTCGCTCGTAATAACAGCTGCACGCACTGCGGAGAGGAGCTGCACCACATGTGCTCGATTTGTGGCATACTTACGGTTGCTTTACGCTTCAGACAACGTACATGATTGAGAATTAGGGCTAACGATCTTGCAGACGTACCATAAACTCCAAGTGGTAAGCAACCTTTCCTCCTTCACCTCGCCAAACGTTGTGGTTACCGCGCTCCTGCCTTCACCAAGAGAAACGCCGCGCTAGCGCCGCTGTCGGAGTCGTGGTGAAGCAGACAGAGACGCGCTTTCAACCTCAACCTTTCTTCTTCACCCAGCCTCTTGTTTTGCTGCAGATTGTATAAAGAGCTTCTGTACCCCGGAAGCTCTTCTTTTGTTTACTCTCCGCCGCCCTGTTATTTCTAACCCTCTGGACCCCGCTAATTGTGAGTAGCTAGAAAAGAAGAAGCTCGAATACGAATATTTGAAAGAGCAGCGACGACGTTTTGAGGCTGAGATGGAACTTATTGATATGCAGTCTCGTGCAGAGGAAGAAGAGATCAACCGACTCTCCTCCGACATCAGGTACGGCAAGCACAGCCAACCGACCACCCCGCCCGAGTACGCGAACAGCACCGGATTTCCGTCGTCCTTCTCGCGACCGAATCGCTTCAGCATGTCGGCTATCAACCCTGGTTTGACCACCCCTCGCGGCAGTCGCGCCGGCTCTCAGATCACCTCGCCGCCCTCCGCTCGTTCGCAGCAGGGTAACGGTTTCGCGGCGCAGTCTATGCCCGGTTCTCGTCGCAACTCCGATGAGGACGGCGATGATTTCAATGATGACTTCACGCCTGAGAGCCCGGTCCATATCCGCAAGTAAGTGCACCCCGCCTTCACCTATGACTTACTCCTTGCATGGGTGGTTCACGGACCCACGTTCGTGCGCGTTTCCATTCCGACACGCCAGATCGATTTCCGAGCTCACACTGACTGCAATAGCCCGAACCGGTTCTCTATGCCCCCACTTGGAGCGCGCAACAACGAGGTAAACATGCCAGATATGGGTTCGGTCCTTGATTTCCTCAAGGATGAGAACGAGCAGAGCCCGTCTACTGCTGGCGCGCCCTACTCGCTCCACATGAACACGACGAAAGAGGGCGTTCCTATCTTGGTACGTCAGAATGGTAACGGGAACGGCATGAAGCTGTCAACCTCTTCTGCTGCTCTTGATCTTGCGCTTTCACAATCCCCCGGTCCGGACGGCCAGTCCAATGGATGGGGTAGCCACCGTCATCGTCAAGCTCAACAGTCGCTTCCTACTAACACTCTTCGCAAGGACTCGCAAGCTGATGAGTATGACGCTGGCAAACTCAACGGCGACAAGACCCCGAAGTCTACGGCGAGCAACCGTCGCTCAATTGACCTGTACGCCCTGAGCAGCCCTCAGCGATCCGCCTACACCAATGGCATGCCGAAGCTCCAGCAGTCGTTCTCCAACAACGATGTGCCTACCTTGAAGAACGGCGATGGTCCTACCAATGGTTTCGGCCCGAAGACTCACGCTGAGCAGCATCTGCGCAACCACAATGCCAACTTGGGTCGTGTGCCCGCCAACGCCATGGCCAATCGCCATAGCCGTGACTTGTCTGCCGGTCTGAACAAGGAGCAGGAGTATCGCAACACCAACGGTGGGCCCTTTGGATCCGCTCTTCATGCGAGCGCTGCTCCCTTCGGTCCAGTCCTCCCGTCGCCTGCTGCCACTGGTGCCATGTCGTCCAGCATGGCCTCGCCTGTTGCCTCAATGTACTCGATGTATTCCAATGGCGGCTCCCCAGGCCCGGCCTACGTTGGCTACGGCATGTCGGCCATGAACAACGCCATGGGCGGTATGTCTCTTTCGCAGGGCCCTATGTTTCCGCCCATGTATTCTGGTCCTGGCCCCCAGCAGTACGGTGCCTACAACCCGTATACCACCTACGGTCGAGATGGTCAGCCCCAGGACAGCCAGGCGCGTGTCATTCAGAGCCGCCGCATGCAGAACGATGCCAACCGCTTCTTGAACTTTGACTTGAAGACGATGGCGCGTCAGGACATCTACACGCTGTGCAAGGACCAGCATGGATGCCGTTTCTTGCAGAAGAAGCTCGAGGAGAAGGATCCTGAGAATGTGCAGATCATCTTCGAGGAGACCGCACCTCATGTGGTCGAGCTTATGACTGACCCGTTCGGCAACTACCTCTGCCAGAAGCTGTTGGAATTCAGCAACGATGAGCAGCGCAACACTCTCGTGCGCAACGCCGCTCCGTCATTGGTGTCCATCGCTCTTAACCAGCACGGTACTCGTGCTCTGCAGAAGATGATTGAGTTCATTTCCACCCCCGAGCAGGTCAGTAGTTCGCCTTTTATATTGTCAGCGCGCTAACTGTCTTGTAGATCCAAGTCATCATCAACGCCTTGGGTGGTGAGGTTGTCGCTCTTATCCAGGATCTCAACGGCAACCACGTCATCCAGAAATGTCTCAACCATCTCAAGTCCGAGGACGCACAGTTCATCTTCGATGCTGTTGGTGACAACTGCGTCGCCGTTGGCACGCACCGCCATGGTTGCTGTGTCCTCCAGCGCTGCATTGACCACGCCTCCGGCTACCAGAAGGTCCAGCTTGTTCGCCAGATCACTGCCAACAGCTTCAACCTGGTCCAGGATCCCTTCGGCAACTACGTCGTGCAGTACATTCTTGATCTCAACGAGCCGACCTTCACCAACCCGCTCTGCCTCGGCTTCGCAGGTCACATTGCTGAGCTGTCCAAGCAGAAGTTCAGCTCAAACGTCATTGAGAAGTGCGTTCGTTGCGCGGACATGGACACCAAGGCTGTCATGATTGAGGAGATGATGCACGAGGAAGAGCTTGAGAAGCTCATGCGCGATTCGTACGGCAACTATGTCATCCAGACCGCTCTCGAGTTCGCACCAGCAGCTCTCTGTGTCCATTTGATCGACGCTATGCGACCCATCTTGCCCGGCATCCGCCAGACTCCCTATGGTCGCCGCATCCAGAGCAAGGTCCAGGAGCGTGAGTCTCGCCTTGCTGCCTACACCGGCGGTCGTGCCTCAGGACACGTCTCGCCGCATGGCACGAACGCTCCGACTTCAAACCCGGCCTATGCTGGCGCTGGCCCAATCTCCTCTGGCTACGCTACGGCTCCCATGTATACTGCGGCTGCCAACTATGGCACAAACATCGCCTCGCCGCAGCCTCACCGGATGTCCAATCCGCCGCTCCCGTCTCAGTTGCAGAACACTGTACAGTACCCTTCCTACCAGTTCAACAACGGCATCCCCAACGGCAATGGTCACGCCAACGGAAACTTCAACGGTGGCAACGGAAACTTCTTCTAGCTTACGAGTCACGATGACGAACGTTACGGCCGACGTCTCTGAAATTCTTATCGGGATATCGCTTACCGGTACTACCAGTTGTCGAACCTCTCCGGTGTTGGCCTTGTCTCGTTAAGGTTTCTTTCATTTACTACGATTTGTCTGTCTTGGGTGGGAAGTACATTCCTGGAGCTGTTGCTCGCCATCTCAGCCTCATCATTCATTGCCGACGTGTATCTCTAGTATTGCTGCGACACGAGCATAGCGGAGCCTGGGCATACTTATGGCGCTTGCGGAACGGATCACTTTACATTTCACTTGTACCCCTACCTACTTCGGCAGGAACTTTGCTTGCACATTTTTTTTTATTCATTCACTGTCTTTTTTTACTCCCAGCACGAACGCCTTCATCTGCATGAAGGCGAAAAACTATGGTTGGAAGCATCGTCGTGGGGTGCCCACGACATACGGCTTGACGAACTGCTAAGGACGATGGGCACTTATTTCTTTCCTTTGTTTCTTTCATTGATGGCGGACGGACACGTGGATTTCGAAAGACTCGTCTACGCATCGACCAGAGGCTTGCTTGGCTATACGGTCTTGCTCGTCTTTTCTCCAGGAGAATCGCTCGACTTTGGGTAGCTCCGCAACGGGATTGATGCACTGGTAGGCTTTTTCTAAAACACTGAATGAATACTTCATAACCACATGAGCACCTGATCGATGCGTGACATGCGTGTGGTCATACACGATGCAGGAGCAGCCAGATGGGGACAGCGAGGAATGAAGCATTCTGAGCGTTGAGTGGTTGCGTGCCAAGCATCCCTTCCCTTTGTAACGCCACCGGTCACCTTCCGATTCGGTGCACGGAGCTATGAACGCATACCCTCTCGAACCCTAGTTTGCGCGTTATATTAGGCTCCCCTCTTTACCTTCCCTTTCCTACAGCTTCCACCGATTCGAACCGCAGCCGATAACGAGCTAACATACAAATACGCACTACTGCTGCCTGAAGACCCAAGTTCAACCTACTCACCGACATGCGCTTCACACTCACCTCACTTTTGATCGCGCTCTTCGCCGCCGTTACCATGGCCGTTGCACCCGCTCTCCACGACGTTATCATCAGCTTCTCCAAGGATGCGCCGAGCAGTCTTCTTGAGGAGGCGAAGGAGAAGGTGCGAAATACCGAGGGAGCCGAAATCACGCATGAATACAGTACGTCGCATCTTCGTCCTTAGCTTGAACTTCGTGATTCGCAAATCGCTGCACAAAGCTAACAAGTTCTAGCCATCATCCCCGCCTTCGCCGCCACGGTTCCCGAGGGGATGTTCCCCGAACTCCAAGCGATGAGCACCGATTACCCACCGACCATTGAGGGCGATGGCATCATGACGACGCAGGACAAAGATGGAGGAGTGCAGGTGGGCATTTAGAGTGGTTCGCCGACACAGCATGCGGGCATGAGCCGGACGTCGGCCATGGAAATCGAGACAGGTCATGCGCCTACGAAGGGATTTCGCACATCTGGAGTCAAGGGCGCTGCAACACAAGGGACAGCAGTGCGGACCAGCACTGGGCATACTGGATAAATGATGGGTTTGAATTTGGGCGTGCTATTCTCCTGGGGAAGTTATTCCGCTCAGTGTGTTGCTCTTGCGGCGTCACTAGTTATTGCTATCACTACGACTGCACGTTCTCCTCAAAATCACATGCTAGGCTTTTCTGATTAGACCATGAGCGTGCTCAACAGTTGCGGTGACGTGCATAGCCGTGTGGGATCGATAGACAGATGGCTCCCGCCGAACCCTTGCTCCCCGCCAAATAGCGGGCCCAAATTGGTTGAGTTGGGCGAGCGTTGTGAAGGCGCGCCCCGTTTCAGAGGAAGATGTCATCTCATGCACCCGAATATTGCCCCTCAGCAAGCCCTACCGCGGTTCTTCATCCTGCATATCCAACACGAGCAAGCAAGCACGGCAGTGACGTGCAGCCAGCACCAGTGTCCCTGCAGCTGCGGTAGGCGCCTCGTTAGCGTGGGTTACTCCCGAGCATCATCGCGTCGAGCCATCCCCCACGGCCTAGCAGACCAGCCTATTCTTCACGCTGCAGTGGCCCCGTAATGATGCATAGGCTCCCTTCGCTACAAACACGACCATCACTCGAATTACGAACGTGCGCCTGCGCGTTCTGAGACCCACAAGTCGGCCATGGACGACTTCAAGCCTGAGCTGTTGAAAGCTCTCCTCGACTGGGTACACACGCGTGCATCCCTCGCTTGCAACCAAAGACATTGTCTAACAGTGATACAACACAGGTGAACACATTCAACCTCGCCGGGCGAGTCAACGCATGGAACCAGCTCGAGGACGGCCAGATTCTCTGGCAGATTCTCTACAACATCGACCCCGACTACTTCAACGAATCGCTGCCCAATCTCGACGAAGGCACCGACCGCCGCCGCTCCATCGCCGACAACTGGATACCAAAATGGCAGAACCTCAAGCACATCGAGAGGCAGGTCTCCATATACATCCGAGAGGAGTGCAACCAGCTGCCCGTACTCACCAAGCGCATGATTCCGGACCTGAAGACTGGCGCTAGGGATGGCAGCCTGCAGCTCACCGCAAAGCTCACCATGGCGATATTGTTTGCGGCCTATACGTCGCCCAAGAGCGGGCAGAGGATGTTGGAGCATATGGGCCAATTAAGCACCGAGAAACAGGGTGTCATTGCGGGAGGTATACAAGAACTACAGTCGCTAGATGAACGCATGGCAGATCTCGGCGTCGAGCAAGAGCTCACCGCTGAGCCACCTCTCTCGACATCGCTTTCAGGGTACAGGACACCTACACGGGCCGTGTCGGGTGCCGGATCCACTGTAGGGAAGGACTCAGAGCTGGAGCAGGAGGCGCTGCTGTTCGAAGCAAACAAAGATCGGACTGCATTGCGGAGTCAGGTTACAAAGCTGCAGGAAGAGTTGAACAACTCGAAGGGCAGGATATCACAACTAGAAGAGGATTTGGTGGAAGCAAGACTCCACCTGGACGACCGAGGCGCAGGAGGCGCTACGTCGGATGAAGTCGAGCGACTGAGAGACGACCTCAGGCGCGAACGCCAATACATCGATAGGCTCGAAACCGACCATGCCCACGCCAAAGACGTCATAGAGTCGCTCAAGAAGCGCATGAACCGTCTCGAGAACGACTACGACGAGAAGCAGGAGTTGAAGGACCAAATGCAGCTCGTCAAGGCCGAGCGCGACGAATTAGAAAAGAAAGCCAAGGCGAACGAGAATCTCAAGAAGAAGATCGAATCGCTGTCGAAAGAGGCTAAGGCCCTTGAGTCCGTACGGCAAGAGCTCCAGCAGGCCAAGGAGAGGCTGCAAGATCTCGAGGATATTGAGGAGAAATGCGCCGCGCTGGAGAAAGTGAACAAGGAGAACATCCAGACGCTGGTAAACTCCGAGCAGTCCATCTTCGAAGAGAAGGGCCGCAGGACAAGGCTGGAGCATGAAAACATAGTGCTGATGAAGCAGGTTGAGCAGACCAAAGAACTGCAATACAAGGCGGAGGATAAGAATCGCGAGCTTGAGGATCGTCTGCGAGACTTTGAGGCGAATGGCGCGCGGGGCGGCAGCTTGGAAGACGAGCTCAATGATGATGCCACCGACGGTGCAGAGGATGGCTCCAATACGAAGACGCCGCTAGATGGACGTGTGAGCGCAGATGCTATAGCTTTGCAGCAGAGGGTTGATATCCTGAGCGCACGGCTGAAGTCGATGGAGACGGAGACGCTGAAGCAGATGCAAGAGAACTTAGGACTCAAGTCAGATATGCTGGCTACTAAGGATGAGGAAAGCCAGAGGTATGTTTTGAGTCGTACAATTGGGTGATGCCCGGCTCACAAGATGCAGACCATTCCTCGAGCAAAACGAGAAACTCCACACCACAGAGACAGAGCTCGAGGAGCTCCAGCGCAGACTTCGCGAGAAAGAGCTCGAGATGGCAGAGCTACGCAACGAGCTCAACAAGAGTGAGCAGCTCGATCCTCCTGGCGATGCGCGACTGACATACTCTCAGAATCGGACGCTGATGAAGAGGTCAAGAACGAAGCTCTGCAAGCAGAACATGACCGAATGCTGGCGTTCCAGCAAACAACTAACCAGAAGCTCCGAGACTTGGAAATAGCAAGAGATGAAGCACGCAGTCTTTTGTATGCGTCACTAACCATTCGTGACGACCGTAATCCAGAGCTGCTCCAAGCATTACGAGAGGCAATGCTACAGCAGATCAAGGAACAGATACAAGGGGTCCTCAAAGCGCCTTCTGAAGCTCAGCCAAAGGTGCTCGATTCTACATCTGCCGAGATCGCAGACAAGGTCGCGAGTTCACAAGCCGCGTTGGACAACGCTAGAAGAGTAAGCACTCAGCAATTTCCTTCCGTCTCTGGCCCTTCGCAGCCAGTAACAGCGAATGGGAATGCAAAGCCCGTGTCCAGCGGCCAACCAACTCGAGAGAGATTGGCAGTTGACTCTGAGGCTGCAACTCTCGTTGGCTCTCCCGGCAAGAAGAACACAGACAAGCGCCATACGTCCGACAAGGCCGTGCAAGAAGTGAACTCTCCGACCAGCAGCAACACGAGGAAGAGCACTTGGGGCGATACGATTGCGCGACTGATTTCGCCGTCGAAGAAGTCCTCCAAGAGCCCGCTCCTCGTGGCAGCAAGCGCGCCAAGTCAAGTCTCCTTTGATACGGCAAGTTTGCCCTGCACGTGGCGCGGCCGAAAGTATACTTCTACACGACTTGTCTGGAGTTTCCTCCCTTCTTTCCTCTATCCATGATCCTTTTAAAGGGTGCAGGCAATAAAGCTAACATACAACCCCAGGATCTCCAAGACCAAGAAGCGACGACGCTCTCCCTCCGCTCAGAGCTCGAGAAAGCGAAGCGCGAGACCGCGGAGAAGGGCTCGGTACGTTACCCTACCTATCCATCCTATCCCTTCGTTTCCTACACCTGTCTGTTTCTTTCAACTGCGATGCGATGCTAACATGTGCGTCCCACAGGCCGAACTCCACTCCGAACTCGAGAACCTCCGCCGCGAAAACAGACTCATCACCTCGGCGTGGTACGACATGACGGTCCGCCTGCAGAGCAACACGGTCGTCCTGCAGCGCAAGAGCGAGGCGCCCAAGAGCTGGCTAGGGAAGCAGCGCGCGGTGGTGGGCGCGGGTGCGCACGGGCGTAGGTAGGATCTACGTGACTTTGACTTGGGCATGTGTGTGCCGTGAAGAACCCGGGTGTCAGGGTTGAGCGTGAAAGCAGGGGAAGAGGAAGAAAGGGAGATGAGAGGGAGACGAAAGGGAGATTTCTGTTACTGTTATTATACCCCCGACGAGACGAAGGAGACGAGAATTTAGTGCATAGCAAGCATTGGAAGGGCGTTTATATGTTTGGAGGGAGGAAGGGGCAGGTGGGGTTGTATAGCGAATGCAGTGCTCAGCTTGGAGTGGCTTTGTCTGGAAGTGGTGGTGATGAGATGGGCATCGCTTGAACGAGCGAGGATGTCGCCGTTGCGTTGTCCCAGCACACAGTCTCTCCTTAATGCCCTGTATCCGCCAACTGTGCTTCCGTGGCGGGCCTGGAGCTCATCGAGGAGCTGCCAAGGTACCTAGGTATCCAGCCCATGGGACATGGCACTGACTGTACCAGTTGAGCACGCAAGAGCCACGGCGCCACTTATGGAACATAGACTCAACATAAAACAAGCGGACCGCCCCGAGCATATATTTAAGTTACTTGCTCACTTCGATGTGAAAGAATAATTGTGAAACCATGAAAGTGTGACACAATGAAAGGGCTGGCTCCCCGAGCTCTCCGCGCATCCAAGCACCCAGGCCATTCTAAGATCCTTTCGATCTGCAACAGTTCCCTCGCGACCAAGACCCCGCTCCAAACATTGCACTCTCGCTGTCGCCGCCGCGCCCGTCAACCCCAGCATCCTGCCGTGTGGGTAACATCCGCGAGCCGTCGTGGCGATTGAGCAGCGTGTGGAGGCGTGGACCTAAATGCACGGAGAGTCACGTCAGCTCTAAGGCCTGCGGTGCTGGGCTTCTCTGCTCATAGTCGCAGTCAAGACTCACCCTTTCCCCTCGAGACGTGGATGCCTCCCTTCTGACGGAAAGGTCGATGACGAGATAGGAGTCGATGTACTCGTGCATGCTGGTACCGTTCAATGCTCGAGGGCGTTGGGCAGCAGCGTGTACACTGTCTGAGACCGAATCGAATCGAACCGATCGAACCGACCGAACCGACCGAACCGCACGGGAGACGACCTAGAATCACAGAACCATTCAGCGGATTCTGTGTCTTTGGTTGCGTCAACCGGAAGCGGAGGTGGTTCTTCGGATGTTCAGAAAACCATGAGGAGGATCCTTGCGATCCTCAGCTTCATCGCCCCTCTGGCTCAGCTTGGGAATTATCATCATATGAAGAAAACATAAGGGCCTGCAGAAGGGTGATTCCACTGCAGACTGAGGGGAAGGGAGACTTAGCTTTTGGCTGCGGATGAGAGCATAGGACCGATGATGAGACAAGAGCTGATGTGCTCGTGGGCGTTGGCTCATCTCGATGCCTGAGGGCGTTGGGTGGCGGCATGCACACTGTCTGAGGTCTTTTAATGTGTGGTAGTAGCAAGGTCCAAAGAGGGACAAAAGGTGGATGAAGGAAGTGGGAAGTGTGCAGCGTGTGCGAGTGTGCATTGTGAAGAGAAGAGAAGAAGAAGAGCGGGAGGCGAGTGGCGGGACTTTAAGGGAGGTCCCTGACAACATGAGCAGCGGTTCCCGGGGCAGTTGCTTGTCCTGGAAGCAGGGCGCCTTCGGAAGGTAGTTGCTTGTCGTTGACGGGAAGGCGGAGATGAAAACGGGCAGGTCGACTCTGCGATGTAGCAGGTGCATGTCTATCACGCTTGACCGCCGAAGAGAATGAACGTCATCCCATGTATTTTCCCTTACAAAAAGATCTGAACTTTTGAGAGAATGCATGCTGTTGTACTTGTATATTCGAGCATTGCCACTTTGCTTTGCTAGCCCCTTACAAAAGTTATTGTACGAAATCCGCCTTCCTTTGCAACATGATATCTGCAATACGAAATCTACCAAGGAGCCTTCGAATACTGACATAAACCGCCGGTGACAGGTGCCCAAATGCGCACAACAACTTGATTCGAAACAACTGAAACACCCATCGGTAACGTACGATGCAGAACATGCTGTTTTGAGAGCGACATAGATGATCTCTAGTACGATCCATTATCCACAATGAGCTCTCACGAGCAATGAATACTTCAGATGTGTCCATGCAGAACGTTCTTAACCTTGTCCAAAAGCTGGTAATCGATCCCAGAGCAATATAAATCTCCTAAACGAACGTCTAACAGTTCCGTCGACAGTCTGACATCAACATTATACATCTCAATCGACGAAGCCTCTAGGTAAGACCGCTCTTCAACCGACGCCTCCTGCTTCCTTTCCACAAACCCCACTGCCTCATATCCCCACCACCACCCCCGGCATTCCCTCCACACAAGTTGTCTTCCCCGATTCACACAGCACATCCTACACAATGGCAACAATACCCAGCCACCTGCCCACAGTCAGCCTCTAGCTCCACACATGCATGCAATCTGCCAACCTATACTCACAGCGCACCCCGAGTCATAATACTTGCAGTCCTTCTGATCGCAGCAAAACTGCTGATGCAGCTCGCTGTACGTAGCGCCGAGCGCCTCCGCAGTGGCAACGCCGGGGGAAGGCGCGGGCGTGGCGGCGACGAGCACTGCAGCAGTAGAAAGTGTGAGTGTGATGAACTTCATTTTGATGTGTGGACTTTTGTACGCGGATGGTGTGGAGGTAGAAAATGATGAAGACGAAATGCAGACTTTATATACATACACAACTATGGGTTGTTTGATCTAGAGCGCGATAGACATAGACTTGCTGCTTTCGGCCCCCATCTCGCGAATTAATATACAAAGCGCGCAACACTATATCTTCATTCCGGCTATACATTTGTGCATGTGCAGTCAGGAGGCGTGGTTGCCATCTCGACTCGCAAGCATATTGTTGGCTTTTGATATACTACAGGGGGTTTAATCATCGTTTTACATCGAAGTGACTGGACTGGGTGGGCTTATATACTCCCCGCCGTAAGTCGGTATTCAGCCTGTACCTCTGGTCTGCGCCAATGAGGCGTGATGTCCGGTTTCGATACGGCGACGTCATATAAGCTGCATCAGGCTTTGTCGCGCTCTGCTGGGCCTTCAGTATAGTTTCAAGATAGACGTTTCTGTTGAGGAGTGTAGATGAAAGCGGGCGTTTTCCTCGAAGACCAGCTGCAGGACATCGAGCAAGACTCGCACAACTGGCGATAGACAGCATCAATTCTGTATGAAGAGTAATGCTCGATATTGAAGCAAGACAGACGTCTTCCATACACGGCAAGTAAATCTAAACTGCTGTTGGACAGTGCAAGATGCTTTGCGTCCTCCCAAGACATCGAATCGTACCACTACTACTTTTAGAGGGGAAAAGAGAAAATGAGTTTCTGAGTCTAGGTATTATCAAAGCTGTGCATGAGTACAGTTATTCTAAGCGATCAAGACAACGACGCAGGGAGGACGCGAAGCTTAACCCGTGACTTTGTTCGCGCTTTCGGAAAAGCATACTGATTTACAAAGCAAAGTCAGAATGGAGAGGACAGACCAGCATGAGGAGAACGCTGATCAACTTCAGGGTCGCGGGTTCGCAGAATCGTGATGTTAGCGTTGATTTCTTTGCACAGGAAGATATCGTGAACGTGTAACCGCCTGTACGATTCCTACCCGACTGTGAGCATATGTGCGTGTCTCGTGTACAATCTCAGCGGGGACGATAACCTTTTTTTTTTTTTTTTTTTTTTTTTGAAGCGCTACAAGCAGATACGCACAAGAACGATCGCTCAACATATCGGCGGCCCTGTCGTCGTGCTCAGCACCAAAGTATATCAAACAGCCTCACAGACATGCATCAAACGTTGAAGATCTCAGTTTTCATCCATTCCCCCGTCTGACAGAAGAATCGAACCTCCATCGTATATACCCCATCTACCCCGGCTCTCCACACCAGCCATTGGATCCCACCCGATCACGAGAAAAACCCCTATCCCTTCTCACGAGAGTCTTTCATCACCCAACTCCCCGCACCACCCCCATCCCTACTCATCCTCAGGCCCGTGCGCCCCGTGGCAGTCACTCCCCACCCCATACACCCTACAGCACCTAGCGAAGACCTCCCCGTCGACGAAGCCCTTGCAGTCCTTCGCAATCCAGAGGCCCCCCGCCGCGCCCATACAGCAGCGGCGCGATGCGTCCCTGCGCGAGCCAGATCAGTCATGTCTAAACGCTGACTTCGTCCGCGTGCGACGTACCAGGCGACGGAGTTGTCAGCGTTGCGGCACTTGCAGGCCGCCGTGCCGGTCGTGAACATGGAGACGAAGAGGAGGCCCAGAAGGGCGAGCAGGAAGTTGAACTGCATTGTTGGAGTTGAAGTTGAGATTGAGCTCGGAGAGAAGCACGTTGATGTGTAGTAGGGAATCGACGAGTCGAAGAAGAGCTGGAGAGCTGTGAGATTGAGGTGGATTGGAGAGAGGTGTTGGAGTCAAAGTCTTGGAGTCAAGCTGCTTTATATAAGGGGAGACAAACGCTTGAGCCACGCGTCGCTGATTGGGTAGTGACAGTGACAGTGACAGACCCAGGGGACAAACGCGACGCTCTCACCGAGTTTTGTTGTGTTCAAAATGAGGGCCGCCGCCGCGCAAATGATTGCAAACAGCTCGTTTCCTGGTGCGTTCGTGCTCTCGAGGTGCAGGCGAGAAATTACAGGGTCAAGGAGCATGCATATGTGGTGTCAAAGTACAAGACGTACAATGTACACTACCTACAAGTGAACAGGGCTAGAGCGCACCTGCCGTGCGCCTGATAGCGCCTGCTTCAACGGAATACAAGGAAGGAGCGTTGGTTACTGCATGCCACATGTCAAGAAGCAATCTCCTACTCTGTAATTTAGGTAGGTAGGTAGGTAATAGATTTACGTCAGATATGAAAGCTTTTGCTTCTTAGTTACATAGCCTCCCATACGGCAAAAGGACGCGCCGAGCACCTTTTTGGTGAGGGCGTGTCTTGCGTAAGCTGCTGCTGCCAACCTGCTGGGCAGCCTGTCTAGGCGTCCGTCCTTGGCTCTGTTAATGAAAAAAGCCGGAAGAGCACTTCGTGTCACAGTGGCCGAGTTGTCCACTCGAACTTCCTGTAGCAGCACCTCTTCAGCGTGCTCACCGATGATGCCGTAGTATCTGTGAATCTAGATGTTATCTTATCTTCATGAAGAAGTGAGTTACCTAAGGTACATTCCCCTCAGCAGCCTTGATTCGCAATCTATCCAACCAACCTTACCCCCAACTCGCTCGCCTCTACTACACATGCAACCTGTTCGTTTCCTTCAACCTCCATGCCACCTAACCTACTTCCCCTCATCGAATCTTAACAAGCCACCCAGTACGTTGCACCGGGTCAAACATAACATAGCTCCAGCCTTCAGGACACTCACTCCACCATGAAAAGTTTAATCAAGTCAAATGTAGAACCAGCGTCGCATTCCTACAAATTAATCTAGACACTCTTCCACCCACAAGCCAAGCCGAAGAAGCACACACGCTCACAACCCGGAATTATCCCCAGAACACCATGCGCACACCCATCCCAACAGCAGTTCAATTCGTAATTTTTCCACGCCCCAAAACCCAACCCTACATAAGATGGAGAAACTTGACAAAAATGGGTAGATAGTACATGTCTGAAGACGGATCACCCGGCGATGGACAGGTGAGAAGGACCCTGGCGCCAGGGCTCAGTGGTGAGGCGGTGACGAGTCGTGGACGCTTAGTCTGTGATCCTCCAGCTATCAAACCACTTGAGATGACTCCACTGCGTGCTCGGTCCCTCCATTCCAAACGAGATCGCCCTGAAGAGCCAAAACAGCCCAATGATAGCAACGTACAACGCGCCGTACAGTACCCAGTTGACCTGCTTGTTCAGTCTGCGGGTCGCCCAGTCGACGCAGAAGCCGGCGGTCAGGATGGCGAAGTACAGAGCGGGATAGTAGTGGTGAACGTAGGTGACGCGACCCATGGCGACAAAGGGGAGGTAGTGCAGGAACCAGCCGATGACGGGGTAGATGCCCGAGTAGTGGATGTGGTCGATCTCGGCGGGCTTGAGGTCGTCGTAGCCGCGTTGCCAGCGGATGGTGTAGAAGGCGACCAGGAGGGCGAAGATGCCTAGTGAGGCGGTGGACCCCCAGTAGACAATGGGGTTTCCGAGGAGGAAGTACTTGACGACTGTAACAGGTTAGATGAGTATATCAGTGGACGCTCGAATCAACTTACTATCATCGTTCCAGCCGCACATACGGAGACCGACGTGGAGGAAAGGCCACTGCCAGAACTTGGAGGCAAGGTCGTCCTGCTTGTCTGGGTCTGGGACGAGCGCGTTGTTGGAAGTCATCATGGCAACGTTGAGATGGATGAAGTCCTGGAGGAAAGGAGACTTGTAAGCGTCGGGGTTGCCGTTGGGGAGCTTATCGTTCCAGTGGCTTTCAACGTTCCAGTGCGTGTACACATCGCGGGGCCTGTTCTCCTTGACGCAGGTCGTTTCAATCTGTTTGAATCCCCACTGTGGCAGATTGACGTTACCGGCGCGCAAATAGCAATTGAGATCAACGTGTTTCAACCGGAAAGCAGTCGTCAAAGTTCGGACCTTGGAGTAGTCTCTCGAAGCTGCGTCGCGGACAACCTCAATCTTCCAGTGGTCCTTGGTGTCGCCAACCGTAGTGTTACCGTAGCAAGAAACTTCATAATCGGCCTTGGTGACGGGAGCAGCAATGGAGTGAGAATGCAAATTACGGCCAGTCTGAGCGTGGATCAAACGAATGACGTCGCCATTTCCAGGGTAGCGGAGCTCCTCCTCAGGCGAATAATCGGGCTGGTGACGGTTAGGGTAGAAGAACCAGTCGTTGTTGGAGTCCTTGTGGTGGTAGCAGGTAATTTGCTGTTGGTTTGACCCTTCCGGATAGGTTTGGTGGTGAGAATGCAACAGACCTCCGCCATAGCCCATATTCTTTAGAGTAGCTCGTGAACCGTAAGCAACCTCAAGAGGGCTGTCTTTTCCGACCTCGGTACCCCGCAGATTGGCTTGGAAAAGGGAGCTCATCTGAGCATCGCCTGGACCGCTGTTCTCGAGAATGAGGAAGTGCAGGTAGAAAGAGAACATGTAGACAGCGAGAGGGATAAGAATGAGACCAAAGACGCGGAAAGCGAGGTGTGTAGCTAGCTCGACCTGCGGTTGTTAGCTCCAAACTCGTTGAGTCAAAACAAAATCATACCTTGGGCATTCTCAAGTCGCCAAACTTGTTCCAAAGATCCTCGATAGTGTACAATCCAACCAATGCGGTAACGAAGAAACCGACCCACTTAACACTGCAAACACAGCCAATGGACACACCAAGCAGCATCAGCCACAGACCCCACTCGGGCGAGAATGGGTCACGCTGATAACGGTGGAACTTGGACCAGCAGAAGACGGTGGTAAAGGTGAAGCACAGCAACATAGAGTCGAGCAGAATAAAGCGGCTGATGGTGGTGTACGAATTCTCGAACAGGACCATGAGAGTGACGAGCCAGACGGTCGGTCTCCGGAAGTTGAGTTCTTTTGCAGTAAAGTATGCCAATGGGACGCAGACAGCGCCAAATACCGAGTTGAAGAGGCGCATGAAGGTGTAGTCGAGCTCCGGCGGATAAGTCTCTCCCGACTTGAACTCGAACGAGCCATTGTATCCTGCGAGGTAACCAGAGAGACCGACGAGCATTTTCCCTAGCGGAGGGTGGACATCGAAGTAGAATTCGCGCTTAAGGTAGTGAGAACCGAACTTTCCGAAACTACGATAGCTGTTAGATAGGTGCGACGGTGCGGGGAAGTAGAAGCATACTGGGCTTCATCCCATGTGACAATTGGCGAAAGGCCAATCTTCCACATGCGCGTGAAGAAAGCGAGGGCTGTGAAGAGCAGTGGGGCCCATATGAACTCGTACTCATCGAGGAAGCCGATGACGCTGAAAGCCTGCAGCCATGTCAGCCGTACATCCAATTGTGATATCTCATGATTTCGAGCTGTAGTTGGAACCGTGTTGCGCATACCTTCTCCTTGGACTTCTCTGACAATGGTGCCTGTGCCACCTGTGGAGCGGCACCTGGTTGACCAGCTACGTTTCTTCTCCGCAGCTCCTCCGCTCTGGGGTCTGCGCCCGTCGTTTGCGCGTTCGACGCCATGATGTGGAGTCTGCAGCTCTGTCGCTTTCTTGCTCCTTCAGTCGGTCACACCTATACCGGGACACGTTGCGAAAAAGATAGGTCCGCAATGGGCGGCGGTCGAGTCGCGGTGGGGGCTGAGGTGGGCGGGTGGTGCGTGGCTGCGGAGCTTGACCACACAAACGAACGGCGGTCGAAGGTTATTACAATAGAATAGAAGAAGCCGAGGAATCCGGAGGATGAATTGCGCACGCCAGATTTTCTCCCGTCGGGGGTGCGTAGACGCAGGAGAGCTGATACGGAAATAGAAATTCTACTGCAAGGCGACGTTGGAGCTGAGCAAGGGCCCAGCCGCGTAGACAGGGGCGAGGCTAGATTCGGGGAAGGAACACCTGTCGTCTTCGAATCACGTGAGAACTCCGTTCTCGTAGCACAGCAGCAGCGCCATTTTGTTTCCGGCCTGTGTCATGTAGTTTGAAAGCTGTTATATCCTTGCGCTATGATTTCCACGGCTGAAGGTGTAGCTCTTCTCGGCCATAACTCATCTCGTGAACAGCGGTAATACAGTTTTGAAGTGTAATACTAACATGCATTATAGCGCGAGTTACTCTAGCATGCAGAATCCCATAAATTGCTTATAATGTTTGCCAGCAAGCTTGTTAACGCGAGGGAGCCCTTGCTACGAGAGTTCAAGTTCCTTTTCCGGCCTCTGTGATCGCAGCACTAAGCTTCCTATGCAAGCTATAGCAAGACACGATAGTTGCCACGGCGCATGAATCATTGTACATTTAGGGTCCAGGTGCAATTCCTCATTTCTACAAGAGCACCCCGAGCTATATGGAGCGTCTACACCAAAGAAAAATACAACTGAAGCTGCGCCAGCTTTTGTAGCCATGCAGATCAAACAGCCACGCTATACGCCTTCTATATCAACCAAACATTCCAAAATGTGCATGCGTCGCAGAGGTATCATGGCATGCTGAACTCTTTCCAAAACAATGTATGATGATGCATCGAGTCTCGGAGACACAAGCGGAGGCAACGTCTAATTCTCCTCGTCTTGTCCAACCTGCCTGTACTGCCCTCCTGAGTCGCCTTCCCCGTTGCCCTTGTTCCTTTTGACGATATTCGAGATCCAACCACCGATGCCCTCGCCCTTCTCGCCTTCTTTTGCTGGCTTGCTGTCCAGACTGTCGACGTTGTCTGGCGGGTCAATGTCCAGGCCTGGAATGGCGCTCTCTGCTGCACCACGTCGAATATCGAGCGATGGCACGGGAGATCGGGCACTCCCGCTGAACAGCGATTCAGCCTCGGCAAGTTGTTGGGGTGTAGGCTGGACTGAAGTGGCATCTCCAAAGATGGAATTCATATCTTCAAGACGAACGTTGGCCGTTTCCGGGTAAATGAACCAAACTGTGTATGTTAGCAAAGATTCTGGTGCTACACCCAAGGAACGTACCAATAACGAAACTGACAGCACAGAAAAATGCATGAATCAGATACAACCGCCACTGAATATGCTCCTGCAGAATTGGGGTCATTTCTCCAACGAGCCAATTGAATGCCCAATTTGTTGCCGTACTCAGACTAGCTCCTTTGGCGCGGATGGAAAGCGGAAGAATCTCAGGCGGGTACAACCACGGAATTGGTCCCCCAAGAAGCACCGAACGCGGCATTGTAGATCATGACAAATACAACAACCAGGTTCGCAGTCCAGCTCGTCCGGAGGTAAATGAAGTACGATATGGCGGAGAGGGATGGCCATAGCGATTGCACCAGAAAGCAGAATCTTTCTCCGGCCCAAGGTGTCTATTACGTACCAAGGCACGATTGTTGAAAGTAGGTACGTGATGGCATTGATTCCGGTCATCAGGATCGCTTGGCGGCCGTACCATCCCGCCTCTTCGAATACAAGAGGTGCATAGTACGAGATGACATTGATACCGTTGAGTTGCGCAAGGGCTTGAGCGGACATGGCGATGAATACGCGCTTGTAGTAGCGCTTGAACATATCGCCGTATGAACGTTCACCTTCTTGACGTTGCAGGAGCACGTTCATCTTGATTTCTCTGTATTCATCTCGAGCTTTTTGATTGTGGATATCGCCCTTTCCATAAAGATTGGCGATGACCACAATACCTTCCTCATCATGATCGTTGTCAAGCAGCCATCTGAAGTGAGTCAGTATAATGTGCGTTGAAACCGCAAGGAGACAAACCTAGGGGATTCGCAAATGAGCAGACTGCCAGCGGCAAGGAGTCCTCCCATGATGCATTGCATGAACAGAGGTACTCTCCAAGACCAATCGTTCTTGATAAAGCTGCAAAAGTAATCGACCCACACACTGGCGGCGTAGCCGGTGATGTTTCCAGTGAACTCTATGCATGCGAGCCTTCCCCGGTTGTGCGGCGGTGAGATTTCGGACTGATAGACCGGCACAATGGTGGACAATGTACCAACCCCCAGACCAGCTATGATTCTTCCCAACAGCATCATCGGCATGCCAGTAGCGGTTGTTTGCAAGGCACCGCCCACAACGAAGATAATAGACCCCCACATGATCGTCCTGCGACGGCCGAGCATATCTCCAATGCGGCCTACAAGCAGGGAAGATATAAAGGCACCAACTTCCAGAATGGCAACCATGGTTCCCAATTCAGCAGCCGTTGGCTGATTGAAGTAGTCCTTGAAGTAAATACCCCTGTAATATTGATCAGATATAGTCGGAAACGGGAGGTCGCGAGGCGGCGTACGTGATAATACCGGACATGACTCCTTGGTCGTACCCGAAGAGGAAGACGCCTAATGATACGAATACGCTCGTGAAGTAGCTGTCACTTGGTCAGCACTTTGAATATATACTGCTACCAGCTGGACTCACATCAGCTTCTTCCCGTGCAGCCCGTGGATACGGGAGGGTCCATCGCCGGGTGCCATGATGGAAGCGAGTATGCGCTCAGCTTTGGATATGGATCGTGGTCCCGGGTCGGGAATCTCAATGTCCTCTAGCCTGAGTCCTCGCTCCTTCTCGTTGAATCGTGTTTCGGACTCGTAGCGGACGCGCTTCTGCTGGCGGCGTGGGCGGGACGAGGTTCCTCCTTCGAGCGAGTCGCGCAGGCGGATGCGGAGGGGGTCCTCCTGGTCAGCGAGCTGGTCGACGAGATCACCAGTGTCGCTCCAAAGCGAGAGGTCCGAGTCGGACTCGGGGGTGTCGAAGGAAGAGCGGGTGCTCTCCTTGTCGTCGTCGTTCAGCAGATGGGCTGCGTCGCTGCCTCTTTGGCGAGCCGAGGAGGAAAACGTGTGCAGAGGAATGTCGGCAGGCCTCCTGTTGTACGAGTGGGAAGGAATCTTGAAGGTTGGCGGCTGGTTGGAGCAGCCTAACTCCAAGTCGAGATGGGCAGAAGCAGACGCACGTCACCGGACCGAGGGCAAGGAACAGATAGTGAAGGCGGTCAAGACGGCCACATTGGGGAACAAGCGGGTGTGGGGACAGGGTGCCACAGCTTCGTGATCAGAAGAGGAGCAGACAGCAAGTGCATGCGATGGCAGCTCCGTTCCTGATCCCTGATTTGCCAAGACCAGGTACTCCCGGTCCGACTCGCTGTGAAGTGCGATAAGAGAATCGAGTTCGCTGTGCAGCAGGGAATGCGCGCTTTTCACAGCGATGACGCCGCAAGCTTCACCGCTGCAGCCGTCTCGATGCACCGAGTTCGGGTGATTGGAATGGCGGCTCCCCCGCGTGGGCATCGTCGTTCACGTGAACGCCGCCAGTGATGGGAGTCTGGACCCTACAGTGCTAGCATTTCGCATGGGACCAACACCAGCCACCTGGGTCTGTCTACTGTATAAAGTTGACGGTATTCCCAGCCCGCGACGAGGCTGCTGCTGCACTGGCTAGCTAGTACAAACTGTTGCTGAGACAGCCATCCTCAGACAGTGTATCGTAGTGTGAGCTACCCCACGATACCTCAGGCACAGAGCAACCGTCGACCTGCAGCCCTGAGTCCCGAGGTCCTCGCGTCCAGGGCTGCTGCAACGACACGTGTTTGCTGGTTGCTCGCAACGGATGGCAACAGGATCTGGGTATGCGCCCTGAGACTTTTGATAGTTCACGTTGAGAGGAACATTCAATGGAGGTATGTGAACACCAGCGGGTCGAGACTGCAGTCTGTCCCCACTTGCGCAAGCGGGCATGCCTAACGAAATGGCTTCGCGACGCGCTGAGGTTGCAATTTGCGCTGCGGGGTTGTTGATGTGCATCGTCAAAGGGAGGCTTCGGGACACGGCATGAACAAGATCATGTTCGTCTCCGGCGCCGACCAGGATTAGCCGGCGATCTGGCGAACGGAGAGGCACCGCGTGAGGTCATCATCACAGGCTGGAGAGCAATGCAGAGCCGCGTCGTCGAGCGGCCATGTGTCGTCCACGGAAACGGCAAAGCATGGCCCAATTCCACGACTCCCTGCCATGCCTCGACCGCGACGCGAGATCTGCACCCCAGGCCACAATCGCTGCGAGGGCAGACAGAGGTAATGCATGCATCACGTCTTTGCACGGCCCCCTTTGTCGCTTGCAGCTGAAACCGGTTAAGACGCTGCGGCCTGATTGGGCAGCTCGCCGTGAAGGTAATTTGTTTGTCGCTCGCTTGCTGCATGAAAGCTGCTGTTCCTCCTTCGCTGGATGCCGCGCACCGCCTCTTGCACCACCGACTTTCTCCAACAGCCGAGCTGTTTCTTGCGCACTCCAAACCCTCGACGCCTTTCGACAGCGCCAGTTGCGCGCGCCATTATAGCGCGCATCGTTGCACCGGTTAGCGCACCGCAACCGACCTCCCCTGCACCTCAGTGCCCAGCCAACAATATCCTGTTTCAAAACCAGCCACGGCCGGTGCTGCGAGTCTCGTACAGCCTCGTCACTGATCCTCTCTCCACCTTCACCATCATTACCCCATTGAGCATACCCTATACAATCTCACCCTCGCACCGCGCGACCCTCTGCGCCCTGTCTTGAAAGGCATCCCTCTACGAACCTTCGCGCTGTAGGCGCCGACCACCTATCCAGTCATGTCGCGCTATGGCTACTTCGACACGTTCTGTCGCGACAGCGGGAACCTTTGGTCAACCTTACCAGGTATGCATCGCGACTTCCTATCATCAATCTGTGTTTGCTGACCTGTTGCAGTCTGCTATGTACGTCCCCCTCGGACAATCGTTCCACGAGTGCGCCTCGTCTGCCGTTGCTAACGTTTCCTGCGACAGCTCTTCAACCAAGCGCCTACGAGGCAAGCAAATGGATGGGATGATGGCTGCCAATTGAGAGGCGTATCCTTGTCGGGTGACAAAGTTTTGGCAAATCTGGGTCAGTCCCACCGATCGCGCGGACCGGACCGTCGTTGACAGGAGCAGGTTCCATACTACTTTGCGGCATAGCGATCCTCGTCACGCTGTTCCTTCTATGGAAGTCTGAAAGAAAGAAGGCAGCTGTAGGGAGAAGGTGCGCAGCTACCATGTTCATTTCACATTCGATGGTGGACTGACCGCGACTAGGGAGATGCAATTGTTCCTCCTCGGCTACATAATAATCTCTATCTGCGAGATATTCACGGTCGGGGGATTCCCACTCGATAGCGCAGTGCGCAGGGTACGTTTCACGAGCGCATCGTCCGGTCGCAACTAACAGTATTCAGGCCTTTGTCGCTGTCCACATCGCCGCAATCATATCGACCACATGGATGCTTATGCTCAATGGCCTTGTCGGTTATCAGCTGCTCGATGACGGTACAGCCATGTCGCTGGGTCTTATTGTCATATCCGCTGCCGTTCTCTTCATTGGCACGGGATACATCGCACTTGACACGGGGTTCAGCTGGACCGGCTATTTTGACGACACCCTCGATAACAACCGCGCCTACGCCCTGTATACGCTGTATCAACTAGCGCCTCTTGTCTTTTTGTTCGTCTTCTTCTGCCTAGAGACGTTCCTTGTCGTCCGTGTACTCGGTGAGAAGAAACCGATGGGTATGTACAAGTTTTGAATGTCCTCAGATGTCCACTAACGTTTCTCCAGCCTACCTCGTTGCTGCAGTCATTCTCTTCGCAATCGGACAGGTCTTCCAGTACGTGATCAGCGTACACATCTGCACCGGCACGGACGGAAAAATCAACGGAGGTCTATTCGAGACCTTGTTCACGCTTCTTGCCGTAGTAATGATCTGGGTCTTCTGGTCGAGCATCACCGAAGACGACTGGCCAACCTCTGGCGTGGGAGGTTCAGGTTACTCGTGAGAGTGACGACGCGTGGAGGTAATATACTAAGCAATGTTTCGGCGTTGGCGATATTTAATGTCTTATGATATTTTTCTAGCATAGCATTATACCAAGCTTGGAGGATATTGATGGATGGACGATATGCTAGCGTCCGCATCACGATGTACACATAATGTAGCTTGAATCTATGTAATCACTCACAAGTCGTTTCTACAACTGAGAACATCGTATTTCACCTGTATGCAGAGGCTCTTGAAGTGCTGACGTTCATGATAGAAACACAACCTTCCTTCTCATAGTGTAGCCTGCTGGTACCTGAAGCTACACGTGCACTAGCCACCGCAGAAATGTTCAACCTCGTGACGAAGCCAGTCGACGCGTGAGAATGCGCGTCACGTGGTTTCGTTCCAGCGCCGCGGGTAGTGGCATGATTTGTGATGCACTCCGCTGAACACCACTTAAGAACTTCTACACGCTCACCAGTCCTGCCTCGCGCCTTTCGGTCCTCTTACCGATTACTTATCGAAAAACGTTTGACACACCTGCTCTCGCTCTCCTGTGAAACAATCGCACAGCGTCATCGAAAGTCCCAGAGGCCGCCAACCGACCCTTTGTTAACATCCCGCCTTACGCCACCACCCGAAAACGCGTCGATCAGAGTCTAACTAACCTGTCTTCGACGTCCCGAAACACCGCTTGGGCGGTGCGACAGAGACAATCGCTTGTGGGCGCGACTGGCTCTCCACAACGTTCGCCGCGCACAGCTCACATCCACGATGTCGGGGTCAGACTACTCAGGCTCCGAATTCAGCGGCTCCGATGACGAGTATGTAGGGCCAAGAGGCGGTGGTTCCAGTGCGGCTGCTGCCAGAAAGATTGTAAATGCGACGCTGCAGCAAGCGAAGAAATCTGAGCGGAAGGCGCAAGCTTGGGAGCGGAGGAAAGGCGAGTCGTCAGAAGAGGAGGAATACATACCTACATTTGAGGAGATAGAAGACAACGATGTACCGGAGCAGAGCATACAGCAGATGGAAGAGGAGCGCAAGCGCAAGAGGTACGTAAGGCTGTGCGCCTCTGCACTCTCAGCAGTTGCGCTGACAGTGCACTTGGATAAAGGTTACGGAAAGACACGAAGCCTTTTCAGCGCGGTATAATACGGCACGTCGTCCTCGTCCTCGACCTATCGGAAGCTATGTTGGAGAAGGACATGCGGCCAACTCGATTTCACGCCATGATACAATACGCGCAAGAATACGTTCGCGAGTTCTTTGAGCAGAATCCCATATCGCAAATGAGCGTCCTTGGAATGCACGATGGGCTCTGCATCAGAGTGTCGGAGTTGTCGGGGAATCCGGCGGAACACATTGCTGCCATACTAGGACTGCGGACACCTCTGAACCCTCAAGATTTCTCCAAGGAACCGAAGGGTTCTCCTAGCTTGCAGAACGCACTAGAGCTGGCGAGGGCGACTTTATATCACACTCCGAGCCATGGAACACGAGAGGTCATCATTGTGTTTGGATCGTTATTATCTTTAGATCCGGGAGATGTCCACCAGACTATCAGAGCTTGCGTACGCGACCGCGTCCGGGTCAGCGTTATAGGCATGAGTGCCCGCCTAAAGATTTGCGCAGAGATCGTCAACAAAACAAACGCAGGTGACGAAAGCGAGTACGTCGTAGCCACGGATCAAGAGCTCCTTCGCGAGCTTCTACTAGCGACTACCACGCCCCCAGTGGTTCGCGCGACCAAAAGCGCAGAAGAGATCGCACCTCCAGAGTCTGCGGCTGCACTCATGATGATGGGCTTCCCGTCGAGAGTCATTGAAGAGACTCCTACCATGTGCGCGTGCCACGGCGCATTGACAACGGGCGGCTACACCTGCTCGCGCTGCAGCGCCAAAGTCTGCAGTCTGCCCATCACCTGTCCTAGCTGCCAACTCACGCTCCTTCTTTCGACGCATCTTGCGCGAAGCTACCACCACTTGTTTCCTCTTCGGAACTGGGCCGAAGTAAGCTGGCATCGGGCACGGGAAAAGGGGACCAAGTCTTGTATGAGCTGCCTCACACCGTTCCCGGAAGTACCACCCGATGGAATCAGCGGCGAGCAGCAGACCAACGGCCATGGTGCGAACGGGAGAATTCATGGGAAGGTTGCCCAGAAGCAGTCCAACGATGATGAGGAGCAGAAAGCGAGCGAGAGCTCGCGGTATGAGTGCCGAGTGTGCGAGAGCCACTTTTGCATCGACTGCGACATGTTCTGTCACATGGTGCTGCACAATTGCCCGGGCTGCTTGAGTAAACTTGATACCCCCGCGGAGGAAACCAATGGAATTGGCGATATGGAGATGACAGGTTAGGTGATGATAGCTTTGATTCTTCCCCAGAAGATGCTGAGCAAACAGACCTCCACCATTCTAGAGTTGAGATATCCAATGCAATCCAAATCAAATCAACTCGAGAATCTTTCCCTTCACTGTGAACTTCCGCGCTCTTCCTTTTATCGTACATCGGCACCAAATCAGCACCCGAGTATCCAGACGCGAAGTCCCGTGAGCGGCAGCCGCACGTACGAAAGCGTCGGGCCATCAAATGCCGAACCTTGAGAGCATACCTACCCCACCACTTCGTACGCGCGACGTGGGGCAGCTCCGACTTCGCGTCGGCCTACCACATCTCACGTATATAGACGCGCTGCTGCACGTCACCTGCAGCATAATGCTCCTACGCCCGACCTCGTTACTCTCTCGCCGTGTTCGACCACAATTGACATCCGCAAGCCCATTGCTCACACCATTGACACCCCCACGAACAGCATTATTTCAAAGGCCATCAAATCCCCGGTCAAAGTCCAGCTATCCTAGATTCCGCAGAATGGCGCTCTTCCAGCGCCTGATCAGGTTCCAAGACGAGCATGGGAAAATCCACTACGGCGACTTCGGCTCCTCAGAAGTCGGACGAGACGTCGTGGGAAAAACCGTCCCCGTCCTACAAGGCAGCATAGAAGCGGGCTTCTCTCAGAGCGGGTCCCACGCCAAAATCAGCAAACTCCTGTCCCCCTCCCTCCACCCCTATCTTCCTCTGCGTCGGCCTCAACTACAAACAACACGCTGAAGAAGGAAACCTCCCCATCCCCACGTTCCCCACCATCTTCATGAAGCCGCCCACCGCACTCTCGGGACCAGGCGCAGAGATAAGTATCCACAAAGATTGCCAGGAACAATTAGATTACGAGGGCGAACTCACCATCGTGATCGGCAAGACTGGGAAAAACATCGCTGCCAAAGACTACGCAGAGTACGTCCTGGGCTACACGGTAGGCAACGACGTGTCCGCACGCAACTTCCAGCTCCCCGCGTCCGTCAGCGGAGGGCAATTCGGGTACGCGAAGTCCTTCGATGGGTTCGCGCCAATAGGGCCGTGTATTGCGTCTCAGGCCGCGATCGGAGGCGACCCCAATAAGATACGGTATTGGACGAAGGTCAATGGGGAGAAGAGGCAGGAGACGGGGACGGACGATATGATTTGGAGTGTGGGGCAGATTGTGGAGCATTTGAGTAGGGGGACGACATTGCAGGCTGGGACTTGTATTATGACGGGGACGCCGAGTGGTGTGGGGGTTTTTATGGTGAGTTTACTTCTTTCTAGTGCGGGCAAGTGAGGATGGTTTGAACTAACTGAGATTAATAGGATCCGAAGGGTTTTGTGAAGGATGGGGGTGAGGTGGAGATTTATGTGGAGGGGATTGGGAGCTTGGTTAATAGGATGAAGTTTGAGTAAGGGTGTGGTGGGGGGATGGGAATGCATTTGCGGGTTTGAAAGGGAGGCTGGGGTATCGATGCGAAGATGAAGATGGTGAGGTGGTCAGTAAGAGAACGACTATTTTGGAAGGGGAAGAGGAAGCATGCAAGAGATTCAGCGTGTAGACAGACCGCCAAGTCGATATCCCAACACACGAACACGATATACAACGCACTGTAGCAGTATCCTCTCGCGTCAACGTAAAATTCGGCCATTCATCCTCAAAGAACAGTTTATCGACATATCATACTCCGCGCCCCACCGCAACACACCATCATGCCCCTCCATCACAACACCCATATCCTCTATAGAAACCCCCACCCTCCTTCCTCCTTCCTCACCCGGTGAAGATGAAGCATCAAACGCGCGCAAAATGCTCCATACACCCTTTCCCTATCAACAGTGCCCTGTACCCAAGTACAATAATATTCAGTAGCCTCCACACTTCAGTCGTTGTCTTCGATCTTAATGCATATTGCCCGCCCGTGTCAAGGGGGGCTATACTCGGCGGCAATAGCGCTGGAAAGCTATCTCGCTACGATGATGCTAGGTTAGTGGTTACAGCGAGGTAAAGAATGCGCGTGGCATGGACAGAGTGTGAAGGGTAGATGGGTTGTATAGTATAGGTAGGCGCTTGTATCTTCGGTGGGTGATTGTGTCTGGGTTTTAGTTGTGGACGAGCGAAGATTTGTTGCGAGTGGTGGGGAAAAAGGCCTTTGAAAAATGGATCTCTTGCAAACTTCTGCCCTTGCATCACTGCTTTTTTATGTTTCTATTGCAATGTGTTTTGTTACTGTGTTCACGCGTTAATTTGGAATGCGGATAAAAACCAATTTTGGGATTTCGGGATGGGACTGACTTTACGTGGAAGTAATTCTAGTCTGGGGTAGCTCTTATGTTAACGTGGATATCGAGCAGTTGCGTAGATGTTGAAGCTGCTGCAAGTCAAGTTTATCTATAAGATATCTTGGGATGACTTGCGCCATGATACGTCTCGAAAATTTTGACTTGATAGTGCTCGACCGACTTTCATGTAATGACGAGAGGCTGCCACTTCACTGCGCTGCATTGAAATTCTGACCTTGGAGCTTCCTCTACACTCGCTACATTCTAGTATAGTAGACGCCCACGGCGTGGTACGGCTGGTTGCTCCATGCAGGCAGTACGTCACAGGCTCGCCAGTGACGGATACTCGATTCTATGTAATAGCTTTTTGTTTCACTTCATCTTGAGGCGCGAGAGATTCACGGTAGACTCTTGACGATTGGTCGAATGTGTCTATCGCAATTGACACGTGCATTGCAGATGCAGGAGTCGTGGAGCTAAACTTAACAGGGACAAATAAGGCAACAGCGCCGAGGCTGACCTGAGGCTTGCTTACTTTTCTGATTCATTCAGCCGTCAACGGCCCCTCACTTGGCGTCTTCCTTACGAAGTCAACAACAAACACCTGCTACGAACAATGGTACGATACTATCGGAGGGTTGGTAACCCGACGTTTTTGTATTATGCTGCTTTTATCTGTTCGACCTTCTCTGCACTGTTTGTGACTAACGTGATCACACTGTTCTTCAAGGGAAATGAGCACAAACCTCCTGCCCTGGAATGGTTCATCAACTCTTTTAGTGCTGCTGTCGCTGTCAGCTTGACAATAGCAAGCATCCATTACTTGTACATCGACAGGTATTTAGGAGGCAAAGTGGTCTTTCAGGATCGCGTTCGCAATCGCCAGTCACCAGACCGTATAGACACCGACGATGGCGTCGGAGTCAATTTGCTAGGATGGATGAGGCCTCGCCGCTTACGAAGAACTAGTAATAGCAATTCAGATCCGGGAAGTCGACAAGATCCGATTCAGCCTCCGACGGTATCACCTCAGTGGAAGCTATCTACATTGCATTCCGGTATGGGTAATACATTGACCAATTCAGACCAGAGAGATAATCAGCAACTGTTCACACACTTGAAACCAACGTTACCTCAAATTTTTGGAACTTATCACTATGGCGTTTTGAACGACACGGAGATACGGCTGCTTCAGATTCAGCACACAGATGACGAAAGCCACGCTCTGGAAGCGGTGATAGTTCAACTTCCTCTCCTCTCTGCAAGAGAAAAAGGCTATACTGCCTTATCATACACTTGGGGAAGGGATGAAGCCACCAGCAAGATTTATATTGAAGGACAGTGCATGGACATTCGCCCCAATTTAGAGAAGATATTACGCGCCCTGCGATCCGCGCGGTGCGGCTTACTGTGGGTAAGGACTCTCCTTCTTTTCTTCCGCATTCCTATGCAAATGAATAGTCTAAATGTCGTAACTCACGCAGGTGGATGCTATTTGCATAAATCAGAACGACATACAGGAACGAAATTTGCAGGTGTTGCGCATGCGCGGAATTTATGCAGGTGCTCATAACACAGTGGTCGCAATAAAGCTACCAGACGACGAATGTTTGGACATCCTAAGGGTGCTTGGAAAGGTCCAGCCAAATCTAGAGACCAAAGACCAAGGTCACGCACTCTCAGATCTATTACAGGAGCCGAGGATAAAACAAGCCCTGAAGAGTTATTGCCGAGCGGACTACTGGAAGCGCATATGGATTGCCCAAGAATTTGCCATTGGACATCGAATCGACCTCCTAATAGGCAAAAATCTCATCGATGCCAGAAAGCTGGAGACAATGCTCAATTATGCTGAAAAGAACACTGGACGATCCATTGAAGGAGTAGGGCAAGCACAGAAGATCCTCAACATCCGGCGTTCGTGGCAGGAGGGGCAGCCACTGGATCTATTCAAAATCTTGGAAATGACACAAGACTCTCTATGCGAGCGTCGACACGATCGCGTGTTTGGGCTCCTCGGCCTGACAGCTGATGTCTTGGATTTCCTTTCCGAACCCGGCTACCAAATCGATCCTACTTATCTTGCATCTTCTATGACACGCTCCTATATCGAGAGACGGTCCCTTGATATCATCATGCTGGCCCAACGCATCGATGCGGATCACTCTCTACAGCTGCCATCGTGGTGTCCGCCATTTTTCTGGTACGACCAGTATCCACCTATTCGACATACCACCGACCGAGCGCTGGGCCATCAGAAAGTCAGGTCCGACCCAGAGATAAGACTCTGGCAAGCCACTGGAAATAGTTCCAGCTCTTGCACTTTCAAAGGAGCTGCTCTAGTCTCACCTGCCCGACGCATCGGGTGGGTCATAAGCCTTGGAAGCGCCTGGACAGATAAGGACGACACCCAATTTCCCTGCCGTGACCACGCATGGACACAGGCGCGAAGTAGGCCAAGCAGTGAGTCAAAAGTGGCGACCTTCATGATCTACTCAATATTGGATTGCCGATTCGAGTACAGGAGACACAGGAAGGTGTTAGCGGCAAACAAACCGGTACTAGAGCAATACAAGAGGCACTATTTCGTGGAGATTTTCCAAATCAAACATGACCCAAATGTCACCGAAGAGTCCCAGACTGATTTCCAACGATGGAGACGTTCGAATCGCAAATTCTCCGTCGGCGGAATCGCCCTTGGAGGACATGTTGAACGAACCCGGAGAAAGCTACCGGTTTGCCCTGTCATACCACACATGAAATTCTCGTACCGCAATCTTGAAGAGATGGCCAAAAAAGATATGCGCATGATGTGTCTGGACGACGATCAGTATGGCCTCGGCTGGGCAGCAAAGGGCGCTCGGTTGCACGATGAGGTCTTCCTGATACCTGGATGTAGCATTCCGCTCATTCTTCGACGCGTAGAGGGAACCGAAGAGTACAATTTCGTAGGGGATGCGATCGTGTTTGGGGTAATGGAGGGCGAGCTTTGGGATAAAACGGGAGCGGAAGACCTCGTTCAGGTTAAGATTGTATAAACAATAGATTGTACCAGGCCGCGATATATGTTAACCAGAGACATAATATGATAATAAAAGTAGTCACTTATTCTACTATGGTGTTGACTTTGATAATCATAATCTGAGCTTCCCCTGCGATGCAATACCTTGATCTCTCCTGAGATTGCGAATTGTAAAGAGTGCTTCGCATACTCGCATCGACGTTTGTCGGGGAAAGACGTGCCTCTTCAGGAGCATTGGACGTGCTCCTTCCTCTTCGGTATGCAAATCACCGGCTCCAAGATCAGCGCCTCAACCGAGCGGACCACAACTGAACATCGATGTCCTACCTACCGCATCTCTCCAGCACACCGCATATCTCCATAAGGCCATATCTCTTTAAATCAATGCACTCTCAGTCGAATCAACGCTGTGTCCACTGCCCCCTTGTACCCTCTCCGCGTATCAACCTTTCGGCTTCGACATCCAAACGCACTCCTTCCTCAGGTCTCTCTCACCTCGTCGAACAATTTCCACCGGCCATACCCCATGTGGCATTGCATACAGTATCAAAACGCAAGCTCACATCCTCCCCTGCCACAGCAAGCGTTTTCTCTATCAAGTAAGCATCGACTACAAACCTGCCACCTCATTTAGCCTTAGCATTTCGCCAATCACAGGCCTGAGATACCTTGTTCCTCAATACGTGAGAACGTGACTAAGCCCCTCGAATGCTAATCGGCTTGGGGAATGATGGTGTGAGTCTAGCGTTACGGGGGCTATCTTGAGTCATACTTGTAATGTCTTTACTGTGAAGATGCGTCGGATTTGGATGCATTGACTTCTTTGATGGCATGGAAGCGGCTTGCACATGGAAGAAACGTCCATTTTGGTTGGAAGTCTTGCCGTTGTGGAAGGTATGCCATAACAGCGATCCGATGCGAGGATACAGTGCTGACCATAGATTGCTGTCTGAAACACAGACTAACAAGCTTTCGCTTTTGAAGGCGCCTCCAGTCGGTGAACGACAAATCTGAGCCGCGTCTGAGCGTCTCTCACTTCGCCTTCACCTTCACCTGGTAAAACCTTTTCGAGACTAGCGTACCGCGCGCCCGCGTCGACTATATAAACAGACCTCGCCCACCTTCTCCCCGTCTCCACCACCTCACCTTGGTCCCGCTCCACAGTCGGAGAACTGTGGCCGCCGTCTTCGGGCGGCGCGTCGACAAGCTTTCTGTCGCCTCCATGCGCGCGACACGGGTAGTCCCCTTTATACAAATCTTCCGACGACTTTTCTGCCGCCTCCATGCGCGCGGCTCCGAGGCTTGGTCGCCTTCTTTGGGGTCTGAGATTGACCAGCTGAAAGAAGATTACCCGGAATAGCGGCGGACGCTGAGCGCCGATGGCAGTTATAACATCTTCGATCTTGAGACAAAGGGATCGAGGGGGCCACGCGGGAAAACGCCGTTGATCTTCCTGACGTTCCGGGCCTTCTGGAGGCATCTCCAACCCGGACTAGCTTTCTGTTGCCTCCATGCTCGCACCGCCCACGGGCCAATTTAACACTTATATCTACATCAAGCTTTCTGCTGCCTCCATGCTCGCAGCGCTCCTAGTGGGAGCATGTTACACCTTCATCTCTTCATCGGGCAGCAAACCTCCTCAACATACGACCTTGTCAACATGCACCATCGCGTTGCCCTCTCCCTCACATCAGTCTCTCCAGCGCATTCCCTCATGCCTTCGAGAGGCAACGCATGGTTGGTTGCATGCACACGAACAGCCTTCTGCCGCCTCCCCGCCGCGCGGTGGATTCCTCGATTGCGCAGGGTTTCATGAGCCACTCATGTCTACTTCCGCATACCTTTCGGCAATCTTTCTGCCGCCGTTAGTTTTTTGCTTTTCGGACGGTATGAACCTTGGGTGGTCCCCTTCAATATGTACTCATTCACCTGTACGTTTCTTCCCTCGCATGCTTTCATATATCTAGCTAAAGCATCACAGGCCACCGTCATCATCTTCGCTAGCCTACACACATAACCACCTTCACGAAGTCTGCATTGAAAAGCCGACAAACCGAGCAGTATGGCCTACCGATCATCAGCTTCACCAGCTGCCATGTCCTTACTGTTGGCGAAACGTACCAAGAGCTCGTACTGACTCGAACTGATTATCGCTCCACCACCGACATCTGGCCATCCATCCTGTCAAGCCTCTGGACACATCTCCACCCAAAAGCCGCGCAGCCGATAAAGTACGTGTTCCCAGCTGCACAGCGACACGATCCAGAAGTAGCACTACACCTTCTCTGCGTCAATCTGTCATGTCATTTGGGGTTCATGAACGTGTGGAAATGATGGTACAGGCGCACATTGCATGCACGTTCGCGCTTACTCTCCATGGAAAGGAAGTCGCAGCGCGCACCAGGACGGAAGTGACGCAATCAACAATATCTCAACAGCGGCCTTTCCCGTCCTCTTCCACCTCCACGACATCCATACCCACGACACATCTTTACACACGGTCTTAGCTGTACGCTTGTAAAGTCACAATTAGGACCTACTGTTACGAATTTGCCCAACCCGTACAATGGAACGCAAGCGCGATTATACGCGATTGTAAGTTACGCTCGAAGCTTCATGTGCTGCACTAACTTTATGGTCAGTTCCTCCGACAACGATGGCAGATCAGACAACGATGGCAGATCAGACAACGATGGCAGATCAGACAACGATGGCAGATCAGACAATGACGGCAGATCAGACAATGGAACGCTCCCAATTCGTCCGACATCGCGGTCGCCACCCCCAGCGATAACACAGAGACAACAAGTTTCGCCACAGAGACCGCATCCTCCGCCGCAAGAAGCGCAATTTTCACTGCCGGGGCTGCAATCCTTGCTGCAAGAAGCGCATATCCCACCGCAAGGGCTGCAACAGCAAGCACCCTACGCCACCCAGGTATCCCAGTTTCCGGACCAACGTGTTCCATATGATGATGTCGATCCGAGGGGCGCAGCCAACATATATCAGCATCTTGGTAAGGATTACTATTGGGTGTTCAACTTCGCAATCCGAGCAAGTCAACGTGACATCCGAGGCTCTCAACGCGATCAGTACAATCGCCGTCTTTGGCATGAGAATTTCAAAGCCTTCCAGAAAATAAACCTGATCGACCCGAATGAAGCCAAGGAGCCTCCGGACGGTGAATTTCTGCAGCGGTTCCTCATTACTGCGGCATATCGCGCGTGGCCTGGTCCCGGTGTGCCGACGCTGTCCTGGCTGGAAAACGGGTACCGTACTGTGGTGGACATTTGTACATTCTCCTACAAAGACTTCCAGATGTCAGAGCGTGAGAAGATGCACATTGACAGTACGATAGCGTGGATTTTGAAAGAGGGCTTGGTGAAGTTGGATGAGCTTCCAAGAGACGACTATTGAAACGCAATGGCTGTGTCTCATGGTGGCGTGGCAACTAGGTACAGGCTGTGTCATGGGAGCTGATGCGCTTGGAAATCAGCTGGGGGTTGGCAAGCGCGAGGTGGCTTTCAATTATTCCAGTGTCGCGCGGGGAGACCTCACGGCGAGCCAGTCTGACTAGCACAAGTGGTGCATGGCTTGTTCGTATATCCAGGGCACTCTCAGACATGGTCGTTGTTTGGAATAGCACGATAAATTTTGATAGGTATAGTCCTGATTGAACAGCTTGACAATGCCTTCATTGTCAGTGTTCGCCCAATGTGACTTGTTATAAAATTACAACCCCTTCTAATGTGATGACACCTATCGAGGTACAACACCTTCTGGGTTAACATCTCCTAAAGTGATAACATCTCCTTAAGTAAGAATACCTTCCAGGATAACAACATCTTCCAGGGTACCAAAACCTTCCAAAGTAATAATACCTTCCAGGATAACAGCGTCTTCCATGGTAAAAAGATCTTCCAGATGACCAGTTCCTCATCTAATCTCCGCGACGTGACTAGCACTATACAACGACTCACTATGTTATCTCACTCAGTTCCACGCTCAAGCCTAAGTCAAACAAAGTGTAACTATCAAGACCCTTGAAGTCAGAGGTACCAAGCGCGGAATAAAGACAGTGAACGGCTGTTGCGTTTGGGGTGGGTAGTGTACAGCGTGTGAAGATGTCTAGCATATGGAACGAGGGTGGGTGTGGGCGTAGTGTATCTGGTAGACTAAGTGCGGAGGCATAGGATGCTGGAAGTGCGATCATAGGAACGCGGAGCTTGTAGTGGATAGGGGAGGACGTGCGCTGGAGAAGGCGGAGAGGAGATAGATATGTGTGACGTTTGTGTTGGGGTAGAAGGCAGCGTGAGGCAGCAGGAATGTTGAGGTGAGCATGTACTCGAGGTATGTAGCGTTGAGAGAGAGTTCTATGAGATGAGCGAGGGAAGAGGGAGGAGTATTAGTATTAGTATTTTGTGAATCGGGGAATTTTTGGTATCCGCACGACCGTTGGTATGAGTACTTGGATAGCATGCAGCGTGGTGTATTCGCGGCGAGAGACAAGCGGAGGCTTGAAGCTTGCTAGTAGCCTCACGTTGACACACATCGTCTTGGCGGAAGTCAGGTACGATCTTTTGCATTGTCCTGTTCGTATCGAAGCTCCGCTCAATCCATCACATTTCCTCAAGGTCCTCATCGCCCAAATCAAGAGGCGGGAAATCTCCAGCCTCACAGCGCTCAGGACGAAGGAAAACGCCGTAGTTCTTCCCGCACTCGAAGTACCGCTTCCCGTTCACCGTACCGTCGTTCTTCCCCGTAGGCTCGTCGAGCGTGACACCGACCCAAGAACCTATGCCTGGGATCTCGGGGACTTGACCAACGTATGACACCGTTCCTCGGCGAGAGTCAGTTTCGGGGAGGATGCGCACGCGGGCGCCGAGTGCGATTCCTGAAGAGCTCAAGTCAGTTACCGTGTAGCGTTAGTCAGGCGATTCATCTGTCTGCGCGCGAACTCATACGTAGTCACGGAGTTTAGTATCACTGTGGGGGATTTCCTGTGCACGAGTCGAGAAGCCATTACTGCGCCAGAGAGACTTCGAGGCAGCAAAGACAAGCCTTACTGCTCTGGATCCGAGCTGTGGATATGTCCTGCGACAAGGCGGGCTTTTCAGACTCTGGCGATGGCCGGAAATAATACTGGTGAAACATCTCTAGCTTGAATGTTCTCATGCGGTGTGGAGATCGTTGTCGCCATCTCCTCGGTATTACCCTCAGCGATGATGCTTGCGCAGTCTGCGTGGTTCAGGAGTTGCCATCTTAAAGGCGCCGCCCACGGAAATCATCCGACTTCCTGAGCGTTCCAAGGATCTGGCAACAGCTTTCAATGCGAAACTGAAGTGGATTTTAAGTCGTCACATCGATGTTCAGCTGCTGCGCATGCATTGGATACGGTCGCACTAATTCCCGCCTCGCCAAGACGCGATGCAGCTCGCCAGACTAGGATGTCGTCAACGCGAGCAAAGGCACGTTGAGAAACGAGGCACTTGCATCGAGTCTTCAAAGGAAGAAACATGCTCGACTGCAATTGACGGCTGAGACATTGGCGAGCCATGGGTACCATGGGGATCAGCGTCCGAAGGTTTGCGAACAGCTGCAGGTGTCCGTTTATGGCGTTCGGATGGCACGCGATTTGACGTTTTACGTCTTGCACGAGCATCTCCTGCATTGTCATATCGTGTCGGCTTGTTCTTGCTTTTGTTCTGGGTGGTTTCACACAGCCACAACTGTACGAGTTCGCAAACGCATGATCAGACGACATTGAACTTACCCCTTTCTTCGACCTCGCGCTCCGAGGCTCGGATCTTCTGCTGCTCGATTGACGGCGCGTTCGGGTCGAAGCGGCCAAGTTTCTGGTTCTTCTTCCAGGCAAGAACGCTGTCTGTTCGCGTCTCATACTCTGCAGGTGGCATAGTGTACTTCGGCACAGAAGACAAGTCCGAGAAATCTGTACGTGCTCCTGGCGGACGTGTGTCACCAACCTAGAAATCCACTGTCAGACAGAAAGACATTGTGTCAAGCCCGGCCACTCGACTTGATGGTAAATTGAACATTATCGTCCAAGAGAACGGAACGCAGGGGTTGACGGAATGGGACCACTCGAATTCGTGGGGTCCAAAAAAAAGCACACCGGTAACTTGGAAAAAGCACGTGATAAGAAGGAGCCGACACCTTCCGAGGTCTCCCATCCGTGACGAGAGGAACTCGGAGCGATGAACAGCATCCCCAAGCGTCACTCGGAAGAAGACGTGAGAGGGCCGCTGACAAAGATAGAGAGGGGCTGAGTGCATTGTGGGGCATCAGCAGTGCGTGTACACGCTGCAGGCTGGGGTCCAAAGCCTCGAAAAGCCGGCCTATCAGGAAAAACAAGGCTAGCGTAGCCGCACTCTCGCAAAGCTCTATTTGAGCAAGGCTTGCTGAGCGCTGACATCAGGGCTCGATATGTTTCAGATGGGAAGATGTGGCAGCTTGAGAGAGGACAACGACGAGCAGACCCATGACGGACGCTAGCGGTGCGGTTCCGTGGTGAAGGGCAGTTGCACTTACGGTGATCTCCGCGTACGGCTGCAGCGGAAAGGCGGCCAACTGTGCGGTCTCTTCGTCGGCTGCAGAGATGGGGATCGCATCCTGCGAGCCCACACGCAGCGCGAGCTGTTGGCATGACGCGGGGATTCCGGTGATGGGCTCGAGACGTGTCCTGAGGTGGGCTATGGTCCACGAGGGAGAGATGCGGCGCTCGGACGAGGAGTTGGCAGAGGAGATTTGCAGGGGGACGTCTGCGGCCGCACTGAGGGACATGTTGGAAGGTGCCGGTCAGGTGGAGGCCTTGGTTGAGCGTGGGATGGTAGCACCAGACGAAATGGGCTGGTGTTGAATAGAGTACGGCGGTCGAGGCAGGTAGTGGTCGATGGTGCCGAGTTGTTCCGCCTAGCAGAAGCAGGTGCGATGGGCACCAACGTGTGCCTTCACCGGCGGGCGGCTGGCAGCAGGCTACTGTGTACGGTGCGGATAGAGTGCGGTTAGCTGGTCGTTATGACCTGCAGAGGGTGCAGGATGCTAGGGCCGATGTGGACGGCCGATGAAGCAGCAGGGGTGCGCGAATGTGTGTGTGCAACCGGCACCGAAGAAGGTTAGGCGAGTGCCAAGCAAGTAGTTTGGCCAGCGATGAATGTGTTCACCAGCGTCGCGCTCCCCACGCGCTCGAGACGAGACGCTTGCTGACTGCCGCCTCGCTCCCGCAAACATCCCACGTCCGCTCAAAACAACAGTTCACGACCCCCGCTGTGTGATGGCGTCTACCCGCCGCCGGCCGCCCGGCCAATTGCTTTTCCTCTGGCCGACGCCCGCACGAGCTCCCCTTGCCGCCTCGTCGCTTCGTCAGCCAAGGCTTGTACATTGCGCTCCGAATGACTCTGCTCCCCTTTACCGCGGCACAGATCGTCGAGCAATACCCGCCAAATCTTGTGGCCGCCGTCGTTCGGCCGGTGGCAGTGGCAGGTCGCTCGCTTGCCCGAAGCCCACGAGGTCATGGTGCGGATGCGGAGCCATCTCCTGTCCACGCCAGCCACGGCCTGCTGCGCACCGCTGGCAGCACAGCAGACAGTGACAGCGAACGGGCTTCACCGCCTGTTCCATGCACTGCTTCCTAAAAATACCCCGGTGCTGTGCATCTCTCGTATCCCAGAGGCCTCAACGTCGCCGGCAGCGATGACGGCACCTGCGACGTCTTCCCCAGGCGGCCAGGCAAATCTCCTGCAGCGTGACGGCGGCGACGTGCAACAGAGCTGTGGCTCGTTGCAGCCACAGGGAGCACGAGACGGACTGTCGGGACGCGCCTCAGACCGGGGCTCTGGAAGAATCTCGTTCGCAGCCGCCGCGCATACACACAGATTGCAATAATGCACACTGAGATTGTGGACCCGCCTCGTAAGGCTCTCCACCATGAGCCCACTGTCAAGCCTTTTATTCAAGAACACTGTCCCCGTGCGTCCTCCACCCCAGGCTAATGCAGTTCGGTCATTTTAGCACCGGTAGCGCTCCGTCCAAACTGCCCCCAACCGTCGACCAGCAAATGCAGCGGTTCGGGCGTGAATCAGGCATCTTTACACCGCCTCCATGCGCTTCACGATGCATCTCCGACGGGCAGTGGTTGGGATGCAATCCGCCCAACCGCATATGTCCGCTTCACCTACCCGGAGCAGAGCACTCGGCATGGAGTCATAAAACGCTACGAAGACAACGTGGCCAGGGTTGAGACAACGCACCAGCACCGCCGCACCCCAGGCACCTCACGTGGAGGCTGGAGCGTTGTCAGTGCCCGGAGCTACGTCTCCGTTCGGATGCATGCCATCTTGTTTAACAACCAAGCTAGACGTCACGGCCACCTGCTACTACTCGGCAGTTCACCGCAGTTCACCGCTCTTCGCATGCGTCGTCGACGTTGCTGGCGCTGGCCAGGTTCTTGTAGTTGGCAGGCCAGGGACTTCACATCGATAGATCGAGACGCGGGACTAAGCTTTTGGGCGTGAACACATCACCATCTGCACCGCCATAATGAAGTCAGCGTTCCCGAGGCTTTGTCGGTAGCGACTCATTTGGCGTCAGATAACCGTAGGGCAGGGCGAAGGATGTGCAGATCTTGTTCGCCGCGCTACGCCAGGTCATCGCGCTTCTGCAACAGGACCCGGCCCTTGCCAGCAAGCACAGATCCCTGAAGCCGTTCACCGCCCCTGATTTGCTGCATCACATTCGCATCCTCGCTCGTCGTACGTGACACTGAGGCTTCGAGTTGACGACGGCCAGCTTGTACAGACGGCGTCTTGACAGCAGCACGTCCTGCTGCAGCCCTGTTCTGCACCGTGTTGCGGCCTGACAGCGAGGGCGTCGAATCAACCCGAGACGGTGCGAGTAAGTGGATATGAAGCAATAAGGGAAAAGATGCGAGCCAGAGCGCCGAGTGAGTAATGCTGCAAAGTGGGGGACACGTCATCGGCCTCTCCTGCTAGCAGCGGCGGCCGTCTGCTTTTTGTTGCAACTAACGTTGGCAATTTGGGCGTTTGGGTTCCTTTCTTTTTAGCAACACGCTCGTTAGGGCCGCTCCTGATCAGCTGTCCTGCCTCAGACGGGGTCCGTGGGTTATCCCGGCTTCCAGCAGTGGCGCCGCCAGCACAGAGCTAGCCAGCGTCAAGCACAAAAGTAGTCAGTGTCAAGTCGAAGACGCCAAAGCGTGCATCCTAATCCGCAACCCCAGATCCCTACCGCGGGCGGACAGCGAGGCGGCACCACCAGGGCCTGTCCAAGAAATGCATGGCATTACCGTCGCACGCACACCGGCCCTAACTCCCTCTACTCAACTACCCGTGCCCTCAAGTACCTCAGTCCCAGTTGTTCGCTCGCCAGACCGCATCCATTACTCTCCAACGCTACTGCTTCCTCATTCTCAACCTGTTGCGCGCACCTAGTGGCTGAGCTCGTCTGCTACTCGAGACTCATTGGTTGGCCCCGTTTCACGCCCCTGCTGCTGCACAGTGCTATTTTCTTAATAGCTCCGACGACGACCACTAAGATTCAGTATCCGCTGTTTCCACTCCCAGTTGGTTGACTTGACGTACATCGGAACATTAGACGCTATTCAAACGTCCGACCACCTTCTTCCGCCTCTACGCCTCAAGACCTGCATTGCATTGTCCTGCGCTGCAGCTCTTTCCTATTCCTGAAGTCACGCCTGCTTGTACCCATCGACGTACTGAGCACCATCTGTCTCTGCCTAAGTGGCGCACTCGACGCCGTACCTCGCGTCGCGCTACTCCTTCGCCTCCCTGTTCCCCATCAGGCTTCTATCCCCCAAACCGATACAAACATCAAGTCATTTAGGCTGATCCGGTGACCCCGTCAACGCAGTCGTCGACATTTCTACCGCGGCTACAAGACCCTCTCCAACCTCCTCATCAGCTTGGTGTTTCAAAACTTGCATTCCGAGTCACTAGCTTGACGTAAGTAGAGGAACTCGAGGACTCTCACATCGACTTATGGGCTGGTCAAAGACCGGTCCATCCTGCCCATCGTGGATATCAATCTACTCATCGAGCCGCGGGGCTCCGAATCCCCAGCGAGCAAGAAGAGTTCCACCTCGGTAGGATCCGCGACTGCCGGAGGAGCGAGAGGATACCCTTCCATCACAGCTCCTCCCCCTTACAGTCACCCTCCAGCATACGCGAACGCCCCGCCCGCTCATCCCCGACACCAGCGTATGTGACCTCTTCCCCCGGATATGGCGCGATACCAGCCTACTCACCGCAAGGGCCCCCACCTTCTGTGTCGATGCAGGGTGGACCAGTACTTCCTGCTATCTCGGAGCTGCATCGGCAGCAGGAACCAGGACCGCCACCACCGCCACCCCAGTTTCGACCTCTCTATTCCGGAGCTCCCACCCCTTCGATGGTTCCCCAAGGCTCAACAGGTTCTAACGGATCCCCTCCCTCACAGATGCTAAAGCGAGCAACGTCCCAAACGCCACTCCCAGAGGAAAGTCCAGCAAAGAAGCAGTCCAAGTGGACACCGGAAGAGGACAATCTGACCATTGAATTGCGAGGCCAAGGAATGAAATGGGACGACATCGCAAAACGCCTACCCGGAAGAAGTTCCATTTCGTGCCGACTGCGCTACCAAAACTACCTGGAAAAGCGAGCGGTATGGGATGAGGAAAAGAAGAACAAGCTGGCGCGACTCTACGCTCGGTACGTACCACGCGCCTGCCTGCACTTGCGGTTCCCGATTTGGTTCATCGATCCTGCCTGAACATTTGGTGCAAGCAATTCATACGCACATTTCCACAACCCCCATTGCACGCTTGATAGCTTTCGGGCGCTCATGCCATTCGTTATCTAACTTTTGTCTAGATTCAAGGACCAAATGTGGCAGAAAGTGGCCACTGAGATGGGCATTCCATGGCGGTCGGCGGAGTCCATGCACTGGCAACTCGGAGAGCAAGAAATGAGCGCACGCGCGAATGCACCTGTCTTCCAACTACATCCTTCGGCTACGAGTACAGGTCTCAATTCCCCCCCTAATGCGTCCGCCGTACCAGTTCCTATGCCCGGACAACCACCGCCTCCGCCTCTTGTGCAAACCCAAGCTCCACCTTCGCATGGCTTCACACCAGCAAACGCACCACAGCCGATGCCTTACGCTCAACCGCCGGCGCCTCCGCCGCCACAACAGCAGCAATACCAGCAGCCGCCTGCGCTAGCACAAGCCCCCGCGCACCCTTCCCACCGCCGCTCCGACAGCAACTCCAGCCAGGGACGAAGGAATAGCTCCTTCAGCCGAAGGCGCGCCAGGAATAGTGTACCTCCTCAACTCGGACCGACTCTCCCACAGTTGCACCCCCAGTCCGAGGCCGATCTTATCAGTGGGGCAAGGACTGCGCCCGCGCCTGACACTAACAGCACGAAGGAAGACGAAGGACCGTTGGGCGAAGCGTTTGGCAAGAGAAAACGGGAGGACGAGGGCTCGCATGGCTTGCGGGCTGACGTAGATGCGCGGAGTCAAGGCGGAAGAAGTCCTGATCGGACCTCGCAACGAAGTGGTACGGGCAGCGTGAAGAGCTTGAAGCGGAGTGTTGGAGATGCGGACGAAGCAGAGCAGGCAAGGATGGAGCCACCGGCAACCACAGCTTGACGCCAATCTCCATGCTATACCCGCCTTGTCAAAGTATAGCATGAACGGAACGCGTCGGCGGGGCGTTGCAAGAGCATGACGGGCTTATTAGACTTTTCGGGCAGGAACCGTAAAAGAGTGCAAACTTAATATGGGGTTCTGGTGTATACGGACGGTTGGGCGGGGAGCAGGAACAGCATGGTACGCACATACGGTATATCGAACACGTTTGGGATGGACGCATCACGGTTGCATAACGGCCTCGGACTCAAGACTGGGTGGCTTCAGCGTTCAATTATCGCAGCATATCGGGCGACAGCTATGACGGTGGCATTTAGCGTGGGTGGTGTGTTTCCGACATTTCTTACTCGTCATTATCTCTTTGGTTTCTCCATCTGTTTTACATCATAGCGTTTGAATTTTCCGGGCCGTCTTTTTCACTCATTGTTTTGGATAGATACACCACATTGGCGGTAGCGCTCACGATTGTGCATTTGCAGCGGTCTGTCTCTCTTTGGCTCGTTTCACTCCATACATATGGGTACTTTACCTTCAGCTTTGTCTTCCAGCATCATTACTCGAGCGTTTGGCAGCGGGCGAGCTAGCATACACGCATCAAACTTCTCACGCATGGCATTGTTTTGTACACACTATACTAGACATGTCGCATCGCTGCTATGAACGAACGAGATCAGAAATGTATGGATTAATGGGCGCATCGCCTATACCACGAGCATTTCTTCCACCACCCACGTCTGTACGCTGCCACACCTCGCACTTCGCTTTTCTTGGTCCTTTCTCGCGGTCCTCCGGTGCGAAAACAGGATGCGCTCGCTCATGGGCGGTGAGGCGCGCTCGTCCGCGATGACGTATCCCGCGAGGCGTTCAGACATGCGGTCAGTTACGTGGCGGCGCGCGGCCGGTGCGTTGTCACCGCTCTACATGCATCTCTGAACCTTCGCACCATAGCTACCACACTCTTTCGATCTGTTGGGGAGCCTAACCAGCGCGAGCAGCCTGCCTGAGGCAGGGCGAGCGTGCAGTGTGGTGGGTGGTGGTTTTAGCTTTGCCTCACTTTTCGGCGGCGTGACTCGAGGGACGGCGCGCGGGTAGGGCTGCGAGTCACCTTTGCTTTGCTTCCTCCGCGCTGGCTGTTCTTGGGTAAAGGTACAGCTGCTGGGAGGCGGTTATTGACAGATATTGATGTGCCAGGTCTAGCGACGGACGGACGAACGAACCTTGAGCGTGTGCGCTTGCCGGGACGACGATGTCGATTGCGAAATTCATTTCAGTATACGAACGCGCGTTCGGCGAGGAGGATGGAGGTGCCGCTTTGGGAAGATGGGTATGGGGGCCCTTGCGAGTGGGTTAATGAGGGTTGGGCTGGGCGTTCTCGAAGGTTGGGAGAACGTTGGAGATCGCGGTTCCTGAGGGGGGATGAAACAGGGTTGGGGCATGGGTTTGGGCGCACCCCTGGCATGTGGGTGACATGCACATGCGTTCGAAATTCACGCAGCAGCATGTCAAGGAAGGAAAGCCGTATGAGGGAAAAGGGAAGCATTCACACGGACACTCCACGAAGGCACCATGCTGCCTGCCTCCCGTTTCGAACGCTCCACCAAAGCGCTGCGGTATAGACATGATTCGCACCTCAGCAAGAAACTGAGGCATGATGGGGTCGCCAGTTCTGACACGCGTCGGCATCAGGGAAGCGCCATCGAAGGCCCAAGGAACCACGCTTTGCACACTCTCCCTTGGCCAAAAGGGGCACGACACGACGGGGCAAGGGCATCGCGGGCGGATAGATCAACGTGATGCAACGGCGCGGGATCCACCGCTGTCGAACCAGCTTGATGCATGCGCCTTTGGTTCTTCCCTGCGAACATGTTCAAACAAATTTCATGCACGCGCGGACGGCCGGACGGGCTCGTCAGGCCTCGACACGGCACGACACGCGCTCGACGAGGCCCTTGACGTTGACAAGGACAAGAAGTCTCGCAGAAGCGACGCGCCCGCCCGGCGTGTCTGGCGAGTGCTTCAGCGTGCCTTGTTGCAGTGGAGCATGCAAACTCTCTACGGGTCCAGTCCACCACCTGCTCCGCGCAGCAGCCATGATATCGCAAACTGGCATCCTGCTTGTGCTCGGCCATCCGTGTATAGAACCACACGTCGGCGGCTTGCGCATCACCAGGATGCCCATCTTCCAACTCTTCCATTCGGCCCTGCTCGACGCCTCCGGTCGAGCAGAACTGCTCTCCCCGTTCCTTTCGTCATACGAAACCTTGGTCGGAAGCCGCACGCGGTTCGTCTGAAAATACCTCTGGACCCGCTATACTAACCTAACGACGTCGTTCACGCACTTCGCACGCGCGCGCGAACGCTCCGGACGTGGCCCCCGTCTCGTCTTGCTCCACTCAGTCTCTATCCATCGCACCACCTGCGTCAAGCCTCACCAGTGTAGCGACCTCGCCGAAACAAGCACAGGTCTAGTCCCCTTAACAGCTGACTTCTCGCGGCGTTACTTTCCATACTTCTAGCGTGGAAGGGCGTTCGACGTTTGGGCGAACAAGGACGTAATGCGAAAGTTTATTTCATTCCACGTTGGACGGACACGCACGGGACACGCGAGCAGCGGCTTCCTTGCAAGGAGTTTGAAGTTTGGTACGGGCGAACGTGGTGCGGGGGCTAAGGGTGGGCGTTTCGCGCACTACTGTACATTCGGACCGCTCTTGTACAGTATCTCTCCTTATTATCTATCACCTCATCGCATCGATACCTCCCTTACGTACGTTCAAACGTTTCCCCCTGCTATCTAGAACTTAATCATAAAAACAGCCCTCCCCCTACCCCCAGCGGAACCAGATCCGCAACCATGCCATGTATCTAATCTCGCCTCACCACCACCAGGAACCTTGTACCGTTTGTCGGAAATTATCCAACGTAGCGGTGCCCTTTAGCGCTGATGCTGGCGCGACGCCTGCGGAGCCTCAGGCAGCCGGTCGCTAGCGCGGCGTTGACTCGCGTGTTGGCTTGGTTTGGCGCTTGCGATGGGTTCGCACGGCTCGCGGTGTGGAGGCGGAGACATTGGGCGATCGCGATTTTGCTGACGTAGGGGGGCGCGTGAGTCGGGGTGGTGAGTGAGTCGTGATGGTGGTAGATCGGTGGATTGGTGGGTGGGCGGAGAGGAGGGCAGAGGGTAGGTAGGGGGAATGCGTAGGTAGGCTGTGATGAGTGAGTGTAGAGATGAATGAGCGAATTTTTCTTTTCTTTGTCTTTCGGCAGGGTGGGCATAAGGGCGTGCTGTGGGCGTCGTGCTGAGGGTAGGACTGGACTTTGTACTGGATGTTGCATTGATTCTTCCACAACAGCATGAGAGTGATCAGCGCGTATAGGCAAGAATGGGACAGAATGGGACAGAATGGAGTAGGATGGATTTTACGTTCTGTTTCTTTATGGCCACGTCTGATGAGAGCCGCGGGACAGTCTTAGGATGTTCAATGAAGGTGGCTGTGTGCTTCGGGGATAGGGAAATATGTCGAATGAGGAACCACGGTCGTAAAGCATTTGTCTAGGAATGCTTGGAGGATCTTCGTAGACAACTTGGTGGTTCGAAACATGAGGAAAAAAGTCCGATCTTTGCATTTCTCCGCAGTCCTGCGTGAGGCTTGAAGGGTCGTTTTGTCGACAGTGGGAACTTGTAAGACAATATGTGCGCTAGAGAGACATTTGAGGACGTATCCTGGAAGACATCGAAAGTCAAGTTATGTACACCAGCTCTTGCATGAACGTAAACATCGGCGACACAATACCTGATATCAGATCGAAACTTTGCACCCTCATAGAAGCTTGAGTTACCCCCGATCAAAAGCATGATCGAAGGATGCTTCACGTCAGATCCGACGTTCATGTTGAGACACAAGCGGCACTGTGTGCTGCACTGATCTTGCCTCCACCCGTAAGGCACCTGTGATTCAAGCCATACGACGAGTTGCAGCCTCCACGCACACCACATCTGTCCTCCATTGATTCCGCCATTCCAAATCCATCACTGAGACTCTCTCAAACACTGCAAAGCCCATAGCCTCACATAAATACCATCGTAAGCCTCCAGCTTCACATATCGTCCAGTGTCACCACACAAACCATCCACCACCAAAAGCAGCAATAGCCCCGTCGCACAACACTAACCTCTCTCCAGCCGAATCTTTCAAAACATAACCACCCCCCTTAAACCACCTAATCCTTCGTATCGCGTGGAAAAATCTTTTGATGAAGTGCCAACAACGCATCTACACCGCTCGCCACCCTACGCCCTCAATCGAACACCCTTACGCCACGTTCCGGGCAGTGCACCGCATACCCACCCAGTTTTCCCACAGTGGGACCTCCCTCGCGTAGCCATACCGGCATGTCCATCCTCGCGAGAAGGAAGGTACCAAAGACCCAGGATCGGGTGCTAACGCCACACCTTCACCGTTCAGCACACGCGGTCCGTTCCTAGCCTTGCACTCGTCCCCCGATTCTGCTTCCGCTTCCCCAGACGTCGTGTCACCACACGTTGTACAGCTGTAGCTGCTGTGGCTGCCGTAGCTGCGGTGCCCGCGCCCACGCAGGCGTGGTACGAACGGACGCCCAAGGGCCGATTCAGGCGTGTCACGTACGGGCGGGAGTACCTGTCAGCGTTACACCGCGACAGGTGCGCGGGAGACGAGCAGACGAGCTGCCGCTTTTGACAGCACATGACATGCTGCGTGTTTGCTGTGGAAGCAAGACTTCCGAGACATGCATATGTCTCTGTTTGCATGCCCTGCTTCCCCGAGACATGCTACCCATCATTAATGCTTGACGGCTAGATACATCCCACATCACCGCTTTTCCAACCCTGATCTTGAAGCGGCCGTACCCGCTTACCCATGTCCTCATCATTTGTTGCACAGGATTGGCGAAGCCACCAGATGCTGCACGCGAGGATATGTCTTGTGACATCAACGCTGCATAGCTTTGATAGCCCGCTTGAAGCAAGGCGCAGCGCTACGATCGACAGTAGGGAACGGAAGCACACACAGACGAGATTGGGTAGATGGGATGTGGCGGTGAAGAATGCTGAATGGCGGTGTAGAGGGCCAAGTTCGGAATAGATTTGATGTAGTCGGGCAGTGCGAGGGATTGACGGGGGTGGCTAGAGATCTCTTCACATGATTTGCACGACACGTTGAAGATGTAGATTGATATTCTTGGGTAGGATATCCTTGTGTATTGAAGAGAACGTAACCTTGAGAAACGAGCGGGCGTTGTTCCCGTCCCGAGGTCTGCAAGCGCCCACGTGACCCTTCGTATCAGGTGCAGGTGCACAGACGAAAACGCGAACGCCCACCATCATAACTTCATTATGCAGCTACAACAAGCGCTATGCGCGCGTCTCCACAATACAGCGCGAACTGCGTCCCACCCACCTTCACCGGTCGCAGACGTACACTAACCCACACGAACCAGCATGAACCGATATACATCAAGCTGCGCTAACAGTAACCATAACCCCGGGACATGCATCCGAAAGAACCTAGACGCACATCGTGACTCTTGATAACAGACGAAGAAGTGCCGAAGTCACCGCCAAATGGTGTCCCTCACCGCTTCTTCGGGTATCCGCACAAATGTACTAACGAGTCAGTGTGTCCGGTGAAGAGAATCGAAGAGCAAAACGAGAAAGCTCAATCTTCGGCGTGAACTCGCATCTCGCACCCTTGAGCGAAGAAGAGACGACTCGTTTTTGTGCCGACGTTTTTGATGCTGTACATATTGCCTGTCAAACATGCGTTAGTCGGCGAGAGATATCGCGAGAGCAAAGGAGTAAAGGCGAAGACGTAGTACGAGGTCGGAAAAAGCAAGCCTGTGAGGGTGGGGGTTGGTATGTGCGTCCTACGCGAACGATGCAACGGTCGCAAGCAAGCAGGGCAGCATGTTACACAGCATGCGAGGAACGCCGCAGCGCACTGTTCATGCACCAGCCACACGAGGCTCGCTTTCCCAAGGGGGCGTGCGACGTTGCGCGAAAATGCAGAGTGATGTATGCATATTCCCCTAGTCGTTGTCGGACAAGACACGGGGTTAAGCATAAAGGCACCGCCGTCGTACAGAGTGTGTGATGGGGATGGGGTAGTATAGAGGAAAGAAAGTTGGCATGCATCGGTGGAAGAGTGTTGCGCGATGTGCGCGGCAGAGATATGAAAGTGAGAAAAGAGAGGAGTGGACCTACCACGAGGGACTTGGAAAACACCACCACGTCGTACAGTGAGAATGTTCTCGTGAACCCGAATTTCCACGGCGCCGCTCGTAACATGAAAGACCATATGCATAGACGAAGAATTTTTTGCGCGTTTCATCTGGTCTTCGTCGAGCTCGATGAATCCCCAGTTCAAGTAGGCCTTGCTTTGCCCGTCGTCGTTTACGTGCCCCGAGGCTAATTTGATGAATTTGAAAGATTGGTCAGGAAGAGGTCTCATGTGGATGCCTTTATCGGACCAGGCAATTGCTACAAGAATTAGCAGTCATTACAATTGTGGCATCAGAAGGTGCTTACTGGTTTTGAGGAGCTTATCAGTTGAGATCTTGTTTGCTGCATCGTATCCCCTGTAGGGGCCTTCGAACTGGCCCTTGCCTTCTTCCTCCCAGGGTTGGATCTCCACTTCGTCTTCTTCTTCTTCGACTGCAGAAAGTGACCTCTTCTGACCTTTTCGTCCCGTCTTTCTTGTGACCTTTGGAGGCTCTTGATACACCCTGTTCACAACTGCTTGCATGTTCCCCGTTGGATCATAAGAGACAACCTCGTTGGCCCAGAAGTTGATCGGCTTCACGCGATGTCTGCCAGTACGGCCCACCGTGGCCGCAGAGTCTGGCTCCAGTTCGCGGAAAACAGACAAATGTCGACCTCGGCCGAACCGTGTCCCTGTTGTCGTTGTGGACATTTGATCCAGATCAGCTTTCGAAAGGGGTTTGCCATATACATCGACCAGTTTTCCGCTTTCTAGTGATTCCTCTTCCGATGGTGAGCCATTATTCGTGTCTTCAGCCTTCTTTCTTGGTTTCGGTGCGGCTTTTGGCTTCTTGAAGACTGCTTGTGCATTCTCTTTCTCCGGTTCTTTGGCCTGGCGCTTCTGCTTCTTTGCAGGGGGCGGCATCTCCACCGGTGCTGCCGCTTTCGGTGGTCGTCCCCGCGGTTTGGGAATTACAGGAGTAGGCTCCACCTCTTCCTCAGCTCCAGCAGAGGCGTCTTGAAGGGTGCTTGTGTCTTGCTCAGTGATGTCTGAGACCCGCTTGGATCGACGCGATGGTACAGCAGGCGGAGCGGTTGCATTCTTATCTTTCTTTTGGAGTGGCTTCCGTCCTCGTTTTTTGGGCTCTGGAGCTTCTTTCTCTGCTGGCGCGGATTCAACAGCATCGCTTCTTCGCTTCCGGCCTCTTTTCGGAGGTTCCTTGATAGGCTCCGGAACAGTTTCAACCTCCTCGACGTCCATTGAAACCTCAGCTTCTTCGTCCGCGGCGACTTCTACGTCAGTTTCTTCTTCTGCTTCCGCAATGTCCTCAGATTCAGCGGCCAAGACTGTATCGTTTCCGATATCCTGAAGTCCGCTTTCTTCTCCAACGTGATCCAGTACTGGCGAGTCTTCAGCCGCATATATCTCCTCCTGTATCGTCTCCTCCATCATCGCGCTGTTGGTAATTCGGCTAGGCGATGGTTCGATGCTGTATATGCTTCGGCGTTGTCCTCGTCGTTGGCCAGAGCCACTCAATGCTGGCGTCTCTTGTAGACTAGATTCCTCCTGTTCAAAATCCAAAAGTCGGCTTATCACGGGATGGGACTCGGAGCGGGAGGGGCTCGAGACAGAGTCTGGTTGCGCTCGAGGTCCCATAGACGATTGGCGACGTGGAGAAGAGCCTAGTGAAGTCTTCATTGGCGAACGCGCCTTGGGCGGTGGCAGGTGCGTCCTGGCGCTGCGTAGCAATTTGGCAGCGGATGGCGTTGGTTGAGCCATGGGACCTGCAATTGCGGTTAGATGCATTCTGCGATTATTACACAGCGCAGATGCGTGCGCAATCTCGCAAAACACTTACTCGTGAGCTCCATGGATTCTGATTCTGTGACCGTACCACCGGATCGATTCGAGACGCGCCTCGGCGGGGACTTCTCTGGCGACGAGAAGATACCGGAGATAGGCTCTAGACCATGCTCGTCGCGCACGCCTCTATCTTCAAGCGTGATGCCCGTTTTCCTATATATGTCAGTGGCCTGTAGAGCGCGCGACTCACTGCGCTTTCGTCTCTCACCTTCCTTGCACGCCGACATCGTAGAACTGGTTTTCGCGCGTTTCGCGCTTTTTCGAGGGAGCCATGTATATTCCAACTAGGTCTTCCTATGACGAGTTGAGAGAGCGAGAGTCGGCGCGTCGGTCGCGGCTCATTTGGCGGATACAGTTGCGCGTACGTCGTGTTGATGGGCGTGTTTTGGTGTCGTAGCGCGCGACCGTCAGGAAGCGGGTTAGCGCAAACGTCGGCTCTTGGCGCACGCTACCTTCTGCAGGCGCAACAAACATTACATGAAGGCAACATTTCAAGGTTCTGCAAGAGATCTCTCCCTAACTACTGTGAGAGCCATCGACGATCATGCGGGACCTTAAAGTGTTGTAGCTCATGGTGAAAGTGTATGAGCTTAGCGAGGAACTGATGCTCGAAACCTACATCACAATGACATCGGCTCTTTGGCTTCGTATGTAGGATTAAGAAGATCTGCTTGGAAGGATGTGTTGTGTAATCGAGCAATACAGCACCGTTGTTATAACGTATCTATCATGGCAATCATTACTTCGCTTCCTACGATGGAATGTATTTCCCCGCTTGGCTAGTCCTGTGACAAAGCCGAACCACTCGACATCCTTCGCTTACCCCTCCGAGGCTCCGTAGCGCGCACGCAACATGGAGGCCCAGACACATATTAGCTATATATAGTTTACATTAGCTTCAATTTTCATCAATCAGCGTGAAGTCGCTTTAGCTCACTTGGGAGAGCGCCAGACTGAAGCAATCCGTTTCGGCGGCAAACTTCGGTTCAACTCGAATGACATCTGGAGGTGTAAGTTCAACCAATGTTCGATCCATCGAACTTTAACTGACAAATTATAGACTGTGTTCGATCCACAGAAGCGACAACTTCTTTCTTTTTGCCCTTTTGGGAGCGTTGGGGTTTGTTTGGTGTTGAGTGAGAGAGGGCTGGACAGCCTGTGACCAGTACGCGCGACACTACCTTTTTTCGCGATGCGACCGACACTTATGAGAACAGTCCTTTAAGACAACAAAATCAAAATAAGTACAATGCTATAGGTTCTGAGAATTTTTGTACTCTCCGCATGATGACATGGTATGCGGCATGCTCATGCATTCTGCGAAGGCTGACCGCAGAATGAATTGCCAGGCAGCACAATCTCAGAGTGTATTCCAGGCGGGACTTCCCGGCCGCAAGTGCACAGAAGCGCCCTCAGCGGCTCAACGCTTTAGAAAGCGTCCCTCGTCATCGCAGCCGACAGTATGGAGATGTCAATCGACATGATTAAGATACCTTTCCCAGCAACATCATGCTTCGCGTTCCGCATCCATGGGGGCATTGGAACCAAAAGAAGCGTACAATATCGGAGAAGGCGTTCGGTTTGTGGGGTTCGACCAGAGATTTTAGCTTAATGAGTAAAGTAACGCGTTGATACCGGGAGAAGTTGATACAATGTTACAATTTGTGCGACCCTTCACGGTGTATAGCGAGCATATTCTGGCGATTGCAAGTGCAGCGGAGAAGTTCTAGAGCGGTCTAACTGCATTCTACTGCGGCGACTCTCGAGAAGTGGTTGCGAATGATGTGAGCAGCTCTGCTGTCGCCTCATTGCCTAAAGTGTGTCCGGACCTTAAATATCTTCGTACGGACGGTATTGCTGAGGACTTCCACAAGCGCCTTGGTGCGATTCTGAAATCCTGTCAAAATTTAGAGCCCCTTGAACTCGGAGCACCCCAGTTCGGATAACCAAAGTTCAAGCTCACGCCAGCTACACTTGAAAAGCTTGAGAATTGGTATGATGACGACTCAGAAGCGGAAGAGAGGAGGATGGCGATGAAAACTAGGAACATGAGAAGCCGAACCACCATGCCCGAAGTTGGAAAATCTGATAGTACTGAAGCCAAGATTGCACTATAGCCAAGATCTGTACCCGTAGAGGTATCTATGTACCTAAGGTAGGTAAGAAATATATCTTTAAAGGGAGAGTTTGACCGTGGTATTCTCTTTCGGCATTTCAATCACGTTCTGTTAGGCAACGCTCGTGGGAATAGCTTTGATGTGACTTGTTGGTGTTCTGTTGAGTGGTTATGGCGGGTAGTGTGATGACGAGCTCGATATATGCTCTTCGCGTAATCGAGTTGGAAGAGGGAAATTAGAGAAGGCTATGGAGCCTGAAAGTTTTTGAGGTCGTGTAAACCTGTCGAGATACATGCATCCTTTGGTGTGAGCCAACACCTGGTCGAAAGGCAAGCACACAGGTGGATATGACTAGACCTTATCGGCGCTTTGCGAAAAGAATGTGCCACCTTCTACAGCGCTGAAATAAGAAATTCGTCAGTTATTAGCTTATGTAGTTACTACAAGGAGTAAATCATTAGCTTATTTACTATAGTACACTTATTTTAACAGTTTAATACTCTATTTTAGGCTCTACTATGCCCAAAAGATAAGTTTAATAAGATCTAGCTAATGCTTTACTCCTTATAGTCACTATATTAGTTGAACTTCTAGTTCTAGCGCCGTGGGAGGTGGCACATTCTTTTTGCAAACGATAATAACGTAACATACGAAACGAGTATGTAGCGCCTTCTAATAATATCTGAAAACGTTGGGAGTTTCACCGGCACGCTTTCTCATCGTCGCAGCGCGTAGCAGCGAACCCGTTCGAAGCCGGCAGTGAGCATCTTGTGTGACTTTTGTAGCGTGTTCATAATTGATAAACCAATGTCTGACATTGCGTAATATGACACATATCGGAATTTAACATACATAGATATGTCCGTACACGCACATGAGTGCAATTACAAGTACTAAGGGTCGTGGTAATCTGAATGCGAGCCAAAGGCTCAGCCCCCACACTAAGCGCTCAGCCTGAATAGACATACCTCCGAGACTGTTGCCTTTTCGCAACTAACATCCCATTCCTTCTATACCATCTTTAGCATCATGGACCCTCTCTCTATCGGTTCCGCGGTGGTGGGCCTTATCGCCGCCGCTGCGCGCATGGCCCCCATGCTGCACCACTTCGTCGTGCACACACGTGACGCGCCTAAATCAGCCTCGCAGATCCTCGACGAGATGAACAGTATTACCTCTGCGCTCGAACGTTTACAGGTTTACCTGATGGGCGCATATAAAACCAATGCCGCAAGACGGTCGATGTTAAGTTTGAGGAACATCGTGGCTACGTTGACGGCGTGTGTGACAACATATTCGGATCTGGAGCATGTTGTTAAGAAATGCGTGGATGATGGGAAAGTAAAGAAATTCAAGTGGACGATGAACGAAGGAGATGTTGGAGAGTTATTGGGCAGAGCGCAGGCGCATAAGCTGAGCTTGGTGTTCATGTTGACGATATTGCAGTGGTGAGTGCACGAGGCTGAGATTATGAGACATGTGGTGAACAGTTACAGTGAATCGATGCAAGAAGCTGAAGATCACATGCACCGTCTAGTGGAGTTGGTTGAAGGGCTTGTGGACAGTAACATGGACTTAAGAAACCGCCTGGACGCCATTGCAGCGGACCATGCTTCAACGGAGGCTGCTGCACCACATCTGCCAATCGCGTCTACTCTTACGACTATTCCCTTGGTTTCACAACAACCTTTCGAAGAAGACCTTAGTAGCTCTCGGGTATATCGGAATCTACGACCTCGAGACTCTATCTACTCACTCAACAGCTCGCAACGCGCTTCACTCGCTTTGTCCGCCTTTTCAGATCTCTCTCTGGGTAATGTCTCCGTGATCTCTGTATTATGTCTTCCTGTTTGGAGCGTTGATTTGATGAATGCGGAGCATTATCGCTTTGGGCGCGAGGGGCTTACCTTGACCATGGCGGAGCTCACTGAGCGGTATCCGTATATTGAGTTCCCGGATCCAGACTCCTTGGACGAAATGGACGTGCAAGTAGAATCAGGTGGACACGGCATCCCATCTCAACCGGCTTCCCTTCCTTCGAGCAATGTCTTTAATTCTGCTTTGCCGATTTCCACGAGCCCTTCTACTGTCGAAACGCCCCTCAATGGATCAGATCTTGACGAACCAGAAGTCCTGTTTCTCGCCGCAAGTCTATTTGATTTCAACATTAGTCACGACAGAAGGGAAGGCGGGATTCCGTATCTGATATACGTGCCCGGCGAGGTAAGTCACCTCGATCATGCTCCTCTATCCTTCAACGATAGAAACCACTGACCATCCATAGATATTCGACGTCATCGGCATGAAAGGCGAACTCTGGCTTGCTCGTAATCAAGATGATCCACAGCGCATCATAGGCTGGATCTGGGAAAAGCATTTCGCTAGAATGGTTCCGGACGACTCTAAAAAAGACTCTGGTGATGATCCTATTGAAGTTACGTATAACAAGCCTCGCTATACTGATGTAGTCGAGGCAACGCGAGGCACGAATGCCCTCATTGATCGATCTACATCAGCGACAGAGGGCCGAGCCCGTAGTGAGAAACTTGAGGACGAGAATGAGGTCTCGGTTCAGGATCCAGAGTTCAGCACAGGGTTGTCGATATCTGGACCTTCAGCTTCACAATTCCGCGACAGGTCACTCATTAACTACCGTGGAAGATTTGTTAATCAATTTGCTGAGGGTTTAGATCAAGATGATAGCACTCGTCCTCTACGAAGGCGGCGTTGGTACCATCGTATATAGCGCATGAATGCAAGAATAGTTGATAGGGATTGAGGAGACGTGCTCGCTGGTGATGTTGTACGCTTTACGTCGCTTTCCCCCTAGTATTTACGTGTACACGATCCAAGCTCTACCTTCTGAACCATCGGCGCAAGAATCCACTATCCGACTCCCGTCTCCCGTTGGCACTCCCTATCACACGACCCTCAACAGGCTGCTCCATCTCACGCAGTCTATAATTCTGCAAGAAGAACGTCAACGGCACAATAGGCGCAGCTGCAAACAGCGCTCCGATGAGCAAAAGACGCATGGTCTCTTGATAGGCACGATTGATTGCGATGCGTGTCGGCGAACCGGGCGGATATGTGATGTAGTCCGAAGAAGTGGTGATGTCGCCGAAGATGATCGTAGCATTCGCGACGGTCTCGGCAGGGAGGTATTGTTGCAGCTTGCGGGGAACATACGTGCTCCAAATTGCCCCTGAGATAGCTGATCCTACAGCGCCACCGACCTCCAACAGCGTGAGCCACACGGTGGTGGCTGCAGCGACTTGTTGGTGACTTGCGCTTGCTTGAACACCGAGTTGGACTGGGACATTGAGTATACCCCCGCCAATTCCTATCGCTATTTGAGTGCCCACAAGGGTGGCGGTCGATGCGTCTTCGTTTCGGTATCGAAGCATGATGCCCATTCCCAGCAGGTAGATACAAGATCCCACAGTGACATAGTATTTGTAGTGCCCGGTGTACTTTATGATAAGCGAAACAATGATGGATGATACGGTGGAGCTTAGCGAGAAAACGCGTGTGATATTCCCTGCCGTAGTGATAGATTTGTTCTGGACTATGAGGAGGTAAGAGTAGAAGTAAGGGAAGACCGACATGTAGAATGCCACTGTAAACGCGGCCAAGGTTAGCCTGGATCCCTGGATCCTGAAAACTTCCGAGCATCAAGCAGTGGAGCTTACTGAAATACAAGAACGCAATCAGAGTTCCTGCAATGATAGTCTTGTTTCTGAATAGGTTGGGCGGGAAGAAAGCCTTGGGGGCCAGCCTTTTGCTCGTCTCCCAGAAAGGGAACGCTATCAAAATCACTATCCCAACAACGAGCATGGAAATCATGCTCCCGTTGCTCCATTTTCCATCAGCACTGGGCGCTAACTAACTTGAATCAGCAGGCGTACTGTGAAAAGCACAAGTCTACTCACGGTGAGCGGCAGAAGTATGAGTGATACTGCAGCAGCAAGCAGCAGTAAGCCAAAAACATCCAAGTCAAACCACAGGTTTTCCAGAATTTGGAACGCAGTACGACCTCTGAAAGCGCTCGGGAGCGCTTGTCCACGTTGTCTGGCTCTTCGCTGGCTTGACCAAAGACTCACTGCCAGTGGAATGAAGCAGATAGGCAATACAACGGCCCAGATCCCGTAGCCCCAACGCCATGTTGTACTACCGAGTATTATGTTTGCCAGCTCTGGTCCTGCCCATACCATCCAGAGGAAAGGAACATCAAAAAGGGTGGAGAACAAAGCGCGATTGGACAAGTCGGTCGTATCAGCGACGAATATCTGTTGTAGGATTTGGAGACCATTGAATCCAGCCGCCCAAAAAATCTGCGCCGAAGCAAATGTCTTGACGTTCTCCGATGCAGCTTGCTGGATGTATCCAATGGTATAAAGGAAGATTGTGATGGCGAAAGATTCCAGTCGACCGAATACATCCGCGATCTTGCCCATCGGTGGCTTGATTACTGCGCTGACAACACCTTGAATGACAGTGACTGTGGAGACCAAGGAGTGCTGCTGGAAGGCGCTCGTCGCGTACGGTGTCATGAGGCTGGTGACTTGCAACTCGAGGGACGTGACATTGGCCATCAAGAAAAGACTGTTGAGTCAATAAATGGTCTAAGGTCCGAAGGGGTCTTACGTACGTGACGTATGCGATGATAAGGGATGCAGTTGTCCAAGTCCTGCTCACAGCTTCGATTCGCCTGACGCCAGCCTGGGCCGCTTCGCTTTCGTTCGAGATACCGTTGGTATCCGCGTCGTCTGTAGTCTGACTCTGTTCATCGTGGGCTCCTCTTTCAGAAAGTTGGATATCCAAATCATCCCTCGCCATGCCTCTTGGACGTCGAAATATACTTCGAGTCTTCAATGATCAACAAAATTTGAGCGGGAAAGGCTGGAGCTGCAATAGCCGCCTATAAGAGGCACACTGGCGTACGTCACACAAGGCAACCAGGCAACAATTTTCTCAGCCTGAGGGCTCTTAGGCACTGGCAATGCATGCTGCGGTGCCAATGCAACCTGATTGGGCATGCGACAGAGCATCACAACATGGGGAAGCGAGCTTGGCCATGCCTTCCAATATTTCCATGGCGTAGAAAGACGAGCCAAGAAAGCGTGAGGGACCACCTGGAACGTGGTAAGAGTGAGGCTGGACCCCGCGAATGATCCATCTGCAGCCTGATCGGCCAACGATAGGTTTAAGTTTGCGCCACATCCCGAGCACCATGCATCTCGTATCGCTGCGTTGGTCACGCATTAGGGCGAACACCCGGAAACGCAGCTCCAGGCATCAGCCTGGTCGCTGCTCTTTGTCTCCTTCACGTTCGTGCGCAGAAGTTGGACTTTACCTATTACCGCGATCAGCGCATGATGGAGGTAGACGAAGCCACGAACGAAGCCTCTCTAGACCATAAGATTCCTCTAAAGCCCCAGAGAGGTTACATAGACGAGTCTGTCTACCGCGCTATCGGCACACGACTAAGCCTCCGGCAGTGTTACCGCGAAAACTGGACGAAACATTCAAAATATTGGAACAGGGACCATGTCAGACTTTATACCTTGTTACGCATGTTGGGATTCCAGGACGGCGATCATGTTTTCAAACGATTCGAGCGCGAAGGTGTTGATGACTTCTGGCTGCCTTTGAATAATGCCATTTTGAAGAAGATCAAGTCAGATTCACTACCAGAGTTTGACGACGAGCTGGAGTTTGCAAAAGCGCAGTCCTACGTTATGTCTGATCCGCAGCAAATGGACGAACAAAACCTAGTTCGTCCATTCTTTGCGCGACAGTACGAACAAGACAAGCAAAGATCTCGACCGCGACACAGATACATAGAGCACGGGATCGACTTTTTTACAGACGAGGGGCAAATTGGCGTGGGCGGCTCCGCCGACGTTAGACGTTTCCGGCATGAAACCTCGGGCAAGGACTTTGCATGCAAGCGTCTTCTGCGAAGGACCAATCCCAATCTAAAGGATTTAAAAGATCAACGGAACCGGCTAGAATCTTTCAAGAAGGAGATAGACGCATTGAAAGAACTTCAATACCATCGCCATGTCGTTAGTCTCGTGGCGAGCTTTACGGAATTGGAAAGCTTCTCTCTCATCCTGGACCCAATCGCTGACCAAGTACTCTTGGATTTGCTAAAGCGAACGGATTTACTTTCAGAACAAGATGTTGCAACCCTGTATAACTCTTTCAATTGCCTTGCCACAGCGTTACAATTCCTTCATGGGAAGAATATTCGTCATAAAGATATCAAGCCCAGCAATATCCTTCTAGGCGACGGTAGAGTCTTGCTTTGCGACTTTGGTATCTCTCATAAGTGGACGGATAGCGATAATGGAACGACTGAGGGAGTCACCAGCTTCACACACCGTTACGCTGCCCCCGAGGTTCTCCGCTGGGACGCTAGTCGCAACTCGACAACAGATATTTGGTCTCTAGGATGCGTGTTCTTGGAGGTACTCAGTGTTGTCAAAGGCTTTTCTTTCAATTATATATTGGAAGGTAACGGATTGTCTTACGGCTCGTTTGGGGAACATGAGATGGCGGCTTGGTCTAAGAAGATCGACGTCTTGTCAGATGATACTGTGCATAACCTGCCAATGATCTGGGTTCTAAAAAATGGTAGGTTGCAGGCAATACATAAAGACAAAAGCTTACAGTTGATTAGATGCGGCATGACCCGAAGCAACGATTAGACGCTGGCACCATGGTGAACAAGATCCACGAAGATTCCATAAGCAACAATTTAGTGGCCACATTCTTAGCTTCGTGCTGCCGGAAAGTTGAGGCCGAAACACTTTCTCAACGATCTGTGAGCCCAACGCAGAATGTAATTCCGTACGTCGAACCTCATACCCAGAATGACCTGGTGCATCCTGGATCGGACACCTCTTCAGCCCGGTCTTTCCATCGTGGATCTCTTGTTAGCTCACGGAGCGAAAGATCTTCGCGTCCGGTGCGGAATTCTAGCATCGCATCTACTTCTGGAACACCTCTTTCCATCCGTGTTAGGCAGGGACGCAGTAATCTGAGCATCGCCCCAGCCAGTTCTGTTTTTTCTCAGATACAAACGCCAGCCACCACACCGGGCACATCAGTACGATCCAATTCAGCTTGCTATGAGGCGTCGGCTATACCGCAAGCCGCAGCCGAAGCACCTTCAGACGAGACTTTACATGCTCATAGCGTAGCCTGGCCAATTAGACACGGTTCGCCGTGTGGCGGTCGAAAAAATGAGGCACTGCTCTTCCTAGACTCCTTCGTGGCAGTATTCATCGCTCAGTCCGCAACCGTCGAGAGGTACTCGCAATGCTGTAGTACAGCTGAAAATACAGTTCAAATTTTCGAAACAGCACGTATCAACAATGACACACCTATCTGGCAAGTCACACGCAGACTAGTGTTGAGCGATCTCGTTTCCGCCAATGCGAAGATTTGCTACTCATTCTGGCTTCCTCTCACGAACATACAATTTTCATGTGAAGAAGCCACGGTTACTCTGCGATGGTCCGATTGCAACCATCCTCAACAGGATAGCACACGCGGCCACGGTGGGCACTGGAGCTGGATCTATAACCCTAAGTTGACTAACAACGAAGCTTGTATCCAGTTCCACGACGCAGGCGCTGCCAGAAAGTTCATTGACACTATCCGATTTCCAAAAGATGGTGGCTCCACGCTCCAAATTTCCGACACGTTAGAGATACATACTTGGCACATTGATGACACTCGATTTAGGAAGAAGCCCTTCGTCTCCACTCATCACGAAGGCACACTCCATACCTCGAGGCTTCATATCATTGGCCAGTACATAGATCCATTGATCCGACCCCTACCCCAAGATCACCAGCTCAATGTTCGTTTAAATAGACTCGAGTGTCTAACATACCTATCCGATCTTCAGAATCAGACCCAAGAAGGCAGGAGAATCGCACGATTTCAGGCTATAAAGTTGATCCCATCTTCGCTCAATGTACCTATTCCGGTTTCCACTGATCTTAGTCTGCCTGTACCACTAGGTTGTATATTATCAAGATCTTGCGTATTGATTAAACTAACGTACTTCAGCTATATCCACGCTATTCCAGCTCCTCACAGGGTGGGAATTGCTCTTCTTTGCCACTGAGGTGCGCGCAAATCCTGCGCCTTCCCGTGTTAGCAAATTTGCCGTCCCGAAACATCTTCGGAAACACTATGGCACAGCAGATGTCATGCTTTGGCGTAGAGACACCCAAGGCATGGTGTCAGGCAGTGTTACTTTCCGCTTCGCAGGAGAAGGCGATGTCTGGATGAGTGGGAGAAGTACCACGCCCTGATACCTTATGATGTCTTTGTCGCTAATTTCCCGGCGTCTAGTCAGTAGTTTGTCATCAAAAGACATTGAATCAAAAGACGCTGTCATTACATACAATATATTCGGCAAGCAACGCGGTCGACTGCTTGACACGACGAGCATGATAGCCGTTCCTGAGACCACACTCAATGACCCTTCCGTGGAGTTGAGCCCTGGCGCTCAGCAAGTGCAAAGTCGTCTTGAGTTAGAATTCCAGAACCTCAATCAGCGGCAAGTGTTTGAAGGCCTTTTTTGAGAAGCTCGCGCGCTCTGTGAGCGAGATCCATCCACGCTTGAGGGCGGGCTCTTCCCTGACTACCGGCTCGTTGATGCCCGGCACTCCCATGGGACGATGAGTGAGCGTCTTGGGCTATGTACGATGTCAAATGTAATCTTCATGTACTGCTTAGGTTCGGAAGTTCCGTTAAATACAATATTCAAGTCATCACCACAACAGTTTTGTTATGTGAAATTGCCACGAACAAGCTTTTGTTCACGTGCGAGCCGTAACGATCCCACCTCGGAGATCTAATGGAAGACCGGGTTACTAGGTTGGAGTAAAAACTCGTGCGGTACTTTGAAGCCTGAGCTTACACTGGAGTTTCTCTGTGCCCTTCTCACCCTCACGCGGTTCGAATGCTGCATGCATTTTCCGAGATCGCGTCAAGACGCCGCCCAACTGGATTGGACAGGACAAAGAGCCACTTCCCGTTGCTCCCCATAGATGTAAGTAATTGATTCCTAGTAAGGGTGTGTTGAGCGATCATTGTCGAGCTTGAAGTTGAGTGACGTGTTTTAGCTCGGTGACGTGTTCCGGTTGAAACAAAGGGCCCGCAAAATCAAAACCCGCCAGACCCCCCTCTCCTGAAACCGCATGGAGAAATATTTGGCTTGAAACTACTAATCTGCCTCCAATAAATTGCGCATCCCGCTCTGGATCTCGAAAGTCGACGTGCGTTGAACATTCGAGAACGCGCCGAAGCTGGACTCCTATGCACACTCGCAAAAATCAGCCTACCCTCGCTGTCTAATGCATTTGTAGTGTCCACTTAGTGGCGTGCGCTTGCTTCATCGATCGGTCTGACCATGATAACCGAATATATCACTGACCGCCTCGATCATGCTCTCCTGTGAGGCGCGGTGACAACAGCCACAAGGGGAGGAAGAACAGCCACAATGAGACATTTTATAAGAATCATCATCACGTCCTCTCGATGACTCCTCACCCTCATCGGTAACCTTCACTTCAGGACCTTCTTGTACAACCTTCTTTTCTTCTTCCTTCGCTTCGTGCTAGACACAGCTCATCTTACTTTTTGTCCTTCATTTGCTGTGCAAAGCTTTGTCGTACCCTATACGAATCATGCATTTCTCCTTTCATACCGTTGCCACAGTAGCACTTATCCTGTCCGGTGCACAAGCTGTTCCTCGCAATGTCCATGTCTTTGACCGCTCCGAGCTAGGAGCATACCGTGCCCTTCCAAACCGTGCCGGCAGAGCAATCCCCAGCGAGGCCTCCGGAATTGTCAGTGCTTCTGCTCCAGCTGCTTCTGGAGGGTCTTCTGGAACATCCACCGCATCTGCGCCCACCTCCTCGGGAAGCTCATCGGGCAACTCTACCACCGGCACCATGCCCGCGTCCGCTGGCCAAAGCACTCTCTCCGAGCCCATGAAAGTCACCGGCGAATTCGACGGCGGCATGGTAACCTTCGATCGCGGCGTCGAATGCACAGGCCAATCTGAGGGCGACGACTTCGACGCCGTGTTCGACATCCAAGCAGGCGGTACGCTCAAAAACGTCATCATCGGCGCCAATCAGAAGGAAGGTGTCCATTGCCAGGGTGCCTGCACGCTTGAGAACGTATGGTGGGAAGCTGTTTGCGAAGATGCTTTTACCATCAAGGTGCAAGATGCGAATGCGACGACAACTATTACCGGTGGAGGAGCTAGTGGAGCGGAAGACAAAGTGCTGCAGCATAATGGTGGCGGAACGCTCAAGGTCTCTGGGTTTACCGTCGGCGACTTTGGCAAGCTTTATCGGGCGTGCGGTAACTGCAAGGAGAGTGTTGACCGCCATGTTGAGCTTGACAGCATCAAGGCTACTGGTGGAACATCTACTCTCAGTAAGTTGACATCTTTTCATGGATTGGTATATCCGCTGACATTATTAGTTGGCATCAACCCTAACTTTGGCGATACCGCTAAGATCACGAACTCATGCATTACGGGTACCAAGACTATTTGCGAGGAGTTCGAAGGGACGACCCCGGGCAATGAGCCAAAGTCTGTTAGCACGGGCCCAAGCGACACCTGTGTGTATACCGATGCCGACATCAACGCTTGCTAGGAGCTCGTTCCTAGTGCTTGAAAGACTCTCGATATGAGAAGCGTACGGCAAGGTGGTCTGAGAAGCTGGAATGGATTCAATGGTCTTCGATGCGAAATAGAGATTACCCATGTAATGACTAACGATAAAGTCATACCTAGCTCTTGTCAGATGCGAAGTACGCCTGTAGGCACACTGTTACTATACAAGCTTCAATCCAGAAACAGTGCGAAGGGAAGATATGCCCTTACTGACGACTATCCAATATGATTTCGTCTCATCTGATAATTCTCTGCCATGTAACCCTCTTTTGATTGTTGGATTTCTTCTGCCTTTCTGCCTTCCTCCCCATCGCTATCCTTCCCCTCCTTCTCTAATCTTCTCATCAGCTACTTTTACGTCCGACCATATATATTAACGCCTCTCCTCTTCTGCATCCAAGGCATACCTCCATCTTTCAACTCCGCTACCCAAGACACCATTTGTTCATTGCCTCTGTGGAGTCTGACTGTTGCGAGTGCTCGTCGGTCAAGAGCTTCGCTTCGCAATCTGTATCGACCTCGTTACTCGTAGTCGTACGATCCTCCTAAACAAGATTCACGTACGGCAATCATCCCCACCAAACATCTGCCTTGCATTCTCGCACTGACCGGCATATCAGCAACGATCCCACGTCAACTACCTCTACAGAAGAGCGTCGTTCAACCGAATCATCGCTACCCCAACAACAAGTGATCAAAGTACCTCAAGCAACGCAGTGGCATCTCACGCCCGAGAAGCATACTCTTTCCAGAATTCAGGGTCTAGCATAGGTAGCCAAGACATCTCCATTAATGGAGGTCCATTTCATACAGTGGCGTCTTACCGCCGAAGAGCATACCCTTTGTAGAATAAACGCTCCAGCCAAGACATCTCACTCAATGGCCTCCTTGTAAACGAGCTGCCGTATCGGGAAAAGCGTACGGGGCACTGTGCCACCTACACAGTCAGCATCGACTCCGCGCCGCATACACACTTATCTCCGGGTGAGACAGTCCGTGGCACTGCGTGGGAGCGCGGAGGATTCTCATGCCGCCCGTGCGATGGGTTGGACGGGTGATGAAGGGTGGTCCGTGGCGTGCAGATGATATGCGTTGTGGAAGAGATTCCAGACCGGAGTATCGGAAATGATAGATATGCAAGAATAGCGTAGATTTCGAAGCAAAACGTCGAGTCGTTGCTTCAGTATACATACAGGAGATAGTGTATATCGTCGAATGAAAAGAAATCGCTGGCAACGAAACAATATTTGGATGGTGAACGCTCAATAACAATCAATCAATCAATAACGGGGTATAATGATGCGCCTGTCCTGACCATCCAATATCCCATCCATACCCAACCCAAGCCCAATTAATCCCACACCTTGCGATCGTAATGCACAGCCCTTAATTCCTGGAGTCCCATAGCCTTCTCCTCCGCATCGTCGTCGAAGGGATTCCGCCCCGGCGACGGCGCCCGCGGGATCCCGAGATGCGCACCCTGGTCCTCGTTCTCCCGCAGATGGTCCCTTCTGTACGCCATGCTCAGCTCGCGCTCGCTCGCCATACCAATGCCGATCAAATCCTCAAGGCGACTTGTTTTGAAACTAGTCTGCTTCCGCGGCACCGTGAAGATGAGGTATATAGCCGTGAGCATGGCAAGCAGCGGAGGCAGCGTGAAGAGTATGGCAGAGCGTTGGCCTGAGCCGACGCGCGTGCAAGCAAACGTTGCGTGACCCATTGCTGCGGCGTGAAAATCGACGCTGTCGGCTAGGGGGCTGTTGCTGCGCATGCTGTCTAGGGTCGACATCTGGGACATGGTGATGCCGGCTGTGAGGCCTAGGACGTCTTCTAGAGCGTTGGTGGACTGGTTGAAACCGTAAGGCGCGCCGCGGATTAGCTTTTGCCACGACTCGACGGTCGAGTAGCGATCCGATGTGTCTGTGACGTCGAGCGCTTGATTGAAGATGGTGTTGGTCATGCCGTTCCAGTATCGTCCTTCTGAGAGGGGAGGTACGAGTGCGGCGGCGGCACCGCCTGCGTAGCCGTAACCTAGGGTCCAGTTGGCGTTGGCATTGGGAGTGGATGCGCAGCCGTCGACGCCAGATATTAGCTTGGAGTACGACGGTGTGGTGGTAAGTGTGCCCTGCTGTAGCTCGAGGGTGAGAGTTCGCCATCTGATCGTCGGCTGTACGTCGATGTCGCAGCTGATGGCGTATGTGAGGTTCTTGGCCACGCCAGCGCTCATCGCTTCGTAGCTGTCGGCATGCTTGGCGAGGAAGTCTTCGTCGCCAATAGAGGCAGCAAGGGTAAGACTGATGATGCCCGTAGCACCCATAGCAACGGTTCCCTTGCCGATAGTATTATTTTGGGGGCAGAAGCGGGAGACCATGACACCGAATTTTCCATTGGGGTCCTCGGCATTCGCTTGGGTAAAGTTGCAACCGCCAGCTTCGATGGAAATCCGATGGTAAACAGCCTGATCATCGGGAAGGTTCTCGGGAATGTTTGACTTGAAAGATACGCTACCCCCGGGACGACATCTGACAGGGTTAGTGGCCATGACCGGAAGGCATTGCGAGACTGTGCGCAGCATGGTCTGGTCCACCTTTGCACCATAGCTGTCAAAGGGTTCGACGATTTCAGGGAAATCTGTATAGAATATTTCTGGTGATCCGATGGCTGAGCTTTGAATTCCGACTCCGTTACGTGAGTATGCGACATGTTCTGGGTTAATGGTGTTGATGGACCCCATGAACTGTGCGCCCGACCAAGACGGACAGCCTAGATTTGTCGTGGCATAGTATGCCGACCCATCGTCGTTGTTCCAAAAGGTTCGGAACTCCCATAGGGGTGAAGAGCGATCGATATTGTCGTTGGGAACCATCCTCGTGCATTTGTTATCGGCTCCGCTGTGAATGCGAGGAGGGCTCAACTCCGAGTTGCAAGTTGTATCGGTCAGTGTCACAGCAGCTACGACAGCTGTTGTAATGAGGCCCGTGAAGATGAAAGAAAGTTGCGGCAGGACGGTGCTCTTGAACGACGTGACTCGCTCTTTGAATGTGTTTATGCCCAAAACCTGAAAACCGTGCACCGTCAGCAATTGTCTCACCATCTCACCAGGGCGTTTTCCAAGCAGTCGGGGAATTACTAACAGCGCGCCATTTCTGCATGATGTCGGGCCTGTGATGAAGGTGGTATTTGACATCGGATATTTCGTGATTGATCCGGCGTAACCATTGTTTTTGGATTTCGCCGCTGGCATAGCGGCTGAGGATTGTTGCGATGATTGCATTGGCGATGTTGTAAGCGACCTTCAATTGTCAGCAATAGGATTTGAAGCTGAGTTGCGGACGCACCTTGAATCCGGTCGTAAGTCTATAACCTGGTATCACGATTGTGACAAACACCAGACAGAATGTGAAGATGAAGATGGAGAAAAGTATGAAAATTGCGACCAGAAGGTTCACCGGCACTCCAGACAGTCTGTGGGACATTTTGTCCCAACTATAGAATCATAACAAATGAGCGTATATCGTGTATAGCTACCAGAGCTACGTCCAGCGATGGGGCGATGGTGCAGAAGTGGTAAATGAGTGACACAAAGGTAAGATGACAGCAGAGGGTGGACCAGGTCTTCAATAAGCGGTCCGGGGAAGGATGGGAAGACCGCCAAGTACGCGACGGGTGGCGCTCGTAGAATCCTGATGCTCCATTACTGCAGGCCTGAGGTGGATATGAAACTCCGAATAGTGTTGCGGGCTTGTTATTGGTAGAGAGTCCGGCGCTAAACCGCACACGGGGGCTGTACAAGGCTACCCATGCACAGTGGGCAGTGTATTCTAGAATGCCACAGGCACGAACTCCATTATTCCGACCTCCTGTTATACAGTGCACCGTTTACAATCGACGAGGAGGATGCAGTGGCGACACACATCCGACTGACATCAAAGTGACCGCACTCGCACGACGAGGATTGGACACACCATCAAGAATATGAGCTCGTCTCCGCTGCGCAAGGTTCGAGCAAACGGTAGTGTTCCGAAGCGCGCATTGCGAGGCCGTCACTCCACATGGCAGTGAACTCAAGATCTGTGCATGCCCGAGCCGCTGTATAGAAAATACCCCTGGCAGACAGCAGCGCTTGCTCCTTCATACAGCGTTAGGTCGTCGGGGATATTCTTAGACAGCGCTCGTACTTCCGACGCTGCCGAAAGCTGTAGGAGATATCGTATTCTAGATTAAGAGTAGCGCTTTGCGAGTCTGGGCTCAAATAGTCTCTCTTCAGCTGCGCCACGAGCAGTGAGGTGATGTCGGGTTTGAGAGAGCATCACCGTACCCCGAACACAGGATTTGACGTACAGGATACCTTTCGCAGAGTTGACGTCGTTTCATCAGGCAGGCAATCTTCCATCTTCATCTCGGTAACGTTATAGCGTGTCCACAGTGTCTTCGGCCCGATGGAAGGCTTGCGAGCTCGGTCTTGCAGTTTCACACTTCGGTCGCAAATTCGGCGAAGAAGATTGTCGCCAGCAAGCCTGCAGGCGCAAAGCAGAGAACGAATAACGACGAGGGCTCTACGAAGAGGGATGCTAAGAAGAAAGACCAGCAGCAACGTCAGGAAAAGAGGAATGCAGGAGGTGACTTGATGTATGATGTTGGCATCATAACAGTCTGAAGATATGCGGACAGAGCCGAGGCCCAGCAGGGGTCCGACCGGTAGCGAATCAGAGCACCCCGCATTATGCGCCTGTTACGTCGTTTGGAGGGATGATGCGATTGCTCACTTTTTGGTACTGGAGCTCCAACAAACCCAGCTTCAAGCTTCTCCCCTCCTTGCATGCCTCTTGTTCGCTTCAAACTAAGGGGACCTTGCGCTTCTACGCGACAGTTAGTGACGCCATCGGCCGCCCGCGTAACCTTCCAACAGGCAGCCCCACCCTCCCGCGATACCCCGCGAGCGCAACTGCTCAGATACCACACACGGGTGCTGAGGATGGACACACGAAACATGTCCGAAGGCGCGGCCTCAAGAGGCGACGGCGTCAAGCTGGTGAACCGCCTCAAAGAAAGCAGAAGCCCGTATGTAAGTGCCATGCAGCCATCCGTCGCGCTTTGCGCCCCGGCTGATAACAAGATAGGTTCGTGGACACATGGACAATCCGGTCGCATGGCAGATGTGGGGTCCAGAAGCTCTCGAGCTGGCAAAGAAATCGGACCGGCTCATCTTCATAAGCATTGGATATGCCGCCTGCCACTGGTGCCATGTTATGGAGCGCGAGTCCTTCGAGAACGGCGAGGTTGCTGCCATCCTCAACGAGTCCTTCATACCCATCAAGATCGACCGCGAAGAGCGCCCCGACGTCGACCGCATATACATGAACTACGTTCAAGCGTCAACTGGATCTGGAGGATGGCCGCTCAACGTGTTCATAACGCCTGATCTTGAGCCCATCTTTGGCGGGACTTACTGGCCAGGCCCTGGCTCGACCATGGCGGGAAGAGATCACCTCGGATTCGTCGGAATACTAGAAAAGATTAGGGATGTGTGGAAGAACCAACGGCAACGATGTCTCGATTCCGCGCAGGATGTCACTGCGCAGCTACGCGAGTTTGCCGAGGATGGCAGCATCAGTCGCAAAGAAGAAGCTGACCAGGACCCGCTGGATCTCGAATTGCTCGATGAGGCCTATGAACACTTTGCCGCAAAGTACGACCCCACGTATGCCGGATTCGGAACAGCACCAAAGTTTCCCACTCCGACAAATCTGAGCTTCTTGTTGAAGCTATCCCAATACCCTAAGGCAGTCGCAGACGTCGTCGGAGCAAAAGAATGCACCAACGCGAAAGACATGGTACTGGCAACCCTCTCAGCCATGAACAAGGGGGGCATACACGACCAGATAGGCAACGGCTTCGCAAGATACAGCGTCACACGGGATTGGAGTCTACCTCACTTTGAGAAGATGTAAGTCGACGTGCACTATCACCGAGCAATCACACTGACAAAGCACAGGCTGTATGACCAATCACAACTACTCCCAGTCTACCTCGATGCCTACCTCCTGACACGAAACCCCGACCATCTGGCTGCGGTCCATGACATTGCTACATATCTTACGAGCCCACCTATGCATTCGCAAACAGGCGGCTTCTTCTCCGCCGAAGACGCCGACTCCCTTTATCGATCATCTGATAAAGAGAAGCGAGAGGGCGCCTTCTACGTATGGACATTCAAGGAGTTCCAAGACATACTAGGCGATCGAGACGCGGACATCCTCGCCCGGTATTACAACGTTAATGACGAAGGCAACGTCGATCCAGAGAACGACGCGCACGATGAACTTATCAATCAGAATGTGCTAGCAGTTAGCAGTTCCCCGGTAGACCTGGCCAAAGAATTTGCCCTCTCCACTGAAGAAATCGAGGAGACACTTGCCGAAGGCCGGAAGAAGCTTCTCCAGCACAGGGAAAAGGAAAGGCCGAGACCCGCTCTGGATGACAAAATAGTGGTATCCTGGAACGGCCTTGCTATCGGCGCGCTTGCCCGCACAGCAGCTTCACTTTCCGCATCGGAACCCTCGAAAGCAAAGGAGTATCTTGCTGCGGCAGAGAAGGCAGCCGCTTTCATCAAGCAAGAACTCTACAATTCCCAGTCCCACACGCTCTTGCGCGTGTATCGAGAAGGTCCCGGCGCCGTCCAAGGCTTTGCAGATGACTATGCCTATCTCATATCGGGCCTCGTCGACCTCTACGAAGCAACCTTCAACGACGCATACCTCCAATGGGCCGACGACCTGCAAAAGACGCAAATTGACCTCTTCTGGGACAAGCAACACCTGGGCTTCTTCTCCACGCCTGAAGGGCAAAAGGACCTAATCATGCGACTCAAAGACGGCATGGACAACGCCGAGCCGGGCACCAACGGCGTGTCAGCGAGGAATCTGGATCGTCTGGGTGCGCTGCTGGAGGATGAGCAGTATGTCCAGCGCGCGCGGGAGACGACGAGCGCGTTCGAGGCCGAGATCATGCAGCATCCTTTTCTCTTTCCTGGCATGATGGATGCGGTGGTCGTGTCCAAGTTCGGTATAAAGCACGCTGTCATTACGGGCGAGGGTGAGAAAGCCGAGGAGTGGCTGAGAAGGTATAGGGAGAGGCCTGCAGGGTTGGGTGTGGTGAGCAGGATAGGGAAGAGTGTGGGTGGGTGGCTGAAGGAGAGGAACGGGTTGGTCAAAAGTATGAACGCTGAGAAGGAGGGTGTTATGGTTTGTGAGCAGGGTGCGTGCAGGGAAGAGCTTGGGTGGGGGATGGAAGGGTTGGGTGATGCTATTGAAGAGATCAGTGGGCGATGAGGCGGATGAGCCCGATGAACAGTTGGTGGTAATGGTCTCGACGATGGCATGAAGGATGGGTGGGCACTTGAAGAGATATCCCTTATGGTCCCGCCGGCGTAGGGTGCTCGAGTGGAGAGGCGTTTTTCAGGTGTTGTAATTGCTATTAATGTATATCTCCTTAATGCACCCAACTCTTGCGCTAATGGTCACTTCTATCGTACCTGCCTTCTCAGAGAGGACTGCGTCTTCGGCCCGTGTTATCCACCATGTCAGTACAGGCCTTCCACCCTTCGCAACTATGCCCTTTCCATAGCTGTGCTTTGCGAGTCCGTGTGGCTGCATTCCAGCGACAACCGTTCACGTATTAATGCTTTCCATCACGTGATGTTAGGCAACCCGTTGATGTTCGTGAGAATACCTTTGATGTGACTTGTCAGTGTTCTGTTGAGCAGCCATGCCCAGGATAAAACCATGGTACGCGATGTAGCTGCTCGACAGCACCAAGAGCTCTACATCCCCCAGTGCCTTCCATCCTCCTCCATCTTCCACACCCTCATCCACATAAGAGGCCACCATGCTTGTGCCGCTGAGCGGCGACGCCAAGGAGAGCTTCGACAACTAAAAGCACCATCGAAGAAATTATCGGTGCTTCTCGAAAAGAATCACAGTGTGCCACCTCCCACGGTGCTGGAATACATAGGTTTAAAGGTGGGTATATAATCCACCGACTGTTCAACAATTTGGAGTTCTTATTTAGCAGTACTCTAGCGTTTATTATTGCTGAGGCTAGCTACCTCAACAATGTGTAGCTAATCGGCTTGTCGATGATCATGTATGCTCGCCTTTAGATTTAGGTATTCCAGCACCGTGGGAGGTGGGGCACCTTTCGCGAACGATGATAATCGGGGATCAGTTGTTGAGAGGTGTTGCATCTTTTGTTGAGTTGCAGGGCGTGCCACATGGTTAAGTTGGTGCGGAAGTTATGCGCGCTGGAGGAGACCGGTCCAGAGCTCAGAGCTTGTACGGTCGTTGTTTAGTAGCGCTCCGGGCAAGGCACTCGGCTTGTAACACTGTGTGGGAATTATTGGCTATTGCAATTATGATGTTCCTACAGTGGCGGCCCAGCGAAGTCCAGATGGAGTATGTGGACAAGAATTTGGAAGATGTGGAGGATGGAAGTGAGATGGGCGATATAGAGGTTGACTGCGCGGCTCTCAGTGCTATAGCAGCTACATCGCGTACCGTGGTTCCGTCCCAGGCATCACCACTTAACAACTCAACAAAGCACCAAAGTACCGAAGGAACAGTGGCGGTTTCTGCCAGACCTCGTGATAGCTACATTCATGATGCGGCATCCACACCAGCTCTCGACTCATTACGCGCCTTTATTGAGTTGTGACATGGACATCGAATGGCTACCATGATCAGCCGGCAGGTTTCTAGGCTGTTTAATCTGTCTCAAGAGGTTGCTATACTCGGACCAATAGACAATCGTTATAAAGACGGTGTTCCGCAAATGTCGCCTGGAGGAGCGAAAGGGGCCTTGTTGCGTGTACACTCGGGTGAATTTGCAGATGTGATTTACCACTTGGCGAGCACAATCGTGAACAACATCCAGCAGGACTGGTATCGAGTCTGTTCGGAGGTATTCCATGGCTACGCAAAGCCCACCCTAGCTGACATCGACTCGTGGGACAAACCGGTCCTGTACGTGACCACCTATCCAATGGATTTCACTTGGCCGAGGGGGGATCAGAATCGGGTATATTGTGTTATGCAAAAGTTCCTCCGCCATCTTTTCATGGCTTACAATCTTTCTCATACAGCTTGAAATACTTTTCATCTACCCCTCGTGCAACCTCATCGAGGAACTCATTTACTCGTGCTCTCTCCTTTAGGTCAATTTCCTGTATACTCGGAATGAGTATCATCGTTTGCTATGACTTATCTTCTTCTGAAGACACTCACTTCGTGCGCAGTGTTCCCTTACCGTATCGTATACTTCATCTGAATTCAACTTGGCCGTTAGTATCCGTCATATCGAATGCAGGCATAGTGTCCGGGGTGTCTCCTGAGGAGAAAACCGGAGCCCCAGAAGCTCCACCCCTGACTCCACTTACCAATCGCCCACCGCATCGCGCAAGCTCGTGAAGACGCTTTTACTAAACAGGCAATACACATGAGACGCATAAAGGAGGAAATTACTGCAAGTGGTCGAGGAATACCATTTCCGCGCACGTGACGGTGACTAGCCTGGATCTGTGGCCGTGAACCTCGGCCCAAATGCGGGCTCGGAATGCGACTCGACTGACGTTCACAAGCTACGGCGAGCGGTTCCGCACATGATGCTGCGTCACAATTCATCCACTCCTTTTGCAACACTTGTCGCGTGAAAACAGCTTACACGTTTCTTGACTCATAGTAGCTCTTTCTCCAAGGCCCAAAAGTCTCGCTCTTGTACGATTGCGATCGAGCGGATCATTCTACCTGCCCCGCGCGTCACCTCCCTTCAAGACGGATACACGTGGGAACACCTTACACAATGTCAGACACGGTGAAAACATCACAGGTGAAGCTCGCTGAGTCGACGCAATCGGTGCCCACGAGCACGGCGGCCCAGCAAAGCGACAATGTCGCGCATGCGCTTGCCGGCGCGGGCGGAGGTCTGCTGTCGATGGCCTTGACGTATGTTCAAGAATCTCATACCAATACCTTCAACCACTCACACATGATACCAGATACCCCCTAATCACGCTCTCCACACGCGCCCAAGTCGAGTCCAAACGCGCGCAATCCTCCACCCTCAACGCCGCCCGCCGCATCATCAAGCGCGAGGGCGTCGCCGGCCTCTACGCCGGCCTCGACTCCGCCCTCTTCGGCATCAGCGTCACAAACTTCGTCTACTACTACTGGTACGAATGGACGCGCGCCTTCTTCGAGAACGCCGCGCTCAAGGCCGGCCGCGCATCAAAGAAGCTCACAACCGTGGAGTCCATGATCGCAGGCGCCCTCGCCGGCAGCGCAACCGTCCTCATCACAAACCCCATCTGGGTCATCAACACGCGCATGACGGCGCGCAAGTCCGAGAGCGATGAGCCCGCGCTGCCCGGCGCGAAACCCGCAAAGGCACCGAGCACGCTGGGCACGCTGCTCGCGCTGCTCAAGGAAGAAGGCCCCGCCCGCCTCTTCGCAGGCGTCATGCCCGCCCTCGTCCTCGTCATCAACCCCATCCTCCAATACACCGTCTTCGAGCAGCTGAAGAATCGCCTCGCTCAGCGCCGCCGCGTCACGCCCACCGACGCCTTCTACCTCGGCGCCCTCGGCAAGCTGCTCGCCACGTCCATCACCTACCCGTACATCACGGTCAAGTCGCGCATGCACGTTGCGGGCAAGGATGGGCCGAAGGAGAACATGATCACGACGTTTAGGCGGATCATTAGCGAGGAGGGATATGCGGGGCTGTATGGCGGGATTGGGCCCAAGGTTACGCAGAGTGTGATTACCGCGGCTTTTCTGTTTGCGTTTAAGGATGCGTTGTATGCGTATACCGTGCAGGCGAGGAAGAAGATTGCGGCGAGGAAGGTGTAGGAAAGATGGGCTATTGGGTTTGACCGTGGGGGGAAAAGGTGACGAAGAGAAGTGGATGAAAAAGGGGGAAGACAGACTTCAGTCAATTTTTGGTAAGGAGAAGTGTGTATATATCGAGTCGATCGCTTCATGTATGTTCAGTTTTCCATCAATTTTTTTATTTTTTTTGCTCTGCAGGGCGCTTTTTTATGCACGTGTTCCATTTTCGCGCGCCTTGTTCGAGGCCCCGTACGTACATCACCATCAAAAGGCACACTTTAGCATACGGAGATGTCACTTTTTTGAAATGGAAGCCGCCAGAAAGGACATAATGCCCAATCGAGCCAGGCTATATAATCAAGTCCCCTTGTCGTTCCTATGTCTTACAATTCATCTCCTCATCCCTGATTGTCGCTGCACCCGTCCTCGATCAATGGGAAGACCTCCCCCCAAGCAGCAAAAATTCACAAACTCGACAATATAACGCCCCGACAGATTACCGCCGCAAATCCCAAGACCGTTAAACTGCATGACCTAGGTGCTGGCCGTGGGCTACGCAGTCTTCGCAGGCGCCCAGCCACTACCCACAGGCACCGTCGCCCGCGAAATATACTGCGTAGTCCGGGACCTAGTTACACGGCAGCACTCAGCGCGCGCAACAGCGTGCACAGGGATGTACGTCGGTTCACGCTCTCCCGCGGTAGACGTGACCTCGCGCTTATACTCTTGAGTGTGGGCCTCAGCCGTGGATGAAGACGACGACGAAGTGATAGGCAGGATATCCCAAGATGAAGAGGACTCGCCAATATCCCACGTAGATGTCGGATTGACGCTTGTCGGTGGGAAAGACGTGGGTAGGATATCCCAAGATGAAGAGGACTCGCCGATGTCCCACGTGGATGTCGGGGTCACACTCGGTTCTTGGAAGTTGGTAGGGAGGATATCCCACTTTGACGAGGGCTCGCCGAGGTCCCACGTTGATTTCTTGTCTGACTGCGTTGCGCTCGGGTGAGGCGGGGAGTCCTGCGCGAAGCCATGCCATCCACCCTGGCGCGTCCCGTCCCGTAAAAATGATGGGCCCCCAGGGATTGGCGTGGGCTGAGCTCGGCTGGATTGCGCCTGGATCACCTCATCGCGCGTAACGGTGGTTGTGAACCCAGGAATTGGCGGCGTGGGCAGAGCGCGGCTGGTTGAGGGCGGCTGATGCTTCGCGTCTGCTGCGATGGACGTCGGGATAACGGGACTAGGCGTACGCTGAATCAAGTTCGTCCAACGTGTCGATCGGACTACGCATCTACCCGGAGGACATGCGCCGCTCGTCTCGGCGGGTTTAGCAGTTGCGGTGTGAGTCTGGTGGCATTGCGGGAAGTCGGCGGGACATAGCGTTCGAGAGAGGTCCGGCGGGCGCGCAGTGACGCTGAGGGCGAAGGCGGTTGTCAGGATGAGGGTGAGCTTCATCGTGATGGGTATCAGGTCGTGTGGGGATTTCGAAGAGTGACGTTTTTGACAGAGAGAAAGGGGCAGAGAGAGTAGAAAGGTGTGTGGGTGGTTTAGGGAAGGTCGTACGTTGGCCGACGAAGTATTGAAGGCAGAAGTGAAAGTGAGAGTGAGAGAAGAACAAGTGGGGCTACGTAATTGCTGTGGCAACCGTTCAAACACTGTGCTACTCGCAGCTACCAAGTGTGCGTTTGCTGATGGCAAGCATCGAGAATGGTGATGAAGAGCTCTCCCATATTTTGATGGGGTCGCGAGAAAGAGAATGCGTTACAACCAAGTAGACGACAAAGATGGACTTCGAACCGAATCATCAAGTCACAGCTCCACTCATGGCAATAAAGGGAGTGACCTACTGGAGGCCCGGTGACTGCATAAATCGTAAACCTTGACATGGAATACCACTGAAACACGTACATCAGACTGTGTTTTGCCTCGCAAGTACGTTCAGCAAATTGAATTACACCTGAGTTGCCCAACATTGCTTCGGTCATAATTCATGATCACTGGAGAAGCTAGTATACATATTATACAGTCATTGAACTGTCAAGTACCTGAGCTAGATTCAATATCAAACGAGAACCATCGAAGCAGCAGTAGAATGAGATAAGCCCACATGTAAGAAGATGCTCAATGTGAAGCAGTGTCCAACCTTACGGTTGTTCTGTGATCGCCACCTCACTCGCTCAACACCTTCAAACCCCGCTCTTTCCTCACCTGCCAAGTATCCTCCTTATACCTCCTCAACTGCTCCGCCGAGAAGCGTCGTCCAGGGATGTGACCCAGATCTCTCAGCCTCTCCGCAACATCGCACCTCCTGTGCTCTACCCCATCTTTACACACCACAACGAGGTCTACATGCTCAAACAATATCTGCCCATACGTGAACCACTCGTAATCCATTCCAGCCAACAGCTTAATCACATGTGCCTCCACAAAATCCGCCAGATAATCAGGTTCCAGCACATGGATACCCCCCTCCATCTTTCTCCGGCCATATACATCGCTCGGCGGTTCGCCAAAGCGCTCGACCCCAAAACCAAGAGGGGTCTGGACATCAATACGTATACACTTCGCTGTGACGTGCATGTGCGTATCTGGACACCCCGTCTCGCCGTGCGCCCCCGTCTTGATGAAGCGCTCCAGGACGGCGTAAAGCTGCCATCCCATTGCCGGGCCTGCGCCATCGCCGCCCATGAAGCCTTGGTAAGATCCAAGCTTCCGATGCTTCTGTCTGTTTTCGTAGGCGCCGGACATGCGGAATGAAACATGCACGGTGTCGATGTGTGTTGTGATCACGGGCACGTTGGTCCAGGTCGGCAGTAACAGGCACTCGTCGAGGATAACGAGATCCAATGCGTAATCTGGGGAGTTGGCGGCAAGACGGGTGAGGGTTGCGAGCGTCTCCGCGTAGAGCTGTTTGTTGGTCTGCAGGAGCGAGGTGGTGCAAGTCTTTGGCGTTTTGGGAAGGTACAAGACGATCTTACTCCAAGCTTGTAATTTAGGGGTTTCGAACTGAAGGCGCTTCTCGATAAGGTCTTCCGAGGGGGCGGGTGGTGTCAGGAGGTGTGTCCGGTATGAGGATAGCATAAGTGCAGATTTGATCGCGGATCTCGCGAGGCAGTGTCATAAAGGATGGCATTGCTGCTTGTGGTTCTTGAATAAAGGTTCAAATGTAAACAAGAGGTTGTTTGTGAGGTGACGGGGAAGAGAGGCAGGGCCGCATGTATACAGCTTGTGCGCACCTGCCGTGTGACCAGGCCACCCACTAAGCTAAAAAGGGTAATTATCTGAAACATAAGTTTAAAAGATCATAGTAAAGTACATAAACAAATCCTCCACCGTACAGATCTACCATTGCGAAGGAGGTGCCCACTATTAGGATTGTGGTACGTCACAAACAACTGCTGCCTAATCGGTATGATACACGCCTTGTCCATCGCAGCCCAATACCGCCGTGAGCTCATCATACACACCTGAAACCATATCCTTCCGACTTTAATGGAAGAAGACTCAAGTAGGCGCAGTTATCGGTGCTTTGCGAAAAGCATGCCCCCACCCCCACCATAGTACAGCTCCCTATTTCAATTAACTGTATTACCTATAGTATGTATCTACTCAACAATTAGTTAAAATACGTTAGTAGTACACCTATTTTAATAGCTTAGTGCCCTATTTTAACGTCTACTACAACTAGATCTAGCTGTTTAATAGATCTAGCTAGCATTTAATAAGATCTAGCCAGTAATAGAGTGAATGTATCATACAATTAATAAAGGTTGGGCATCTATACTATGGCCGGGTGGGGGGCATTCTTTTCGCAAACGATAATAACGGGAACACATGTTTTAGAGGGATGTCCCCGGTCCACCATCAGTCTTCTGCACCTCATCAGCGCAACTTCAATTAACGAACGTTTTTCAAGGCCAGTCGTGGCAGTCAGCCGTACTACAGTTTTCAACGAATTCGTTGGTCAGTGTTGTAGGAAACGAGCTAGAAAGCTCGCCTGTTCAGTGAGCAAAACAACCAGATTGCAGTGGTTTACGCCCGTCAGGCCTATCACAATGAATAGCTTAGTTTCGCCCGAGAATCCTGAAAGATGCATGACGATCTGTCTGTGATGCCACTTAATCGAAGCTGAGACAGCTTTATATGCTTCGCACGAAAAAGATCACGTGACGTTCCAAGGGTTCGTGTGCTCTGCTCACAGATCTTAGTCGATGTGACAAAGGCACTGCATTGAGGTAAGTTTTTGCGAGCTCCAGAATTATGACTTCCAACCTTACAGATTAGCTAGGAAGCAAAGGGAAGCTTTGGAATTAGTTCCACTGTAAACATAGGCTGTATTGAAGAAGTGATTTAGAGTAGACTTATATTAACAACTTAATATCTGTGTTCGTATATTATTACGACATGTGGCACACGAAGTTTCGCACCTTCTTGCTAGAAAATAACCATCTTACTCTCAGACCATTGACATAGCCCAGTAGCAGGTGTGCCCATGTAGTACGTATGCCCAAGCCGCACGTATGCCCATGTACCATGTCTATCAAGTGATTTCCCGGTCATCGTATGTCATATGTCTCGCAACTTTCAAGCAGGGCATGTCCATCACCTCAGGTTTGGCTTTCATGGGTGACTAGCTTTTACAGAAACGCTTATGACTCTCCAACAGCAAGAATGCCTCGTCACTAGAAGGGGGTCTATATAAAGGCTCTGCTTCTCTCCGGTTCTTACTCTATCACAATACTACTACATCAGCACACACAGCGCACAACTACTTCTACATACAAACCTTACTTTACTTCTCTCCTTCATGAGATTCTCTACGTCCTTTGCAATCCTCGCTCCGGCCGCCATGTTCTCGACGATACAAGCAGGATGCTACAACAACAACGGCCCATGGTGGGGCTCGTAAAAAGACTCAGCTAACGCTGCCGTCGACGCACATTGCAACACTGGCGGAGTCTCCGGCTATTTCGACGCAGTGCAGACCAAGTACTTCTTCAACGAGGAGAGCGCAGGGCAGAAGTCCGAGTTCTGGGGCCGGGATGGCTTGACGTTGAACGATGACGACTGCAAGCAGCGTCTCAAGGATGAGATTAATGGTTGCGATTGGGGAAGGGGGAGTACGGTTAGTGGTTGCTACTTTAGGTATGCATAGTTGGTTTGTCGGTTTGGTACTTGTGCTTACGCATGCAGCAGGTCTGACCCCAATACCGGTCAGTGCTAGGGAGGGAACGAGATGGAGCAGATGGAGAGAGAGAAGGGAGTTACACGCATTTTACCAGCTTTCCGATAGACTACTCGACTGCGTGAGCTCCGCCTAGAAGCTGCCATATACCGAAGCATAGCTCATGCTACCGTCTGAACTATTAGAACTATCATTCAATGATGGAGTTACTTCGTCTACGATAACAACTGCTGCGTTTTCAACATGCCCAGGCACTTCGAGAGAAATTCCAGTCAACCAGTCCACATTCACGCTCGCCTCCCTAGATCACGACGCAATGCTCCCACGCCACAAAACCACCAGGAAAACCCCAAGCCTTGCAGCGCGGCTGCTGCCAGCGAGTTGCTCTCCATGCTTGCCATCATGTACCCTGTTTCTGGAATTTTTTATTTTTTAAAAAATTGGGGACCTTAAAAATTAGGAAAGTTAAACAACCTGTCAAACCCACGTGAACCATGCTCTCCATCCGCCGGTGCCTCATTTTCGTCACCCGAACCGTACCTGAGAACAACACGTGTCGACATAGACAGATACCTGGGCAGCCTCCGCGGAGTCCACGTGTCGTTATCACGTGTTTCGCACATGGCCCCGGGGCTAGGTTGTGACAACACGTGCGTAGCATACATCCATGGATGATATACTGGAGACTTCACATGCGGTGGACCCAGCTGTAGGATGGTCGCGCCCCTGAGTATCCTTCCGTTGAGCGGCTGCGGGTCCGATATGCTCAACCACGGACTGTGTATAAGGGTTCAGGGGCCCTCAAGCCGAGGTTCAGATGCAGGCTTGCCTCTCGTCTGTGGGGCATCCACTTAATGCACAGAGCGAAGGTTTGATAAGGCAGTAAGGCAGACAGGGCCTGTAAGTTCATTCTATGTGTCTAGCGAAATCCAGCAGACTGCCGTGCGCGGATATAGTGAGATGGCTAAAACGTGCTTGTGACAACTTCGCAGCGCATTTCTCTCCACCTAGCGCTCCCTATGTTCCTTACAAAGTGCTCTCGAGGGCGAGCACGACAGCCGTCCGCGCAGGAATATACACCTGCAAAAAGTTCTTCCTTCCGTTCCACGCAAACGGCGTCGTGAAGAAGCGCGTGCTCTCATCGATATCCGCATGCCCTCCGAACTCCTTGCTATCTGTGCTCAGCACAATCCTGTACGTGCCCTCCTGCTCGACGCCAACGCGGTAGTCCGTAAAGCTGCTCTGTGGGTGGAAGTTGAAGATCCATAGGAGGCCCGCGCGCTCGAACACAATGACCTTGTCGCCCTCGTGCTTGAGGCTGATGTACGCCTGCGGCGAATGCAGCCAGCCGTACTTCTCCTCGGTCCACTGCATCTTGGAGTCGAAGTCGTAGAGGAAGCGGTAACGTAGGAGCTGGTCGTCGACGAGGTTGAACTGGCGGCGCGCATAGTGGAAGGAGTTGCCGTTGCCTTCGCGCGGAAAGTCGAGCCACTCCGGGTGGCCGAATTCGTTGCCTTCGAAGTTGAGGTAGCCTTCACCACCGAGGCCGTGCGTGATGAGGCGGATCATTTTATGGAGCGAGAGGCCGCGATTGATGACGGGCGTTTCTTCGGACATGATGGACATGTTGGTGTACATTTCTGCGTCGCAGAGCCAGAAGAGGAGGGTTTTGTCGCCGACCAATCTGCGTTCGTTAGCCAAAAAGAATAGAGAGAGGTATTGGTAGACTAACGCTTGATCGTGGCTCTCGGCGTAGGCAATTGTCTTCTCGCCGTGGCGACGGTTGGTGAGTGTGAAAACCAGGTTGCCCATGTCCCAGTCGATGTCCTGTTTCTCCTTCAACCACTTGATGTACAAGTCGGGAACTGCCATAGCGAGTCGGTAGTCGAATCCTATTCCGCCAAGCGACAGCGCCACGCAAAGACCTGGCATCCCGGAAACGTCTTCTGCGATGGTGATAACATCTGGGTATAGCTGGTGTAGCATCTCGTTAGCTATCATGAGGTAGACTACGCCTTCCTCGTCAACGCCATCGCCAAAGTATTCATGGTAACCACCGGAGAAGCCACTGATTGCGTTAGTGGATGGTAAGACAGTCATGTTCAATACTTACGTTCCGATTCCGTGATGTGTGTACAGCATGCTGGTAACTCCATCGAACCGGAATCCATCGAACTGGTATTCTTCCATCCAGAAGCGAAGATTGCTGAGCAAGAAGCGTAATACTTCATGGCTTCCATAGTTGAACAGACGACTATCCCAGAGCTGGTGCCTACCCTTTGCTCCTTCGTGGAAGTAGAGATGGTCGCTGCCATCGAACATGTTCAAACCATCCAAAACATTCTTGGAGGCGTGGCTGTGCACAACGTCGAGCAGGACGGTGATGCCCATGCCGTGAGCGGTGTCAATAAGTTCTTTCAGGTCGTCTGGGGCTCCGTAGCGACTGCTGGCCGCAAAGAAGCTGTTGATCTGGTAGCCAAAGCTTGCATAATATGCGTGCTCCATGATAGCCATGAGCTGGATGACGTTGTATCCCAGGTTCTTGATTCTGGGGAGGATGTTCTGCGTGAACTCCTTGTATGTAGCGACTTTTGGTTCCGGTGAGGAGATGCCGACATGTGCTTCGTATATGCGGGCGCTGGCGGGCTTCGGTGGACGCTGGTTCTTGAAGACATATCGCTCCTCCTTTGGCGGGTTCCAGAAGCGTGCATCGTAGACGGGCGAGACGTTGAGGTCTTGCGTGACGCGCTTGATCCACGCTGGGATACGCTCCTGGCGTGCGTGGTCATTAGGTACAACGAAAGAAATCTGTCAGGTTTTGTCAGTGTACTGTTATTTCGTTATGCTGGGTAGACGTGCCTTCAGCTTTGAATCATGGGGTATCGCTGGCTGGCCATTGTTGCCGGGTATCGTAACCTCAAACACACCAAACTCGTTCTTCGTCATGGGAGTCGCATCGCGGTCCCAATTGTTGAAGTCGCCAATGAGGTAGGCGCGCAAGGCATTAGGAGCCCATTCGCGGTACACAACGTCGCCATTGTCCTTGACGTTGAAGCCGTACTTCTCGTACCCCTGTGACAGCAATTAGCCGTCTTGCTCACAGGGAGGATGCAGGATGCTTGCCCTCGTGAATTGTTCCAGACCACCTTCTGTGTCCTGTATCGTCTTCAGCCATTGCTGGGTTTTTGCGTAGCGGCTGCGGAGGGCGGGCTTGAAGGGGTCGAGATAGGAGTCGAGCTGGGTGATTCCTGCAAAGATGTCAGTCTGTCACGCTTGGACAATGACCGAGGCTGCCGACATACCGGTTCCATCGTTTGGTACCTGGCCAGCCGGGTTGTCCGTGACAGAATTTGCGGATGCGTCGTTGAGCGCCATGGCTCGCGGTGAAGGATTGGTGAAAGTGATACGCTGCTCGTAGAAGATGCGATAAGGCCGGTGGAGGAGGCAGCAGAACAGGGATTCAGGGTCTCATGCAATGCAGCCCTTCTGGTTGTTGGAGCAGAGAAAGTGTTGCGGGGTAGGCTCCAATTGCTGCAAAGCATCGTCCTCAACCAAAAGCTACACCCTTGTCGTCCAAGCTTCTACGTCACTGCGCGCGCTTGCAAGGTCTATCGCGTCGCAGCCGCAGCGCCACAAGCCTCTCACACCACCGCCGCCTAGGCGCGCTGTCGGGCCGGCATACGTATAATTCTCTGGGTCGATCTACGGATCGTTCTGAGGAGTCGGCGCTGGGAGCTTTCTCGGAGCCATCTGAGGCTCTGTCGGGGCACAACAAAACAACTGGCATCGGGGGTGGGTCGGCCTGGCTTATCGGGCGCGCCATGCCCCGCCTCCAGTTCCCCGAAGCGGAGAAGAGCTCGCGACTCACCTCCACGCCTCACAGCTGTTGTCTAGCAATTGTACTACCATCCGTGCCCTGAGTCTCTTGCGCGACGTCCACGCTCCGTAGCTCAGCTGTCGCTATGTGAGCTTCCCACGGGCCTCTTCCACGATTTCCAGAGACCATGGCCACACGAACAATAGTCGTCGTTTCCCCGCAAGCGCGGGCTTCATACATCGCGCTCGCCTCCATCGGCCGCCGTGCGTTCCACACCGGCAATCCGCAGCGCTCCCAGTACAACCGCTCAGACTTCTCTGGCCACGGTTTCACCAGCTTCTATGAGCCTGATCAGCCGACCAGAGGGCCCTTGGGCGGCTCGTCCAGCTCCGGTGTCAGCCGCGTGACGCCTCGCATGCTGAAGGAGCACCTGGATCAGTTTGTCGTCGGCCAGGAACACGCAAAGAGGGTGCTTGCCACGGCAGTATATGGCCACTATCTACGCATACGAGAGATACAGAGGCACGAGGAGGAGCAGGTCCGGCGCGAGGAGAGGGCTGCGCGGCAGGCGCTCGCTCACAGACACCCCGTAGAAGGTGATTTCAATTTCATCTCCTCACTCACTGTGCCTCTGCTTGCTTCTTCGGTCGGTCGCGTGACCAAGGCTAACTTTGGAAGATGAATTTCCAGGGCAGCAGCCCACCATGCGCGTGTATCCGTCCCACGCAGACCCGCCGTCCGACCCGCCGCCGTTGGAAGACACTAGTCCTATGCAAATCGAGAAGTCGAACGTACTGATGCTGGGGCCGACCGGTGTGGGCAAGACGTTGATAGCGAAGACACTCGCTCGTATACTGGATGTGCCCTTCAGCATGTCCGACTGCACGCCCTTCACGCAGTCGGGGTACATTGGTGAGGATGCAGAAAGCTGTGTGCAGAGGCTCCTTACGGCCGCCAACTACGACGTTGAGGCAACAGAGCACGGTATCATCGTGCTGGACGAGATCGACAAAATTGCTGGCGTGAAGATGGCGCACGGCAAAGATGTCGGTGGCGAAGGCGTGCAGCAGTCCTTGCTCAAGATCATTGAAGGCACAACTCTGCAAATACAAGCCAAAGCCGAACGGGGCAGCAGTGGGAGATCCCCAGGTTCAGCTGGCAGTTCGACCAACCTCCCCTCGGGCAACCCCTTGGACAGCTCACGCCCAGGAGCAGGACCAGGCCCCATGGCTCCGGGCGGCAAAGGCGAAGTCTTCAACGTCCGCACCGATAACATTCTCTTCATCTGCACCGGCGCCTTCGTTGGTCTCGAGAAGATCATCCTCGACCGCAAAGCCAAAGGCGGCCTGGGCTTTGGCGCCCAAGTGCGCGCTGCTAATCGTGACCAGGGCAAGCACGACACCACGCTTAGCGACGCCGACGTGGAAACCTTCCGAAAGGACCTTCCCATCTACGTGCCCTCTGACACAGACGCTCCCACCGCGTCCAATGCCCGGCAGACAAAGTACCGCGAGGAGGAGTACAACGTGCTCAACTACGTGGTCCCGTCCGACCTGCAGAAGTACGGCATGATACCTGAGCTCATCGGGCGCATACCAAACACATGCGCCGTGTCAGCGCTGGACGAAGAAGCTCTCGTGCGTGTCTTGACCGAGCCAAAGAACAGCCTCATCCGGCAAGAAGCCGCCCTCTTCCACGCCGACGGCATGGAACTACGCTTTACTTCGGGGTCGCTGCGAGAAATCGCCAGGAAGGCGAATGCCATGGGTACCGGTGCGCGGGGACTCAAGGCCGTCGTCGAACGCCTGCTCCTCGGGACTAAGTTCGAGGCGCCTGGTACGTCTTCCCTCGTTCCCTACACAGAGCGGCAACGATTAACACGAGTTTGTAGGAACCACGGTAAAGCACATCCTCGTGACACAGCAGGCAGCACAGCTTAAGCGCGCGCCGCTTCTCTTCCACCGCGGACAGTCGCAGGCATTTGAGACGATGGCCGCGCAGGAGGAAGACGAGTGGCAGGAGCAGCTGAGGGAGAAAGAAGAGCACCTCAGCAGCATAGGCAGCTTCGAGGAGTACAGGAAGGCCGGCGCGGCGGGGTCCTAGAAGTGTGTGTGTGAATGTAATACAGTCGAAGCGTGCATTGCACGCCCCCCAATGCCGTGTACGACCCACTATGTTTTGTACACCCAGCAGGTTGAATCAACGCAATCGCTCCCCCCAAGGAGCACCGTACCGTACGGCTACCTTCTAGAACGCGCAACATGTCCTTCTACCTACCTACCTCCGTCAGCACGCACACTATAGCATGCCCTCCTGCCTATAATAAGGCGCTCCATGCTCGTCCTGCATGCAGAATCGATATTCGCCTAGCATGCATGCACTCTATACGGCCCAGCGCGGCGGGCCCTATCAGCAGAGACAATCTACGTAGATGAACGCGTGGGATCGGGACGGTGCCGAAGTGTTCGGCTCGGGGGGGCGTTCGGGTAGCGCCGGTGGGCAGGGGTGTTGCGGGTAGAGTGGGTGGCTTCCAGGGGGGAGATGAGTGATTTGCATGGGGCGGTATCGGTATCTATGAATTATTGACATCAATGTTGGTAGAGTGCTTTTCGTGGATGCGATGTCATGTGTGTGCATTTGGGCATCGTCGCTACAGTACCAGTACACTACACTAGAGATAAATTGGCATTCCATTCCATTCAGACTTAGCGCTCGTGCATTATGTATGCTATGCTAGGCGCCGGCCGATGCAGCCGTTAGCAGGTCCTATCTTGGAGGCACGCAGGTGGAGCCGCCTCACCTGGGACGCACCTGGGCACATGCACTTACACGTGCGAAGCCCTCCCTGTGCACAAAACAAAACGCTCGTGAAGCCCCGCGCGCACACACACCTACCCCATCCGGCCTCAAAACCACCCATCCGAGACGTGCAGATCTCCTTTCGGAAACAAACAACCTCGACTGACTCTTCTTTTTCTTTCACAAAGCCATGCTATGCCATGCTATGCCCAGTTCCGTACACCCCTCGCTTGCACCTCAAGCATACCCCCCGAATCCGAATTCGTCTACTGTGGTATCTCCGGCCCATCCATCCATCCCACTAATCTCCTCTATCTATAGCATCCCCGCGAAGCACGCGTAGACCACCCGCAATCACGTCACAGCCCTCTTTCCTTCCCACCTTTACCGGACATGTGTAGAACCGCACAGCACAGCACAGCACAGCACGACCCCCACGCGCCAACGCTCTGATCGACCGCGGAGCATGTACGTACCTATGCAGGGCCCGACAGCCGCGCGAATCGGAGGGCTCCCCGGTGGGATGCTGGCGGCCGCTTTGGGGGCACGTAGTGTCGTGGGCACGCACGCACGCACGCACGCACGCACGCACGCGCGGGTCTAAGGGCGGAGTGTAGATATTTCCGCTGGGATATCTAGTCCGGTTGGTACACTGCGTGTGTGACGGTGGGAGTCAGAGCAGTGCGAGAAGAAGCGTGAAGGTATGATGCGTGTGTGTGTGCGTGCAATTGAGATAGTCTTGCGGCGCCGCATTTGAATCATGAGGGTAAGTTCGGAGATGGCGGGAGGATACACTAGGTTGCTGAGGAAGTGAGGTGCTAGTACGGATGGATACTGGAGTGATTTGCTGGCGGTCGACTCGACTTTGGTATAGGGACGTGGAGGGGGTTAAGGAAGGTACATATATCCATACGCTGTGAGCATGTGCCGTACACACAATCCACACAGACACAGCATAGTACCTCCCCCGCGCAACCCACCGCATCGCCTAACCCCTTCACAACTACCCTTCCCTAGAAACCAACGCTCTCTTCAAGCCTACAGATACAGCAAAGCAACTAACCGCGTACATTCCATTCCTTCCGCCATACAACTAATTCCTCCTCATGCCCCGTCCACAAAACAAATGCATGTACCCCGTGCACCCGCTTCTTCGGTACCCAAGGCAAATGTACCTAGGTACCTCGGCGGGCGAGGCGTGCCCATGTGACGCTTGCTGCAGCGTCGGGGACTTTCCACCTGCGTGTATGGGTCGTTGGTTACGGGGTGCTTGCTTCAAGCAACGGTGCGTGAGCAGCCAGACGCGATGCTCCTGCTTTTTTAGCGGGCGCGCGGAGGCCAGGTCAAGTCTTACGGTTGAGCGGAAGGCATGAGCGGAGGGAGGGCGACGGAGAGGCGGAGATGTCTCTGAGAGGCAGCGAGCGAGCACTCATGTCCAAGTGCTGTAAAGTGAGAGAGAGGCACGCATCATAAGGTCGGCAGATGCACGCAGGATGCACGTCGATGGTTATGCTGCCAGCGCGCTGTTGCCAGCCATATCCCTTTCCTTATTACAAGATACTCTATGGATGAACTCTCCAGACCTTCCCAGATGACCCAAAGGAAAAATTAGTAACCGCTCTATAACCGCGATTCCATCGAAGAAGAAGCTATGTCCGCGAAGCCAGAGAAGAGAATGTCAAAACCGAAGAACCCTATCGTGTAATATCGTCCCAAACGCCCCTCCGAGTTCGAACACCTCGTGACGGTCGATGGCGTCAGTCGATGCTGTGACCCAGCGTAGAGCAGGCATCGCCCGCTGATAAAAATGTGACGCTCTGTGATAACACCCATTCCGTAACCCAGTACCCAGTCCCAATCCCGCCGCCCAACCCATCGCTCATGACCCGGTAAAAAGAGATGACCCGCCAAAAGAAAATACCACCTTAACGCCTGTGAAAATGCTTACCCCACGTTATATCAATAATTCGCCCAATCGGTCGTGCGTCGGCGAGACGGCCCGTTCGTCATACAATCCTGTCTCGTAACATCGTCAGAACATCAAGGAAAAAGGAAAAGTGCCGCAGCACGCGTAGCTACTCATCTACGTAGAAGTAAACACACCGTAACGTCTTGCCCTTCTTGTTGGGGCCTTGCTCCCAGGTGGGCGAAGCCGGCCGCGACAGGTTGATCGGCGTGCCTCCGGCCGAGGGCGGGGCGGAGGAGAAGTATTGCGGGAAATCTGCGCTGTTGGCCATCCATGGGGGGTTGAAGTTGAAGTTGTCCATTGATTGGGGACGAGGAAGACCATGCGACTCGCCGAATCCCATCTGCGATGTTGGACTGAGCATCGGGGTGTCAAAGTAGCTGTGACCTCGTTGATGTCTTGCATATGCAGGGGCATTCGCTGGCCCAGCAGTTTGATATGCAGCTGGAGGGTGGCGAGCTTGCTGTGCTAATGTTGTCATTGGCTGAGTCATTTGCTGTGCCATTGAGTGTGGCATCGATTGAGGCAGCGATTGAGGCATCGATTGTGACATTGATTGAGACATCGATTGAGGCATCGTCTGTGCCATCGCCGGTGGCATAGACTGGGAGATCCCTTGGCCGAACGAGGTGTCCATCGGCGAGATGGGAGAGGTAAATTGTGACGCCACAATGGGTGTCGTGGGCTGCGAGTAAGCGTTCATACCATAATTCTCCGGGAACTGGTACATGGGAACCACAACGTTCGATTGTTGATGATGATACTGATGCAGGCCGTAACCTTGAGGGATCGTAAGGGGGTGCGGGAGTCCGTCGGCAGAGGGCTCCTTGTTCTTGTGGTCGTCGGTAATGTGGAAGACGTCCGAAATGTGTTGCACGAGCATGGTCTTTCCCAGGGTGAAGGTGAAGATGACGCGGTAGCCCATAGGTGACTTCTCTTCTTGATGTCGGCAATAGCATGTGATGCGCATCGCGAATTCGACCTGGCGAGCACGGGGTGAGAAGTGAGCCTCTCCACCATCTACCTCTTTGAATTTCCTGTGCTCCTTTTCGTTGATCATGATGACGCGGTCGCTCTCGTACGTGAGGTACTCCTCTTCGTCCTCGCCGCGCTTCTTCTTGCGGTCGTATCGCTTGCGCTCGCGCTCTTTGCAGCCGTCGCAGATGAGCACTTGGCCTCCGTTCTGCGGATGCGACGGATCATCCTTGTCTAGCTCGGTGATGGTCACGCCTTCAGGCCTGCGCGGGATCTCTTCGGTGCCCGCGGCTCGCCGCAGAGCTCTTTCGCGATCCTGTGCGTTTTCGATGGCGGTGGCGCAGACCAGGTGGACGTCCATCTGCAGCACACCGCCCTTTTGCTCGATCTCTTGCCTCTCTTCCTCACTGGCGAAATGCTTGGGCTTGGCGAGCGCCTTGCGGGGGAACCTAATGTGCTCCACATTGTCGAGAGGGTCGATGGTGAGGGTCATCTTGATCTGGGTTTCGGCACGGGTCTTGGTCCTGTCCGGTGTCATGGACACATGGGGCGCGTCCCTCGACTGCGGAATGAGGATCGCGTCTGGTGCATACGACGGGTTCCACATGTCGGCTCCCTCGGGCGTGTCGGGGTCTTTCTTGAAGACCGGGGCGGCAGCCTCTGGTGAGCTGACAGAGCTCTGGTCGCGGATAAAGTCACCTGGAGAGTTGGACTGGCTGAAGGTGATTTCTGTGGCAGGCGAGGGGGTGTTTGACGCCATGGGGGAGTCGCCCATGTTGAGGAACTGCTCATACGGCTCGGCCGAGCCCTGCTTGACTGGCGACGTCCACTGGGCGTTCAGGTCGACGCCGGAGTCATGGGCGTTGAGGTCGCCGTAGAAGACGTTGTGGGAGGCATTGGAAGAGATCTCGAGGTCCTCGAGCAATATGCTGGTCGTGTGCTGCAGGTCCTCGGGATTGACAGTGGCGTCTGGGAATGAGCCCGCGAAGAAGGAACCGTCGGCGGCAGGGAAGAAGTCCCCGTCGCTTGAAGGCCCGTCCATGGCGGGTGCTGTGTGAACGATTGTTAGAAATAGTGCCTAGCTCCTGTGCAATGCAAAGATGCAGGGTGCGGCGCAGCGGCTGGCGAAAGCTCGCCCGCGTGGTATTTATACTCCAGCGGCGTCTTCAGAAAAATATTGGCAAGCAGCGACGAGTGGCAGGTGCGATGGTCAGGTTTGCAGTAACGACGGTGGCCGCGTATAGTGTGCTGGCGTCCTGGGAGAGGGGTATGGGGTACGCTGCGGCGGGCGCAGGCGCGCTTCCGTGGGTGAGAGAGTGGGCCGGTCCTTTCCTTAGGGCAATGGGCGACCTGGGACGACTTGGATCGAGGTCGGGTGAGGCCAATGCAAACTGCAGGACGCACAGCTGCTTGGAGGAGGAGTCGAAGGAGATATGGGGAGCTGCACCATGGATGGGCCGGGCCTGGGTATTTCTCTTTGCTAAGAGGCCTAACCCCACTCACCCGTCGCTCACCGTGCTAAACGTCAGATCACGCATCCCTGCCGCCTGTGCGCAAGCGGAACACACCACGACCGGCGCGTTTGTACAGGTACTTGCGCGCCTCTGGCCTGCACCGGCTGGCCCCGCCTGTTCTCGCTGAACGCGCTGAGGCTCGCTCTTCGCGGCCGTCTAGCGCGCGTCAGCCGGCGGGCTGCTACCAGCGTCGTGAGCGTCGCGCGCTGGGTTCGCGGTCGAGGACGCTGCGAGGGCCCCCGCCACGGACGCCAGGCGGCGGGAGATGTACACTGTACAGTACCTCGAGCGCATGGGGCACCGCATGGGCTGCTCGTCTAGGTGCAGAGTTTGCGACTCCCCCAGCCGCCATGCCAGCCAGGCCTCGCACACTGACAGGCGCACGCCCGCGGGAATTGTCGGCGGGCGCTGCAGTGCGACGCGACCGTTGTGCCCTTCATCTAAACGTGCAGCCATGCGTGCGGCGTATCGCTGGGCCCTGCAAAGCATCCTGTACGATGCCATCGCCCAAATCGCATCGCCGCCCCGACCGAGCACGACCCGGCCACCAAAGCCCAGCTCTCCGCAATGCGCCGCCGCGAGGCAGTTGGACGTGGACTCGCGCGATGTGACGACGACTGCGAGTCCAGGCGGACTCCCCTCCGTCGCCATCCACTATCCTGGGTTCAACTCAGAGCTGCTCCCACGCCGCTACTGGCCTCCTGCGCAGCGACCTGCACCGCTATCGTCGCATGCCCTGCCGGCCCTGATAAAACTCTGCACTCGGCCTGTGCCATTCGCGCATCCGCCTGCGTCACACAAACACCAGCCCTGTCCTCGATTATTAGCAACGAGGACCCCAGGAACCACGTCTCCGCTAGTCCCCGCCTCCGGTGGCAATCGTCTCGCAGAGTTTCTCGGGACGCCATGTCGGGCCTGCGCCTGTCTGTCTGCGCCTACGCTATCGGAGCCCTCGTAATTGGCTTCTAGTCGGTTGATTCCGGCTACGGCATGCCGAGCTCTTTGACAGGTTCATCGGTCAGTCGTGGTGTAGAAGTCACTCGATCCACGGACAGAACGTCTGATAAACTCCCACCTTTCTCTGTTGCTTCATGCCGGGGCTGATATGTCCATGGTGCCTTGCATTCCTGTCTTCCTCCGCCTGAACAATCGATGCTACCGAGGGAACCCACAGCGCCTTCACTCTCGTCGTTCATTCTGTACCCTTACATCACCCTCGCTAGAGCAACTGTCTTCTGGAAGCTTTGGACCTATCGTCCAGGGCCTGCCGCCGAATGCGGCATACCGCAGAGCAGAGCCCCTCGAGATCGGCATACTGTGCCGGACTGGGCGTAAAACAAATCGAACGATACACCATTGTTTAAGGTGCGTTCTTTGACAGCTGCGTGGCCACCTCCCACGTTCTCGTGATTGTATCCGAGTCAACATGAGAGGTCGCTCGGCACGCTGACCGATTTCCCTCCACCTTCTCGTAACTGTATTCGAATCAACATGAGAGGTCGCTCGGCACGCTGACCGATTACCCTCTCAACCTTCTCCACCTCCCACGGCTCTGGATATTTATGATGCGAATGTCAAGTCCATCACGTGGTGCTGCATACGAATTGTAATATTTTTAGTAACATCGCGAACAACCTTCGGCGTGGGTGAACGGTCATCCAGCACAATGGTGCTCGAAATCAACCACGGAATCCTCCCCACGTGTGGTTCTTTCTGAAATTTCACCCCGAGGCATAATAGGTAAACACGTCTGCATTGAGTCGAATTCGCAGTCTTTTTAGTCGCCGCGGCGTATTATGTGTGGGATGAAGTCGAAACAAAGTGCAGTTCCTGCCGCAGCACTTGGAGCTAGTCCAACCGTGGTTCCTTGACCGCAAGAGACAAAGCTTGGCACGAGTCCTCCCATGGTACCAACTACAAATAACGGTCCACGGACGACCCTCTCAGATGATGGCACACGTGCATTGTATACATGGTGTCATCAAAGGCTAGATTTTACTTAGGACAGGATGGCCGACCTCAACTTAAAGGGAAGAGCGCCTTTCACCATACCCACCCAATACTGCTGTCCGCAATTGCAAAATATCCGATGGTCCCTCGAAGAGTTCCAGCGCCACGGAAGATGACCTACGTGACCTACACGCGAGACCCACCTCCGCGACGGGGTCCAATCCGTGTCCATCAACTCAATCCGGGGACCCAAAACCTCCGCACTGCTTCACTGTTGTTGAGGGAGGCAGCCTCTACGACAACGGCGAGCCATCGGACCATGCGCTACTACGTCGATCGCAACCTCTTCCAGCAATCCGCCCAGGCTCGATCAGTCTTCCGAACATACGCATAATGATGCTGATGCGCCAGAATCCGATAGCGGTGCGCCGCGTTGTGTAACAGCGACTAGCAAGGTATATTCGATATGCCGCTTCCAAGCAGCGTCAGTCGAATGGCAACGACAGCATACGATATCTGACCAAATCTCCAGGCACGTTATGGGGCACATCCACCAAGCATACGTCATGTACTTGCAGAGGGTTTCGAGCGGCGTCGCAGCAATACTTGCAATTCTGACACCGTCTTCTCCGCAATTTGGCTACCCCTGAGACAACAAGGGAACACTTACAGCCTTGTGAGGTCATCTCTATCCAGCTTGATCGGTGGCACGAGCCTTTCCCACGAATAGAGACAAGCTTTCCGTTCCAATGCCTCGCAGTATGGGTCGAGGCCTTGCGTACCCCATCTGGGGCCGTCCACCCGTTGAGGAGCGCAGCAAAAAGAGAGCCACACTTGTAAACTTACCGCTCGCGGGGTCAATGCAATCGGTATGGAGTGGACTCCTTCAGCGAGCAGCGAGCAATGTCTGATCGGTGGGCCTACGAAAGTCTTCAAAGTCTCACACGAGCTTTGAAGCGGGGAAGACGATGCGAGGGCTTTAATCTCCGCATTCTAACCTGAAACGCACCTGCCGTTTTCCAATGGACTTGTTCATTGAGTTTGCTTCACCGTTGATTGCTAAACTCTGGACCTGTATGGGCACTTCTCTCCAGCCTGCGGCATCGCCCGGAGCACCAATCGACAAGTTCCTTGTAATCGGTCTTTGCAGTATCGATTCTGGGGTAGCACCTGGGACGGAACCTTGCCTGAGATTTGCGCGGGCGAACGCACTGTCGAACAGGTCGCAGGAGGCATACGTCACCGCCCATAGTACAGACCGATGCCAGACACCGTCCATCCACACGTCCGTTATCGAAAACCACAGCAATAACACGATGCCGTTAAGACAGCGTGCGACCCTACGCCACTGCACAGTCTGGAACGGAGGAAGACGCTGCGTCAAGGGGCGCCGGGCAAGCGACCAATAGGTCTTGGGTGCGGCGCACACTATCTTCACCCCCGCACCTGCGCCTTCTGCGCCCAAGACAGGCTGCGATGCTGCAACAATCGCTTGTCCCTGTCCTCGCCTACGGGTTTGCAGCGGTCGTGCATCTAGACGCATCGCATCGCATCCTTGCCTTTGTCTGGTTCCGTTTCTTTCCTTCCCTTCTCATTGCGTCCGGCGAACCGTGCCTTCCTCAACTGCATACGTCCGACCCAACGCTCAAGGGTGTCTATAACCTCCCCTTATCCTGGTGTGTCGATTCTATGAATCACCGCACCGACGACATCGCGCGTTCCATTGCGAGATGCCTCCAGCCAGATTGGCCTGAGTTGCGCTGGCATGTTCCGTCAGGACGCTACACACGCCAAACCGAGCCCTCGAGCGGAACCTACTCTAGCGCGCGCCGTGTGAGGCCATTTCTGCAGTAGCCCTCTTCGCATCTGTCTTCGAACAGGCGTAGCAACGCTCGTACTCCCAGCGCTTGCCCAAGCCTGTCCGTCCACTCTCAACATCTCGCAGCCTTAGCCCGCTCGCCATGCAGAACCACGTCTCATACAGAGCCTCGCGTAGGCCCCCGGGAAGGTTTTCCGCTGCCGTCCATTGCGATTGCGCCTCTTCACAGTGGTCCGTCCGATAGCCAAGCCAGCTTCAAAGCCATCATCATCATCCGCCTCCGCAGCCGGGACGCCACATCGGTCGAGATCGGGCTCTTCGCGCCGCTATGCTCGCCTTTCATTCACTCTTGCCTAGACGCCCCGCGGCCACGGGAGTGCTAAGGCTCGCGCACCTGCCAAGTGCTGACAACAGCAGTGCGCCTTTCTCTCCGCAAGCTCCCACTGGTGTGCGCGGGTACGTAAGCCGGCTATCGTGAGGTATGACTAAACCGCCTCTTCTCCCACCGGCTGGCCGTCGTCGTTCCGCGGAATAATACAGCAGACTGTCTCTCCTTCGGGGCGTTGTTTGTACGAGATGTCTGAATCGAGATTCACTACAGCCTTAGTCGAGCGGTTCTGAAATCTGGCTCCGACGCCGCGTACGCTGGTCGAGCGCGGGTGTAGTGGAGATAGTGCGTAGACGGTGCGGCGGCGGCGCGGGGGATAGGACGTGTACGTGTAGATACGCAGGTCGAGGTACCGGTACAAGGTACATGAAGGTAGGTATACGCAAGTCAGGCGGGTAAGTTTTATCCTCGGATAACGCAACTTCTGACTCGCGGTGTAGGCGCATAGGGCTTAGGTTGAGGTACATAGGTATTGCGGATCGTGCCGTGGGCATAAAGTTTCATCCGGGATGGGTGCCGATGGCGCTGCCGGGTGTACTTGTGTAGGAGTGAATACACTGTTCATTGGCGGGTGCTGGGCGCAGACAAGCTCTCGAGACGAGGTCTGGAACACACGCCTCTACACAGAGCTGCGCAGACGGAACTGGTATACACTTAGATGTACGCCAACGATGGGGCTCGTAACGAAGTAAAGTTGGGCCCCTTGCCGACCCCTCTTGATATAGACCTGCTGTGATCCTAGCGCTTAACGAAGTTGAGCCCCTTACCTACCGCTCTTGGTATGCACCTACACCTGCTTGCCATGCCCCTAGCTCGTTCTCAGCCACCACCTCAGCCCGAAACATCTCAGTTCGCTTCCCCTGATAAACAGCAGTGAAGCTTCAATCCGCCAACGATCTAGCACACACGCTGTCAGTCGACGATCCTGAATCTCTTCCTTAATCTAGACCAAAAGCCAACGTAGGTAGCACACACAAAGACATCCCCAGTCACCCAGCGACGCTCGTTCCGTCCAAAATATACAAATAAATAAACAAGATGCCTTGGAAGCACATAGACTTCCTTTCCCTCCGATGCCCAACCTTCCCTTCCCCCGGGTTCTTTACCGCTTGGCCGGCGATGAAAAGTGTGTCGACGGCCCTTGCCTCTGCGAGTAAGCGAGCTATATTTGCGGTAGATACGGACGGGATCTAGTACTGCGTAGCATCTTGCCGGAGATACGTTAGGGATAGAAGATGGTTGAGCGCATCACGGTGGATAGCACAGCGGTCAACGGGGTGAGACGTCGAGGCTGGGAGTGAAGGGAAGGGAAGGGAATGCTAGGTAAGGTAGGCCTTCGTGCGGTTCGCAGTTCGCTTCTCGGCACTGCCGCGCGATCCGTCCTTCTTCCAGTGTCGCGGATGCAGTGGTGTCGAGGCTGTTCGCGAAAGGGTAGCATGCGTAGATATAATGTGTCGACTCCTTGTGATGCAGGGGCGTTGTATACCCTGAGAAAGTCCGGCGGTAGAGAGGTAGTGTAGCAGGTTGTGTGGGATAGGGGGTCTGGCGATGGAACGGTTGTTTATCGCGGGCTGTACGTCTTTCTTTCTGAGGATACCTTGCGCTAGCCTGGAACACCGTAGAGAAGGCCATGTTTAATTATTAAAGCAACAAGTCTCTATGAGGCGAGCACGGTCCTCAGACTATTCAAAGGATCGATCTCCTGAAAGTCTGTAGCCGAGCTAACCTTTTCTGCTCCGTCATCATGTGTGTATTTAGCCAATCTGGCTTCCTTTCCTTAACCCGTCGCCCCACGGCGCCCCATTGTCGCAAAAACTTGCCTGCTCCTAGTAGTATTTCTACGCGGTTCTCGGTACAGCGTACATCAGCTCAGAACTGTTCGGAGCCATCTTTGTCTAAGCCTGCTCCTTCCAAAAGCTCATCATATGGAAATTCTTGACTCCCTACATGTATTCAAGGGCATCGTTGTGAGGAATAGTACGAAGCAGGATGGAAGCCCCATTTGTGACAGAACAAGACAGACGGCCTTGCAGGTAAGGAAACGGTGTAGCATATCCGGCGAACTGAGACCACAGTACGCGGCTAGGCAGATACCGCCGCCCTGCCGTATTCGAGCTGCTGGTTAGGAAATCCCATTCCGAGTGCTGCTGTTTCTACAGTCTCGGCAGCCTGGCGTGCTCTCCTCATGGAATATGATCTGCCGATGGAATAGGACGATGGCCTGGTTGCGATGATAAGCGGCGAGAACAGTGGCCACTATGTGGTTGAGATACACCCACATCATGGAATGGCACACAGGCGGAAAACACGCAACAATGATCTGGCAGATAAAGCTAAGAGAATACCACAGGGTCCACGGAATGTGAGTGCGCACGTTAGAACAGAGTATATGATTGAAAATAGAATAGAATTGGGCGGATCACAGCAGCTCCCACATAAGCTACGAGGAACGAATCCTGACTTTGATCCCCCAGCGGCTCTCCCATGAGTTTCCGAACCAAAGTTTGATCCCCTAGTAGCTCCCATATCTCCTTCCGGCCCGAGAATTTTGATCTCAGGTTATCCGAAATGGACCATTGTGTGATGCATGATGTTCGTCCGCTGGTAAACTTGAGAAAATAGGAAGAAAGGGAATATGCAAGCCTGGCGGAGAGGATGTCCAACCTCCCTACCTGAGTAAAACTAAAAAGGAAATCCAAAGTAACACAGCCTCAGATAGGCATCGAGATGCCCTCGCTTGACCGTTGAGGCGGCAGTGTTGCAAGTATAGTGGCCAGTGCTGGTGTAATGATGCTGAGTCCTTCCGCAGTGCGCGGAGAGGTCACACGATGGAAAGTGACCCTGGAGCCCAATGTAATAGGTTCTCGCATGTGTGATTTGCACATCGTACAGAGAAGGTCGAGTAGATGTCTACGAAGGAGGTCGAGTACTCTGCTGATGACACGCGCTCCCTAGGCATCTAGACGAAAATTCCGTCTCATGCGTCGTATCTTTTCGCGTTTGAAGAGGCCCTGGTCAAAGGCGAATGGCGCAGTGATCTTCTCGTATCCTACGTCCGGGCGCGGGCCTTGATTTACGAGAAACCTTCGGTGTCGAGACTCAAATCGGACACCCGCAGCTATGACTGCTGTGGGAATCCTGTTGCGAACGCACGCCTGATGAAGGTCGAGCATCTTGAGCGCCGCCAGCGTCTTGCGGTATATCTCTTTCAGGACGACTACGTCCTCTCTCTGTCTGCACTGGTGAAAGCCGTAATCACGTATAAGAACGCGTGGCGGCTCTGTGCCCTCCCACGTACCGTCTTCGATACGGACGAACTGGACCAATCGATAGACTGAAGAGCGCTCATTAGGCGGTGTGGCGAAGAAGGTCTCAAGGTTCGGAAGTTCTTGTCGAAAGGCGCTCCAGCCATGGCGGTCAAAGAATTGGGCGATCTGATGTTCGCCTAGTGCCTGGCATATTTCGACCAACACTGCCTTCTCAGAAGGCGAACTCGTGATGATGGCCTTCCACAGGCCTCCCAATCTTTGGATTTGGTCCTCGTCTTGAGAGGCGACAAACCCAAAGATATAGTATGCGTCCGAGCTGGGATCCGGTACACGATCTCCAAGTACGCTGGCTCTCAGGTAAGTCGAAGATTCCTTTGCAGGATGAGAGAAAGTGGCCGACTCCAACTGATTGTCAAGGCTTAGACAGCGCATGGTTGAGGAGACTTCATCATCAGCGCCGAGGTGGTTTTGTGTATCCTTAGGCAACGTAGTTGGACTGGTACGCTCCTCTGCGGAGAGCGAAGATGACACTCCAAGGTGTGCAGGATTGCCTGCATAGCGGGATTTGAACGGCGGGCGGGAACGCACTGCTCCAGGATCCCCGCGCCTGAAGTAGACGGCAGAATAGATCCTAAATGCTTGGGCTGCGCGCACAAACATCTCCACCGACCTTGTTGGCTTTACCATGATCAGCACGGCGTTGTATATTCCACTGCCGAGTGAGGAACCCAAGATGTTTATGAGCCTGGCTTGGACCCAACCGCCTTCCACATAGAAAAGCTTCAAGCTGTCGAACATGAGGCCTTTCGAATGCTTGTCATGATTGTGGAAGATAGTGTGGGGCGAAGAATTCAGAGAATGTATCGAACCATTGAGACCGATGATACAGTCGCCAATGGCTGCATCACGAGCCTGACTGACGTCTTCGTCATACATTCCTGAAATGTTTGCAATGACGTCGTGGACCTTGTCTTTGTGGATACGCCACAAATGGCGTAGCTGGACAGCGGCTGCATTAAGGCGAGTCCTGTACAATCGAAAGACTACCTCCTCTAGGTTGTCATAGTCGGCTGTCGATTTGGCTCCAACCGACTGATGAATGCCTGTGAAGGCTGCAGCGAATTTACTGGCACTATTAGCCAGACCAGCGCACTCCTTCGTGCCATTCATGCGTGTGATACCGATCGTCACAACGCGGTTGCTGGGGTCCTCGTGGAGATATCCGATCGTAGGTGACTCCCACGCTCCGCCATCACCAAACGCTAAAGCTAAGTGAGTGAGGAACCTTTCTTTCAGGTGCTTCAAGCCTTTGGTGGTCGTCGAGTTCAGCACGTAGTTGTCGTCTTCTTCATCCAGCTCCACATCTTGGAGATTGGTAGGAATCCCAGTGATACATCCGGTCTGTTGAGCCGCACGAAGGACTCTCTTCGTCCATTGTTGCAGAGACTCGGAGGTATGTCCCTGCCTCGACGCATTACTTGAGCGATCATGAGATGGCCGATTGGGTGTGCCTCGCGACGACCCTTCGCTAGACCGCGCGGTCGGTCTTTTGTCGCAGGAAACAATCATGTTGTCGACCCAACCTACCCAGAAGTTAGCACGAGTCTCAATGTGTCCTTCACATAACCAATGAGGAGACCCTCTCGTGTGTACACTACCTAGAAGCACTCACCCCGCCTTTGCTCCAGCCTGCCGGACGTAGTTGCAAACAACCAAGGTTTTGAGTCCCCGAATCGAGCAAATTGCTTGTCGAGACTGCACCAGAGTAACAGCAATGTAGCAGCGACCGTAGCAGTGCCGACACCGAAGAATGTAATTTTGTTGTAGCAAACAGGACCTGAACGCGGTAGAGGAGAGAAGACGCACAAGACCGGCCCAGGAGCTAATATATAGTAAGAATAGATCGTCTGTCGAAGACTGAAGTGACAGAACTGTCGACCGTGAGCGCGGTGAGGGAAATTGCGTCGACGTCGCTTGTCGTACAGAAGGAAGTTACGACCAAACGCCCTCAGCATGTAGCGTGCGTGGAAGACATCCGTGGACGGCAAACGCTGTCAAAACCGTTTGCGCACAATCATCGCCATCCAGCCACAAGACGAAGATGTCAAGCAAGGATTCTAAGTCCATTTTCTACCATCCAAAAACGCGCGCGCCATGCAATACAATACAATACCAAAATCAAGTCCTTCCACATGCAAACCCTCTCCCACATGTCCCCTACAACGGCACCCCAAAGACCTCCCCAACGCTCAAAAAGCTCATCCTACTCCCTCCCACCGCCACAAAAATCCCCACCACGTCCACAACGACCAACACCAAAGCCCCCATCATGAACCTCGGGCTAAAAATTCGGTACAGCATCAGATGCCTCCGCAAATGCCCCGCCCACATCGTCGTCGCTAGGTTGATGGTGGCGTAGAAAAGCACGTGCGTGGCCATCGCGCGCGCCACATCGCCAAGCAGGCCCTTCTTCTTGGGCGACTGCTTCCAGAGCACGAGGGCCGGAACCGCAACCGCGCAGAGGATGTGCGCGCCGAAGGTGTTGAGCACGATGAGCAAGGGCGACCACGGGTAGCGTATGGTATGCAAAGGGATGAAGGCGGATTCCCACTGGATGCTGCTCAGCGCGGCTTGGTGGCCTGTCTTGAAGAAATGGAAGCTGCCCAGCAGGCCGAGGACGACGGGGCCGATACTGCTGTCGGAAAGGTGGTTTGTGTCTACGATCTCGAGGAGGGAGAAGATCTGCCAGCAGCAGAGGGCGAGCGCGCCGGCGCCCATGGGCTTTTGTAAGAGTGCTGCGGCTAGGTACCAGATTGTGACTAGCAGCGCGTATCGCGAGCCGTGGGCATTGCCGTAACCTAGGATGGCGATGGAGGAGCGTCCGCCCGAGGGCACGATTTGTTTCGAGGGATGCGGCGTGTGGGATTTACCCTCCTCGATGTTGAGCAACGGTTTCGCCCATGTGAATGTTGGGTACCCGACGGCTATGGTGGTCACGATCGTTATCTGCGCGATAAATGTTTTTGACGTCTTGAGCAGGCCGCTGTATCCGGGGTACCAATCTCCATCATCGGCAGCGTCAAGCGCCCAGTATGCAGCGCTCAACAATAAGCCAAAACGTAGACCAAAGCCAAGCCACATCACTGCCGAGTTTTGATAGGAAAGGGTCCCCTCATAGTACCCTCGAATGAAAGTTGGCAAGAGAAGAGCGACGACAAAGGGTATAGCGAGCTGCCATGTTGCGGAGGTCGAGGATGTGGCGGAGGCGTAGTACGTGCTCTTGCAGTACGGCATTTGCTCTTCGCGACATAGCCTTGACAGAGATGCAACGCGTGTAAGGATGACGAATAATATCGAATGGTAAACGCCTAAGACACGGTCGGTGGTCTTGGGCTGTCGGAAAGAGGACAGCGCAGCGAGGAACCCAAAGGTGGACAGGAAGTGAAGCAGTATTTCATCTTCCCAGATGGTGAATGAATTTGCTGCGAAGCCGACTGACAAGAGGAGCGTGAATATTATGCTCAAAAAGCCCCAAATCGAGTTTGGTAGTACGGAGAGAAGTCTGCGTCTGAGGTACCAGAAGGCGGATGCTATACCAAGATTACCACACATGGCGGCGGCATATATTATAGCGTGCTGCTTGGGGACATCCGAGAATGCAAAATGGACACCGAAGCCGATAAAACCACCGAGCACAACCCCGATCCCACCACGAGAGAGAAGGACAGGGCTCAATTCCGACAAATCCCCCGTTAGACCACGGGCGTAGACAGCCAACATTACCAAGGAGAACGCAAGGATGGTCACTCCGTTCAACATGCGCGGAACATCGAAGCTTGCCCACATTGCCTTGCAGATATCAAGTGTCTCCTGTTGGTAGGTCTTGTACGATCCGTAGACACGTGCGTATTCCTCGGCCTTGGATTTTGTAGTTGTAGCATCCCACGCCTCATGTGCGTGTTTGAGAGACAACAGTGATGCCGCACGCGCGGTCTCGTCCATACCTTGCACAGAAGCATACTCTTCCTGGTAACGGTGAATTTGAGCGGCTGTGAGTCGATTTACAGTAGCTAGGTTCTCGTAATCGACGCCTTTGGTACCAATGAAGGCTTCCTCAATAGGCTTTCCTAAGTTGTTGAATGGTATGGGCAATCCAAGAAGTAGGGAAAGTGTAGGAACAAGATCGATCTGCGCAACGGGCCTTTCCTTCGCTGTACCGGGGGGAGTGTTGAAAGCAGGAGAGCTCCGGCCGAACCGTTCCTGCTTCGAATACATCCAGAGCGCGGCCTGAATTTCGTCGTCCGATTCTCCGCCGTGATCTCCCTTCGCATCCATACCGTGATCACCCATGACTACCAACAATGTAGAATCATCCAACTGTTCGATCATTCGGCGAATCACGTCGTCCATCTGCTTGAGCTTTGTCGCCATCGCCGGATGATCTGGTCCGTATCGGTGCCCCGCATGGTCGACTCCTAGGTAGTGACCAATTACCACATCCCACTTGGACGTATTGGACGCATGCATGAGCGGAAAGACATGGTCGGTAACTCCGTTGTCTACTGTATGCAAATCCCAGACATTGAAAGAATCGTATGGGCGTGTGAGTTCCGGCTCGAAATGGTCTGGGAACAGCGCGTGCCAGGTATCGTCCCCAAGATGTACCATCCTCTTGCTAGCATTCCTCAGCTGGGAGATGAGGTTGTCCTCTTCGATTGCTGTGCCAGCAAAATTGGATCCAGCGTCAACGAATGCCGGAAGCGTTCCGGTTGTGAGACCCTTTAACCTCTGCATTGTTGCGGTCGGCGCGTCGGCGATGAACGGGAGGAGAAATGCATTGCGGGGCTGGTCGATGGCCGTTTCGTAAAGAACCGGAAACGCATTTTGGAAGTGGTGGGGTTTCTCATCGGGGCCCTCAGTAGAAAATGGGACCGTGAAGTCGTAGCGAAGCGCATCGATGAGGATAATGATTGCTTTGTCGAACGTTTTAGGGTGCCAGCACCCGCTTTCCGATGAACCGGACGTGTACGTGTGCGCGCATTGGTATCGATGGGCGGCAGCGCGCATTCTGACTTGTAGTCAAACGTGAATCTCGTGAGGAGGAAACCGCTCGTAAAGAGGTAAATGCCCAGCAATTGGAGTATTCTGTAGCGCGTTAATCATGCTTAGATGACCCGCCCGTGGCCCGTCATACAGTATCAGAGACAGAAATGCTACCAATAGACCATGCGCAGCCTTGAATTGGATCTCGCTCTGCTTCTTGGCCGCGGCCGCGTCGTTCGTCGTCGATCTCAAGCCTTGCGACTCTTGCTGCTCTTTCTCCGCTTTGGCCTTTGCTAACGAGGCAGTGATGCCTTCGTGAGATGGCGCGGGCCCGCCATTATCCATTGGAGCAAGACTACCGGTTAGGACACATTCGAATGGTACCAAAATGGTTACGTAGCAGCGCAGAGGAATTGTGAAGCTTGAGACGGTTTTCGGAAGCGGAACAACCCCTCGGTTCCGACGCGACGCGTTAATCAGGGTCCGGTTCCAAACGGACGATGCGACCAGCAAATCTAACGTCGAGAGAAACAACAGTTGGTTGCAGCACTGAGGTAAGTTGTGGGGCTGTGAATATGATGCACAGAGTTATAGCATTTGGTCGCCATGAAATCCCCTTTGTGCAGTCTACAAGATTGTGAGTACCTAGGTGAACCTAGTCCAATGTGTCAGTTGTCAACCGCGAAGAAAAAATCAAATACAAATTCTGCATTGATCTGTACTGTAGCTGAACAAATAGATCAACAATGGAAATCAAGCGGATACCATATCGATGCTCCATCAACTCGAGTTTCTCTACATACCACGTCTAACACCCCAACCTATATATGGTATTCGAAGAGACAAACACTCCCGCAACCTGTCCTTCCTCCGCACCTTCATGAACAACGTACCAACACGCCTGTCCTCTGGTTTTTGTACGCCATGCTAATTATAATGTACGCCCCAAAGCGCCAGTGCTTGCATAAACACAAAGTGAGGAACTCCAATTAGTCCTGAGATAAACCGGGCCATCGGTTTCCCAAATTTTCAAACATTACGACATTGAAACTCTCATCCCCAAAACGGCAAAGAATAAGTATGGATGGTATATAACATGCTGATTGCCGCCCAGCCGGAACGCCCGCGGCTTCAATAGTGCATGCATGTTGTGATAAACCGGTAACAGAAAGAATGCGCGTAGGCCGTGGCGGAAGTGCTGTGAAAGGTATATATACTACGAAGCGTTTTCGGCCGCTTCAATGGCGATGCCGTTTATCGGAGCAGAGAAGTTCTTACTGGGAAGAGAAGTGTGTACAGGTTCGTCAACCGTGGAAACGTTGGCGCTCGGAAGCGAGCTGCTCTGGGGGCTTTGCGCTTCGCTCGTCAGCGGAGGAGTAGGCGGAACATCGGTCACGATGTCGGAAGAAACCGCGTGCGGCGTTGGTGTGATTTTATCAAGGCCGTCGTTGAAGTCGCTGCGGTGCATTTTCTTTTCCACCTTCAAGTCGAGTCAGTGTCAACCTCATGTTGCTGCAGACATTCAGACATACCGAGATGATTTGTTTGCCGGACATGACCTTCTTGGCCTTATCAAGCTCTGGCTTGAGGACCGCGACGAACTCTTGGTAATCTCTGCGATTAACGGTCTCCAAGCATTTCTCTGGATATCGGTTAGCAGGATCTCCATTAGACTATAAGTGTAGATGACTTACGGATTACGTAGTTGCCGTACGGGTCCTTGATCAATGTTTGCAAGTTATTGTCACCACGCTCGTTCTTGTCTGTAAGCTTGAGCATCAGCTCGCGACGCTGCTCGTTGTTGCCGAACTTGAGACACTTCTCAACAACGTTACTGGCAAACTTGTGCTTAGAAAAGGTCAACAATCCTTGCTTGACAAGTCCAACGGCTTTAGCGCGATCGTCGGGTGTTCCGTGCTCGATGATATGCTGGCAGACGTAGTTTCCATATTGGTCGGTAATGAGCTTGGAACCTTCGGCGTGAAGCTCAGTAAGGATGAATCTTCGGTCTGGCTCTGGAACCTTCTCCAGTAGCCGCTGGATGACGCGGCAGCCATAGGTGTTGACCGATAAAGTGCCAACCTGGCCTCGGAACGCATCGATAATCTTCCTGATGTATTCTAGAGGTACTTTGTCGATAACCTTTTGAATGACGTGATTGCCGTTGCAGTCCCTCACACATCTAAGGACATCCTTTTCCAGCTCTTTCACCATTGCCGCCTGTTGCTCAACGAGAACGTACTCCAAGGCCTTTTGAACGACTCGGCACCCATACATGCCGTTGGAAAGGTGCAATATGTTGCCCATCATTCGATTGGCAAGGAATTTCTTCTGCGTTTGGTCGCCGTGCTCAAAAAACTTTTGAATCACGTAGTTGCCGAAAACGTCTTGCATAAGCTGCAGGCAGTTCTCTTGGATCTCGCGGAAGATCTTGTCCTTCTCGTCACTATTGGCGCCTTCGAGCTTCTGCTGGATGAACCGGGATCCGTGTTGGTCACCACTGAATTCAACGACGTTGCCATATATGTCCTTAAGTTCGAATTTCTTGTTGATTTTGCTGGCATTCTTGAAGTTGTACAAACAGGAGCTCATTGTCGCTAGATCAGGCGGGTTGCTGTGATCTCTTGGTGCTCTGGGCGCCTCGATGGGTATGACCCCGTGGAGTGGCTGCGCAATGGGATGCATGTTGTTGGGCATGGACAGTGGGCTAGATACTGGCAATTGGTTGTATGGATAAGAACCGCGTAGCTGGTTCGTCTGTAGGTGATTAGCCGCAATAAGCTGCTGCAGTTGTTGCGGGTGCACCTGTTGGTTCTGGTACAGATGATTGCGTCGATTATCTTGCTGCTGTATCTTGTGCCCTGCCAGCCTTTGGTTCACTAGCGCAATGTTGTTGCTGTTCAACGAGAAAGGGTTGTCTGCGCGAGAGGGGTAAAGATGGTCAAAGATCGGAGGCGTATGCGAGTGCGTGTGGAGAGGGCTTTGGTGCACACCCGTGCCATTGGGCGCGCTGTGGCTGTCGAACTGAACAGGCCTAAAGAGAGAGTTGGGACCGCCAAGGTGGCCGTTGCCGTTGGTGAAACTGTCAGGCGTGTATGTACCAGATTGTGCGTAGCCATTGGGTCTTTCAAAGGCTTGTGAATCGTATGGGTCGCGTGCTAGAGTAGCGTCGTTCAGTGCAGGGGCGAAGTTTGGTGGGAATGTGTTGATGCTCATGGACGGTCTGTGGGACATGGCTCCAGAAACAGCATCTTGTTCCAGACTGAGATGGCCAAGATTCAGCGACTCGCTTTGGATAGAGCCACTACGTTCCTGGAAAGCTCGATTGTTCGCAACGGAGAAAGAAGAGGTTTGGCGTTGGCCTGGCTGTGCATATCTCGCGTAGGTTTCAACATTTTGACCCAACTGAAATGGCTCGTTGCCATGCCTGGAAGGCGGAAGACTGCCGCTTCTTGAAGGGGTAGCGCTTGACGGGCCCAGGTACTCAGAATTGGCAACGCTACGCCTATCGTCGGTAGGAGAATGGACCGAACCTGCATCATGCCATGACCCCAGGGAAGCTTCCGAGCGCAGTGGTCCATCCTGGTTGAAGCCAAACGAAGAGAAGTTGGTGGTGTTCAGAGGATCGATCCTGCGAGAAGACGTGAAATTCATGGACGTGGGGTCGAGTAAAGGTTTGGTCGATTTGGTTCCGAAGGATTGGCCGCCCACGCTCGATCGCGAGGTAGGGAACAAAGGAGCCTTGTCTGCATATGGTTGTGTGGACTCGGGGTGGGCGAGAGATCGCTTCCTGGGGGGCGAGACCCCAGAGCGAACTCGCGAGATGTTTGTGTTTTCCCCCCAAACGCTGCGACCATGGTGCCATCCGTCGGACTCGGAAGATGCGACAAGAGAGCCAGAGCCGGTCTTGCCCTCGATAGACTCGGCTGCGGAACCCATGAAACTACTGTTCTCTGCGCGATGTAAGGGTCAGATGCGCGACGTGGCCAGTGAGTTTAGCACATACCTCGAGGACGTGAGCTGTCCCTCAAGCCCGAGCCCAGGCCGGCACCTACACCACTGCCATTGTTCCAGATGCTGCCACCCCAGCCCAGCGACGTGTGAGATGTACGCTCCGGATCGGCTCCGTTGATTGAAATTCCGCCATTAAGGTCGCGCGTTCGGACCTGGCATGCTTGTTAGGTGTTTCTTCAGCAGCGACGTAGAGAGTGTACACACGTTGTTCGCCATGCCCGCCATGTTGCGACCCACGCCTTAAGGCAACAAGGCTGCACACGGTGCGGGGAGGGTTGCGAATAGAGAGCGCTAAGAATGAAGCGAGAGACTCGTGGAAGGGCAAACACGACGCGGTGCAGCTTACGGCGTACAAGCTGAAAAAGGTCTGGGCGTCAGCACGCGGGTTTACCCAGTAGCATACTCTGCGTGGTTGCGGGCGGCCTACCGAAGGTATTGTGCGAAAAATGTTGAGAGGAAAGAGCGGTTATGTGGCGGGCAGGTATGGTACAGAGAAGCGGGGTGGGAGCGAAGGGAGTGCACGGCGGGCGCGCGAGGAAGGGCGTTCCAAGGTGAGGCGTGAGGGTGGATATATGTGCCGTCGGCGGGTCCCTGGGGATTGGTGCGAGGTGGAGATGCTCTCTAAGCTCTGCGCATGCTAAGTTCGAAGAAGGGATGGTGGTGCCTGCCAGACGGGGAACGCATCAAACAAAACGGGGAGCAAGGGCGAGCGGCGGGCGTATTGCGGAATGTTGAGGGCGGGCTCAGGAGCACGGTGGAGAAGAACGGCTGCGTGTGTGGGGTGTGCCGCAGGCGGTGGCAGCGGAAGAGGCGTGAGGGCGGCGCAACGAGAGCAGCGCTGTCGTGAGCTCGTGAGCGTTGGTGGGAGAGATGATGGATTCCCCAGATCTGCGCACTAAGCGTTTCGAGACCAGCTAAGATCGCTAGCTTCCGCGTCTTGGGGGGCGCCGCGCTTCTGCAAAACTCCGCTTGTCAGGCTGATTCAAGGTACGCTTGCCGCAGGGCCGCGCCGGCGTCGCTATGTCGTTGAAGAGCGGGAAGACGCTGTGCTGGCCTCTTCTGCGCCGGCTTCGAATCCTGAGGCGGTCGCGTGCGCCAAGCAGGAGTTGCTAGGCGGCGACGATCAAGGAGCAGAAAGGTGAGACAAGCCCTCGCAGTACAGGAGTCTTGATTATGTACGTCGACTATGCGTTTCACCAGGTGCCATGCGCCGGGACCTTGCCTGTCTGCTCCAGCATTCGCGAGCCGCCAGCTGCGATCGAGACCGCTTCTCGAAGACCGGACCTGGCATGTTTGCCTCACCGTGCCTGAGCCAACCCACGCCCTCCCCTGGGCGGTTTAGCACACCTCCAACGTCCTCAACAGACGGTGGCTGCCTTGGGTCGCCTTGCAAAACCCTGCTGGTAGACCAATTGGGCGACTGACACCTTCGAATAACACCAATTCAGCCATCGCCTCCGTCTGCGGAGGAAAAGATGGCGCCGGAGCAACCCAGGGTACTACCGTCTCGGGGGCCGTCGCTTTGGGAAGGCCGTGACCGGCAGCTTTTATGATTTTATGTAAACCAGAAACTGCTGCATCGGGCATCTCCAGCGACAGACTGATGAGCAGGACACATCCATATACCCAAAGAGATGGCCAGCCTCGCTTTGTTTTTCTGGTGCTGCGTTGGCGCGCAAAGCACTCCGCCGGTCTGGCGCACTCTCATTCTTCGGAGAAGGTTGGCAGCCATCCGGAAAACTCTCCGCTCGCCCAGGAACATCGATATTCAAGTCGTCGTGCATTTGCGCTTTGCTTCTGGTGGATCACACGTGCAGCACGCTACCAAGACACTTGTCCTGCAGTGTTGATGATCCGACGTCTATATCCACCTGCAGATGCTGGAGTACCTGAAAATGTTGTTGTTCAGCACTACGGTTCAACGCTGAGCAAGCTTCACAGAGCTTCGCGTCGCACGTTACGAAGGCCAGACTTGGCTCTGGAACAGATGGCATCCGTCGAAGTTTGCTCGGGTGCAGCGTTGCGGTGTTTCATGCATGCATTACTGAGAGTGGACACTGGAGGATGAAAAAAAGCGATGCACAACAGTCGACGATGGAGACGACGTAGTTGGAGCGGAGCCATTGGACATCAGACATGTTGCTCCACTGTGCCAGGAATAGAGCACTCGGAGAAAATCGCACGCTGCCGGGATGAGGCGCAGGCTCCGGGTGGTGTTCGTGATACGGACTTTCCAAGGCTTACTGCTCAGTGCTGTCCGCTCCGTCTGTGAGAGTCGCACGCAAGCCGACCCACTGCACTGAGGGATCATGCTGTCCGGGTACTGGAGTAGCCGTAGCGACCGCACGTTCGCAGTTCGTCTCAGGCCTCGACCTGTCAGTGCCACTGACATTGCCAGACACGTCACGTCTCGTCAAGGCAGTCAAGGCAGCCAAATTACCTCAGGGTTAGGAAGCAATGCCGACGTAGAATGCTGCGATGGACACATTTATCTATTTGGGGTCCGGCCAGCGAGTCGTGTCGACAGCTGCCGAAGCACGCGATGTCCACTCTCCAATCCGCCTAATCCACACCCCAGCATCCCTCACCCTCACCCCGGTCGCTGCCTCCCCCTGCCGTGCAGGTCAAACGGTCGTGGCTGCCCGCTCCAGAGCCAGTCGCTTCCCGCGCGCACGTCTGTCCAGGCTTTCTCGCCCAGCGACGTCACCCAGAGCGCCCGGCGCGTACTGCTGTGGACAGGAGAATCGATGGCTCGCTGTGAAGCGCTCGCAAGTTTGTTATTGAATGCAGCGATTCGGGAATAGCGCTGGCGTCAAAGTGCGAAAACGGCGGGTCGTGATTTCCGATTGGGCGCGGGGCCTAACCTTGGAAGGAGCGAACTCATTTATCACCGGGGGCCCGAGCGCTTCGCGTGCCTGTTCCTGTCGGTCAGCAAAAAAGGCTTCGTCCCCCTTCTTCTCCGTCCTTGCTGCTCCTCCAACAACACTCGGCCCATCCTCTTCACCCTCCTTGCCGCAGTATCGCTTCACTCTTTCAGCGATACTTGCATCCGTTCATTCGGCCTGCAAACGACATTCCCTACCGTCCTTCGGCCCCATACAAGGTGCGTGCTGGCCCTAAACACCGCATTCCGCCAAGACACCCGTCTGTAAACCACAACAAAGCCGCACCACTCAACAATATTGCGATCCGGCATACTGATAACGGGAACAGCTAATACTCTCCTTAATTGCTATTGCTACCACTATCTGCGCCATACTCAAACCCAATCTCACGACCATCTGACGAACCACGTAAACATACCAAGTGCACCATGAACTCAATCAGCTTTATCGTTGCGCGCGATGACGACAACTCGGGCCAATTGGACACCCTTCAGACCACTCTTTTGATAGCGCTCCTCACGCTATTCGTTCTGGCCGTCGTGCTGGTCGGCTCACTATTCTTCCTCCGAAGAGCCCGCCGTGCAAGGAAAGCCGCAGAGGCACAGCTTCCGTTGTATGAGAAGAGGCAGTCAAATCACCGCCGCCTTACAATCCAGGCTACCCGCGAATCGGTTGTCGTCTACCAAGAGAAGAGAGATCTATTGGCCAACTCCGACAGCCCGCCCGCGAGCCCTGTTCCTGAGATTCGCATCACATTCCCCGACGAGGTCGACGCGGCTGGCAAACGGCAATCGGGCCGTGTGGTTGTTGTACGGGTTGGAGAGCACAGCGTTGGTATGGAGCCTCTTCAAGAGGACTTGCCGCCCTACGAGCGCGACGGCGGCCGCTTCGATTCGCTTGACCTTGACCGCATCGGCGGATTGAAGGAGAAGGACGACAAGTACTACTCGTAAACTCCACCAGTGTACGCCAACCCTGCCCGCTATCAATCGCGCAGCCGCTGATGGTTGATCACACCCAAACACTGCCACTTGGCTACGACCTACTTTGTTTTTGATGACGGCTTCATAGCGCTGCTTATCATTTTGGATACCCTTCTTCTAGCCCGTCCCGTTATTACACATGTGTTGTATGACGGTTCGAGCTCGCCATGCGGCTCATTGTACATTTCTTGGAGATGGATGACTCTATATCCGACATTGCAACAATGTTCAAGTCGCCTCTCCACCGAGGTTATGTCCTCTTATATAGCTCTATTTTCTAATGTATGATAGGCCCTATGCGTGTGCCGTTGAGCACCTCGGGAGTATATACAATCCATTTGACAAGACACAACCATGTTTCCTGAGTTGCGAGTTCCAGCGTGACGCTCCATCACAACAAGAAGCACTTGTTACTGACCGCCCATCCGCCATTGAACAATCTGCGAGCTCGGAACGAGACCCTGGCAGCTTGAGGGTCGCGTTGCGATATTCGACCGTGCAGTACGGCTCGCAGAGGAGAGAAACGGCTCGTGCCTACCCACTCAACCAGCAGCTCGTGAGTCGCAAGTACACAGAGGCCGAAGGCATGATTCCGATTGATCTCTCGGTGGAGGCTCTCTGATCCGACATGAAGGTCGACTGCCAGCGCACAACGGCTGGCAAGTAACATGTATTATAAGGTCCACAAGGATGAGTCACTCTAGAATGACTGTCCAAAGTTGCAACCTCATATTAAATGACAAGTTCACTTGTTTTCAGGCAATCTTCTCGGATATTCCGACCGAGACCTTCGACCTAGTTGCGTGACACGCACAATAGCGGCAGGATGAGGCGGTGCTCCAACGTTCAAGGTTGCGAGAACACGACACAGCAGCTCAGCCCATGAATCTCCTCCACACCCCCCTTCAGGCGCCAGCGTGCCGCTCGCCCAACTTTCCTTTCCCGTCATCAACTGTTCGACAATCGAGGTCGCCAGTAGTCATCGTGGTGCAAGCATTTTAATCGTGCATTTGACAATACCGTCTCCCAGACCAACTACCTATCGAATACCTTACCATCTGTGCTACAAAGCGCAATCTGATATAGTGAGCGTTCCGGCTCTAACTACCTACTTGGTACAGCAAACCGCAGAATGATGGAAATCCTCTCAAAATCACGGCAGCCTAACTAGCTCGATAACGACACTGCCGCCATACCAGTCATGTCTGATGGCATTGCTGGGATGTCGAACAAGAGGTCGCGCGCGTGCTTAGCCTCAATCAAGGAGAGCACCAGGAGTCTTCTCGGAATTCTCGGTGCGACTCTAGAAAATGCCAATGCTCTACGTGCTGTTACCTACATGCGCGCCAGGTGCCTGTCGAGGATACGGCCGCATTGTCCATTGACTCTGCAGGTGATATTTTCCAGTCCACTTCCGACTCAGATAGCACCTCGGCCAGTTGAGGATATAACGTTCCCGATGGAAACACTGGTCGGAAACGTTTTATTAAGCATGCTAAGCTCATTGCCAAGTGCTCGTGGCGGATGTGTCTCTTGTAACATCATCTCCAAGTCATGAGCGCAGTTTGTCCGGGCTGTGAAGCCCAACACTCGTTTTCCTGGTTGCATTTGTCGAAGGGGCTGTCGGTCGTCGTATGATGGACTAATGGAGCACAGGGAGTCACAGAGAGTGTCGGGGGCATATGATCGTATCGGACTGGTGACTGCCCGGGCGCCGAAGATGTTCACTCAGCACAGCCAACTTGACTTGAAAATTGATCAAGATCGCTTGACTCTGATTCTGATGTTCCTCGATGTAGGAAGCTTGAGTATCTTCCACGTACTTCTCAGTCCACTACCCATAATCTCACCTCCCACAGATCCTCTTCTCTAGATATCTCAGCGGCACATACAACCCCGCGCTCAGGACCAACGCGACCTCAAAGCCTAAGTCACCCGTCCGCTCTGCAATCGGTCCCGTAAACCATATCTGATACATGCACGGCACCACCAGGCCCAGACACCCTATGCTCGCGCCCGCAGCCGCCCAACCCATCGGCAGCTTCGATCCATCATCCCACAACGCCTCTTCCTCTGTATATGCATCAAAGTTGCGCGTGCGGAACCATACATGATCCGTGACCACAACACCAATGAAAGCAGCCGCCCAGTATCCGATCAATCCCAAGAAATTCTCAAGATTGGTGAAAAATGAAGACGCTGCTTTGATGGCGATGCCGATTACAATGGCGGTGATGACGATCGAGAAGATGATGCGTTGGATTCGAAACAACCATGGAAGCAGCATCTGGAAGTTAAGCGTGATGGAGTACATCGTCGCGCTGAGGTTGCCGACCATGCTGAAGGCGAGGACGACGGTGACGAAGCGGCCGAAGCCCCCGGCGGGATGCAGCATCGCAGCTAGAACACCGCTCGCGGCATTAGTCTCGTAGCCTTGCTGCCAGGAGGCGACGTTTGGCGTGGCACCGCCGATTGCGGCGCCGAGGACCATGAGTAGGATAGTCGGGAGTGCAAGGCCCACGTATGTGTAGAGCGCGATGCGGAACGATGGCGCTTTGGGGTGCATGTATGTCGAGAAGTCGCTTGCGAGGGCTGCCCAGGGTAGCATGAAACTCGCAACCAGGCCACCGAAACTTAGGACCTGCTGCACAGTGGCGGGCTCGACGGTACTTTGATTCTGCAGATACTTGCCTCCGCATCCGGTGGCGATGACGATGGCGATCAATGCAGGGACCCACGCATACTTTTCGTATATGTGGAGGATCTTGAAGCCGCAGAAAGAGACCAGTAGCGATAGTAGAGCGATGATGACAATTCCGACGGTGGCATTGATGGTGGTGCCGTCACTGACGGCGGATAGGGCCTGTCCGCCGATGATGGAATCCACAATGGAGAAGCCCGTAAGTGTGGCGAGGTTAAGCAGAATAAAGAGTGATACGAAGTATTTTCTGGACAGCGTTAGTGTACAACACTGCATTAAATAGAGTGTCCATACCCGTATACAAATCGTGCCTGGATGAGCTGGCGCATGCCGGTTCTTGGGCCCCATGTGCACATGTATGCTACAGGAATAGTAGATACGAGTGTGAAGAAGAGGATTATGAGGGATGCGTCTCGAAGACCCAGACCGAAGCTCAGGGTGCCAACCATCCCCGTCGTGATACTACGATGCTATTAGCTTTCTTCTCTGGACAAGTCTACGAAACAAAAAAGGGCACAAGCATTGGGACAGGGCAAAGAGAAGAGCCCATGCTTTGGGATAGTGCAAAGAACACAGTACAAGAGGTTGGTATGAGGAAGACTTACGGCAGTAGATTGCAACTCATACTGAACCACAAAGTGAAGATGTTGAAATACTGCGTGACCGTCCTCTTCTCATATGGCACCGGCTGGCATCCTCTCAACTCGACGCCCGCACGCTTCTCCAGAACCTCCAATATGCTCAACAAGCTGCTTGTTCTTGACTCATTTCCAGATGCATAGACACTCGCGCCTTCCTTCTCTCCATGCTTCTCGCGCGCAACTTCTTCTCGCGGAATAGAGACAACGCTTTCAACGTCCGCATCGGTAGGCGCCATGTCGAGCGAGGCGCGGGAATTGACAGCAGCAAGGTGGTCACAGAAGTTGTTCACTTATATGGAATATTAAGATGCCTTATTGCTACACGCAGCCTTTGAGATATAACCCGATCGCATGACTCCTCGCCTCCCGAACGCTTACTTAACACACGATGGCGTTCTCGACCCGCCTTCACTATCCGCTGTTCGTGAAAAATTCCTGCTGCAATGGGCGGGAGCTAACCATGAGCGGTCTAGCTCATGGCGCTTAGAAGAATCTCTTTGCGCGACCCAACACGAAGCGCTGCAAGACCACCAACGCGGTAAAAAACGACCTGTTTTGATTCAGATATTGTGTACCGGTCCGATAGCGCAGCGTTGTGCTTCTGTCTAACCCTGCGGTTGCGTTATGCAGTCTCTCGCTGTGAACAAAAGAAGTCGGGGAAGCGGAAATGAGACATCTCGTATACGCCCTACAACATGATCAATCGCTCTTCACGCCCAGCGCGGTGTAAACCTAGTTGCAAAGTCAGTCTCCAGGCGGAACTCACTCCATAGTGGGAATGTCGCCAGCGACGGTGGTATCGCCCAAACACATCTGCCTGTTGCCTGAACAAACTATTCTGGCATCGCAAGTGTTGACACAACATGATTCATTAGGAGACTTACGTACCGATGCGAGACAGAATGCGCTCAACTCCTATATCGCAGCGCTGGTCCAATCAACCGCGCTCAAGCGAACAAATGTGCGCTTATGCGCAACTGGCGTCTTTGGTATTGTCAAAGCTTTTGCTACAACGATCTTTATGACATGGGGAATCGATCGTCTCGGGCGTAGGTAGTCGCGATCGATCGCTTTCGTTGGTGGCATTATAGCCATGTCTCACATCGGAGAATACACTAGCCCCTCCTTTGAGTCTGCAGCTAAGAAGGACGGCGGCGCATCCATAGCCCTCGTCATGACCTATGTCTTCGCTGTCTTGGACGGCATTCCTCGAATATTTTTGTAAGTGAGTTATTTCCCGTCATCGTGGGAATTTGACCATAATTAAATATATGTGTAGAGGTTTATCCCGCAGCTCTGCTATATGCCTAGTTTTCACTACCTGTACCCACTGACTAGACCAGTCCATGATCGTGTACACAACGCCTTACCTGATGGCAAACATTGCCCACGGAATCTTCTTCTTCTTTGGTGCCTCACTAATCAATGGCAGTCTATCCTTGTAACTCTTGGCGCCGAAACGAAAGGGTTATCGCTGGAAGAGACGTCCATTCTCAATGTAAAGTCCTAGTTTCACGGTCAACAAGACCCGCGAAGCAAATAAGATTGTCCCCGGGCAAGAGAACGCAGAAATCGTCGCAAGCAACGAGAAGGAATACACTGTACTAACTGAAAACAGGGTCTGAAAACGTAATTCTGTAGCGCAATAGCTCGGCTCTATTCCGCGACGACATCAATACAGTCTTATCGGTCTGCAAGTCTGGATGATCGAGTAGAATCAGCTGACAATGTACTTATCTTTACCTTTGAGTTGTATCCAGACTTTAGGTCCTTTTCGTGTGGGTGCTGTGCCTGGGTGCCTTTCACACCGTCCGCGCTTCGTTCCTGAAAGCCGCCCTTGACAGCACACTGGTGCCAAGTCCTTGAAGTCCTAGCTATCATTCTAAGTATAAAATTTGATACAGGCCGGTCCGGTCGTCTAATAGAAGATGACTTACGCTACTAGTGAGTAAATTAGCCCGCTGGTTCTTGTAGACAACTACAATGAGCTACCCAATTTGGCTAGCAGCACCCCATGTTGCCGCCATTGTGGGTCCCCTTCACAAGCTTCCCCTTTTCTTGGATGCACTTGTCCGCAAATCGAATCTTGTTCGCAAAGCGCGGACAACGCAAAGCGCACGATTCTGAATGAGTCGATGGCAGTTTGACGTTCGCCCCCATCTCGACCTATAACGGGGCCTACAGACAGCACGCCCGTGGACAAATGGATATGGAAAACCACAGTACTTATAGCCTGAAATGCGAAGAAATCTCCTGAAGGAGAATTTGCCCGCCAACGCCAGCCTCAACGAGCAATTAAAAAAGGCCACAGAATGCAGCTTCCGATTGGGTGCTTTTTTGGCGGTGCAGCACGTGGAGAAAGAGCCTCGATTTTGGATAACATTGGACAGTCTGTTAGGTAAATGCAGGATTTAATTGGTCTGCTCGCAACTTCATACCTAATTGTTCTCGAAGGATTAGTAGAAGGTAAGCACTAAGACTTGCGCAGGGACATGGTATGATAAGATGGGCTGTGCTATAGTCTGTACTCCGGTCTTTCAAAGTAAGGCGATCAACCACCTATTCATGAGGTTTCAGTCAGCTTACTGTGGTACTGTTAGGCAACCATGAAGCCTCGCCTTCCTCAATTCCCGAAATCTCCTTGCATTCTTTCTTCTCGTTGTGTGCATATCATCTAAGCCCAAACCACTCCATTACTTCCATCTTTTGTTATCATGTTGGGTCGAAGCAACATAGCAGCGAACAAGCGCTTCCTCAAGATTTCGGCCGTGGGCGTTTTCGTCTTCTCCGTCGCCTTCTATATATTTCCAGTACCTACGCTCCCTTTCACGTCCTCGAACAACACTTCAATCAACCTCAAAGATATATCATTAGCGTCCGAACAGTCAATCCTCGAGCCCAGCGAACGCGATGCAGTCTGCTCCTCACACGGAGTTCGTCCCTACCACCCAACACAACACAACTCGCATAAACATGGCCGACGAAAAGTTTACGATCTCTTCATGCTCAATACTGAGCTTGACTGGCTAGAAATTCGACTGCACGAGCTGGCCTCACAAGTCGACTACTTTGTCATCCTTGAGTCGCCCATCACCTTCACAGGGCTCCCGAAAAAAATGTACTACGAGGAGAACAAGCACATGTTTCAAGAATTTGAGGATAAGATCATTCACCATGTGCTGGAACCGCCGCCAGAAGGACATCCAGGTCACATCGAAGGAGTAACGCTGGTGCCTGGGTCGCCTGAATACGAGGCACATGCATGGACCATGGAGCGGTTCCAGCGGAACGCTATGTTTTCGCAAGTGTTGCCCTTTTTGACCAAGGACGCCGCACCAAACGAGGAAGATGTCATTATCGTCTCAGACATCGACGAAATCCCTCGGCCGGCGACGGTGCAACTCCTCCGTGAGTGCCAATTCGGTCGCATTACGACCTTGCGCAGCAGATTCTACTACTACAGCTTCCAGTGGCTCCACCGAGGACAGGAGTGGGCCCACCCCCAGGCAACAACGTACCATGGTGAAAAGGGGACCATCCTCCCCGCTAGTCTTCGCGAGCTTGATGGCTCCCTAGCGGCGGTCCCTGACTCGGACAAGAAAACCATCTACAATAGCGCCTGGCACTGCTCGTCCTGCTTCTCAACCTTAGCCGAGATGCTCCTCAAGATGAAGAGCTTTAGCCACACCAATCTTAATGCAGAGAAATTCAGAAGTAAAGAGAGGATCGTGGAGCATATCAGAAATGGCAAGGACTTGTGGGATCGGTGGTTCCAGTGGTACGCACGGGTTGACAAGAACCAGGACCTTCCTGAGTACCTAAAGCAAGAGGTGGAAAAGGGCAGGTTTCTATATATGATCGATCGGGATGGTGAGAACGCGGGGTTCGAAGACTACACACGCGATGAGGTCTAGAGAATGCCTTCACGAAATTGATGACGATGTAAGATACTTGATGTAAACTACTTAGACAGATCGAGCACTTTTAGACCTCTCGACAAGACACTATCGCAACCCCAGCCAGGAGTAATCCCTCGCTTCGAAGACTAAAGCACACACGGATAACTTGCGCAGCGTTTTTTTTTCTTCTTTTTTTTTCCTTGCGATGCAGCCAACGAAAACGGTTCTGAAGATACTCCGATAGATGAGCGATGTGTAGTAGCGATGGGGCATGTTTGCCTCTCAAGACGCGAAAATAAGATCGTGCATAGATAATACAACAGAGTTGCAAAACGCAGTAACGCAGACTACCGATGTTTACGCTAAAATAGAGTGCTATACAGATGTAACGTAGAGATCAGGGCATGAATCTAAGCGGATAGTGCTTGGTGTTGTGGACCTCATGTGGATCGGTACGGCCGTAGATATAGGTGGTGCGCGATCTCCTGATCTGCCGATCACCTAGACAATCAGTTGCCGCAATAGTCTGTAGCGGGGTGGGCATTCAATCCACGACAAATTGCCAGCTGGGCTACGAAGGCGAAGATACCTATGGTAGTTGCTATAGAATATGGAGGTCATATCTTGTTACGCCATGCGCACGCAAGGAACTTCGGGCCGACCCAGACTACCCTTTGCAGTCGGACGACACAGAACGTGATCGATGTAGCCGATTGCGGAAGATACGACGCGGCTGCCTGCCAGGTGTTGCATTTGTCGGATCGGATGTCGAGAATGCAATATGTGTTATGATTCTTGGCCGTCCCGCACTCTCTCCCCACACCAAGAAAGTGTGTTCGGTCTCTCAACCAATTCACTTCACGGGCCCGAAAGTGTGGCTTATCGATCACCATAGCTGTGCTGTTCGGACCGTCGGCCACCTGGATGGGGGATGTTCGAGGCACCACCCGCGGACAACGTGTCCATACTCAGAGATCGTTGACAATATCGTCAATCATCACGAACCAAGCGTCGAACTGCATAAGCCACGATGCGCAGTCGATTCCCCACCCTATGAAGGTCGATCCAGGCACTTAATGAGCAGCAACTTGCCTCAGACACTTGCGGACGTAAACCAGAGAGGCCGTAGCCGCATACACATGGAATATGTTGAAGCCGAGTTGACTCTTTCAAGCAAGGTGCCACAACCCTGAGGTAATCCCAATGTGATCGTGGCCCGTGTTCCTGCCTCATTCACATTCTTTAGGCTTGCCTGGTCACACAATGTCGACCCCGCTTTACAGCCCAGTCTCTTCGTTTGCGGGACCCGCTGACGCTTCTATCTCTACACTTCAAATGTAGCTCACTTACCGCAATCCATCTTTTACCTATAGGCGATAATGGGTAATGAGCACACGGAGTACAGTGGTGACATCGATGTGCCCGTCAATGCTATTCAGATTATCAACCCGCAAGTAGTATCCAGTAGGTCAAGATCATCTGTGTCTAGGGTATATCTAGACTAACAATTACTGCAGAGCTACCAGATGGCATCATTATAAAAAATATCGCTGCACATGGAGCAAGCTTTTGGACTCGAACCGCTCGTTTGGATGCTGAACTTGATGGCGAGAAGAAACAATACTTTCTGAAGACATCTTTCAGAGATCGAGGCAGAGGCATGATGTCAGGAGAGTTCGCATCAATGTCGCTGATCTACGCAGCAAAGCCCGATCTTATACCGAAGGTACGGGTGTTTTCGAGATCCCGCAGCTTAGGCTAATAACGTCTCTTACTCGCCAGCCGATCGCATGGGGTACCTATTCAACGATACCCGACATACACTTTTTCCTCTGCCACTTCCACGATATCACTGATGAGCTGCCCGACTTGCATACTTTCCCGGCCATGCTCGCCGAACTCCATCGCGCGGGGACGTCACTGGACGGTCGCTTCGGGTTTGCCTACACTACATACCATGGCAACACACTCATCAAGCATGGATGGTCCAACACATGGGAGGGCTACTTTACGAGAACTACCCGGGAACTGTTACGATTAGAGCAAGAAGCTCAGGGACTCCACCAACAACTCATAGAGTTGACCGGACCCTTCTTGGAGAAAGTAGTTCCCCGTCTACTTCGTCCACTAGAGACTGGCGGTCGTACCATCAAGCCCTGCCTTATCCATGGCGATCTATGGTTCGGCAATGCCAGTATGGATCGTGATTCCGAGTTGCCAATCATCTTCGATGCTGCATCTTTCTACGCGCATAATGAGTGTAAGAATCCAAGAATGCTACCATTGCATTGCACTTATCAATTACTAGACGACCTTGGGGTTTGGCGAGCAACATGGAACAAGATTGGCAAGCCTTACATCACGGAATACCACAGAAGTTTTCCGGTTTCGCCCCCCGAGGAGGATCACGATGACCGTAACGCGCTTTATGCTACGTAAGTCAGCACATGACCTATGTCAATACTGTTCGCTACATACAGCATCTAAGTTAAGGTTGGAAGCAGACGTGTGAATGTGCTTGATTCAATCCTGTATAAAAGCGATCCTAGATATAGAGAGAAGTGAGTCGGTAAGACAATAACACGGCAGGTGCTAATTACGTCGCAGACTTATTGTGGAGATGAAGAAACTTGTGGACAAGTTTCCCGGTGACTACGAGGCATGGGAAGATGCAAGGAACTCGAAGGCTTAGGCGAGGGGTCGTACGGTGCAATCGCATCATGATAGGGTGAACTCATGAACGATCCGGACTGCATTGCTGCTAGCTGTACATATGCAGATTACAGATGGAAGTAAGCATCTTACAACAATCCTTTAGTGCTGGCGGCCTTGTTCCCTTTCCTTGCACTTTGGCTACGGCCTGCCGTGCAGCGACAGCCAAGGATTTGAAAGCCGCTTTTGTCCGGTGGTGGTCGTCCTCACCCTTCACAACGTCCGCATGTAAAGTGACTCCCGCCAATCGAGTGGAACTTTGAAGTATGTGTGGGATTTTTGAGACTGTGAACATCGATGGGTGCCTCGCAGATAATCACATTTTGTTGCCTAGACACAATCCATCCGTGCTCACCACGGGCGCCCAATCCCTTTCATCTTTCTCTCATTGCTTACTTCAAGGAATACACACCGGTTCCTTGAATGGCACCAGCATCCTATAGAAGTTAATGACAGTATTCGTAGTTCACGACCAGCTTACGTGCACCTACTAGCATCTCCTGGGGTACCTGGGATGTCCACACGTATTTGACATCCTGTGCATAATCGCCATACCAGAGTTTTCCGCTCGTCCGTTTCGTGATATCGTCTATCACAGCCGTTGCATAGTCCGCAGTAGGCATTCTGGTGATCCCATCTTCTCCACGAGCCCGGGCTGCAATTGTACCTTCGATGCGCTTGTACAAAGAGTTTTCTGGTAGCGTGAAATCGTCGAAGTACGTTTGGCCCTTGGAGATTACCGCCCCAGTCACTATCATCTTAACACTCACACCAAAAGGCTGTACCTCATGGCGTAGAGTGTCCGCAATGATTTCGATTGACCTCTTCGAAGCTGAATAGGTTCCTAGAACTCTTTAGCATATATGTCTTATCTACTTGCATGTGATTAACTCCTCAAATGCTCATGATGACTTACCCATCCAAGGAGTGTTACCGTAGCCTGCTATAGATGTGACGAACACAAAGCTACCTTTGGCTTGGATTACCATTGGTGAAAATGCCTGAGTAACTGCTAGTGGACCCCAAACGTTAGTGTTGAAGAGGTCTTTGGTCTCCTGGATGTTTTCGTCCAGAATTGGCCTGAAGTGGTTGTGCCCAGCATTATTGATAAGATAGTCGAGCGTCCCTCCAGTCGCCTTTGCCACGGCATCGACCGCCTCCCTCACTTGTTCCGAGTCGGTGATGTCAAGGGTCAATAAGGTGACATTCCCGAGGTCCTTGAGCTCCGACATCTTGGCAGTATTTCGAGCAGTCGCAAAAACCTGGAAACCTCGCTGCCGGAAGGTGAGCGCAAGGGCTGACCCGATTCCGCCATCGCTGCAGCCAGTGATTAGGACGCTTCCCGAAGGCATCGCGGTCAAGTCAAGCGAAGCTGCTTGAGAAATAGACTGAAGTATAAATCCTACAGAAGGTGTGGACTAGATGCAAGAGAGAAATTGGATGAGAGTACAAAACAACTTCGAAAGATGTGTTGGTCGCGCTTAACCTAGATAAAAATCCGCGCGGCCACGTGTCCGAAACACATGCTATGCCCCAGAGCTAGTGTACGGTTCAATGATGCTCCTTGGCACATTGTATTGAAGTTGACGATATCTGGAAATTCAATTGCGGCGCGAACTATTCGTGCGAATCGTATGGCACCTGCAACTGGCCCCGGGGCCCAACAGTCCGGTTCGGCATGCCCTTGCCTCATCGAACCATGCAGGTAAACGCGAAAAATAATATCGAGCTGGCGTGGCAATATGCTTGTCAGCATGGCTACGATTTGATAGAATTCTGGCCTCGGTTAAGTCTTTCAAATCTGGCGTACTTGATCATCTCCGCCGCAGCTCTATCGTCTTACTTAAGAAGGCGTTATTGAGGCTCCACGTTACCGCGCTATCAACTAGATGGTCTCTGAACTAACCACCAATAGTAGAAGAAGAGTGAAATCACGTCCGGAAACCCTCCCGCCACCCGAGAGCGTTTTTCCAAACCTTTAAAAATCCCCGCTTGGGTGGTCCCATTCATTATGGGCGCTTTCATCAAGGTTCCCATGTACGTCTTCGCTGGTTTAAGGTTTTATATGAAGCTTCTCGTCCGAAAGAAGATCGCCGCGGACGACTGTAAGGCAATTACAATTTCGTTGGCTTCAGCGAAAAGTAAGATCATCTACGAACCACGCTGGTCGCAATTGTGAGAACCATATAAGTTTCGACTCCGGTGTCGCTAACTCGCGAATAGCTTAGTTCTACTAGGTACTATATAATCTGCGTTCATGGTAAGTTTTTTTGATCAGTCTAAGACCATCACTTGTATCATGTAGCTGTCACTGTTGGAAAATATGCGACCCATATGTGGGACATCGCTGCAGTCCATGCAATGAGCAACATATTCCTTGTCGTGAGTTCATGCTCCAACAAATATAAAGCTTGCTCACAAAACAAGATCGAGTGTTGTCACTAACTGGCCTATAGGACTCGTCCACGCATTGGAAAATATCTTATTCTTTCTCATATATAACCAACTTTCCAAGCCTCCGAGATAAGTACAGTGAGCCTATTAACTTAGCTTGTTTCTCAAGAGGGGATTTTGCTCCGGACTCATCGCGGCAATGTTCTATTCCACAGCTCCACATTTGGGTGAAGCCTGGACAGTGGCATCGATGCATCTGCGAGCAAAAAGAGTCCTCGGTATGGTTTTACCGATTGCTAGTGGAAGCCTTTCCCTCAACCTCTGTATCGTAATCATCCCGATTATTACTACATTGGGGTTGCAGCTCACAATGACGCGGAGGTGGCGCGTGCTGGTGCTCTCTGTCACAGGGACTATGTTGTTATACTCTCGCAACGGAATCAAGCACACGAGCTGATGATTTGAGTAGGAATGCATAGCTTCCACACATCCAGTCATGTAATGCCAATCTCTACGCACATACGAATCACTGGACATACAGGGTGTATCCCACATCGCTTATCTGCTTAGTGGAAATATGCATCGGAGTCATCTGCAGCTGTATGCCTTCCACGGCGGGGTTAGTGGAACGCTTGACTGATGGAGACAGTTTCACAACGTCGGGCGTGCGGTTACTCAGTTACGGACGTAAGCGCACGGGCTTCCGAAAAAGTAACTCTTCTCTATCATCCAGCGGGGATGGGTCATCAAGGTTCCAAGAGTCCAGGTACCCGAGACATATCACAGCGAAGACGTACATCAATACTGAGAACGAGACCAGTCAACTGGTAGCACGAAATTGATGAGTCCGATGATCACTTTGCTAGCAACGGTCGCTTTGGAGACGATCATGTACGGTCTTAGCAGCTGCACCTTCATACCTCCTGCGGTCGAAAGCTGTTCGGTCACGTTACTGAGCAGCCAATCAGGGGGCTAATTCGAGCTCTATGGGCGTCTTCTGATTACCCAGGTGGTGTGCTCAACACGTGACTGATTAGCATTAGGCCGCCCTAAGGTATACTTGCGATGTCGCTCGGTAATAATATTGTGGCGATTCCCCGTATCGACAAACGGCAATCAATCTGATCTAAAGGGGTGCACAGCTGGCTGTGACGTCGGAGCCGCCTCGGACCATGAGTTCGCGCATAGGGCTCGAAGTAGCAAATAATAAAAGCTTAGAGGTGATCAGCGGCAAGGATAATGATGGACGCTTATCAAAAGCTGTTGAAAGCGCCTTTCCTTCTGCGCCACCATAACGGCTTACTCCAATAACATTCCATGTCGATACAGGAACTCAGGGTTATAACGAACAAGTTAGAACACCCAAAATGATTGAGAAGCAGGTCTCATGGTATGTTTCCGACAATGTGAGTTTGCTTTGCGGCTCGTCCGCCTGGGATTGTCACTACCACACAAAACGAGATCCTCGAGAGGGAAGGTAAGTATAATCTGGCTGCAGAACAAGTAAGGCAGGATTTTGCGAACCCTGGCACGTCACTTGGGTGATTCATGCGTGTAAGCCGGACGTTAGCGGGAGGCTATCGCCTGTGGGGAACAGTGAACTCAGTGCCGCGCACGGGCCGCGATCCCATACATCTCGCCTCCTCCTCGCAATTCCTGTTTCCCGAACTTCTCAAAGTGCCATCCGACAACCCACTCTCCTTCGCAGTACTGCATACCTTCATCATTTCAGCGCATGGTCTGTTCTTCGCAAAATCCCCGACGCAGAGGGGGAAATCTTACACTACGTCCTAGCATGGTGCCGTGGCTGACACACTCGTATATGCAACAGAGCTTCTAATCAAGCGGACCTCCTGACCCCTCGCGCCGGGGTCGCTCATGCTTAGACCCAGTACGACGGATACTTTTGATCGATATCTGACATCGAGGCTCGAGGTTGCGAACTCGTATATGACTGCTGATGCGATTGGTATAGGAACCCTTCTCGCTGAGACCATTGTGATCACCTGGCATCTGGCAGACAAGCTTCGCCCAGAAGTGCTTGTATCTACGCGCTGTACTACTGCATTCGGGTAATTAACTGGCCAAGGATGCAACCACTTCCCTGACGTTTCTTATCAGACCTATGGTCCTGGATAACTACTATCGCAACATGTCTCGTACTTCACATTGAGCCCGAGGAGTTTGAAGGAGAGCAAACACAGCCACAGTCGGATCTTGAAGGTTAGGCACATAAGGCGAAGCATGTACCATGCAAGTTGTGACTGACCTGAACCCCAACGGACCATGCACTTCAGCTCTTAGGAAACCTGTATGGTATCTAGTGCCACTAAATATCGGCTTGTAGTAGATGTGAGTGCAATGCTCGATTCTGCAAGACTGAAATGCATATACTGTGCTGCAAGTCGACTATTGATCCCTGTCATGTCAATGGCTTATCGAAAGGGCCGAAGGAAGCCTTCAGTGGATGGTGTGCCCGGTGCTTATCCTCTGGCCTCATCTGATGAGCTCACAAGACTTGTGTGAATACAGTGCAGCTCGAGGTCTGAGACAAGAACCGTCGTGAATTGACACTAAGCTGCATTGCATCAGTTCTGTACTATGCAGATGATCACCAGGCTTAGCAATGGCAGCTATTGCACTTCCAAAAACGCCAATGGAGACAACATAAAAGAGACCTCAACGTCGTCTCTCCAGCTCAAAATTACCAGCCTCCAATTCTTCAGTTTCCTGATCATCTAAACACTTTGCAAGACCTCAGCAAGACATTTTCTTCCGCAAAACTACAATTCATCATGGGTCTTTCTCAAGTCGGTGAATCATACGAGAACGACGGAAACTTCTCTGAAATCAGCCTTCTTGACACCCAGAAGGGCGGTGATGTCTCACGCCTCGAGAACTTCCGCTGCAGCCACCCTGATGGTACCTTGACCAGGAGCGGAACGACTGTCAAGGCCATTGTCGGAGAAGAGCATCTCGCTCTTGACAGCAACCGGACTTTTCGCATGATCTACTCCAAGGGAAGCGGCAACCAGATCCTCTCTCGTCTGGAGATGCGCGAGTTCTACGATGAAGATGGCAGTTACATCTGCACCATCCGTAACATTGATGGCAATGACCCAGCATTTGGCACTGCCATGATCTCGACTGTCAAGCCCATTGACAACGCCATTTCCATTAACTACAAGATTGTAGTTCCGGGCCCGGTTCGCAAGCAGTACATATACTCGCCCAACACCACCACAGTCCAGGATCAAGCCAAGGGTCTCGTCGATCTTGCAAAGGTTGGCGACTTGGACACGGACACGGCGCTCGACTTTCAACTCGCTCTCGAAGGCGACAACACCGAGCCCATGGATAAACTTGCCCAATGGGCTGCCGGTGTCCGCGACCAGTACCCCTTGTGGTCCAAGAATGTCGTGTCGTACTTGCGCATGGGCGATTTCCGCGACAAGCGCATCCACAACGGCACCAACCTCACGGGCGACCACACGTTGCTGGCCTCGGAATTCGTCCCATTGAGCAACTACCGCGTGTCGCTCGTCACGTCAGGCAAAATCTTCGACCTGGCAATGGCGGGTGGTGCCCATGAGACGCATCTCCAAACGCCACTCCTCATCGACAGCAAGCCCGGTAATTACTCGCCGTTCCTCCTGGCTTACGGACACAACATCGTCTTGACCCAGCTGGGTATTGATAAGGTGCACAGTGATTACTCTGGCGTGCCAATGAAAATTGCGCCGGGCAGCAGGATGGAGAATGGAGCCAAGCCTGTGGTAGACTCGACGAACTTGAATCGTTCCCTAGCGCTCGTGTCTGCGTTTTTCTACGCGCCGGACGCGCTTCACTCGATTGTTAACACCACGCCGAAGATTTTGGCTTTTGGTGGACAGAAGAAATTCAAGGCTGTACTGCCGTCCCGCACCTAAGTGTTGGAGAGATGTCGTCATTGGTCGTGACAGTCATTACCGGTTTTGGTAGTTCGGAAATTACGATAGTAGCAGTAACGTAGGAAACTCTTGAGTTCTTGTCATGGCTGTCTTCCTTCTACGCTGAAGTCTTCGTCTCGGAAGTTGTGCCCAAAATCTATTGAATAATCGTTGTCACGAAAGTGTAGCTAGAAACGTGATGCAGTGGCCCAGAAATTAACTCAGTAGAAATGTTAGCATCTTCAGCGTCGATTGTCCCTACAAGTCCTTGATACGCAACTGGTTTGAAGGCAGGCGTGGAATTCTCTCGTCACTAATTGAACTACCTACTTCAATCAATTTGTGCGCGTTACAGGTCGCAGAGACACTATTCACATTTGCGCGTGGGCTTTTACGGTATGTAGCAGCGGCATTGTTCAAGTACGGCATGCAGCAGCAAGCAGTCCGACTGCATCACAAAGACGTTGCCGCCGGGTACGCAGCCCCCAGATATCGGTCACATAGTGCTTGCCCAGCTGCTTGGGGCTTCAATACAAATTCATCAGGTGGGGAGGAGTGTTCGATGCTGAAACTGTATCCAACGCCAAATGTCGCGGGAGACGCGATGTTCTTATTTCTATCTGTAGCAGGATAATTGAACACATAGATCTAACTTGATATTGGTAGCACCCTCATTCTCTTCGCGTAGTTCTTGTCTTTCGTCCATTCTTCTGCAACCCTTGAATAGAAAGTCTGCCCAAGTACATGCATCTTTTTGCGATCGAGCTTTTTGCTCGCCGTACGTGGGATCCATGACATCAGTATGAACATCGTAGGGATCATATACCGTGGGAGGCTGAGACCGATGCCCCTCTGTATCCTCTCGACCATTTCCTTCGCTTGCTGGTTGCTCGTGGCATCGTGAAGTGACGGGACTTGTCCGGTGACAGCAGAAGCACTCAAGGGATGATCATCGAGGTAGAGGAACGCTGTGAGAGATGGATCCGCTCGTCCATCTATCGTACCCAACAAATCGACCACTATAAAATCTTTATCAGACAAGAACTTCCGAGCTTGATGCTCGACCTCGAGTGCATCAACACGGCAGCCATCCAACTTGAGAATCGTGTCTTTCCGGCCGAGATAGGTAATAGTACCATCAGGGCTCATTCGGCCTAGATCGCCACTGCGATACATGCGGTATTGGGAACGGGTTGGATGCAGTTCACTTAGCCAGCGGGGAATGACTTTCAGAAAGCCAGCCTCAGTGCGGCGGAGAGCGGTTGAGTCGATGTATCCTCGTGAGAGATGTGGACCTTCGATAATGATCTCGCCGACTCCGCCAATAGGGACAAGTTTCTCTGGAGAGGAGGAGTCAACAATCCAGATGGCGCCGCTCGAAGGTCGACCGATTCTGGAACCTTCACGGCGATCAACCTGATCGTTGTAGGCACAGCATACAGCCACTTCACCCATACCATATTGATTGACCAGTCGAGTGGAGTGGCCAGACCATTTTTGAACAAGATCCTTTGTGAGTGCTTCGCCGCCGACACACATTATTTCGAGACCGGGAACGTCCTTGGGCTCCATCTTGATAGCGACAGTAGGCGTGAGGAAAATGATGTTGGCTTCTAGAATGCGGATCTGCGATGCAAGGTCTTCCACAGTCTTCATGGGCCCCGGAACGCAGCAAACACCACCGAGGATGAGTGGAACTAAGAACTCAAGGTTGCTGATGTCGAATGCATAATCGTCGAAATGGAGAAATCGTGTCTGTGTGCTCAGGTGGAAATTGTTCGCGTAATCCTGGATGGCCGTGGCGTAGGAAGAATGGATCTGTATGATGCCTTTCGGTGTGCCGGTGCTTCCAGATGTAAAGAGGACCAGACATGCGTTGTCAGGTCGGACATCCTTACAGACTGTTTCGTCTGTAGGTCTGGGCAGACTTCGAAGCCACGCGGAAGACAATTCCACTAGCGTTGGGACCACATGGCGGAAATTGTCCGCGAAATACGAATCTGTCAGGATGATCTCGGTTTTGGTGCGGATGATGACAGAATCGAGGTAAGCGGGAGGGTTGCTCGCATGAATGGATATATACGCCCCGCCTGCTCTCAAGATGGCCAGTCGAGCAACAGTTGCCCAAGTGGACTTCTCGAAGCAGCTTAGAACAAAGGTTTCTGGACGAACGCCAAGTGTAACAAGATGAGATGCGAGCCTCAACGAGAGGTCATCGAGCTCTGCATAAGTCATGTCACCATCCCATGAACGGATTGCCAATTGGTTTGGACGTTGTCGGCACTGATAGATGATCAAGTCGTGCAGGCATCTCTGCTTTACCGGGGAAACGGTGTTTGTAAACCCCTGAATCAATTTTCGGTCCGCCGGTGGGCAAAGATCCACGTTGTGAACTAGATCAGTTTCTGAGGCATTCGAGATTTGAGCGAAGATGTGCTGGAAGGTGTTCAGGACGCTCCTGGCCATTTCTTCATCGGTGTGCGAAAGGCGGTAATCCAACTCCAGAGAGAATCCACCATCTGGCGAATGTGTTACGACGAATTTCATGTCAATCTTAGAATTGGTCAGTGAATCTCACGCTTTTCCTTTTCTCTCGGCGTACCTCTTGTTGCAATAGCTCCAATGTAGCTGAGACTTCACATTGCTGAGAACCTTCACGGTACCAGATGGCCGTGTTACACTGATGATGCGGCGACCCTGCGTCCACCATGTGGATGTCGGAAGTCTGCTCAGCCTGCCCAAGTCGGCTAACCAGAGACCTCACTGGCTCGCTGCGCTCTATCCGCATTATGTACAGAGCTGTGACAGCCTTTGTCTGTCGTTCACCATATCCGCCGTCAACGTTCACCAGCCTATCATACCCGAAGCAAAAGACATCAGCAACCACGAAGCACTGCAAAGTCAAGACCCATGCAGCCTTTAAAGTTGCCGGCACATTCGCCAACGGTATAGAGTGTCCCGCATCGAGCAGGGCAATTTCGATTGATGTCCTTCCTACAGCATCTGGAGTTTTGCTGGAAGCCGGAAAGAGGCACTTGGAGCGGTCGAGAGGACCTGAACGATTGTCTCGATGAGTTGGGTTGGTCATGATTGCCAATGGTCAACAAGGCATAGGTAAGATGTTTTCAAAGCAAAAAAGGCATTAAGAAAAGTACAAAGGTCGTCGTACCTTGCCGAAGACGCCGAGCGGTGGACCAGCTCTCATGGCATCATGGCACGAGAAGTTACAGCATGTTGGCATGTCGGTTCAGATCCCTGTAGCGTAGATCTTGCACATTTCCCTTGAGAGGATTGATCGCAAAGGGGTTGTTAGCACAAATCAGTCACTTGTGACGACGACTGCCTGTTACAGGAGGAGTCAGCACTACAAGGATCCACCAGACCCGCCTACGTACTGTAATTGGACCGGATGGTTTCGGCGAACGAAGATGTAGGAGATCGCGACTTGCTCAATTCGTTAGTTCAGCTGGAAGGAAATGAGACGGCGCTACCAGCTCGCGTATCTGAGCCGGCCCAGGCATGGGCGCAGCCGATCAATGCACGATCCTATCCTTCTTCGTGCGCCAGCGAGGCTTTCAATAACGTAAAAAGGGTTTGAAATCCTCAATGGCCTATTGCCTGCGACCATCAGAGCACGTCCTACTGCAACAGTGACTTCGCCGACAAGGCGCTGCGAACAGATAAATGTGGAGTAGTCCGCAGGAAGCGGATCGCTCGCGTGCGTAGCGCCGGGCACAAGAGGAGTATTTTAATTTACAGACACTGAACATCATTATGTAACATTACCCAGTTACTTTAAACCAGAATACTCTTGTTCGTTTTTGTGATCTACTAGTCGAATATGTGCAATGAGCCATGATACAGGATAAAGATATTCAAATTAGTCTTTCATAGTACTTTATCATGATATAGGAATGTTCTTATATTGGAGATATTGATCCTCTTTACGCTTATCTCACTTATGGATCCATTTACTGTACGCCTACTTCTCTATAGGATGAGTCTTCTCTAAGGATGCTAGCTACAGACGTGATAAAAACGTCTCGTCAATGTCATTCTGCGCTCGGTTCGCAGCCGTGATACGTGCCCCACTGAATCCTCTAGACCATGCAAAGGTGTGGAAGGCGGTAATAACGGAACACTATCAGAACAGGGAGCAAAGCTCGGGCGGGAGCGACCGTCGCATCTCCTTCCAGGCAGCCGCCAGGCAGCTGAGTGCTGTCGCTATGTCATTTGCGATCGATTGAAATTTTTCTTCCAGAACCGTCGTACCATTATCCCAATTCGCACGCGCCGATCTACTAGTAAGCGCTTTGGGCCACTTTTCGCCAGCCCCGGTACTGCGCTTACCCTGGCTCAAGCTGTGCGTACTCTACGTGCCGATCCCAGGTCGCAATCAATCACGTTGTCTATGATTTTGGATTGTGGGTGGGTGGCGAAGATATGGAGCTGCAGGTGTGATAGACCTCGTGGAAGAGGATGGAGGGGAGGACGACAAGGCACCGTCATGCACATGAAGACATCAATGGTGAAATCGCTTAAAAGAAGACCACCTAAGACCTCAAGACGGCGTAGTCTTTCCAAACTTTTTTTTTCAGCAGTAACTGTCCCCGAATGATGAGTTACATATACTATCCGATCACAGGTATTAAGGACGGCCGGGGTGCTAATGATGCTGTTCCAGTACGGCGCGAACTCAAAGAATGGACTGAAAGCAAAGACCCCAAGGATAGAAGCCAGGTCATTTTGTTCATTCTGGCCTTGAAACGTTTCCAGGCTGTACCACCTGAGTCTCGAGATTCGTACTTTCAAATCGCTGGCATTCATGGCATGCCATATACGAACTGGGATGAGCCTTCGTTGACACTTGACGAAGCAGGACAGAAAGGCTATTGTGTACATGCCAATGCTCTGTTTCCGCCATTTCATCGACCGTATCTCTTGCTATACGAACAGCGCATCCACGAAATCATGGTAAAGGAAATCATCCCTGAGCAACCGAAACATCGGCAAGCAGAATGGACTGAGCTCGCCAACACCTGGCGACTTCCACATTGGGACTGGGCAAAGAACCCACAGGTGCCAAGTTTGCTGTGTTGGCCGACGGTCACACTGACCCTAGGTAACGACCAGCCGCTGAAGATCAAGAACCCCCTCTATAGTTTCAGGATGCCCAATGATAAAAAGATGGGTGAATATGGGGTGGGTAGACTGAAGAACCCGGATGGAGAAGATTACCTGGAATTCGGCGAATGCTTTGCGACCAATCGTTGTCCTATTGGAGAGGAGGAGCGGCAACCCGATAGCGATTTCTGGCGGAATGGAGGAGCTCATCACGATGTGGCGAACAAGTTCCTAAAGGAAGCTAACTCGATTACTGGCTTCGATTACGGAACCGCGTCCGAAATGGTATATCGACTGCTGACTTACCCGTTGGACTTCGAAACATTCGGAACATTGGCCCGGGATGCCACATTGGGCTCCAATAGCGAGTCAAGCGTGGTGAACGATATGAACCTGGAGTTTATCCACAACAATGTTCACTATTGGGTTGGGGGAGACGGTGGGCATATGAGTCAGATTCCAGTTGCTGCATTCGATCCATTATTTTGGTTCCACCATTGGTAAGTTCCTCAATGCTTCCGAAAAGATATTACATTCTCAACCAAGTCGATCTAGCAACATCGATCGTCTCTTCGCGCTCTGGCAAACACTGAACCCGGACAAATGGCTCCGCGTAGACATACAGAAACCGTTCCCCTACAAAACCATAGGAATGGGCGACATCGTGACCGACAAGACTCCTATGCGACCCTTCCACAAAGATGAAACAGGTACTGTCTGGATGCCTTCTGACGCCCGTGACTGGTATAAGCTCGGATACACCTATCCTGAACTTCAGCCCTGGAATGTAAAACCAGGAGCGGATATGAGGACGGAGCTTCTCGAACAGGTGACGGAGGCCTACGGCATAAATAGGAAGCAGGCCCTTGCAATGGCTCAAAACCCACAAGATGTCCCAGGATCCGTAGAAATCAACGACAAGAATCCCGAGTGGAACAAGGATGCGGCAAGTGTCGCAATGAACGACTATGCGCTTAGCATTAAGTACTCAAAGTTTGTCTCTTCCAATGACGAATCCTTGTCACTGCGCTGACCATTTCAGGTTCGCCATGGGTGGACAGCCGTTCAACGTGGAAGTGTACCTCAAACGTGAGGGTCAAGTAGAAGAGACGTTCAGCAAGGAGGACTACGTTACCAACGTGTACAACTTCAGCCAGCCGGCCGAGCAAGACGGCCAGGAGGTCTGTTCGAACTGCGCTGAGGGGCAGGCGAACGATGTGCAAGTGACGGCCTACATACCAATATCATCATACATCATCAGCCAAATCAAGTTAAGTCAGCTGAGCAGCATGACTCCGACGACGGTAGAAAAGTTTCTCGCTGGGATGTATTACAGAATCGTTGGTCCCAGCGGTCAGATTGTCGAAGAGCGCCGATGGCGCGAAAGCCTGGGTCTCAAGGTAGGCGTGTCCCATACTCAGATGACGTACTCCGAAGACCCAACTGTGACACCGGATTTCGACGACCCCAAGCTGATACCTTCACTTGGCACTGGTAACGAAACGCCAACGGCCAGCATTCGGTAAGTTGGCCCCCTCTGCCTGAATCTCCAGTCTACCATCATCTTTGTTAACGCCACATTTGATAGCGGCGTTACCGCCATCAACTTGCCCGTGTACGGAATCACGCAGCTCAGCAAGACAGTCTCCAACGGTGGCACCATCACATTCAAATCGCCGACTGTCAACCTTGCCCAGCCTCGTCGCGAGACCATTCGTACTTGCGTTTCCCTGCTGTCTTTTCCGGATGGCACAAGCAGCGCGGATATCCACTCGGAAGAATCTTACGATGTGCTGCTCAGCATAATGCTGCTGCCCAAACGCCGCGTCATCCAGTGCAATAGCAAACCAGCGCACCGCGGATTCCAGCATGACACGGAAATCAAGCCCAGCCAGTGGTTCAAGGCAGAAGATGCGGTACTAAGGGTTGACGTGAAAGAATCCCAGTGGACTATCTGGGTTGATGGGCAATTGGTACAGAGTGTGGACAAAGGCATCCTAGGGAAGGCTATCACGCATGTGCATTACAAGACTGCACCGGACGGCGAGGCACCAATTTTTGCGAGGGATATTGTAGGAACAATATTTGAGCAGACCGAGTTGGTACCGAATTCTTGAGAGTATGGAGGAAACATCTATAGTCATGATATTAATCACTACTGTACAAACGATTGCTGGATCATCTGTATGTGGTACCGACCATTGCAACTCTATGTATTACCTTTCTATACAGGCATGTGATCCAAAAGCTGTCAAACACACCTCATTTGCGCACACCCCGAGAAAGCATCTTCGGCACCAAGCGTCCTCGGTCGCTTGAATCCCGCAGATGAAGCACCACAACGGCATGGTTCCCACGCTCTCCGCCTCTTCTGCCAAAGCCCTCCTCCGTTCTGTGCTCTCTTTCCCAAAGACATGCCTCATCATCAAATCCCTATCGATTGACCCACGATCCAACTTTGGCAGCCAGCGCACCCATGGACTCCTTCTGCGAATCGCCGACTGGATCCTCAACCTCATGGCAACGTCCCTATGCAGCGCAATCATTGCACCCAGCCCTCGCACCGCACCCGGCGCCTTCGTCTCGGGCTCCAATTCGTACAGAATGTCACGCACCGTCTCCCCAACCGCCATGCTCCGCGCGGGCCAATCCTCGGCGTGCGCCACGCGCAACACGCCCAGCGCCTCGAGCAACACAGGCAGCCGCACCGGCCGCGAGACCATCGCGCGCCAGTACAGGATGCTTTGCATGATGTCGGCACGCTTCTTGTATGCAAAATTGCGCGTTATGACGCCCGCGAAGCCGATGGCCAAACCGCTGATGCCCAGGCCCTTGCCGAAGATGACCAAATCGGGCTGCACGTCGTTGCTGACGGGGTTGTACTCGGCACGCTGGAACGCAAATGGCGCGCCGCACCGGATGGCAGTCATCGTCTCGTCCACGATGACCAGCAGCCGGTTGCGCTGCGCGGCGAGCTTGAGCTGCGCATATTGCGTTGGCGGCAGTACACTGCCATCCTCGGTGGAAACCATGTCGAAGACGACGCCAATGGCGCCTCGGGCTTTGGCCGCAGCGAACTGCGCGTCGAGATCCTCTTGCGAGGGCTGCGCTTTTAGATTTACGACCACTGGCCGTGGGCCGGCAGCGATGGCTTGGACTTCCCATTCCTTGGACGTGTGCGCTAGAGGCCCAAACCCAGCGCCATAGATGCCTTCGATGGCGATGAAGTTTGGGGCTTGAATGTGCGCTTCGGTCCAGCCGAGGAGAGCGAGAGAGAAATCACGGATGCGCGTGCCGGTTTCTTCGGGGGCTTCATTGCCCTTCGGACGCAACTCTTCGCTTTCCAGAATCAAAGGGCTGGTCGCGACGGTGTTCAGAATGAGACTAGCGATGGTAGTGGGGAGCAAGGCGTCAGTGGCATGGGCGTGGAGGGAAATGGGATAGTAGGAGCCGAAGAAGTCGGCGAAAAGGTTGGTATAAGAGCCTAGCAGGACGTGGAATTGACGCTCAACGGAAGAGGGATTCGAAAGGTACTGAAGCCAAAGAGCACGAGTTTGAGGATCATTGTTGATGGCGCCACGGGCAGAATATGTGCAGCCCCAGGCCGAATGAAAGTCATGGTCTGGTAGTGGTTCGATATTCTGGATGTTGTTGTGGGAGCTCATTGTCAAAGGACAGACACGGGGAATCTAACGATAGAAGGCGGATAGAAGGATAGAAGGGCAGACAAGTGGAATGACACAGAATATTTCACTAGTCTATCAATCAAGAGGTGGGTCTTTCGAGCTCCAACCATTTTCTATCTAACATAACCTGGCAGAAGTAGCAACAGAAGCAGAAGACGTGGGAACAGGTAGTGACGACAGATCGCTCAAAAGGCAAGTACTGTGGGAATGGTGACGCTCTGTCCCCTGGAATTATCGAATAATTCTGAAATGCTCCGGGCCGTTCTTCCTGAGTTGCAAGCACTGATGCATAACCGCGTGTACAGTCTCCAGGCCTGATACTAGTGACACTGCCGGCGACATCGATAACCGCACTAGTAACATCTTCGCCGAAGTCAATAGAGAGGTTGCCGCACCCCCGTATGTAGGTTTATTACTTAGGGCCTAATACATTTAGTTACTTGAGATAATAGAGTAGTATGAACTATCATACTAAATCAATATCCTTGATTTCCTATCTTTTGACAACGCATATATTTTCGCTTATTGGCAGACTTGTTCATGCACTAAATTACTAGCGCGTCAAGATCTGATGGACATCTAATACCAGGAACGGTAACCCCTCTCTGACGAAGTCGTCTCCACTGTCACGCGGGAAACGTTCATGGTCGGCGAGGTGGAAGTTATGATCGTGATCCTCCGTCGCTTGCATGATCGCAACTAGCGACGGCAACCCAGCTCATATGCCAGCCAGCCACCAACGCCGATCAATGTGCGCCCCACAGACCCCGACTGGCAAGTTCGGCCAATGATCCCTAGCAGATCTGGCTGCATCCGTATGTATTGCGACCCCCTGAGTATCTACCGCTGATCTTACCCGATGGGAACCTTGCTGCGACTAGAGGCTCGGCCCGCCAGGGCGGCTGCGATTACCACCTCTAATGCGAAATCGAGAATGAAGGTGTGGACGGGGTAGATATTGGAGATTATATGAGGCAAATGCGCTGGAATTACCTCTGCGAAACTCGAGCGAGTCAAGTTTCTGCCTCAAGTGACCTGGACGTTCGCCAACTTCTATTCCAACATGAGCATCTGGAGTTCTGCTCAAACCGGTATCCTTACCAAGGAGAAGATTGAGGAATACCTCCAAAAAGATTCTACCCTCACCATTGATTCCGAAGACAAGTCTGGGCTCACACCACTAGCGTACGCTCTGCAGGGTGGAAATACCAAAATCGTCGAGCTTCTCCTGAAGAATGGCGCTAAAGTGGACAAGAAGATCGGAGAGACCATAAAACCTCAGGACCTCAGGACTCCTCTGTACCTTGCAGCTACTGCCCGGAAAGATCCAGCCAGGTGCGTGCAGCTCGTTCTGGAGAAGAATCCCCAAACATTAGACGAACCTGTGCCTGGGTCATGGAAAGATCAAACGCCTTTGATGGCCGCTGTTGCCCAGCCAAACCCCAGTGCTGAAGTCATCAAACTACTCCGCACGCAAGGTGCTTCTCTTGACAAAAGGAATTCCGAGGGCAAGTCTGCCGAGGATATCGCACAGGCGCTTCACCCTCAGAGGCAGGATATCAAAGATGCGTTGAAGGTTGTACCTTCCAAACAGCGCGGTGGTCTTTCCAACTACATCCAGGGATGGGTGTTCTCCGTCCTGAAGTACTTCAACATCTGGACCCCTTTGAACAAGATCTTCGGCTCTTCGGCTAGGTACTTCTACCGACTGACGTCACCTACTGGAGTAACTCCTGGACTGGTATGATGCTAATATATATCCCATCATGCATTAGACTAACGAAGATATAGTTTGATGACGAACCTCAAACAGCAGCACAATTCAAAAACAACCTGGACATGACTGTGAAAGAAAAAGGACTCGACAAATTCTTCCCACCTAACGACCCGTTCATCAAAGAAGTGGCGGAAAACGCAGCAAAGCTCAAGGACGATCCGAACAACCTTCTCAAGCAGCCCAATCAAATCCAGGATCTTTCTAACTTAGCATTGTACCAACCTGTTCTATACTGCGGTAAGCTACACGCCTGTCTACAATTTCACACCCTAATATCTCTCAGATGACTCCGGCTCGATGCAGGAAGGATCCCGCTGGCCATCCCAAAAGGAACTCATCGCCAAAATAGCAAACATCACCAGTCGTGCAGTACCCAAAAACAAGGGTGCCCATCTCCGCTTCATCAATAAAGTTCTGACCGCTGCAGACAATCTGAACAGCGATCAAGTCGCGGCAAACGTTGGCTTCACGCCAGCCGGCGGCACCCCTATCGGAACTCAGCTCCGTAACAAGATACTCCAACCGCTCATCTACGACGTGATTGATGCCAACAAGCCCCTCGAGCGCCCATACCTCATTATAATTACTACCGATGGATGTCCAAACAATGAACCTGAGGACACATTGAGGAATGCAGTGCTAGAATGTGCGGAAAAGCTGAATAAGAAGGGCTATCGCAGAGATGCTGTCATGTTTTGTCTGAATCAAATCGGTGATGACGATCAAGCAAAGCAATTCTTGAATAACATCGAGGCGGACATCGAGGTTCAGAAAACACTTCACAGGACTTCGGAGCTGCTTGATGACAGGTACGAGGATCTGAAGGAGAATGGCGCCGAATTGGAGGCTTGGTTGTTGGTCATGCTGCTTTCTCCTCTACAGTCTATCAATAAGGCATGAATTGGCCAAGATGGGGTCTTTGAATGTGGAATCAAGGATGCTTCGTTTTAGATGCAATGCAGCGTGTTCTAGTTTCACACAATCATTCTATTGTCCATCTTGCACGCTCTCCCATCCTTCATCACAAATTCCACTCTTCTCAGGTTTTTGACATCCTCCCTCGGATCTCCCATCAACCCTACTATATCTGCCGCGCATCCCTCATCTAACCACCCAAACTTTCTCCCACACCACGCTCCACCACAGGCCTCCCAGCCATGCAATGTTGCAGAAGCCAGCACCTCTTCCACGGGAACCCCAGCCGCAATCATAAGTTCCAACTCCCGCACATTCTCTCCGTGAGCAACGGGGCCGATGTCCCCACCGCACGCCAACTTAACTCCTGCTTTCCACGCATTGTATGTATGCTGATACATGCTGCCCACCACCTCTTCGGGCACCTCCTCCTCCATGACCGTTAGCGTCGGTACAAAGATCGTGCCCATCTCCTTCATCACTTCCAAAGCCTCCGCGCTAGGCTCCTGTCCATGTTCCACACTGTCCACCCCCGCCCGCGCTGCCCTTATCACAGCCGCCGGCGAGCTTGCATGCGCCGCAACTGGACACTCCGCCTCGTGCGCCTCGTCGACTATCGCGCGCATCTCGGAGGCCGAGAACAGCAAATAGTGCTTCGGCTTGTCGCCCCATTCGGGCTTAAACCTCACCCCCAACGCACCCGGCCACGTCTCTGTCTCCGGATACCTAGCATTGCGTTTCTCCTGGTCGGCATAGAACTTCACCACATCAGCGCCGGCCGCCAGCCTGCGCCGCACAGCGGCCCGCACGCCATCCACGCCATCTGCCTCGTCCGCGAGTCGCGGCACCCTCGCATTCTCGTTCTCGACGCGCAACACATAGCCCCCAGACGATGCGAGAGGATCCGTCGCGACGAAGAGCCGCGGCCCTACCACGATGCTACGATTTATTGCGTCACGCAGGCCAACGTCCGCTGCACCAAGCCCCTCGGTGCCCAGGTCGCGGTACGTCGTGTAGCCGGCGGCGAGGGCGGCGCGGGCGTGGTTTGCTGCGCGGAGGGTGCGTTCCACAAGGGATTCGTGGAGGATTTGGTGCAATGCGGGGGTTTCGGCGTATGGGTGGAGGAAGATGTGGGTATGTGCATCGACAAAGCCTGGGAGGACGACAAGATGTGTGAGGTCAATGTCGGATGGGGGCAGGGGAGAAGGGATGGATGAGGTAGAGCGCGTGTGAGTGCGAAGAACAAGGCCGGTGGTGGGAGAGATGAGGAGCGAAACATTCGGGAGGAACGTCTTGAGGTGCGGTGAGAAAAGAAGCGAGGTGTGGATCGTAAATGGCTCTGTTGGGGAGGAGTAGGACATGGTGCATGGTGGTAGATCGGGAGAGTAATAACGACTGTTCGGGAAGTCACTCGAAGTGACTCAATTCTTGAGCTGGTCTCCTCGAGGAAGGACCGAGGTGAATGGTTTTAGAATCGTGATGTATTGTTGTTTAGAAGGAGAGACTCGCCTGGAGCAAAAGATGGAGACATGTCTAATTACGTTAATGTGTGCCTCAGGCGCTAAGGCACAAGGGTAGCGCCCAATAACCGAGACTTCCAGGCTATGGGCCTGGTTCGTTGACGAAGGACAGGGCTCCATATACAAGCCCACCGTTGTTCAAGCGAATACCAAGAGAGATTGCGCATTGGTGTCTTTGGCATTGATACTATGGTTGTTCAAGAGTTTGTGAGGCCCTAGTACGGATAGAACGCTTTACAAATCATTCCTCACTGGGAATATCCCACCGCTCCCAAGAGAACGCCATTACAATCGCGCTTACTGCGCACCACGCAGCCAGGGATACGCAGAATACCAGCCAGCTGACATGGTCGATGAATACTTCTGCAGCTAACGGGCCAGCAAACATCCCAAAAGTCCAAGCCATACTAAAGCCCCCGAAGCCAATTCCAGTATTGGCTTGTTTCCCTTCCCGCTTCGCGGATATCTCCCTCCTCTTCATTACCATTGAGAAGGCTATCGACTGGACCGTGGTAAGAGACGCTAAACAAATTCCTGTCACAGTCACCGCGATGACAAATGAGGCCTTGGTAGCGGTGACGGGTTGCGTGAGGAGGCCCAGAGCAATTAGGGAAACAGTCACGACGCTGAATAGAATGACTGAAAGTCTTCGCGGTCCATACGTGGTCGTGAGAGAACCGATCAAAGGGCCAAGAGCTGCAGGACAGAGGAACGCAAATAGTATGACGCCGCTGGTAGAAATAGACCAGGAGAAGCGCTTAATGACGAATATAACGAGCGCGGACTCAAAGGCGTACCGAATCGTGCCCACAATACAGGTTGCGTAGTAGGTAGCGCACAGGTCTTTGTCTAGTTGAAGGCCGAGGATGTTGATGTGTTTTGGCTCGATAACGTCTTGTGGCGCGACTCTGGTATTCGTTGAGTCGGCTCCGCGCTGTGTCACTCCACCGAGCAGGGGCTCCTCTTCGTCGGCTGGATTTCCATTTCGCTGCTGTTGTTCGTCTGATGGCTTGTCCACTAGCAGAAGGCGGAGCACAATATCGACTCCGAGTATGCCACAGACCAAACCCAAGACTGCGAAGTGTCCAGCGTGTTCGTACATCGCGCCTCCAACAATAGGTCCAGAGATCTCGCCAGCTGCCGTCCCGACTGAGATGTACCCCATGGCTGTGCCGACGTAGCTGGTTTTGACGTAGGCGTTGAGTAGAGCTAGACCTGACACCCACACAAATGATGCGGATAGGCCTTGAAGGGCGCGAGCTGCAATGACGACTGCGAGGTGCTCACCGAGGAAGAACATCAAGGACGATGCAATCATCGTGACCATTCCGAAGAGAAATGCGGAGCTCTTCGACCGTAGACGATCGGTGAGAACACCTGCAATTACTGTCGTGACGGTATCAGTGCCATTCATCGTCGACTTTAAAGACAAACACTGACTATTACCAAAGGCGAAAGCACCTCCAAACACACCTAGCAACGTCGAGGTCCATAATTGTACTGCATCTTGGTCTCAGTGCATATCGGACTTATGGTGACTACAGTTTATTACCTTGGTTATTAGGCATGTGGAGTCTGTGCTCTAGCAACTGCGGAATAAACGGAATTATCTGTGATTTGCGCAATCAGAGGAGGTTCAACACGAATCGCTATGGTGGATTTACGAGGTCGTATATGAAAGTGTCCTGCGATGTCGGTGAGCTTACAAAACATGAAGAATGCAAGAGGCTCACTGAGAAGATGGCAATGCACACGACAAGCGTCGTGAATCCATCAGACGCACGCATACGGCGAAAAGCCATGGACTGATCCACCATCGTGCAACGTCTCTGTATTTACGAGCTAATGGTGAGAGTGACGATGCGGAGCTTCCGCTTCCTCAATGTGATGAAGGGAGCATTTGGACGGACCTCAGATCGAGGGCTGACAGGGGCCCCCGGATCGATGGTGCGCCGCGACGTTAAGCGGGCCACCCCGCCGATCTACTCGGCCCCTGGCGGCTGGTGCGCAGTCTCTTTACGAAAGAAGACCATCCTCGCGTATTTTGTCCGAACACATTTCCTAGCGCAAATCTTAATCCCACTTGAGAGTACTCCACTTGTTCAGGCGCCAATGTCAATAACGTTCACGATGAGGGCCCAGCGCCAGCTAAGAAAGCGACAGCGGAGCGCTACTACGGCCCCACTAGTCTAAATGTACTAAACCTGAGTGGAACAATCGACAGAATCGTGTCGGTTGCGGTGAGCTTCATAGACCCGGTAGTCGCCGAATCAGTGGGTCTAGAACGTCAGCCGCGTCTTCGTCAAGAGCTTGGATCTCGTCATGTCCTCATTCTCGTCTGTTGGCACCAGCAAAGCCCACTAAGCCTCGCCAGCGCTACAGCGACAAGGAGCTCGGATGTCTCAAGCATTTGTAGCGTACGACTTCCCTGGCTGTCTGGTGGCAGACTTCTCTGAGCTTGCCTCTGCAGTCGCTTGCATGTTCCGTGCCACCTTGAAGGGCCTGCATGGACATCAAGAGAAAGTATTGTTGGTACCTGAGCAAGTTAGGCCCGAATAAAATCCTCAGCAGTGCTACGGCGCTGAGATGCTGGACATATGTCTGACGCATTTGTAGCGTAAGCATGAAACTTCGCAGGCGAACGCATTGCATCTTTCCGGGGGCTTGCCTCTGGAATTGGTTCCCTGTTCCGTGTGTCCCATGACTCTGCGTAGTAATCAAGAGAATGTTATTATGCTGGCACCCAAGCAGGTTGTGCCCGAAAGATGTTCGCCGGCCTATCCATGAGGTCACCTACGTTCGCCTTATTTGCTGCCTCTTCTGCGAAATTGTCGACTTTAGGTGGTCTGGTGAGCTAGTCCTTCAGGAAGCCTCGCAACTCCTCTACCATTGTCATCACGCCATCGATTTAGAAGAGGGAATGAGAATCGTTCGAGAATTGTTGCGGCAAACATATCGTGATCGCGCTATGAAAGTCGTGTACAAGATGGACTATTCTCCTGCACACCATTCTGTATCGCCTTCGCAGCCTGGCTGGGATCTAGCGTGCCCGTCATCCTTCTTGGTCTTCTTCCCCCCGCTGTACTTCTCTGATGGTCATCTGCACAATGCCCTGTACCTGAATGAGTTCGCTACGGACCATTATCCGGTGAGGTGCAATCGGACGGCATGGTGAGCATTTCCTACCACTGCTCTCTCGTGAAGCAATACTCGGGTCATACGATGTATTATGTAGGTAGTCTCAGTAAGCTTGGCTAGTTGACTGCCACAGAATGGATAGGTGCTGGGTGAAAGGTCAGAGACTTTGACAGTCACAATCGTGTACTAGGCCCAGTCCGATATCAGCTTCTTCTCTGATGTTCGGGACGGTGCGGTGGAAATGTCCACGAAAGAGATCACCGTGCAATTGACTCGGTGACCTCGAGACAACAGCTTCGTATGGCAATCGACATGGTTCATCAGATATCGGCCATATCTCGAAAGTTCGATAGTTTGACATAAACGACTCTATCAGCAAGTTGCGCATGTATCTCCAAAACGGTTGTAAAACCACGCAGGCGTGCAAGGCACCGAATCGCTGATAGGGTGCCAATACATCGACGCGGGACTCGTCGAAGGGGTTACGCCAGGTACGCATCAAGTTCATTGTCCTTACAGCTGACGGTGTAACGAGCGCACTGTCCATGTCCGTAAAAAGTAACCAATTCGTGCAGGTCGCGGCCCTACAGGCCCATAAGACAACTCTGTCCAGGATAGCATTCCTGCGAAGTACTCGAAACAGATCGACAAGTGCGTCAGCTTTCTTAGTCGGGGCTGGATTGCGAACAATGGATCTGATAAATGGGTCAGTTCCCCCGATATACTCCATCAGAGCAAAGCGTTAACTAGCGTTCTGTTTCCTTTCCCAGCACATACCGGTCCAGTTGGCGGCAACGTCGTCCTGAAGAACCTCTTACGCTCAGGTTTGATCCAATCTGTCATCTAGAGTTCAGAAGGGCAGAAAGGCGGGGTCGTTTGTCTGGGGTAGCACGGATCAGAATGTGGGGTCCAGTAGGACTATCGGGGCTGAGACCATGTACAGCGATTTCGCTCTCACAATAAGCATTTGCGGCATTTAAATAAGCATTGCTAGGCGAGCAGTCGCTAAGACTTATCCACAAACCTTTCAAGAGAGCCTGGCGACGCAGCTCAGACATTGGCCGTTGTGCGCTGCACGTATAGGACGTATCCTTGCTCAGAGGATTTCTTTACCGTGTTGGTCGCCCAGTCTGGTCCTCTTCATCGCAGCCAGCACGTCAGAGACGTCACCATCTTTGAATTGGCGCTGATATAGTGGCAATGCAGGGCAGATTCAACCTGACCCTGAGTTGCCGAAGGATTTTGATTGCCAGTATGACATCTTTTTGGATCCTTGGGGCGATGATTCTAGGCCCCCAAGCAGAACAGGGGAATCGGCGCACTGAACACGATGCTAGCACTGTAATTGCACCCAATACCAATCAATACTGCGCCTATGAGCTAAAGCTTCCAGTCGACTACCGGTAGGCTACACAGGTCCTCCATTCCATTGCAATGCGTGAGAAGCTCCGATTGATTCGCCACATGCGGAGAGGATTCTCGGACAGTTTAAGTTCCATCGGTCTGCCAAATGGACTCTGTCGGGCCACCCGCAGGTCCCTGCGGTCTCCATGAGACCTACTTTGTACTGCGTGGTTTATTGTCGCCGCTATTGGTTGTATTCGAGAGGGTCCCCTAGACTCTACAGGTATAAAGTCACCCTCGTCTCTGAGCGATTATTCTCCCTTTCTATTAGTATCTCAATCATCGTTATCTCAACCATCCCTACCTCAACGATCACTAGCTCTTCGATACTTCCGTGCTCTACGCTTGCATCAACGACAATGCGTTTCGTTGTTATCGCCTTAGCTTGTTTTGCTTCTATAGCAATTGCGCAGAAACAGTGCGGCCCACCTGGGTGCCCAAACGGGGCGGGAAACTGCGGTTGTTCCGGAGGCGAAGGAACTACTGTTTGCTTCTGTAACGATGCTTCGAAAAACCAAGACGTTTCTACTGCATGCCCAAATCCTGGCGACTGCGGATGCCCAAGTAATGAGAACGGACGTTGTATTAGTGTATGTATTATTTCCCTCTACAGGATGATCAAAATTAATATCTGAACAGCAAGAGCCTATCGTAATCCCCCCACCAAAAGAGTGATAGGACCACAGAGGCCGTGCAGGAATGTCTTCGTTCTCAAATCGCACATAATGCTGAATCAATGGGATCAGTTTGCGAAGATGTTCCAGAGTGGACAACCAGAACTATTGGAAGGGCGTCTCGTGCACTTTCACGGAATCTTGGGTCTATATGTGCAGCCTGCGCTACTACCATGAATCGTCAAGACATGAGAGTACATATGCTATCGTTCGTTAGGAATATATTATTGTCATGCATGTGGTGTCCAACGAATTTCTTTTGACGTATGAGTCTTGACCACAATAACCGAAGCCAAGTTTAACAAGTCTTTCTTTAACCAAGCGAACACATAATTATCCGAGCCCATCGTGACATTCCAATATTCTTGTCGTATATCCTTTTACAATGCTACATCCGCTGTTCCTTCAGCATCTATAAACCGTCACGAGAACACTTCGGAAGATCTAAGGGCCAGGAATACTCACCACCAAGACGTAGAGAAAGGCGAATCATGGTCTCAGAACTTGTGGGATCAACGGGCATCACCAGGAGAGGTCCTGTCTGAGACTCCAAGGTATATTCGAGCATCGTTGGGCGACCTTTTTGCCGCGCAGCCAGGCACAATTTCGAATGTTTATCGAAGCTGGTCGCTTGGCTGAAGGAGATGAAGAGATACCAAATATGGATGCTTAAATCCAGGACTCACTTATCAAAGGAATAGCAACCCAGTAGATCAGCCCAATCAAACTTATTGGCATACCGTTCTGCGAAGTATAGTGAAGGAAACCGCGGTAGGGGCTGATGACTTCAAAATGGCATTGAAATGAGTAAGTTAGCTTCTAGAGAAAGGACAAGACCTTCTCAATGTGAATGCCGCATGAAAAGTTGCGAATGCCCTGCAACTTCCGGCTCTTTGGGGGTTAAATATGGATGTGAAACTCCAAGTCGCTGATGTTGATCAATGATCAAATTATTGACCTTAAGGTAAAGTCTAGTTCGCTCAAGTCAAAGATTGGTTACTGATGTGACAAGGATGTGTATAAAGTCGCTTCACTGACCATCAATCTGAGGGATGTATCTAAACGTAGCCATAATCTGCACCGCACTGGCATATCGTACCCTGTATCGCAGAAGATAAAGTTGCATGTGTGCACGAGCCAAAGTTGCGGAGCACGGGTTTTCTCTTCTTAACATAGGTCGACTAACCCCCCGATTGTAGATTTCCCTTTAGAACACTACGCATCCTTCTACCTTCATGAAACCTTCACAAGAGTCTCTCCAGGGTTCAGGACATGTTCAAATCATTGGAGCGCTGCGGTCTACTTGGTCACCACATCGTCGAATTTTTCTTATTGACAATGGCAAGCCGGCGAATGAGATTTCCGTTTTCGACATATCCGTTAAGCACAACCGCTTCGACGCTATCAACTACATCGCCGGCGACATATCCCAGAAAAATATTGTCTCCGCCGTCTTCAAACAGACGAAACCTACGGTCATTGTCAACGTTGCTTCGCCTGACGCTATGACACGTGACAAATCACTCTTCGCACGGTGCAACATGATTGGTGGGCAAAATATGATCGAGTGTGCATAGGAACAGGGTATCGGTGTTCTTATATATTCATCGAGCTCTGAAGTCATACAATATTCATACCACGACATGGTATGACCTACTGAGGAATAGCCTGGACAAGAAAACCCGGCAAATGGCAACGTCTAAATAAACCAAAGCCGTCGGTGAAGCTTTTGTGCTTGTCGCCAATGAGCAAAAAGGTCTTTTGACCGCAGCAATTCAGCTGTACACCCCGCTCAGATAAGGAGACAGAGTGCTCACAAGACGCTTCATGGAGTTGGGACGAAATGGAACGATCAAGTTCCAGGCGGGGCACGGCAATTATCTGTACGACTTCATCGACGCTAAAAACGCAGCAGACAGCCATCTGTTCGCCGCCTAGGTGCGCTTCGATCCATTCGATAACCCGCCATCTCACCGATGGCGGCGAACTACGCCCTGAGCCGCCTCTAGAACGAGCTTCTGTTCGTAAATTCAAAGGCCGTATAGATCACACTATAGAACATGGGCAACAGGAGGACCACGTGTATATCCATTACTCCGGGCATGGCAGCAAAAGTCCAGGATCAGGAGACATCCGACTCAACTTCTTCACGGACAAGAAAGCATCCTCCCGATGGCCTAGTGTGAACCTAGCGAAAGATTAATTAGGGAAATGGTGCAGAGAAAGATGCATGTTTCAGTCACGTTCGATTGCTGTTTTTCCGGTGCTACAAAACGCCGTGGCAGAGTTTCAGCACCTACGCTCCGTTTCAGCCAGTACATTGATACTCCAGAGGTCTACGAGGATATTTGTTCACTAAGCGACATTCAGAGATGACATTGAACCCATGTCATTCGCCTTTCGAAGTGCTCAAATCGTTCCCCAATGGATTGCCAATCCTAAAGGCTACACTGTCCTGTGTACCTGTAACTCTTACCGGGAGGCAGATGAGCTATTGCAGACTAAAGCTATCATAAAGTCGAGTACAGAATTGGAGCCACAAGAAGCCCTAAGCTCTCATGTTCCACATACCTCAAATAGGCCACTTGAACGTGGGGCATTGTCTTATGGTTGCTGAGCCAGTATCAAGAAGGAATCTATGCCAGCAATAATTGATGCTTTGAATGATTGAGTGAACTATTTATACAAGAATCTTTGAATATGCAAGTGAACCATCCATACAAATACAAGTAAGCGCAACATACAATTTCTAAAACAAAGTTTTTGCTAATAATAACACAAGAGGCCATGCTTAAGTTTAGACCGTCTTGCCCTTGCCAGCCTTGCCCTTGGTCTTGCCTCCCTTCTTAGATTGCGGGGTTTCGGCGCATATCTGATACTCTTCCGCTGAGCCGGGCTTTCTCTCGGTGGTTTTGACGTAGTTGAACTTGCTGTCCAGGATGATGTAGCTGACGTCAGGGAAGACGCCGGCTGGGCCACAAGTCAACTGGTGATAGTCGATAAGAATGCAAGGTACTTACGATTCCAAACTCCCTTGTCGAGGATAGGGAACATCCACACGCCCTTTCCGACTTTCGTAGCCTTGCCACCTGCTTTGCAGTTGTTCTTTGTCTTCTTAGGGGTCTTCTTCTTTGGAGTTTTCTTGGGAGTCTTCTTCGGTGTAGTCTTCTTAGCCGTCTTCTTCTTCGGCGTCTTCTTGGGCCTCGTGGTCTTGGGCCGGGTTTTAGTCCTGGTTCCTCCACCGCGCGCACGCCGTGCTTGGAGAGCATGCTCTTCTCTCCTCACTGCCTTACCAGTTCTAGACCCCTTCGCTTTCTTGACGCCCCTGGCCTTCGTTTCCTTGTTGGGCTTGTACTTGGCTGGGAAATGGAGCCCGTTGCCTGTCTTGCCCTTGAATTTCATGGCCTTCGCCTGCTTCACGGCCTTCTCAATCTCAGCAGCGGTGAATTTGGTTCCGGGACAACTCGCGCCTGTGATTGCATTGTTGTTTGGACAGGTGGCACCGCCAGATTTGCCGTTGCTGTTCGCCTTGGTTCCGACGGCTGTGCCAGTCTTTGCTCTGGTCTCGAGATGTCCGAGATTGGGACTCGCTGCCGAAAGGACTACAAGGCCCAGGAAAAGGAGATTTTTAAGAAGCATGGCGAAGGAGACCAGCGACTTTGAGCAATGTGATGAATAGAGGTTGGAGGTTTCGCATGAGGAAAAGAGATCGAGAAAATAAAAGGAAAAGGGAATTGAGCAGGAAAATGGAATCGAAGAATGGAGTACTGGCAGTGAGCGTGAATTGTCCACGATGAAGCAAGACGAGACAATTTCAGGCCATATAGCGACGCTCTCAGCGATACGAGCGAGAAGATCTGTGCAGGAGATTTCTTTGCTGATATATGCCTAGGAAATGATGAGTTGCAATCTATTCTAGCGGTGATGATACTGTTGCCCTGCAGCACCTATTTCCCGCTCAGCGCTACGTCCGACTTCCGAACATTATCGCATGCTCCCAAAGAGAGCATTGTGGAATGCCAACGTACCAGACTCCTACATGGAATCTGAAGCGCGCATCGCATAACCTTGTTCCAAGACTTGAAAGGGCTGTGAGCGGTGAGAAATGGCCGATCTTAACGCTGTGCCGCCGGATTTCGTGACTGATTCGTATTTCAGAAGCTGTGCCGCCGGATTCATAAAACGTCCACCCTTTCGAGTGCGTGCTGTGCCGTCGGACACGTAGGCGAGCCTAGTGAAGGGTTCGGCTCGGTCATCAGGCTTACGAGCTCCGATCTCAGTTGTCAAGGGTCGCGTGTCTTTGATCAGCAGGCTTGGGCTCTCGCCTAAACGCGAAAACAAATTTGGATGTTTTCGATTCGTTAAAAGCTCGATTTCGAATGAGTATTCTTAGTATCGCACAGTTTTTTATAAAGTCGCGATCGAGATCTTGCGCATTACTTCGGGTGCTTATGTTCGTGTAAGAGCCGGGGGAGTGGCAGGGGTGTCAGCGTCGGTGTGGGGGCCAGGGATGGTCCGGATATCGCATTCTGCAAGGTTAGAAGACTTTCGTGAGATTTTCGGATAGAGTAGCTAAAGTAGACTCAAGGTATATTAGGGCTTTCTCATTACTCGGGTGAGTGTATTGTTATCCAAACCATTTACTTCCAACAGTCTTTTGCGCGCGGTACTGGTTACCGTTATTTGCCCTTGAACATGCGCTCTATTTTCGCTTTATTTTTCTACGTTTTTCTGTGTTTTCAATGCGTTACAGCAATCGATGTGAGAAAGTACAAAAAGCCAAGCGAAAGCAGAGTCAACGTTCAGCTCGACCAAATGCTGGCCGCGGCCGCTCCTGAGCCACAACACCTGAACACGCCGAATTCGGGCTCAAGGGGACATCGACTAATTTTCATGGCACACCACAAGGTGTCTCGGCCAATCTCCGACCTCCAACTCATCAAGATTGCGATGGACGGGTTCATGGACATGCTCAGAAACGGTGAACTGTACGGAGTTGGCAGGAAGGCTCTTCCCGGAGTACTGACAGCTTTCTACTTCGACAATCAGATCATTCTGGCTAGCTCACAAAAAGGAGGAAGCGCTCTTACCTACACTCGAGGCAATGGCTTAGACGAACTAGTCAGGGACTGTGTCGCCCCTAATGACAAGTCGAATCAAGCCAAGTGCGGAGAGATGAGCGCTTTGCAAATCTTCAAACATTTATATCCCACAAAACCTATCCGTCCGGAAAATATCATCACCGTTACCGTCCGATGTGGTAATGATGAAGTAAGGAACAGCGACGTTTACAAATGCAAAGAAGAAGAACTCGAAGTTTATCCTCCCTGTAATCCGCCCCAAGTAAGTCTTTTTCTGATTGTCTCGCTACCAGAAGGACTAGAACTCACTCGAACATTTACAGGGCGGTGGTTGCGAATTGTTGATTGGTCCGAATAAGCTTATCGAGAGACACATCCCCACGACTGTCTGGACAAACAACGGAAACGCGGATGTTACCTACTCTAAGAATGGCTGGGAAACGACGCTTCCAGATCGACCTTCTCTTGCGGCTCCAGCGCAATAATGAGGGAAGCATTCCATCGGCTAATATACTGTGGGCCATACGTTGGTCAGGGGTTTGGAGGTTTCAAGGTCTTGTTCAAATGCTTCATCAGCATACGAATTCTTCTGTTCTTCTTTGTATATTCTGTTCGCCATATTCTTCAGTCTGAAACTTCTCCCATTTACTTCAAAACTTAATTTCGAATCTATTATCTAAAGGGCTTGTATCAACCTGTCGAACAAGGTCAAATTCAAGGTGAGATGTCGATTTGGGTCATTATACCACACAAAGCAATCAAGCGTGGAAGCAACGATCAATATGAAAGAATCCTGCTTCAGAGAATACAACAAGATTAAAGCTTAGTGAAAAGCCTGCTGAAAAAGCTGCTCAACAGGGCAAACAAGCTGACGATTTCGAGAATCGCCCGCCTCACGGGCATCGCGAACACAAAATACAACGCATAATAGAGCAGCTGCTCAACTCTCGACAGGTAAGCTTGACATATGTCAGACTGTATCGTGAGTCTACGGCTTATGTGATGCCACGAGTATTCATGTCCTTTTGAAAGCCCGGTAGCTAATATGAGAAGAAGATTATCAGGGTGATGTGCACTTTTCCGGTTGGTTTATCTCTACGTATCCCTAGTCTACATGTCCCAGTCCCATCGGTGCAATGCCTCGCTCTCGTGGATGATTTTATGTGGCAAATCTATTCCTTGGAAGATTGCCTCAAGCTCGTCAAGCCTACTGAAATGGACTGCATCAGAGCTCTTCTGGAGGAATAAGCGGACTTCCTTTAGATACGGTGTAGTCTTCCATGCAGTCTCTGACATCCAGGATCTAAGCTTAGGCCATTCGTCATCTCGGTCGGTGAAAGGCAAGTAATCATTCGTATCGTCATCGCTGATTGTCACAACCTCAACATTAGGGGGTATGCTATCTTCCAGTCGTCTTGTATACGAGTCTTTTTGGCCATCCCAGTCTGGAAGCAACAATCCGAATGGTGCCTTGAATCGCTTAATGTTGACCATGCTACGCAGACCACTCAGAGAACCCCGAATTTCTAGATTCTGAAACTCGGGATTAAACCACGGGCATATCATGTCGACACCAATATTGAGATCCTCGAGAGTGTCCTGGACTACAAGCAATACTTCAACAAATCTATCCAGATTCATTGTATCAGTATTCAGTGGATCGACATCGGGTATGTGTTTCCAGACCCAGCGTAGCTCCTTTAATGCCCGAATTCTCTTAAGAATCTGTGCTAGAAATTCGACGTGGATGTGTGTTAGAGATAGTGATGTAAGATAAGCCAGCTCTGGTGGGCCTACTGGCCAACTGAACGGGAGCGATGGAGGGTTTAGACACCAGCCCGAGATACTGCGCACCGACGGAAGGCTTAGAAGGGCTATCATGTCCTCAGGTTTACAAAAGTCCGGATTTTTCCCAGGCCATGGGGTTATAGGCCAAGGGAATGAGATATGTTCGAGGTATTGGAACCGAGAAATGCCGTGATTTGATGGGTCAAGAGCGGACTGGAAAATCTTCCCCAGGAACTGATTCTCCATGTCTTGCGCTGCCGTCGGCGGGTTCCTAGAGAGTTCTTTTTTCTCGGGGTCCGGTAAGACGACCAAATTTCCGACGCGAAAACGTTTGAGGTTGGGCAGTCTTGACAGGAATAATGCGACAAAAGCGTTCAGGTCGCCTAGACGCAGTTTTTCTGTCCAAATGTCGGCGTAGGCAAGACCAGAATGCGAGATGAAGGGCACGAATTCGGACATCCCATCCTTATCGGTTGGCCGCGGTGGAGAAGCTTTAGGTATTTCGTTTATATTACAGTATCTTCGGCCATCCGCCGGTTCGCCATCGCGCAAACGAACAGAGCCGACATGGGCCGCCAGCTCAGGCTTGTTGAAAATGCTTCGACAAAGGTGAATTATAGAGCGTGGGTTGTCTCGATGTATAGTGAGGTCGATTCTAGAATAGCGCAACGGCGTTGCGCATTTGTGTAGCTTCTTACTCACGAGACTCATAGCGAGTAGGTCACGGAACGACACGTGCTGGAGAATAGAGTCGATGATTTCCGTGGGACAGTCAGGAAAAGATGCCATGATTTTGACGGTGATGCGATAGGGAGCGCAAACACAATAGGAGGCGCCCGGAGAGCTTTTATCACTCTCGGGCATGTAAAGACCTATTTTGGGTGTCAGCAGATCCACCGGACTGGGCTTACCCTGCCAGGTTTTGTGACGCTATTCTTCTCCAGGTTAGACTAATAAGTTCCGCCCCCATCCACTTGATCGGGGAGACGCTTATGACTGTCCACTGAGCATCACTTACAACTAGCTGGGAAGTTCTCCGAAAGAACCTGGTGGAACAAGCCGATCTCGAGCTCCGTGGACTTCGAGACGCCTTGGAAAGCGTTGAGGATGTCACTCCGACATTTCCGTCACTGTGACTACCTATGGTACTAGGTGGGAATCTCGAAGAACTTTCTCGTTGCATGATATAGGACCGAAGCAAGCTATGCCCCGAATATGCCATCTAGCCGCTAAATTTGTTCAGATGCTCTTGCACCAGCTGCACACACTCTTCAAGACTGACTATGTCCTTCGGAACCACCGTGTAATTAATGCCGCAAGCGATAAGCTGCTTGCGGAACGCGTTGTCGATGCGCATCCACTGTGTCGTCCCATCCAGCATCAACCGCGTCCCATCGTCGATTAGCCAACTGCACCCAGTTTCACACAGTTTCACGATGCCCGCCTTCATGCGCTGCTCGAGCTCTTCCATTCCTCCGATATGAGCATGTCGCTTGCCGCTTCGTCGACAAATAGCTCCGCATATACGATAGGATCGAGGCCAGAGCAGTCGGATATATACCATCTTGCTGGAGCTTTGAGGTCTGTGATAGCCTTTTCGGCAGCGACTGCGCATCGAGAATGTGCTTCTATAGTCGTAGCGCTTGAGATGACAATGTGGTGATATCGAAACGGTTGAATTGCTTTTCTCTCAATACTGTGCGCGCAACCTCTCGAATGATAACCGGCTTCGGAAGAACACCTTGTGTAGAGGAGCTCGTTTCACCGGTCAAACCTATTTTCTAGCGCGTCACCGAGCGTCGTCTTCCCGGTGCATATGGAGGGCTGGGTAAGAGCAGTCGACAGGCAGCACTCTTCCCAGCAATCGGATCCCTTCTTTGATGAGGCGTTTTACTGCAAGCGCGTTTATGCAGCATGCATACTACACCAATCACGCATGAGCTCATTCTTATCCACGCCGCCTCGCAATGTCAGTTTCTCCAAGACACTGCGCCGCATTATCGCCCACCACGTCCTACGATGAGCAATCCGCAATAATTTCGCGCTGTCTTGGTGTGCCAAGTTGATGCAGACGTAACATCCTGGGATTACTCTGTGGCCAACCTTCTGCAAGCCAAGAAGACAAATGCCGCCAAACTAATCAAGTGCCTCTCCCTCAAGCACAGGATGTGAAGGATGACACTTGGAAATAAGAATTCAAGCCAGGTAAGTGTGACAAAATAATGTCTACCAGACGTTATATATATGTATGGTCAACATGAATAGCTAGCTAGAGAAACTAAATCAATGGCTAGGTAATCATTACGACGGGCTGTCGTCACTCTGATGCGCATTACCTAATGGTGTACATCTTCCAGTATTACATCCGCCCCTTTCTCGCTAATCATATACGTCGGCAAACTTATATAATAACCCGGGATTTTCGGAAACACACTCGCATCTACAACTCTTAGCCCTTTGGTGCCCCTAACCCTGAACTTTGAGTCTAACACTGCCATTGGATCACTATCCGCTCCAATTGGACACGTACAGCTTGCATGATGTCCCCATGCCTCTTTCCTAATAAACTCTTTCATCTGCGCCTCAGTCGTCACATTTGGACCAGGCCATACCTCCTCAAATGTTCCTTGTAGCGGAATCACGTTCTTGAAGATCTCACGCGAGAGCTGCATGCCTTCGTACACAGCTTGCAGGTCTTTGTCCGCGGCACCGTCGGCAGTAACGCCAGTGTCAAAGTAGTTGAAGTTGATAGAAGGGGTGTCGCGTGGGTCGGTGGATCGCAATGCGACGGTGCCGGCGTTATTTCGGGAATGCGCTTTTAGAACGATCCATGCCCAGTGATGTGCATCTTTGAGGGCCTTAGACGAGTATCCCGGGTGGTAGCCGGTGAAGTAGGCGGGAGCGCCAGAAATCAGAAGATCGGGTTCGTCTTCTGCGACTGAAGATTTTTTGATGATGGCGACAGCGATGCCGTTGGTAGCGTAAGTGCCTTTGAGGGTTGGGCCAGGAAGGTTCTTCCATTGCTCTAGACATGGGTCAGGGTTGGTGCGGAGGAAGGTGCAATCGGTGGTGATCGCAAAATCCGTATTGGAGTCCGCGACGACAGTGGTTTCGTAGCGGTCTTGGAGGTTGGTGCCGACGCCGGGTAGATCTACAACAATAGGGATATCGAACTGGGAGAGCTCAGATGCGGGACCGATACCGGAGAGCTTGAGCAGCTGGGGAGTGTTGAATGTACCACCAGAGATGATGACTTCACGAGCTGCATCAACACTGCCAGGAATACCCCCGGAGGAAGAGCCGGCGGCGCGCGGGTCGGCACGATATAGGCTTGAACCTTTAAGATAGTCAACTCCGACAGCTCTCGGCTTGGTTCCGGACGTGTCGAAGCGAACCTTGGCGACTAAAGTGTTTAGCATAATGTCTAGATGATACTTCCGTGAGCCATCATCGTTGACTGCGTTTGCGGTATCTAGGATGAAGCTCCGAGGGCCTGTGCGCTGCTTTTCCATTAGGCTCACCGCCAAAGGTACCTGATAGAGCCCTTCCGAAGCATCACGAGTGGGTGTATACGCGTTGATATCGCGAAGCATAATCTCCCCTAAGCCAGTGACCGTCGTGATCAACTTGCCCAGAAGTCCCTTACCCATAGCCGTGGCACCGGCAAGGATGAGGGAGAGCAGCTTCTGGTCCTCCACAACCAACGATAGGTCTGTCAAACTCGTCTCCAGCCAACCATTGTATCCGTGACCTACAACGCTGCTAGGAAGGTAATTGCTGCGCTCTAGCTTCTCGTAATACTTTCGCATATGACTTGCGCTCCAAGATTGATCACCGGTGAGGGACGCGATATCATTCCAGTCGCTCTCGTGGGGGTAGATGGTGATCATGGCATTGTGTGCTGAGCAGCCTCCAAGAGCTCCTGCACGCGGGTACCAGATTCCAAGAGGTTTTGACCCATCAGGCGGACTGCTTCCCACGTAGTGCTCCCCAGAAGGCGTGTTCCAAGTCATCTTGGAGTCTGTTTCTTGCCGTGACTGGTCCTTGTAGTGGTTGATGAAGTAGTCCCATTGCATAGGCTCATACTCGGTCGCTTGCAATTGTAGCGCTGGAACTTGATACTGAGTTGCATTGCCATGGTCGTCACCGGCATCGATGAGAAGTATCTTGTGACCAGCAACGGCGAGTCTGGCCGCCAAGGGGCCACCGCCAGGACCGCTGCCTACCACAATGTAGTCGTAAGTGGTAGCGTTGTCAATCTGTTTCGTCTCAGCATGGCGATGCCAACTATCAGGCCTAATGTCGCTCACGTTAGCGTCCTAAATCCATACTGACTGAAACTACTCACAAGGCCGCAACTGTAGCACTGAACACTGCAAAAGACACGAACGCCTTCATTGCCAACTTCACAATTAGATGCCACTAATTAACAGTAAACAACAAGATAGAAGATAAACAACAAAGGAGTGACAGAACGAGTGACAGTAATGACGGACGCAAATAAGGTTGACCACAGCTATACATGGGAAGCCGGCTCGCAATAACATAAACTATTGTGGCTTGCAACTGTGCATTGGTTTCCGTCGATCTCCGTTGACCAAGGAAGTGATTTGCTCAAGATTGGGTAACGGTGTGGCCATGTGCAGCAGCATCTCTCCTGACACAACATGACAACCCACGTTGTGGAAAGATCAGCATCGTGAGTTGAGCCAGCAGTTTGGTATTGTCCTTCTTATTTGCAGTAGCCAATCAACCGTGCAGACTCCGAGGGACTCTTCGTTTTAGCGTAACGGCCCGCGTGCCTCTCCGTTGTGCACGGTGAGGCACCTCCTACAATTAATTACCGACCGTTAAGCCGAAGCCTAGAATTACCAGGAGAAGAAAGTAACCCGAAAACCAAATGACATGTCATGACGGCTCTTTCCGTAGCACCATGTGGGCCCCCTTTTCCAGTGTGGTATGGTTAGTCGCTAGTGCGCGGAGACTTTGAAGCTGGCAACCCCGGAAAACTTGAATGCTGATGAACAGCGCACGGCTCGCACGGATGCCTAAAAGCTAAGCCTGCGGGTCCGCGCATGAACAGGATCGCGGTACTACCTTCGTAGAAACGGGCCGGGAAAAAGATGCCTATGCCTGGAAAGGCTAAATCGAGTGCGGAGTACCAGGGATTTCACCCCAAATGGACATTAACGGCAGGATAGGTTGACCCGTCTTGATTGCGGGATTACGTCAGTTAGCACCCTAAGTGTGGACCGTGAATGCGACAGTAGTAGTATGGAGAATTTATTGCCCGAATATTTCTGTTGGGTTGAAGACTAACGTGAGGCGGCCGTGTGACAAAACTCTCTTCCTCAATGCTTGGTAGATTGACCTATCTGACCGCTTCGTAATTTAGATACGGCATCGTGGTATAAGGATTTAATACTAGAAAACACCATGCCGGGTACAGAGAATATTAAGGTGGTGGCGCTTTTTGCAACCGCCTATTGGTTTGAGCTTTTGTTTCAACGTCATATGTGACAATGAATGGGTATAAAATTTTGTGCCACACTCTATTTGTGAGTCAATTTGCGAACCATTACATCCTCACAAGCTGCACGAGTTTGCATCCGATATGAGATTGACCAGCGGTTTTGACAACAACGTTACGTTGCCAGTGGCTATATATATGAACAATACGTAGCAATGCTCTCAGTCAAAGAATGGAGGTAGCTACTGGTCGCCTATTGCGGCGGATAGTAGCAAGATTGTGAAACAAGTCCATTTTCATACACCGAAAGAGAGCAAGCTAACTATTATACTGCTTTTGTACGGATTGGAGAGCAGTTCAATCACGTAGTACCATGTCTAGACATCATTTCTCTTGCTCCCCTCCTTCTGCGCTTCCGTACTGTTAACGTCCATCAAGGGAATAAAGTCCTTGGTATCGGTATTCTTGTGCGACCTCTGAGACCTGTCCGCCCCAAGAGATGCACTAAGACCACTTGTGCCGCTCCTACCAGTCAACTTATCGCGTGCTGTGCCACCAAATACCTTCGGCCAGATTCGCTTGAACAGTGAGTGTAGTGCGGGCATGCAGGCGCACATAACCCCAATATCCATCTCAATGGTCGACCAATACCCAAATGGTGCCACGTCCCAAGTGAAGTTCTCTGATTTGGCGAAGTATATGAGGGTTTCCAATCTGAGGATGCTAACAAGAGTAACGCTGTATACGCTCAGCTCGATTCAAGCTACAGGATTATTCTGCGGATGAACTTACAACCCACCAAAGCCAAACATGAGCATTAGTTGAACCTTCTTCTTCCAGTTCATGGCCAGTTTAGAAAGTTGTCGAAGAGGCAAGATAATGGTCGCTATATCCAGAACGATATTGAAGATCGCAGCCGCCCATCCCTGTGCGTTAACATTGTTGCAGGCTCCGGCATGCTCATGGTTCCAGTATTTCCATGCGTGGTCGACCGGTCGACATTGAAATAGCGACACGAGGATGAAAGCCAGCATGTACAGGCCCGTGAAGACCATGACAGCGTAGACAGCCCTTCGAAAGTTTCGGTCTGGGAAGATGCGCAGGTAAAAGCATAGGATAGAGATCTTGGTAAGAGACACTACTGTGATGTAGATCGGCTCATCGATGAAATAGATCTGAGAAACTTGTGAACTGTGGAACTGTAAATCATGCGATGCGGACGACTGACCAGAAGGATGAACGTAATCTTGTCGAATGGAATTGTCCAAATGTCTTTCCCCAGACCAGCTTCGGCCACTATGGAAGACATAGTCAGCAAAAGTTGCATGATATCTAAATCTGACTGTACTTACAAGGAACCGATAGAGCCGAAAAAGATAATAGCAAAATCTGTTACATTCAGTAGGATGAACAGTCAGAATGGGCCCTACTAGCAAAGCCTACCATAGCCACATAAATTGTATAATCATCGATCCCGACTTCGGATCCCTGTAATGTCAACCTGGAGATCAATCGCAGGATGCAGAACATGAGAGCTAAAACACCGCCACCAACACCAAAGCCTGATATAAGTTTGGTACGGTCCCGAATGGGGGCTCCGCATGCCGTGACAGAGACATTCTTGGTTGCTGCGCATTATTAGAATACGAGTCGAAAAGATTGCGTATTTTTTATATGCTGACTCAGCTGCTCTTTGATTGTGCAATTGCTTTTAACGCATACATCAATGGCTTCTGCCAACTCTTTGTTCATGCAGATGCAGGTTTGATTGGTTGCCGCGCAGGTAGACTGTATGATTCCGGAAACAGTACATTCTAGCTTAAAACTATTAGCCGAGGCACCAGAAGCTCAATAGAAGGGTGTTGCTTACGCCACATTGTGGAAGAAGCGACGCAACAGACGACAAATCTGCTCGAACAGTAACCAAACCAGCACCCGCTAGCAGCAGATAAATCCACGACAACTTCATACTGTTACACTTACCTGCCTAGGAAGGCGAGAATCGGATGTGTCAGCTTGGCAGAAATTCGCATGGAGCGACTGGTGAAGAGAATGCTTGAAGGATGCCGTCTTGGGCATTCAAACCGCATGAGAGATTTTTGACATATTTGAGATCTCGCGGTGAGGGTGTACGTTAGCTTGTAGATGAATCAGGCATCGCGGCGGAGACTACAAACGGCCCGAGTAACTGCCCCAAATGGGATACATGGGCCAATAGATATTGCGGTGGTGGATCCAGGAAACGGGGGCCAGCTACCTGCTCCGAGCGGGGAGAAGAGATCGACAGGAGAGTTGAAAAGTAACAATGAATCAGAGGCTCGGTCGGCTCTTTCCGCAGCTTCCGGCGGGAGCTTTTTCTTCAGCGCAATGGGAACAACTTAGACCATGGTCGGTGGGTGCAGGCAGATTTATGTTTCTACGAAAGAATTCCGGTCCAATCTTTTGGGTCCTGAGAAGCACCGGCATTGTGAAAGTGGAAAATCTTGGGTTGAGACTTTCGGCCGATCATAATGTGCACCTTGAACTATGATGGCCCGGTCCACTCCAGGGTACGTAATCCCTGCACGCATATGTGAGCGCGCTGTGGCCTATGATCATCATCTCATTTCTCTTCCCTTGAATGATGGGAGTGCCTTTCTCTAATTTCCTGGCTTCGGCACAACCGTGTTCACTCTTTCTTCAAAATGAGCTTCATAATGCAAAGTACTTACTTTTCTCTTTTTGCCTTGTTTTTCATTTTCAGCAATGCAATTCCGACCGCAGACAACCTCCTCAGATCGCGCCATCATTCTTCTCTACATTGCTCAAACAAGGGTTCGAACAGCAATCCACAAGACACAATTCGACACGAACTAGGGAAGCAGCTTCCAAGAAATCAGCTCAATGAGCCTATCGATGGTATCTCAAACCCAAAGTACTACAATAGCTCAGAGTAACCTTTGCTGACCTCAAAAAGTTAGCGGTCTCCATGAATTTCAGCCACCAAACTATGATGCTGGCGATCAGCGCGGTCCATGTCCAGGACTTAATGCCTTAGCGAACCACGGCTATATACCACGAGATGGTGTTGTCAGCGTAAGGCAAATGTCTTGAATGTGCGCAATAATTTGGGGTTAATACTTTGCTTCTTGTAGCTAGTCGATGCTATTGCCGCCATGAATAAGGGTGAGTAACGGACTCACGATTAATCGAATAGCACACTAAATTTCACCAGTGTTCGGAATGGGTGTCGACCTCGCCACTGCGCTGGCTGTGATGGGTACAGTCTGGGTCGGAAACCCACTCTCGTTAAGCCCAGGTTTCTCCATTGGCGGACCAACGTCTAAATCTTCCAACATCTTAGGGAATCTGGTAGGACTGCTTGGTAAGAAATATTGAGCTGTCCATTAGCATTGGTATAGGAATACTTACTGATATTTTTTGATGGAGTTAGGAGCGCCACAGGGTATCAAGTATTCCCACAATTTCATCGAGTCGGACTCTTCGCCAACGCGAAATGACTTGTACACGACTGGAAACGCCTGGACGATGAACATCTCCCTTTTTGAAGACCTTTACGGAAGGGCTGATGCCACGACTGGAATGATCGAGTTCGAGACAATTGCAGAGTTCGCTAAGGTCCGGTTCCACGAAACAGTCGCTGAGAATCCCAACTTCTATTATGGCCCATTCACCGGTATGATCGCCAGGAATGCTGGGTATCTGTTCACTGCGAGGATCTTCCGGAATCATTCCATATCTCACCCAGAGGGCGATTTGAGTACGTTAAGGTTGAAGTAAATTGATTTATCAGGTTATATGCTGATCACTTCAATAGCAAAGGAAATCCTGAAGAGTTTCTTCGCGGTTACCGAAGATGGATCGGGGGGATTGAGCTACAACGAAGGATGGGAGAGAATCCCCGAAAACTGGTATAAGACGCCAGTTGACTATGGCCTGGTGCAGTTGAATCTCGATATTGTCGCTCTAGCTTCTTTGCACCCTGAGCTCGCTAGGTAAGCAGTCAGCGCGCTCCTTGAAGTGTCTCCTAGATTCATGAGAGAACTGTGCCTACGTCTTCTTTCCAAGCTCACGCTGACAATATTACGACAGCATTGGCGGCAACACCGGAACAGTAAACAGCTTTACTGGCGCAGACATCTCAAATATCACCGGCGGCATACTCAACGTCCGGACTCTTCTCTCGGGCAATAACCTTCTTTGTCTGGCCTTCGAAGTGATCAAGACCGTATCGCCAGATGCACTGTCAACAATTTACAAGACGCTAGCTGTGCCGTTACAGATGATCACGGATGCTCTCGCCGCACCGCTGCTAGATCTCGCATGTCCTGCCTTCGAGGACATGCAGTTGGGAGGTACAGATATCTTCAAAGAATTTGCTCAACTTTATCCTGGAGCGAACCGAACTGGTGGGGCAATTTAATAGTTGGATAGGACGGTTCTGACGGAGGTGTTCTCGCCAGATTATATCACGAGCAATAGTTTCCGTCTTCCATCGCTCTTTGCAATACAATAAGTGCAGGCGAGGAGAAGAGGTTATGCGCAAAACAGTCATTATGGAAAATGCTAACCAAAAACAAAATTCGTTTCTCTGCCTGATTACATTTCTGGCGAGCGGTCTACCCTCCTTGCCGGTTTGATACCACGCTTTTTGTATCTTAACATCTGTGTAATACGACTCAATCACCTATTTTCGATCTTCTAATGATTACCTTGTCGACATCATGGAAGTCCTCTCGTGACATAGCTCGACGGTCTTGTCCTTTCAGTCTTCGTCAATGCAGTCGTGTTAAGGGCACCCTAGACCCAAAGCGCAACGAAGTGAGAAGTCTTTGCCAGTTGACCGGAGGCGTAGGCGCCATTTCTTTCACCCTGTCCGCTTCCCAGTGGATCCAGAAATGAAACCCATACTTGGGCCCATGAGCCCAAAACTAACTTCCACTTCCACTTCCACGGGCACAGGGCCGATCGCAAGGCGCTCGCTGTGACTGTCATTGGGTAGCTGAGTGAATCTGCGTACGAAGTTATAATGTAAGCGTCTTTGTTGCTGTACTTGATAAACTGTTTTGTACTGTACACGTGATGCGATACTGGCATGACTAGCTCTACCTACCATGGTATATTCCTTTGATACCTACTAAGTTATGCTTATAAGCGATCCTATGTACCTGCACTTCACCGCCCTACTAAAGGCGAATTGCTGCTATCCTATCTACCCTGAATTACGAGAAGAAATCATTTTCAATGACATCTTCATGGTTGATCCGATTTCCAATGGAAGATATGCAAAGGGAATCTACTTTACTTCAGGTATAAATTTCGGAGCAGTTTCTGCCGTTTCGAAGTCTCTTTCGGCTTTACTGTAACAGATTGCGACGAATTCTGGAGTGTGAGATGACTAGGACTATGCGATACCTCGATGGAGGCTCTATCAGAGGGCTCTGTCCTGTACGTCGCCTCTACATACTTCTGCTTATCGCTCAGTGCCATTCCCACATTATATGTGCTCGTCAGCATAATGGAATCGTCGAGAAAAGCTTACACCGTCACACGGGACTGTCTGTATATTAATTTGAGTGAAGCAATTCTTAGTGACAGCCTTGTGGTTTTGTAGGCAGAATATCGTCGTAAAAGAGGCAAGTACGCGTGATCGTGGGCGCGTCATACTTTGGTGCTTCATTAATCAGTTTCTGAACCTGTGACAGTTCGATACCAGGCCTCTTACCAACTATTGCGATCCTGAAAACCTCTAAAAGGTAGCCATGTGGGGGATACTATATTCTTGGTCTTTTCAATACGGTAGCTTCTAGCTCACTTTACATGTCGTTCCTGTTGTCCATGGCGCCGTGTTAGTATGGTGAGACGACTAGAATGCTGAAGCTATCGGTACATCTTGTTCCTTACGCTTGACTGCTAACGCGGACGTAGTGGTTTGTGTAAAGAGGTTGATTACTAGTACGCCCAGTGCGGACACCGTACGAGTGGCATTCGAAAAAGAGGATCTGACATTGAACATGAGTACATTCTCACGGTTCGCAGGAGTGAGTGTGTACTACATGGTAGGCAGCTCGAAGGTGAGCTGGGAAAAGATGGCCATCAGGGGAACGACATATATCGCTAACTTTTGAAGGCGAGGTTCGGCTAATTGCTTAGCGCATCATTGGAGGTTCCATCTGCGTAGCCGGGGCAATGGCAATTCACCACGCACATACTCATGAAATGGGGTCCGTTCCGGAAATGAGCTGACTTATCCATTGTCTTGTGACGAAGGCCGTAGCCCCGTTGAACTGCGTGATTATACCAACTGCAAGCACACATTGATCTGCCTGGTGGAGATAGGGAATGAGTATCATATTCCTTCCTCTCAGGCAAACCCCAAATTTAGCTGGGAAGAAGAAGAATGGAGAACTGCATGGCTTTACAATACACCATATTCAAGGGGGCTAGTCATAGCATACTGTATTTAGTTTATAGAACAGCACTATGAGCCCGTTGTAGCTATTGTAGATAAGGCAGTTACATAGTGTACCTAGTGTATGTTAGTATACAGATGTGGGTAGCCTCGATGTGGGGGCGGCGCTAGCTGCAGCCGCCACCACCAGCTCGCAACCCCCACAGCCCTAGGTATAAAAGGCCCAACCCCGCTGTAGCGCCCAGTCTTGCAGCCTCTGATCTCCTTTCCCACTGAGCCTGCCTGGGTGCTAGTTGCGCGATTCTGATATGTACATTACGTTGATCTTCGGTCTTTTATGTGTTTTGCATAGGGTTTACGCCAACAATGAGTTTATTATTCCTCCACCTGCTGGATTAGACGCCTTTATGAATGAGTCGGCCGAGATTAAGTGGCGATGCGACGATTGCGGATCGTTACCAGTGACACTGAATCTATGGCAAGACAAAGGCGACGGTAGCTGGGCTCAAGAAGTACTACTGTGTAAGTGGGTGATAAAAGAGTAGCCCATCCGTGCCGCTTGAGCGCGCCACTAACGTGTGCGGACAGCGAGCGAAATTGACCCTGGAAGCTACATCTGGGCCCCCCATCCATTGGAAAATCTGACAATAGCGAATGGCTTCCACTTCAACCTCGTTGCTGGTAGCTTTGGATTCGATAGCGGCGCGGTTTTTATCAAGGAGTCGCCGAGCACAACTTCGGTAGTAGTTCCTTCTACCTTATCTTCCACGTCTACCTCGCCATCGACGTTTTCACAATCGGGCACCACCAGTTCTTCTTCTAGCACATCCAGTGTCACTACAAAACCTTCTTCGATGGAACCAGTACCCACAAGCTCCAGCGCTGCAGGCAGCGACGACAACGCGACCCTAAAGATCGGGCTCGGTGCTGGTCTGGGCGTCGGCATACCGTTCCTTCTACTCGTGGGTGGTATCATAGGCTATGTGGTCTTTCAGAGGTCTTCTAGGCCTCCCCAGTACACGACATACCAAAAGCCCTTCAAGCATGGTGCGGCTGTAGCACAGGAGCTCCCCGAAGCGACGTCTGTCATGGAGATGGGGAATGATGGACAGACATGAGTTACCGGAACACGTGAGCCCGACCATTAAGTGAGTGAGAGGGTGGCAGGGACATATGGATGGGTGAGGTAATGTATCTACGTACGGAAGGGACGCCCCTGGCACTTGCAGAGTGTTTCCATATATATAGCCCCATCGCTAATCTGACCAATGGCAGCGACCCTTATTATGTGACACCTCACCTCTCAAATTGAACCTCATCTTTGACATGACCTAAAATATCGACCTCAACCAGTCCGTCCGTGACAGATGCCTAAGCCGTGCTTCTAGTGATGTCTAGAAGTGCGTTGTATTGTGACAAGGGCGGTATGATCTATGACGTCGGCCTAATTACATCGTTTCTAAAGTTCATAAGAAAAGACAGCAGCTAATGTAGATTTCCAGACGCACACTCAAGGATCCGCCTTTCTCATCCTTAATCCCACTCTCTTCCCGACGAATTCGCTCTGCAATCCTTTCTCGAAGTCGGCAGCAATGAAGTCCAAGGGATCCTCTAAAGAAGTGGCGTAACCACCCGCTAGACCGACGACGTTCAAGTAGGGCCCGATCAGCGGTACCCACTTAAGAGTGCCCCGCCACCCGGGGGGAGAGTCCGCGCTGGCGATCACATTGGCCGCCGAGCAGTCGTCCGGTACGGGGATTCGAATCTCGTTGTGCTTGGGGCTCATCTGATTGGCACAAAACAGCGACCAGGCGATGTTGCCCCCTTCTTGCTTCTGGATGAGGGCCAAATTTTCCCTGTGCTCGGGAAACATGGGCATGTAATCACCCATGAGACGAGTCGGGATGGCGCTGTCCAGCATGGGAAAACCAGACATCAGCCAGGCGCGGATCGCGGGCCCGCGGCGCTCCTCGCGGGCTTCCACAATGGCCGCGACGACGGTGGCGAACATTTTGATATATTCGCCGGTCTTGGAGCGGCCGAACATCTGCGCCACGCCAGCGGCGTGAAAGACGGCATCGCAGTTGTGGTCGAGGATGGCATTCTTCAACGCCGACTTGTCCGTGACCCACCCGACGACCACGTCGGCCAAGACAGCTCGCTTCTCTGGCGCGAGTTTGCTAGGCGAGCGAACATAAGCTACGACAGTGTGGCCGTGCTTGATCAAGGCAGGCAGTGCACGGCTGCCGACATTGCCAGTGGCACCAAGCAAGAGCACCTTCATGGTCGTTTCGTTCAGCTGTGTTTTGAAAAAATGGATAGTACTGGGTCGTAATATTGTGTCCAGAACCTAGGTTACAGATAGCTGAGGGCATAGTATATAATTGTTTTTAGCCAAGGCTTACTCGGCCCGCGAAGTCCCCGTGGAATTTACGGAAAACAGCCTTCGACAATGATGCGCACCCCTGAGAAAAGTACCGAATTCCTGCCAAATTCTCCGCGAGCCATTGTCAAGGTGCCTATGTGGCTTAGACTTAAGAGCAGTGCCGCCGTATGCGAAGGAAGCGCTAATACACACATTTAGGGCATTACTACATTTTTCTCAGTACACCCAGCCTGGCCAAGAGGGTAGCGCTAGGAGAATCTTTACAGGGGTGTTTTGTAGCTCTTACTTGCACATGAACAATTCCGGGCGTCAGGCGTTGACTGAAGCAACGAGACCAGCAGATTGGCCACTCCTAAAGCGCCCTGGGATGGGTCATCTCACATTAAGCACAGAGCCAACATTACTCATTTTCATCGACGTGCGTAGATGTGTAGTCGTTGTCCTTGGCTGATCTTAGGGCTTAAATCGGTGCCAGAACATACCTGGGGCCCTTGTTGCTGAGAAGTCCAAACGCTCGATGGAGACCTCGAATCTTAACCTGTAAATTTCTATGTTTGGTCCGCTCACAGATCACATATCGACCAGCATGCCAGTTTTCCAGTCGACGGGCTCTTAGACAGTTCAG